TGCTGTTCCTTTCATATGTTCTCTCCAGTGATTATGTAATGATGTATTCCATGTAAAAAATAACACATTTATTGCTCATGTCATACTGTATATTTTAGTGCTATCCATTAAGTTGGACATCAGCTTATTCAGTATGATTATTAAAAAAAAATGCAGAGTTTAATCTAAAATTGAGACAATTATTTACAAAGTACCAAATAGTTTTTGTTTGATTTTTAATTCGCAGATTAGTGCTGAAACATCATTTTCTGCTGTCTTTAATGTTGTAGTACCTGACTCTGAGATGGTATTTTTTAAGTTGGTTATCTTCAGACTTCGTATTCATACCTCCTGCAGCGATGACCAATCAGGGTTCATTAACATGGAACTAATAGGATCTTTCAATCAATTGTATTGCAATTTTTTAGAAAGCTTTCTGGTGTGAAAGGTACTAATCAGTGTGAAATTTATTATTATGATTAAACACATCCTTCTGAGCGGACAAAGATCAGGATGACAGAATTTACAGAACCATCTGAGATATGTATAATTATGTTGTTTTCCTTCAACTGTTCGGATTGAATTCGATAAAAAATGTAAACTGTTTCTAATGAGAAAATGGATTTTTCCAGTAGATCAAAATATACATCAAGGGTAAGAAATTGAACATCCCTAAGGACGCAATGGACCTCATGCGTTGTGGGTGTCTCAAAGGATGTTCGTTGTTATTAAAATTTAGTTACAATGAATGGCCTAAAGGTTTGCTCACGTCTATCAAGCGATACAAAAACATTGCCCATAAACCATGCCTTAACACATAAGATCTATGCATGGATAGCATTGTTACAAACACGTACAAAGACAAAGAACTTGTCAAAATTGTGCCCCTTGGGCCGCAAAAACAGGTAAATCATGCAAAAACGGTAACACAGCATGCCTGCTACCCCCCCCCCCCTCCCACACACACACCCACGCTTACATAGGCATAGAAGTGGGGTACTTCCTTGTTCTCGTGTACTAAAATTTTGCAACGTCGCACACTTATGTCAAAATGCTCTTATTTTAATCATAGTTAATTTCCTGGGCTGAAATTCGGACTTAATATCCCTTTTCTAAAACTCTTCCATTTGCGACGGATCAACCCACCTTGGAAATTCGTAGTTTTTGAGTAAAATCCATATATCTATTTCGTGAAAAACTTGTGGGGTACCAAAACGGTACCCCGCAAGTCGGTGGGCATTCCTTGTGGGGTACCTCCCATTGTTCCAGTACCCCACAAGGCAGTGTTTGTACACGCCCTCTTACACACGCCCCAAACGGCAGCTATAAACCAACTCGGAAGCCAAACTTGGATCCTTTTATGTTATGGTATGCGCACAAATTGCTTTAGAAGTAGTCACAAGTCGTTAACAATGCATCACAGTTCGGCTGCTTATATTACCAAGTCGCTTTTCTGAAGAACCACGTTAAAACTTTCTCACTCGGCGAAAATCAGCTGAATAGCCTGGAGAAGAAAAAAAATTCACACAATCTCCAAACTGGTAACCGTTGTTTTTCATTATGACTGCCGTGTATTATTCAAGTGATATTATGCAATAGGAATTTATTTTTCTTTATCAGTTACCAAAGATTTTAGTCGATGTGTTTTTCTCAAAACGGTCTGTTCTTTCAGTTGTTTGTTTTAATCACTAATTTTACTGGTCATCTGAAATTTAATATTTCTTGGGTATGTAGTGTCTTTCTATCTTTTGTTTTCTGATTCGTTTGTTTTTGTTTTTAGAGCCTTTTCTTTTTGAAGGATCGCGTTTATTTTCAGCTTTTGTTATTGTTAGATTTTGTTTTTATAATTTGCTTTTAATAAAGACATCAACTTTTATCACTGATCATAGTTTTTGTCACGTTTTAACCAGCTGCTATTTCTTTCATCAAAAACTAGTGAGGCTTGGGTTTCTTTGGGTTTTTTTAATGCAAAACAAACGACTCGCTAGGAGGTGGACTGTATAGAAAATAAATATGTTGTACAGTAGATAAAGAGGTATATATTTTACTAGTTTAAACAAAAAAAACCTGAATCATTCAGTGTTGAAAATCAACTATTTTTTAACTGTTCAAATTGGTCGCGATGGTAAAAAATTGATTCTTCAAAAAGAAAATTCGGCTGAGACTTCAGGGAATGGAAGCATGTTCAGACTGTTTGAAATGCTTTGATAGAATCATTTAGATGAATTTTTGGGGTTTCAATGTAGTTCTTTTTCCGATTTAAAAAAGAAAGTTATATTAGGTAGCATAATTTGTGCTTCTTATTGATATACAAAAAAAATGCTGGTCACTTGTTTATCAGAGTAGAATTATAAATTTTGGATTGTAATTATTATTTTTTTACAAAAAAGTGTATTTAAGTGGTGCTGCAGGATGTTTAACCAGACTTTTAACCAATGTAGTTTGGCTTGTTGTAGTAGAAATGTTATCTTCTAGAACAAAAATGAAAACATTAAAGGAAATTCAGAAATTCACTGGCCACCATCTTTTTTTTCTTGATGGTTTCTAAACGTGTGTGTGATTGCTGAATTTGTCGAATATGAAGCCCCCCAAAAGAACAACCCAATTCAACTGCCATTTTAGTGGAATTGTGCCAGCAGTGTATTGTCTATACCTTTTGGGGCATCATAATTTCTGCTCGTGTGAATTGGAGATTTTTAGTTAACAGTTGGTGCGCCGAGGGTAGTCGTCTATGATTATGCGTGCAGGTTGTGAAAAACAACACTGAGTCTTGACCTACGGATTCTGACCATTCAGCGGTCGCTTTTTATCGTGTATTCGGTAACCCGATGTTATTATGAGAAAAGCATAGCAGCTAGTTATTGACCAATTAACAGCTTTGGCCGAAGTTCTCATTTAAATGACGTCACAACTCCTAAAGGCAACCCCGATTGTCTGGCGCGCTGGGTCGCATATCATTTACATGAACAGATATATCGGACGTTTCTGTACTCATGGACGATGCTCGGACTATACGCTGATGAAATCGTAAAAGTAAAAACCCGAATTTCTGCTACAGAAATTGACATTTGTAAAAGCAGGTTGCACGAATTCAACGCTTGTTGTCCACTTTTGGGACTTCAAAGAATTGGTTAGCTGTTTTTCATGCCCGCAGCCCCCCCCCCCCCAAAAAAAGCTTTCTTTTTCGGCCCAGCTGAAAGAATCTAATTTATATTTCGAGCAACTGTAGCACCTTTCTTTAATAGTAGTTGGCTATGAGCTGTCAATTGGCATGATACAATGTATTAATTATCCCGAATGGCGTGAGAACTGTGACAAAAGGTAAACTCGCCACTTGCGCTAAGAACGAATGTTCATCGTGTGTACATGTATATACGGTACGGAGGGTGCGACCTAACTTTGACAATGCGGATGGTGGCGCTACATGGGTAAAGCTTCTCTCGTTCCTACCGCAAAATCTATCCAATGCTAGTTCGCCAGCGCCCTTGGCTGGATTGGGCGTCGGAGAAAAACCTTCGGAAAAATACACAACGATAATTTAATGATGTAAAATACGTCAAAAGAAATTGTACTTAATGGAGCAATTGTTGATCACATCATAGGCATACACGTCCAACGTAAATACACGGAATTACCCGGTCGTAATGCCAGTCGAGTCAGAGACAATATTGTGACGTCATCAACTAATTGTCTTCGACCCTATGGTAATAATGTCCTGTGCGTTACATCAGTCGTTACTCGTTATTTCTTTCTGCCTGATTGCATCGCCTTATAAATTTATTGCTTGAATTTGTCGATAGGCCTAATGTATCCCCCCCCCAAAAGTACAATAGGCCTAAAGCGCGAGATATAAAAATAATTATACTAACAAACAAAACCAGAGTAGGCCTTCACTAAAACAAAAAAAACCCTGAACTAGTCAGATGTTACCAAAAGACAGTCAACTTGCACGCAGTTTTCTAGTTCACTATTGCTGTAGATAGAATACGATAAGTCAATGATCTTAATAGAGGTTTAGGCCCTTATGCTAACGCTCTTGAGAATAAAAGCTTTAAAATTTATGATGACCTGCATGATTTTTACACCTCCTATGATCTATCAGTTGGTAATCAGTGGCAAAAGGTAAACTTGCAAAAATAATACTTGCAAAGCCTTGACAGTCGTTCCATTGATCGATGTGCTCGCCTTCATACACCAAGCATAAATAATTCAATGAGAGATGATGACGGCTGACTTGTGGATGTCGCGACCAATTCATAAATTATGCTCATTAATAATTAGGGTTTCATCGGAGAGGAGTTTTTCAAGGTGTGTCAATAACTCGGCGCATGTTTATTGTTCGCCCTAGCTACACTTCGCTGCGACATAACGACGACTGTTGTCATTTTTATGGAGCCGAAAGATTGTACACACTAAGCAAACCATAATTGTTTCTTAATTCAGAGAGCGTTTTCCTTCGACAAGGCCGTATACGGCCTCACAAGTCTGGAACTGGAAACAGTCTACCCCAACTGTGGATTCAAAGTTGCCTTGATATTAAATTCAATAAAGAATCTCAGTGATATATCGACAGCGGCGCAATCTCCCCGTTTCGAGCGAGCTCTTTTAATACTGGCAAATACGAGGCGCAATTAAGCTGGAACCAACGTAAGCCATATCGACGCTATCACGGTCAATTACTTCCTCTCTGCGCGTCTTGATGCAGGATGAAATGTTGTGGGCGATGGGCCAGCCTTGATACCTGTAGTTCGATCCATAACTGTGCCTGACTGTGACGCTTGATCGATCATTTTCCTAACTGTTTTTCTCTTTCGCACGTTCGAGTCACGGGAAAACAGCATGTAACCAGAGGCCTGACAATCTCAGCACCGCATCGCTATTTTCAACACGTCAAGTTTCTACTAAAGCGAAGAAACCTGTTACCAAAATTTTTTCGAAAGGAAGCTTAGTGCATAAGCGTGTGGGGTAAATTGCCATGCATTGGAAAGACAGATAAGAGATTTGAATCATCCGTGTTGAAGATGGATAACAACTTGTCATCGTCTTTGAACTGTATCAAGATCTATCATCACGATGAACTGACCGTGCCTCGAACAGTGCTCACAGCACTGGTAGCATTACTGATCGTTTGTGGCAACACATTGTGTCTGATCTGCCTTCGTAAGACCGTTGCATTTCCCGACACCACCAAAGTCTTCATGACTTCGTTATCGGTCGCTGATCTGACGATGGGCGTTCTGATCTGCGCGCCTTCGACCATCTCGGCCGCCGCTTCAAGGTGGTTGCTGGGGAGCGTCTCTTGTCTGGTAACAGCCCATCTCAACTTCTACCTGGTTGCAATGTCCGTGTTGTCACTCTTGATGGTCAGTGTAGATCGTTACCTGGCCATCACCAGGCCACTCCGCTACCAGACTCTGCTGACTTCTTATCGAGCCAAGATTGTAGTAGCTGTCGTTTGGCTGTCGGCTCTGATCACCAGCCTTGTCATCTTGTTCCTAGGTGGCTTGCACGTCTGCTACGACGCCATGTTGAACATCTGCATCCCCATCACAGCACCCGGTAAAAGCATGAACTTACAGACGCTCACGTGCTTTGTGGTTGTCATCCTGGTGTCGTATCTGTCGACTATAGCAATCTACGTCCGACTCTACCGAATAGCTCGAAATCACGCCAATCGCATCCATGATGTGAGTGACCAGTTCAACCCCGATAACAGATTCCACAGACATCCGAACAGCAAAGCCACAGTCACTTTTGCCATAGTGGCCATTGCCTTTGGAGTTGCCTATATTCCTATGATAGCCATTGCTGTGGATTTCTTCATATCCAACAAGGGATGCCCGCTGTTACTTTGTGGCCTGGCGTCCGTCTGTACGCTCTCCAATAGTTGGTGGAACGTCGTCATATACTCCATCAGGACTGCCTCTTTCAGACAGTCTTTGAAGAGCTTGTTCCGTCGTTCATCTCTCCATGTAGACACCTAAAACCATGCGCCATGCTTGTGCACATTAATTTTGAACGTCGAACTAAAGAAGAAATCCCAAATACTAAGGAGTATAATAGGTCACTTGGGAGACATTCCCATAGACTTATGCCCAGTTTTCCCCGCAATTTTAATGACCCCTAATTAATTTTTACTTAAGTCGTACCCCACAAAACTTGGTATATGTAAGCGATATTTATGTTATGGACCACGAGCAATCGATAGTTTTGACATTAATGTCCGGTGTCTCCCTAAGATATTTATGACGACAAAATGTTTCATTAAGGTACCATTAACAGGTATAGCCTTTATAGAGCGCTCTTACACAGGGTGTCACAGCGCTTATAACAGCAACGGACAAATAAAACAAAGAATTGGTGAATTTGATAACAGTTACAGATTGGAGAAAACAGTTTTGAGATTGAACAAAACAGTGTTGAGACAGTTCTTGAACCCTTCAAGTGACTGTGCTGAGCGGATTCCCTTGTGCAAAGAAACCAAGTTCATCTACCAAGGAACACACCTGAGGAACCACAAGCAGTGAGTTGTCTGAACCGCGGACCGAAGGCCAGGTCGTCTGGGGTGATATCAATGAGAGATATGAAGGGGATGTATAGAAACATTTGTAAAGTATGGCGAGGATCTTGAATTCAGCTCGGTGGTGGATCGCGGGAGCCAGTGAAGTTGATGGAGGAGCCATGTAACACATGGTCATTTTTTTTTGGTGAAGCTAGTTACACACTCCAAATTAAAAAAAACAACCGGCTAATGAGATGTCTATTGCTTGTGACTGGTTGCTAGCTTATTTTTGCTGAGCATTTAAATTTGTTAAGAAAACTTCCTCTAATAGCTGCTCCATAAAATCGGGCTTTAGCTTAGCTGCCCGAGTAACTATAGTGCAATTTTTAAGCTGTTTTTTGAAAGCAAAAAAAAATAAAAAATGAATAAGTTTTTCATGTCATTCAAAACATTTTTCTCTGAGAGTGTCCTGAAAGCCTGAATGCACCAATGCAGCTTCCTGCGTATACCACATATACCAAGAGGTTAGATTGACGCCGTGCTAACGCGCTCTGGCCGCTCATTATTCGCAAACATAACCTTATTAACCGATTACATCTAGTTACAGGCTTCAGTAACGAATGCCACGCCAACCCAGCCTGGGGACTTTCATTCAGCCTACAGCGACATTTTTATAAAAGCAATCAAACCTCTGGTAAACAAGCTGTAATTACGTTAATATGCCTAATCAGGCAGAATGCAATAGCATGCATGTAGACAATCAAAGCAATTTTGAAAAACGATCAATCAGCTTTACTAGTAGTGCATTTTATAAATCTATGTACCTTTCTAATGAAGAGGTTCTATGGTCTATACGAATTTTACGTGTTAAAAATCTCACCAAATTTCAGCTGATTACATGTATACTGCAAGGCGGTTCAAACCAATAAAATAAAATACCTGCCAACATATTAATTTCTTCATTTTTACATCAAGCGCCCGCAAAGCGAATTGAAGTCACGCACACTATATAACTCGATTAGCATAATTGCCACAAACTAATTTGTCCTCTGTGTTTAATCAGAGTACAAAGTACATGTACATGTATTTGATCTCAAAAATGCAGTCCTTCTATAACTAATGTAGAATATCCACAATCCTTAAAGATGTACAGTCTTTCTCTTCCATTTTCACTCTGAACAAAACAAACAATGTTTTTAAATTGCTATAATTTAGCTGGCTACAAAAAGGTTATTCGCTTGAATGAGACATCGACAGAAAATGGACAAACCGGTGTTTATTTATATGAAATCATATTATTAACAAATGTCGAAATATTTGCGGTTCGACAATAATTCAGTCTGGCAGGGTAGGCTGGTTCCCGACTCATATCGGGATCTGTATGTAGGAACCGGAAACCAGTCCACTTCGGCACGGCGGATCGCATTTTCGTGCGCAAAAGCAACCTAAGATAAACGTCCCCCTTTTTTAGGAGATGGGGAGGTGTAACAAAAAAAAAAAAAAAAACTACCATCCCCCTTAATTAAAATAAAACATAAAATGTGAACATTTGTTTGGAGAAAAACATACTTTCCTTTTGAAGATCACGCACAGTACATTTTTACTCGAAGCAGTGCATGCAACTAATGCAGACCTAGATATTAATAAAGCCAGCCAATCCGTAGGCCCTATTCTGAAATATCCCATTTAATGGGTTTTCTCAATTGTTGGATCACGAAAGAAATAAGTTTTGAACCAAAAAGCACTCACTACACAATGCACTGTATTCCTCTTTTTAGTTTTACAAAAATTGTCCCAAGCGCAACGATTGAAATAATTATATTTGCAGTTTGTATTGGGACATTTAATCTGGGTCTTATCTATGACCATTTTTTCCGTTTGATAACCTAATGGATGGGAACAAATGTTTAACTCCGGCCGTGCTATACATGGAGACAGTTAGCAACTGAATTATTCACATTCATGTACCATAAAATCCGCTTAAATTGCATAGTCTACTTCACAATCCGTCGACTGTACTTTCTTTTTGTGTCATGATCATAGATGTATGACAGGGCTTACTCGATCAGTCAAAAAGGAACCTGTGCAATTATCATCAACAAACAGACCACGAACTGAATGTTTAGAGTGTAATTTGTATTGATTGATTGGACGCCATTAGGAATTACGATCGCCTTTCATCGTAACGAAATAATAAAGTGAAGTTTTCTAAGAACAAATACAACCGCAAGATGGTCTTTCGTGCAATTACCATCAACATCCTGACAACAATGTTTTGGGAGTAGGCCTACAGTGTAATTAAATTGTATTGATTTTACGCTGTTGTGACTTGTCATAAGGCCTTGATTATCCAAGACTTCAGATCATGGTCTACTTTGAAATGTACTCAACCAAGAAGAGCGAAGAACCGTGAAAGGCTCTTTGAAATACATAATCAATTTAAATACTTGTGTTTGCAGATACAAGTGTTTGCAGATAATGTATTATCCAGTTATTAAATAAATGATGTTCCTTTTTGTCTACAATTATGACCGATGACACAAACTCATGGGACCACAGGCAGTGTCGGTGTCATATGAAAATCGGTCTCTATGAAAATCGGACTCTTTTCCCCTTTTATTGGTTAAACCCTCTAACGTGACCGGTACCTCTCCTAATTATCTATGCACGAGTATGCGCAATACCAACAAATGAGTCCGTATTTCATAAAACCTAAATTCATGCTACCACCGACGGATTACTAGTGAGAATCATACACATGGATGTTGCTCGTTGCAAGCTGCTCGAGTTTTTTTTGCCTGTATGAACTAACAAATGAAAATGACTATTTCTTGTTCAGGCATGCAACTGGGAAGTAACCACACAAAAAAGGAGAAAAAAGAATGAAATTCGAGGTTTTAACAAGACTTTATACATGAATTTCAATTTTCAATGACATGAGTGTGAAGTGAAAAACAAGAAAATTAACCGATCGTAGGAAAATGTGCATGCCTTTTTGCTACCAGGAAAACCCTTTGATTTGATAATCAACTATTGTATATGCAATCATTTGATCCCTTCCTCCCCAAAATACTGTTACCCTAATCATGAGTTCAAACTTACGGTCTGCACTCTGCACTACTGCCACTTTAAAAAAAAAATAAAGGTAGGGATCGTTTGTCATTTCTGCATTTTTGTTTTGGTTTTAAGCTAGCAACAAATGTGCTCAAAATCCAAACGGCTGCTTAGCAACTAATCTGATGAAGTTTTAGCTCTGTGAATGCTGTATTTTCCGAGAAAACAATAATCTAGGATCTCGGTTTCAACTCAAAGGTTGCAGAGTCATGTTTTGAATTGCGCCCGAAATCAGCGTCCGGGACACGTTCCCATTCAGCCGATTGCAGCTAGGCGATCATCTGAACCGAGGAATTATAGCAACCGCGCGCGCGTGTGCGTCCCCTCAACGCTTACGCGCACCCATTCACAGATTCGCCGAATTACTAAAGGAAATTTCAAAAATGCGTCAATTGACGCATCTTTGGAAATAGCCTTCTTTTATTGTTTTTCTTCAAAATGACAGCATGCCAGAAGGAATAATTTCACAGGGAGTGGAGTGTCATTACAATCTTTAAACCAAGTTAGCTTTTCAAACATAATTTCGTCAGTAACTTTTTGGATAGACAGAGGGACAAAACAAAACCCTCCATCATTTCGCTGCGCCATTTCTACGGTCCCTTGGGAGCTTCTCATAACTCGGCTAATGCCTTCCCATCCTAAGGATCATTAGTCAGCAGCTTCAGTACGGTCCACGGAACTCGGACCGGAGATAAAACCGCTGCTGCCCCATGAAGCATGAAATAATTGCGGGAAAAGTCCAAGGAATGGGCCTGATGCAAAGTAAACACTCCCAGTCCAATTTTACACAAATGCATGTCCTTGCAAGCCTCCTGTGGCTTTTCTCTGTCTACAGAAACTGATTAAAAGAAAGATAAAATGCCTTGGTTTGTCAATTATTACCAAATGTTTATTTTTTACGTGGGTGTACGAGCCGTTTTGGCTGCTGTATGTTGATTTTCCAGACCAAATTCAAGTAAGAACATTCACAGGCATTTCTCATTATGAGCAATACTCTGGTGCTTTTATTACATGTTTATCAAAAGGATACTTGCAACATTGATATTTAGTCATTCACACCTTTATTTGTAACTGTGGGGTTTAATATTGGCTATTTAACAAGCTTCGTGTTTAAAGGAAAAATCATCGCCATCTGGTCTACTTTTGTCAGTCTTTCGTTGTAAGCATTGGGCAAAACACATTTCAAAACTATGATCTTGAATTCGACAAAAAGACTACCAAGAAAAAAGTAATAATTTGTCATGGCTGACGCATTGAAATCATAAACGTCCTGATTTATAAAAGATCTGTAATGTCTACTGACCCGGATAATTGAACAAAATCTACACGTAATTTGTTAACAAGATTTTCATGGGACACTAATTTTACACTAAGAATTTGTCTTTCTCAAAATTGAATTCCTTTATTTCTGGCAGTAACAAAATCACTGAAGAAAATTAAACTTCAACATGCAACATTCATTCTGTTAATTCCCTCAGTGAAAAACCTACATACACAAGCTGCAAACAAATATTTGTTAAAATTACCAAAAAAAAAAATATTGGAAAGAACACTCTTGCTGCATTATTTTTTTTATAAACAGAATGCCTAACTCGAACAGGCGACAGTTGCAAATGGACTCGGCCCTACATTGCAGGTAGGCTTAGCAGTGTCTGTTGGCCCGGTGGGAGATAGTTGATGTTTCTAGACCTGGACATCTGGAAGGCAACGTCTTCGGCAGCTTCCAGCTTTCGCAGCTCAATCAGAGCGTCGCCTGCCTTGGTGAAGGCTGAAGCCAGGAGGCTAGCGGCCTGGGAGTCACCCTCGGCTGTGATGACGGCAGCTTGCTTCTGCTGCTCCGCCTGTAGGGAATGAAGACATTATACAAACATAATAACATGTATATAGGGCTAAATACCAAAGGTCTCAAAGCACTTCATAATTGTTACCATCATCAGGCCATGAGACCAATTTATGCAGCAGCTCGAGATCGGCGCACTCTGGTCACAACCTTCACAGGTACCCATTTATACTCCTGGGTGGAGAGAGGCAATTGTAGTAAAGTGTCTTGCCCAAGAACTCAAGCATCATGTTCCCCGTCAGGGTTCGAACCCACGTACCACGGCACGTTCGTCGAACACCTGTCCATGCATATGCACATCTCATGCATGGAACATGTACCTTAGCCTTGCGATCAACATTTTTTTGGTTTTACATAATGATTTTTTGCTCACTAATTTACTAACTTATTGAATTTAAACCTACCGGGCCCTTTAAGGAACTATTGCATTTAAAACAGAAATAACCAGCACTTTCTGGTGTTGTCCTGTATTGACATGTAGCTTTTGAACCATGCTCCCATGCAGAGCATTACATCCAGAAAGTTTACTTTTTTTTCAAAATCATTGGCTTAAATCAGAATAAAAAAAAAAAAAGACTTTCGTAAAATAAATATTGCATTGATATTGATTTAATTAAGTGATATCAATATATTGATGAAGCCTACTGACCCGTTATTTTTGGATTACATTTTGCGATGCTCCTTGTGTAATTTAAAGAGACTGCAATTGATCGTAAAAACCTACTTTTTCCACCAGGAATCTTGCCCTCTCTGCATCCTGTTGAGCCACTTGCTTCATCTCTACAGCTTCTGTGAATTCCCGACCGAATGTCAGATGAGTCTGTAATAGATAAACATGATATAGGGTTATCGAGAAGTTATGTCACAAAGAAGTATGAGCTTCAGGCATTTGAAAACAAAAGTAATAAACCTTGCATCTGTATAATGGAGATTGCCAAATATGGATTAATACAAAAATTTAGAAGAACTTATTTGTATGTTGAATTATTCATAAGATGAATTGCGTCAAGGTGATGTAAATCAATACAATGTATTAGGTTTTGCTGACGTCTAAACACTGTATACTCAGTGTGTTACCTCCCGAGTGAAAGTTGGGAAAAAAAACTGTTGAATTACATAATGCTTGATACTGCATGAAAATAATATCATTTAAATGCATTCTCTTTCATCCCAACGTTCAGCTCTTTTTGCTAAAAAAAAAAAAAGCTAATAGGCAAACTCCAAAATTTCACCTGGAAACTGCAAAACAATTCACATATCTGGTTAGAACCGTTCCATAATCGGCATGATTGCAAACATAAGCACAAATTTGTGGCATCGTGGCAAAATTTCGCTCTGCCAATTGTCAAAGGCTTAACACATTTTAAAGCCAGCGACTGCTTTGTGATGCCAATTTTGCTTAGTAATAATTGCCTTTGTGTGAAGTATTAACCGGCGCGCAGTTGACAACTTACGAGAGATATATCATCTAGGATCAGACCGAATTGGGAACCTCTCTCCGTCAGTTCTGCATTCACGCGTTGGGAGACTACCTCTCTCTGTGTGATCAACTCACTGGCATCAAACTGGGCCTGCAAAGGGAATTACAAACATGAATCTTATCAAAGTTAATGGTCACCCCTCCACTGAATAAATTCAAGAAATAACGGATGATTTTGGAGGATTAAGGCTGAATTTAATTTGCACATGGTGGCAATAAGGGGATGTTGCAGGATTGAGGATGGTTCCTAGCCAAAAGGGCCTGGAGGGGTTAGGGTTAAGGAGTATCAAGCTCCAAGCAAAGTTAAAATGAGAGGGCTCATCCTTTCTCAATCCTGCAAAATCTGGGAGGGTTAGGCTTCACTTTCAAGTCCCATATAGAGACCACACTCTATGTTCCTCACTCCTGCAGAATCCTCCATAATCTCCTGGGGATTAAGATGGATCTAGGACAGTTAGGGAGGGCTAGGATTAACCATTATGTGCCACAAATGTAGTGACTTGCTCTGTATGTTCTTAGACAAAATCCTCTAAAACCACTTTGTAGAAACCACTTTGTAGATTCTGAAGCATCTACATGTTGGTGAGCTAGGGGTGCAAACCTTTCTTACCACAATGGCTTTCAAGACTTCGTTGGTGATGGAGGGCAGCACCCTCTCATCGTAATCCTCCCCAAGGTTGACGTACAGCTTAGGAAGATTGGTGACCTCTGGCCGGTACAAGATACGCAGGGTGATGTTCACATTCTGGAGATCTGAAGATGAAGTAACAAGATAATTACAATGTAGAGATGCTTTAAACTTACCCCAAGAAAATTTGATTATCTTAATTACAATTAATGCTCCCGGATCCTGCAGAATCCACCAGGATTGTGCAGTATTCAGGAACAAAGAGTCCAACCAATATTGCTTGTATTAAGCTGAATGCCCTTTGAAAATTTATGAACAAAAATTGCCATTTGTTTCTTGCAGGGTTATGGTTTTTAAAAATGTTTCAGGAAGTTCTAAGAAAACGCTTTCAAGTTGACAGACGGTTTGGTGATGCAAGATGTTACGTTACGATTTCTGAAAGAGCTCTGTCCGATAATTTCATTCCTTCTTGATAATTTAAAGGGTTTTGGAGGTTAAAATTTATAGTTAAAAAAGATTTTTGAGGAAAAGATTACCTTTGCTTCCAGTGATGCTGGGAATGTTGCGGGGACGTGATCGACAGTCATAAATGATGGGTCTCTGAACCCATGGGATCAGGAAATGTGTGCCCTCTCCCATCACGTAGTCCTTGACCCCAGAAAATCTGTCAAAAATCACTGCCCGGTGACCAGCCTCAACTGCAAGTTAAAAAGAGTTTAAGATGGCTTGAACAATATTCAAAAGTACAACAACAGTATGCATGAGGATGTTGTACCTTTTAAGGTGGAATTATGTGGAAATGTATCCCATGTGTCTTTGATTAACTTCAATTGATTTTGCATATATTGATATGAATTTGACTATGTGTAAAACTCAACCATGTCAACAAATGAAATGCAAGTAGTTTTAATAAACTTTATAGTGTATAATGCTATTGCTACAGCGTAGTACGAGGGGGGGGGGAGGAACTAATTTGATTGGGGAATGAATTAACCTATCTGGACCTTTAAATGTTAACATTAAATAGCACTGTTTAAATCTATTTGAACCAGATCATGTCCTCATACATGTCATATTCTCATATGTACTATAGTATAATGTAGCATAGGTCTACCGGGACATGTTGGACATGTTGGATCAATGCCACAAAATTTAAATGAGATCAGTGAGTTTTGCATTGCTATTCAACTGATTGATACCAACAAGACAATAAATTATAAATCACGAAATTTAATCAACAGTGATCAACAAATAATTGAAGAAGTAAACATACCGTTGTACAGAGCTGTGTTTACAACGCCACCAACGACTGCAAGACCAATACCAAGCTTTCCCAGCTGGGAAAAGAGTCTGTTCAAGCCCGCACCTGCCATGTTTATCTGTGCTTGCGAGTGGGAGTCTGGACCTAGCTTGTGCACGTTATAAAATTCAGTTCATAAGTTCATACACTGAGCGCCGAGTGAGTGCGGCTTGACTGTCTGACTCGCGCGGTTCACTGTGAGTGATATGCAGAATAACAGTCGTCTTTCGGGTGAATTTAACAACAATGTTTTTAAACACTCTACATATAGACTATTATTTATTTGCAAATCTCACTACTGTCTGTATTCTTTCAAACTTTGTCCAGGAAAAGGGGCAAAAGATCGAGGTCTCCCTCTCGCTGATGATCAAACTTGCACGAGCGCACAATCTTCAATGCGCAGGCGTGAAAGTTCCATCTATAATTCAAAATGATTGCGACCTATATTTAATATATAAAATTAGTTTTTACCCTTCATTATATAAATCTAATATTTTCAGGCCAAAACGTATTTTTATATGGAAACTAAGTAGCAAATAATGCTTTGAATTTTATATAAAAATGCGGAAACATGTAGTGTACATTTCATATTTCAAAATCACGCAATATTAGAATTCATGGACTACAGGGCGATTTGGAATTAGGTACATAAAGTTTCATTGGTGAGCAAGTCTTCACCTACTCTTGTAGGGGGTGTCGGACGCTTCGCCCCATTTCCACGTCGCCCCATGTCACTTCGCCCCTTACCACTTCGCCCCATTCCCACTTCGCCCCATCCCCACTTCGCCCCATCCCCGCTACGCCCCATCCCCACTTCGCCCCATCCCCGCTTCGCCCCATTCCCACTTCGCCCCATCCCCCCTTCGCCCCATGTAGTATGAAAAAGGTGAAGGCTAGGGGTGCAGACCAGTAAATAAACTGCCAAAGACCCCGATAATAAATGCTCCCAATTCTGGAAACTCAGGAAAAAATACAAACTCTCCGATGAGCTGCTCGAGACACAGGGACCCACATCAACATTTTGCTTATTTCATCAACCTTCAAGCTGATTGAAGTTGGTACAAAGCGGGCGTACAAAGCAAGAAGTGAATCTTTTGGAATTGTTTTTAAGCCAATAAAATGCCCTAGATGAGATTTTTTTTTTACATGTAACGGCTGGGGCGAAGTGGGGATGGGGCGAAGTGGGAATGGGGCGAAGTGGGGATGGGGCGATGTGGGGATGGGGCGAAGTGGGAATGGGGCGAAGTGGGGATGGGGCGAAGTAGGGATGGGGCGATGTGGTTAGGGGCGAAGTGACATGGGGCGACGTGGAAATGGGGCGAAGTGTCCGACATTCCTTGTAGGATACAGTAACCTTTTAAAGGGAATATACAACATTTGCAAACATCGGAAAATAAAACTACCAAGTTTTTGCGAAATACCTTAATAGGATGTTGGTAAATGACAGTCTAAAGCATCCTGTAAAATTATGGCACCTGGTATACTGTCATTTTCAAGAAAAGTGGTATTTTTGTATCAATTTCCAACGCTGATCGGCCGATCAGCGTTGGAAACTACTGGCTTTTTTTTCAAATACTGGCCCCAATTGACCATTGCACTTGTCTGCAATCGATTACAAACCTATGAACGGGTACGAGCCAGCTAGACTGGTTCCCTGACCTTACAATTCCCCAATGTATGTAAACTGCTCTGTTTCTTCTTATATGGAGTCAGGGAACCAGACTACAGGAAAATGATCGTTTTTCTTGGTTTTTATAGCATTTTCGAACCCAAAACCTCCAAAAAGTCAGTGTAACTATATTTGCTTTATATTTCCAACCCCCCAATTCCATCCATTTCTGAAAATTACAGCAAAAGCAAATGATGTATATTCCCTTTAACCTGAAAACTATCCGATAGAAGCTCTAGAGGGCGCTGTTTTAAATAATCTTCCTGATGCAAGCGTGGGGATTTTGTCGTAATCAGAATTTCATAAACGTTTCTCATACACCGTTTTATTATTATAAATCGAGGCTTGAAAAGAAATTGTAGGAATAGGCTTACTGTAGAGTCCAATATTTTGGTGAGTTTGTATCAAGCTAGTACTTGACTGTTTCTTAATTCTACTTTCTCGGAGGAGGTAAGATTAGAACGAACAGCGCGACGGGGCCACGTGCATACGCGTGGTGTGTGCATTGTATTTGCACTGCACTGCAGCATATGTAAATTGTTGCTCTGTGACTAGACTGTGGAGTGTGGTTGAGTGCATGGGTGCACATAGTTAATACATCATTGTACTGGAAAGAATGTTGCAACATTGCAACTAAAAAATATTTCCAATATTGTTAGGAAATACTTTAAAAATGTTCTTGACTCTCCATGATAGACTTTGTACACAACCGCTGAAGTAGCGTCAGGTTGCAACATTCTTTCCCATGTACTTTTACTTTTAATAGGACTTAGGCGACATGTGTTTTGTGTTTTTTGCAACATTCATGTTTTTTGCAACATTCGGAAAGAATTCTATACACGGCCTCCACTCGGACATTGTCAGACCTCCTGCGCAAAGTCTATGGCCCATAGACATGATAGAGTATTGGCCATGAGAAATGACAGAAAAAGGCTATTATGAAAGTCGGGTTTTTTGCAATCCTAAAATAGTGTTTCTTCATCAGATTTACAACTTTTGGTACTTTTCAGGTCATATTAAGGAATATGAGTGGAGGCGCGTGTATGGAATTCTTTCCCTCCATTGCATTCAGTTCTTGGTGCTTTTTATTCTACTTGTAGGCTAGTTTCATTCAACTCGGCATTGTCGTAGTGTTGTTGACAACTCATCTGTATCTGGCAATCAATGAATCATGGCAGACAATGGCACAAGTGAGCCCTCCGAACTTGAGAAGAAAATCATCAGGCAGATTGAGGTACGTGCTTCTCAAAATCAGTTCCCAGATTTCAAATTTATTTGAATCAGGGTCCGCAATAAGCGGTATCGCATCGCAATTTGCGACACATTCGAGGCCGACTGCGACGCAATTTTTAAAGTGCATCGCAAAACTGCTATACAACATTTTGATCATGAAAAGTTGACACAAAGTGTACTTGCCACCAAATTTCGGTCCACTGAATTCCACAACTATCGGACATGGTAAACATCCATCATGTTTTGATTTAGTTAAGCTTAAATACTGAAAAAGAACGTCAATTTTGTTCAGCTGTATAAAATCTGTACGTGTTTAGTTTGTAAACAGGCGGCGCGCGTCTGATGGGCCAATAACGAGACCACGTGATAAACGCAGCTAATAATTTGGAATCGCACTTATGATCCGGACATAAGGAATGCCCGGAGCGTCAGTGCGATACCAAATTATCCGCAGCATGTATCACGTGGTAAATCACGTGCATGATCGGAGGAGGTGCAGGATGTACGTCGAGATTTTACCTCGTACTTTGAATCAGCTGCGACTGTGCGAGGAATAATTTATGGATTTATAGAAGAAATAACACGTTTGTACACTATCTGGTCAAGTATTCAACAAACTTTATTCTTATTCTCACTCACTGGTAAATATATGCATGAAATGAGTATTTTGGTGGCTAAAAAAGTTACATGCACGTCGTGCATGCTCAGTAAAAAAGCTACGTGCACAAGCTAAAATCTACATCCACTGGTGCATGCGTGCACCTGGGTAAATCGAGCCCTTTTCTCATCACTATTCTTTAGATATTTGTCGGTTTATCTTAAACATTTTGCCGACACGGAAAACGGGTTTACCCCTTCAAGTAAATCACTTGATACGCACGTGGGATTCGTGGGAACTAAAACGTCAAAATCCCAGCTGTGTTGTCGTTTGTGCGCTGTGTAGCATATTGATGAAAACATGGCTACTACGAAAACTACCGGTAACAAGGCAAATACTGCCAATAATTGGCAGGCGGATCTAGACCCGGGCCAGGAATGGCCCGGGTTAATAAATTGCTTTTTCACTCGAAAGTTATTCCAGCAAGCATGCAGCTCCTGAAATAAACAGACAACTGATGAGTCATTAAGTTCACAGCTTAACGTAAGTTACTTCTTTATTGCTTTGTAATTTGTACAGTCTGACACTGACAGGTAAATAGTAATTGCAAAGCCGAGGCTAAATTTGAGTATAACAAAACTGCTATGCAAAATTGGTAAACTGCTATGCAAATCAAAATTTGCATAGCAGTTTTGCTATACAAAAAAAAATCCTTAAGGCTTACCCTGATTTGAATACAGTTGTAACTCTGTTAGATTTGTTATCATAACTCTCACAATAATGTAGAGTATTAACAGATGTGACATGATGTGCCAATCTCGTGTTACCTGTATCAACCTTTGACTTTGGGTTGGTCAAAGTTAGAGATAACTAAAAGTATTTAGAACAAGTTAACTTAATGTGTTTTACTTACATGATTTAAAAATGTATGCTTGAATGCAATTAATGTTTACATGCTGTTTTATCTCTTTGTTTTTGTTTTTTACAGTATTACTTTGGAGATGTCAACCTGAAACGGGATCGTTTTCTGCAAGAGCAAGTCAAGGAAGACGATGGGTGTATCCTTATGATAATATACTTCCACTTCTAAAATGTTCATACACACAGACCAGGTGTGACCTGATTCTGCAATGACAACCTACCTTCCTCAATCCTCCAAAGTCCTCCGGGCAGTTTGGAGGGTTTTGGAGGATTGAGGGCAGTATTCAGTGTCGGTTGAGTTTGGAGGAGTGCGGCTGAATGGTGTTTGAAGAAGAGGAGTATTATGGAGGATTGAGGCTGAATGCATTTTGAGAGGCAGGGCTGTGGGAGGATTTCAAAGGGATTGAGGCAGTGGGTATCCTTCATTTAAACAGAAGCGCAAAATTATTGTGGAACTTGAGGATTGAGGATGGTTCCTAGTAAAAAGGGCCTAGGGGGTTAGGGTTAAAGAATAGTTGTGTGTGCATTGAATGCACAAAATCAGCTCTTTATTTTGAGATGTCGCTCGGTTTGATCCCTGATAAATACGGCATTTTGGGAGGGGGGGGGGGGTTGGGACGATAGAAACCTACATGAATGGATTTAAGTTAGAAAATGAACTGTACATGAAAACTGACAAGACTGACTTTTTACTTGGGAAAACCTCAAAGCAAAGATTGAATTTGTCAACCGATTAAGGATTTTCTTTCTTTGGCATCTGCAGGAAAATCGCTATCTAAACCTGCACACACCTTGAAGGGTTGTCAGAAATGTGTAACATTAAATTAAATTTTTATGAGATGTACAGTAGATGAATTCCGTCAGAGGTATTTTTCTTAGCACAGAAACCAGGGGTTCCTCTGGAAATAATGGTCAAATTTAACAGACTCAAGATTCTCTCTGAGGACTTCAATGTCATCACCACGGCTCTGGAGAAGTCTACAGCCAACCTCATGGAAGTAAGCGAAATCACTACGCTAGATCCTAACCAAGCAGAATCCAATATTATCCACCAGTTTGTAAATTAAAGAGAGCCACAATACAGTCAGTGTTGTAGTCGAGTCCTTCACATGTCTATCACAAGTCGGGCTCAAAAAGTAAATCACAAGGCCTTTCATAAGTCCAGTCACAAGTACCAGGGAATGAATGGTAGTAGAGAGATGTTTTTGTCACAGTTTTTGTGAATAGTTTGTGGCCTGACGAGGGGCCTGGATGATAAGTGATTGAGTTGTGATGGACCTGTGATGTACTCGACCACGACACCAAATACAGTGTCCCACCAAGCACTAGACTTGAAGAGGCCAATTGGCAGTCAATTAATAATTCGGATAATTTATTATTTTTTTATTCCAACTTGGACTTGATTGAATAATCAAATATTTGAAACGCGCTGATCAAATTTTACATGCGCCAGCCTAAACTGGCTGGCAATCCGGATTTCTGTGAGCCTATTATTCAGTCCTTCTGATTTGAAAATCACAGGCATGTGGAAAAAGGCACACCTGGATTTTTCTAGGTGTGTGTTTTATCTAGGTGTGTGGTTTTCTAGGTGTGTGATCTGTGGTCCAGGGAAATTCAGGCGTGCAATTATTCACACTTCTCGGGTGTGGGTGTGATCGCACGCCCCAAATCAGAAGGACTGATTATTATTATTATGGTTATTATTATTATTTATTTATTTCTGGTAATGAAACCAAGGATTCCTCAAAAGCACCCTTGGCACTGTAGCTTGCAAGCCTGAAGTTACCTGTAGAGAGGAGACAATAAGAAGAAATGACTGTTTTAGAGGTGGGAGGAAAAGCCCAGAAGAATATTCTGGGAAAACCCACGGAATCAGGCAGGGACTGAAAACCCAATTCACGTGTTTGCCCAGGCGGGATTCGAACCTGGGTTACAGTGGTAGAAGGCAAGGAAAGTACTGCTACACCAACCTGACTCGCTGTGCCTTTGCTTGGCGAAAATTGAAGAAGAAAATTTTTAAAATGATATAAAGAACACTGTATATATGTGTCGCATATTCAGTTTATACAGCTCAGTCCTAATTGGGAACGTTCAAAATCTAAATTGTCACCTAATAAAAATGAAAAACTTTGGCAAAGTTTGCAAATACATGTTGATTGTTTTCCCATGATGCACTGAAGGTAATGCAGGACGTTTTTCTTTTACTAGCGGCAGCCTGTCTGTATTTTTTAAACGCTTTTTATGAATTGGATGATCAGAAAAGGAACATAACAGCTTTTGTGCTGAAGCAACTGCAACATTTTAAAGTTAAATCGCCAAAAGTCCCAAAGCATCTCAAGAAATTGCAGGATAAAAGTGCATTTCAAAGATCCCCTCAAACAAAAGTATTGCATGGGCTCTTCAGTTGGTACTAATTGTGGCTGTTAATGATATTGAAAGTGTTGATGATTCATTTGTGCTTTTTTCTCTAAGACTGATTTCTCCTTTTCTCTCAAAATCCATTTCAGATCAGTGAAGACAAAAGCAAGATTCGCCGTAGGACAACTAAGCCGCTTCCTCAAGACACAACAGAGTACAGAAAGAATCTCAGAGAAAAGAGTGTATACTGTGTAAGTCTGTCAAAGAATTTATATTCGTCTTCCAGATCTCCAAACCAATAACACGTTTCAATAATATATCAGGGGAGTCCCTTGAAAGTACCTTCTAATTCCTGTAAGCCGTGTAAAATTGGAATATAATATTTGAAGGTAGAGTAGATAATTTGCAGCTATGCAAAAAGTAACTGACAAAATTATTGTTGAAACGCTTGCTTATTTTAAAGTTAGTAATGGCAGTAAACTCCCTGTGATATTATTCCTTCTGGCATGCTGTCAATTTGAAGAAAACAATAGAAGAAGGCCATTACCGAAGACGTGTCAAGTGATGCATTTTTTCGGAAATTTCCGTTAGTAGTTGGTTTGTAATTCAGTGAATCTGTGAATGGGTGAGCGCAAGCGTTGAAGCGACGCACACCTGTTTGCTATTATTCGTCAGTTCTGTGCTTGACATCGCATAGCTGCAATCGGCTGAATGAGAACGTGTCCCAAAAGCTGATTTCAGGCGCAATTCAAAACATGACTCTGCAAATTTTGAATTGAAATCGAGATCCTAGAACATTGTTTTCTCGGTATATACAGCATTCACAGAGCTAGAACACATCAGGGTAGTTGTTAAGCACCCGCCTTTTGATTTTCAGCACTTTTGTTGCTTAAAAAATGTACATATGGCAAATATCTATCCTACCTTTAAACAAGACCCAAAAGTCACAGTTAATAGGACATTATTTGTACTCGATGACTTGGTCAGTCAGCCTGTCAGTGACTCTGTCAGTAAGAGGACAATATGCTGGCCCTTCAGATCCGGCAAAAATCAAGCTGATATTAATTTTGTACATTTCAGAAAGGATTTCCATTGGATACTAACATCGGGCAGGTTGAAGAATTTCTGGACAGGTTTGGAGAGACAGAACACATCAACATGAGGCGGGATGGGGACAAGAAATTTAAGGTATGTATTTTTGAAATCAAGAACTTGAGGACCTCAAGAACTTAACTCTGGAACTTTGGTTTCTACCTCAAGAACCTTACAAGAAACTCTTGTCCTTACCTGAAGAACTTAATTGTAGAACTCTGGTTCCTACCACTGGAACTTTATCGGACACTCTAGTTTCTGGCTCCAAGAAACTTTGGTTTCTACCTGAAGAACTTTAAATTAGAACCTTACCCAGGAACCATGGTTCCTACTCCATGGTTCTTAACTCAGAACTTTACCCTGAAATTGTAGTTCCTGCCTCAAGAACTTCATCAAGTAACTCTTGTTCCTGTCTCAAGAACTTTACCTAGGAACTCTGGTTCCAACTTAAAAACTTGCTAATGAAGTCTAGTTCCTACACCAAGAACCTTAGTAAGGAATTCTTGTTCCCACTTCAGGAACATTGCCTCGGAAATCTGGTTGCCTTAAGAAACTTAACCGGGAATTTTGGTTCTTACCTCAAGAACTTTACACATGGGAGACTATTGCACAAACGAATCATGCCATGATGATGTATACTATCTGTCAATCCACTGACTGCACAGTGATGTCAATACACATCTTATATCTGAGCGTGAAAGTGCACTATGTCTTCTATTCTTCTATTGGTTCAAATTAAAGGGAAGATACAACATTTGCAAACATCAAAAACCAAAATGATCAAATTATCACGAAATATCTCACTGCATTGTTAGGGAATGACAGCGTAAAGCATCCTTTAAAGTTGCGGCTCCTGGTGTGCTGACATTTTCAAGAAAAAGTGTATTTTTCCAGCGCTGGTCGGCCGACCAGCGTTGGAGAAAACTGGCTAATTTTTCATATTTAGTTTGTCTGCGTTTTCTTTGCAATTGATTACACACCTGTGAAGACTACAAGCCGGCTAGACTGATTCTCATGATCTTACAATCCCCCAAAGTCTATAAATTGCTCCGGTTCATCTTAAGTGGCATCAGAAAACCAGACTATAAGAATATGATTGGTTTTCTTGGTTTTTCCAGCATCTACGAACCCAAAACGTGAAACAAGTCAGTGTAACAATATTCGCTATAACATACTAATTCAGTCTCCTGACAATGACTAGAGCAGGCTAGTCGAAACGTTGAGACCAAAGACAAGTTCGTTTAGAACTTACAGCAGGACTGTTCTTAACAGAACAAAAAACTACTTAGCAAAGTTGATAATAAGCAGGACAAGTTCTTTTCAGAACTAATATCTTCTAAGCAGTAGTTATTACCACATGGTGTTACCGCAAACCGAAACGATACCGATACCTTACCATGCAAAGCCTCAAATCTTATACTAATTCTCCAAATCCATTTATTTATGAAAATTGCAGCAAAAGCAAATGTTGTATGTCTCAAAAGTCGGAACATTCCCATTTCTTTCAAATTAATAGCTTGGTGATGCTCTGTATCACTCGTTTTAAGCAACATTTCAGTCTTTTTGGTGTTTTTTTTTTCTCAGGGCTCAGTATTTGCCACATTTAAAGACCAGGAGGCGGCTAAGAAGTTTCTGGAAGAGGAGGGCCTGAAGTACGGAGAGACCGATGTCATCAAAATGACCAAGTATGTTAAGTCCTCATTTACAAATGATCTGACAACAATCAGTCCAAAAATAAGCTGTGTAGATGAGGTAGTTGGCCTGCAACAATTAGGTTGTTTATTCAATGAATTGATCCTTGTGTTGGTTATTTGGTTTGTTTTTGATTAATTGAAAAAGAAAATGAAACTGGAGGTTTTCTTTGAAGAGGCACAAGAGCATGTGCCCCCAAAAGACTTTCTTTGGACAGCAAAAGTAAATAGCTGTTTGATTGATTGAAACCATAACTGAAGAGTGAATAATGAACCCTAACTTCCTACTGTCTTTTAGTAAGTACTGGACCAAGTCTGCCAAAAGCCATCAATCACCTTGCTTCGAACGCTTGCTTTGCTTCAGGCCTCCAGGCCCAAGTCCATCATACTCCATCAAAATGGGGGGGGGGGGGGGGGGGGGGGGGGGATGGATTTTGATGGATTTTGATGGAGTTGGAGAGGTTAGGGTCAAGCATGCAAAAACCCAATATTTGTGGTCCTATAAGGTGATCCGTGTAACGGTTGTTTTTCATATTTGATTTTGGAATTTTCGTCCTTGTCACCTGTCAAATGAGACACTTTTTCTATAAATTCTGTCTGAAGTGTATTTCTTCCAATGTGGTAGTATGCCTCATGTATTGTGGCTTTTCCGTGGTCCAGTTTCCGTCGGAAACCGTTGCACATGCAATGATGATGTAAATATCTGTCAATCCACTGAGTGCACAGTGATGTCATGATCTTATATCTGAGTATGCATATCTGGGAACCATCATACATATATTCATTACCATTTGTATTCCACAACTCAAATTTAAAGCTGTACAATTTCTTCATTTGCTGTAGTCTTCTCTTTGTGTATTTTGTTGTTGCAGGTTTAGATATGTAGAGTATTTACATTGTTCTATTCTTTCCTGTTTGTTGTCCTTTTTTTCACAGAGAGGAGTATTTCATGAAGAAAACTGATACAAGAAAACAAAAGAAAGAAGAGGAAAAACTGAAGAAACAACAGTATGTGAATTTTGCATGAAGTCCGTTCCGTTTATTTCTTTTGTAATCTTAAATGCTCATTACTCATTCAAGCTTTGAAAGTTTGAACTCTGAGCACAGGGTCTGAATGCAGGGTCTCTGAATTTAAAGGTAGGGTAAATCATTTGTCATTTGTACATTTTTTTCTTTGCAGCAACAAAAGTTCTCAAAATCTAAAGACGGTTGCTTAACAACTTTTAAAGTTGATGAAGTTTGAGCTCTGTTAATGCTGTACATTCCGAGAAAACAATATTCTAGGATCTTGGTCTCAATTCAAAAGTTACTGAGTCATGTTTTAAATTGCACCCAAAATCAGCATCAGGGACACATTCTCATTCAACTGATTGCAGCTGCGCGATGTCAAGCACTGAACTGACGAATAAAAGCAACCGCAAGTGCGCGTGCATCGCGTCAACACTTGCCCGCAACCATTCACGGATTCGCTGAATTACAAACCAACTATCAGCGGAAATTCCCCCAAAAGTGTCACTTGACGCATCATTGGAAATGGTCTTCTTTTATTGATTTCTTCAAAAATGACAGCATGCCAGAAAGAATAATTTCATGGGAGTTTTGTGTCGTTACTATCTGTAAACCAAGTAAGCTTTTCAACAATAATTTTGTCAGTTACTTTTTGAATAACTGCAAATGATCTCCTCTACCTTGAAGTACGAATTGCCAAAGCACAGATTCAGTGAACGGTATAAACACCGACTCTAAGGCATTGTTCCATCCACAAAAAAAACTATAAAATTGTCTACAAGCTTATTAATTGTGAAATTGGTTTTCTTGCCTAAAGAGGGCGCTCTTCCTCTGTCCCAAATGTGAGGACAGGAGGGAAATTGATCTTGCAATGATGATTATGTAATCTGTCAATCCATTGATTGCACAGCGATGACAAAACTACAAATCTGAGCAATGTATTTCTCGATTCAATCAAGATGAGTAAAAACTTGCGGAATAAGAAAGAATGTTTCCACACCAGGAGGTTTCTGATTTATGCTGCTTCAAATTAAAATCGTTGGTTAGCTTTTCTTGGGTTGGGTTGGATCTTAGTAATTGTGCTGCATTGTAGCCATAGTATGTGTGTTTGAGGAAATAATGTAGTTTCCAGACGCCACTTCTTTGGTTGTTTACAAAGTCTATGGAAGGTAGCGTTTCAAAGTATTATTCTAACAAAACAGAAAATGATTCTCAGTCCCAGATTCATGTCTTTTCAACATTTTTTGGAATGGCTGACCTTCATTGAGATAAAATATGATGAAAAAAGTGGTATCAAGATGCAATATTCTTTCTGTGTTTGACATCGTACTTTTTGATAGAATAAAAGAATAAATTCTAGATTTTCAAGTTTTAGGACATTAACCCTAACTCCCTAGCATGATTTACTAGGAACCATACCCATCCTGGCAAATTCCGACACCATATGGGAAACTGCACCCACATATTTCTGACTTTGATTCTGGAGGTTTGCAAACCCAATGTAAAAGACTGTCAGTTTAGGGGTACTGTTCCCATCCTGACAGATTCCAACAAAACATGCCGTTGGGGTTTGATGGGTTGAGTTCTGTTGGGGCTAATGTTAACATGCAAATGGTGATTGCCGATAGTATCAATGTATTATTTTCTTACCTCAGGGCAAAAGAGAAGAAGGAGAGGGAAGCCATAGAGGCGCAAAAGGTATGTTGAAATTACATATAGGAGGCAGGATGCCAGACTTGTAGGTTAGACTTGTTTAAACAGTGGTTTAGAGTAGCTACAGTCGTGCTATGATGATGATTTGTAATCTGTCAATCCACTGATGCACAGTGATGACAAAACTACCGAAACATCTGAGCAGACATTCCCCACCCCACTGCAAGCATATCCAGCCATATTTTCTTTGTCGTTCCAGTAGATTTCAATAAATTGTTTCCTTTTTGCAAAAAAAATAAAAGTTTGTATGCCTCATTCCCCTCACTGCCACTAATCTATAATCTCTAATGTTTTTCATCGTTTGTTGATTTATACTCCACCACAGTTCATTTCCATAGTTAATTCAAAAGAAAGAATATCTTGTATAGAGAAGTGATACCATTGGGTGGTTGAATATAAGCAAAACCTGTAAGAATGTGCCACAATACAGAGGCTTGCATTGTAGTTGTTAATTTTTTCACACAAATACTTGAAAGGACAATCTCGGCGATCCACAGACCAGTACGTCATGCATGTTGGGGATGTTCAACAACATTGAATAAAACCATCATTATAATTGTAGAATATATCGACCTAAATAACCAAACACATTCTTCACTATCAGATCATTTTGAATTACCTTTTATTTCTTCTGATTTTTTTTTATTAACTGCAAAAAGGCTGACTTTGGTGATTATGAGAAGGGCTGCATTCTGTTCTTCAGTGGAGCTAACGACCAGACATCCAGGGAAGACTTGAAAGAATTATTCTCCGAGTACGGAACAGTCAGCTGGATAGATTTTGGCAGAGGTCAAACAGAGGTAGGCATCTTACAACATGTCAGACCGATGTTCCAGTTAATTAAATAGGAGCAACTACATACCAATTATCAATGTTTTTTAGTCATGAGGAATAACTCTATAGAGTCTAGTCAATGGAAAATTAGTTCATTAAGTTCACCTGTCTGAAACTAAATTCTTTTTGGTTTGCGTGACTCTGGGTGTTGGCCTTGTGACCCAATAGTTAAAAAGTCCCAAAACAAAATTCCCTCACCATTGGGCTATGGATGTTGACTAACCCTACCCCCCTAGAGAATGTACTAGGAACCTTCCTCACTCCTGCAAATTCCAACACTGTATGGTAACTCATACACCCAAACTGTTGGACTCTGATTATGGTGGTATGCCTGACCCCACGTAAAGCATAATCAGTTTACTAGTGCAGTACTCACTCCAACAGATTCCAACAAACCATGGTGTTGGAGTTTGATTGGATGGGGATTGTTAGTGTTAATTCTACCTGTGATGTACTGCAGGTAAAGCAGGATTTGCACTGCCAATGGCATCTTTTTTGTATTGTGAATTAGTTGTGTTAAGCTGTGTTGAAATCAGTTAGCTACGGCTTGCAATAACGTGCACCCATGGAAGCCGCTAAATCCGCTTCCCATTGATGCATGTGTTACTGCATAGCCATAGTCATAGCCGAGTGATTGGGACACAGCCTTAGAGTACTGTTGTCATACACACAGGGTCACATTCGCTTTGACAAAGACACCCCTGCGGCTGGCGTGCTTGAGAAGGCAAAAGCAGCCGACAGCAAACTGACAGTGAGGGGATGTGAACTGGAGACCCGCGTGCTGGAAGGCGAGGAGGAAGAGGAACATTGGGCCAAGATACACGAGAACATGTCCATGGTTCGACTCAAGAAACAACAAGGTATCAAGCGCAAAGGATGCTAAAACAAGTGTCTGTAATTATTTGGGAAACAAGCAAATTTCATGGAACTGCCTCACTGATGGAGAAAAGTTTGTAATCGTTACGGAAGTATTCTGATAAAATATCATGACATAGATGGGTAATTCCATGGTTACTCATGTTACATTTGGAGCTTGTCTTCCATCAACTCTGTGCTGTTATTCCATGAAGTCAAATCATTTAGGGTGGATTTTTCTCACAGAAGATCCCTTGAAATAAAGTGACTGAACTTCCAACAAAAAGTTCAAGAAAATAAACTTCTGTTGTTTTGGCAATAGGTTGTTGTCAACAACTTGCATTACAAGACAAGGACATCTCAAAAATTTGAAAACCCCACGTTTGAAGGTTCCTCAAATCGTGTCATGTCCACTTTCTCATGGAATTGGCCAGGTTTATTAATGCTTGTGTATGCATGGAGATTTCTATCATCACAATGCTTTGTTTTACAAAGCAAATCCTGCCTCTGAAGGTAGTGGGTTCTTTTCTGGGCAAAGTGTCTACAGACTCGATGTTAACCAGTTTGTGCTGGGAATATTTTGATGTTGGCCAGACCCCGGTGTGGGATCATTCAGGAAACTTGATGCTGGACAGTTTGAGCCTCAAACCTCCACAGTGGCTCATCAATTTTCCTTTTTTTTTCTTCCCAAGGTCGCAAGGGTAAATATAGCAAGGGCAGGCCAACCAAGACAAAAGGGCCTCGAGATTCATCATCGGTGCAGTACCAAGGAAAGAAGACTGTCTTCAAGGATGACAGTGATGACGAGGGCGAGGATGATGAAGGGGATGAGGCTGCTGCATCAGGGGATGAAGCAGAGCAACAAGAAGGTAGGGTACCAGACCGATATACATTCATAACGTTTATAATCGGTCATTCAAAATTTGTGTTGCATTAACCTAATAAAATTATCATTTATGAATTCACAAAAGAGTTGTAATCAACTTAATCACAAGTAGCAGGGGATGTACAATTTCAAAGGAAAGCCTTGGTCCCAGATATCTAGAGACCCAAAAGATATGTTGAAATTACACATAGGAGGCAGGATGCCAGACTGGTAGGTTAGACTTGTTCAAACAGTGGTTAAGAGTAGCTACAGTCGTGCAATGATGATGATTTGTAATCTGTCAATCCACTGATGCACAGTGATGACAAAACTACCGAAACATCTGAGCAGACGTTCCCCACCCCACTGCAGACAAATCCCTTGGTCTTGTAGATATATTTAATTAAAAGTACGGTTAGAAAGACAAGTCTTATGTTAATTAAATTTCTGTGGCTTGAAAGATTGGAATATGGTAACTAGTTCCTTGGTTATGGTGCTAATGGAAAAGGTCTATCCTGCATCACAGCCAGAGTTTCATTTGCATAGTAGATGGCATACCGGTACAGCCCTTAAATCTGAAAGAAACTGTAGATGACAAAAATGAAGAGAAAGTCAACCAATTTTTCTCTCCTTTACTTTCTTTGTCCCTGCTCTTCATGTGACTCACAGAAGTACCAGCAGAGAGTAAAGGTACAAAGCGCCCTCTGGAGGAACCAGAGGATCAGGCTGAGGAAGCCCCTGCCAAACAGATCAAGATTGGAGAAGAGACAAGTTAGGACAATTATTAAAGGGACCTCGACTTTTCTGCCAAAAAGCACCAACAAAGTCCAATTGTATTTCGTTCTCCATCAGTGAGCTTTTATACTTCAACCCTGAGTGTAACATCTTGGGAGAAGTTTGTGGAAATGCAATTTGTAACTTGTCTTTCCATATGAGAAATGTGGTTCTGAAAAGAATGAAAAGTGTTAAGCTGCTGAGATCACACTATGGAATCTTTCAGGAACAGTTTCTCTTAGAATTGGTGACTTCAAATAATGTTTTCACAGACCTCTCCTAGGTTGGAGTCTCTGTTATACAAAGCCTTAAATAGTCGTAGGTCAAAACGTTATTGTATATTGGTTACGCAATAGCCTGCTGCCGCGAGAGGGCGTAATCACGACGAACCGCTATCACCCACAAACTGCATACATTTGACAAAACAGATGTGCTCACATGACATATACCGCTACAAGATTCCCAAGACGTTATCGTGATAGCGCGCTCTCGTGGCTGAATTTTATCATGTATCTGATATACAATGACATCGTGACCCAAGACTAAGCCTTCAGTCGTAGTGATGAGTTGTTGATCACCAGATTTGGAAATCCCCAAGTGCAGCTTTTCATGATTTTATGCAATTTTTCTAGGGCGTCACTGATGGTGTATTTGTTCATTCAAACCTAATTTCAAACAATACACAGTGCTTGAATGTTTTGGGCAGTCTACAGTATGCTTTTTACTTATTTTTAAATCTGGAAAAGAAAAAAAACTATCAAGCAAAGAGTTGTGACTGAAACAATTACAAGTAGTGTAATTTTGATATTTCTGTCTTTTAAGTCTATGCTTTAAACATTGATTCAAGATTTTTTTTTTAACCAAAATTGAAAGAAGTTTTAGCTGAAGAATTTCGTAGTCTGAGAGCTAAGTCGTTTCTTTTGCAGAAAATCATAGCAAAGTAGCATAGTATGAATGTTAAGACTATTACGGATACTAAAAATCCCAGAAACGTTGCCTAGGAATGTTTTTTCTGTTCTCTAAAAATATGGCTCAGAAGTTGGAACAGGATAGTTCTCATCACAAATTGGTTTTTTGTTTTAGGTGGCTTATAAAATGCTAATCTGACAAGAAAACGAAAACATCATAGAGCTTAATTTGAGGTCAAAATTACAAGCAATTAAAAAAAATAATTTTTTCCCCCAGAAAGTGTAAATAGTTTTACCTTGGTTATCATGTATCTGTGGGTTATGATTGAGATTTTAATGACTTTCAACTTTGTGTTGCATCGTGCGATTGGCCATGAAATGACAGATGATGCAAACCTTTGTGTTGTCCATTCCTTTTAAGGTTTTTTATGAAAGTTAAAACGCTCTTTTCCATTTTTAATAAAAACAAACCAGAAATTTAATATGAGGTCTCAGTTTCTCATTTTTGCATGTGTGTGTATGTCGAGACTAGTTATTTTAACATGTAAGGTAGCGTTCTTAACTTTCAATCTTCTTTAAATTGATCAATACATGCAACAAATATAGTCGGACACAATGTAATTTTTTTTTTGTGACTTATGTTTGTTTTAAATGCGTTTGCAGTACAGACAAAAAAAAATCAGGCTCGAAAAATCAAATGTTTTAAACGTTCGCATTTGTATTATTTTAAGCCTCCTGCCATTTGAACAGTCACAGACAGTAAAAAAATCATACTCTTCCCCTGCCATGCCTTTTACACAGTCGCCAACAGTTGGATCATATTTTAAGCAAGCACTGTGACTAGTCAAATTCAGTCAACAGACAAAAGCAGGCAAGTTGTAGGCCCAGCTGGCTTATCAATCACCTACAGTTAAAGCATAACTGTAACAAGTTACATTAACAGTCACAGCCAGTCAATCCTACTTTATGTAGGCTGGGAGCTCTTAACTGTTAAAAACAGTCACTTGATTGATTTTGACTGAAATGACAACTTGGCACAATGTATGTTTGCATAAGAGGGTTAATATAAGAAATGCAGGTTTTTCCATTGGTTGGAGATGTTTATTTTAAATGCTGGCTCATACACTTATAGTGAAAATGCAATTTAAGAGTTCAAAAAAACTGACTGAAAAACATTACTATTTTTTTAAATACAATTTGTGGAATATCTACAACATGTTCGGCACAGTATTTCATATATAGCTACGTAATCAGCATAGAAATAGCTTGACAAAAAAATTGACATTTTACATTCTAGAACAGTATTTAGTTTTAACTGTAAACAGATGAGGATGCGATGGGTTACATTTACTTAATACAATGTAGTTATGTAATTTCAAAACAAAAGGCATTAATGTGTAAATACAACTTTCTTAAATTACACAGACTCGTGCATTAAGTGTTATGGAATATTTACAGTGAAATTGGCCAGAGTTGAAATTTTGTCATTATTCTGTGAATTCAAAGAATGAGTACTTGACGACGAAATACCACAAACCAATGCACAAGCCTTAGGAACAGCTCATTTTTCAATAACATGTTGGATTCTGAGTTGGTATAATTTTTATCAACAAATGTATGCATTTGCATACTAAAGCTTAAAAAACTCAAGACTAAATGCTGCTTTGAAGGAGATAAAAAAAATGAAAAAACAAAACGAGTGACAAGATTCATGAAAAGTGAATGACTGTACAGCCACTTTTACTGAGAAAATATGCACAAATGAGGTTAGCTTTTGTTGGACTATAGATACATCAGATCTTATATGTTCGATGATGGATGTACTAATTGAAATGACTATTTTAGAACTTCACAAGTATGGGTTGCATAACTGGTTAACAATAGCCACATACATATTGCAACATACAGCCGGGAACCATTGAAGACAACTCACTACAATCTGACTACAGCACATGGTCTTGGAGGTTTATGTCCAGGGACCAAAGGCTGAGAGCCCTGTTTAACAGCAGAAAAGTTGTCCTTAATATAGCAGAAACTTTTGCTAACCTTAAGCACTATATCATGACATTGATGTGGGCCAATGGAGATTTCTATTGGTAGAGCACCTATTTAAGCAAATGTCAGCAAGCCTTTACCTGTGCTAATGGTCTGCATGGAATAGAGAAAGCCTTTGTTAACAGAAACCTGTGTAGGTTAGAAGTGCCATGAAATTAGGCCCTGGGCCCAAAGTACATAAAAATCAAACGGTTATTAATCCCTAATCCCCTTGAGTGATTTACTAGGATTCCTCACTCAGGCAAATTCCAACACCATATGGTAAACTGTACACCCAAACTGTTGGACTCTGATTATGGTGGTATGCCTAACCCCATGTAACGCATAATCAGTTTACTAAATTCCAACAAATCCTGGTGTTGGAGTTTGACTGGATTGTTAGGGTTAATCAATGATTTTTGGTCAAAATTTGTCTCATTACTCCTTTGTAACAAGGTGATGCTCGTACTTAAAGTGCAAAATAGTGTATTCAACATTGATCTCGTCATAATATAACATCGTTTTGGAGAGAAAGCTACAACAGTGGCTAGTTTCTAAACATGTGGCTGCTGTATTTTCACTGTAAGAACATCGCCAACTGATAGAGCTGTGAGAGTTACATTCCAGTGAACTAGAGCAATTTTAAAAAATATGAAACTAAAACTAGTTTGACTAAATCCATCGTGCAGCAGCATATGTTGGTGGTGCATTATAAATCTATAGTTTTTGTTTAAACTATACATAAAGACATAAGTTTCAAGTATAATTTGTGATAACATAACGTAAATGGATATATTATTTTAACATATACACATAATTTTTATATTAAATTTGGTGCACCTTCAATGGGTTTTATGTAGTTTTGCCGTTCAAAAACAAATGACACAAAGTAGCAGTTGCAATACAGAAAGGCAGTAACAAGTAACTATAGAGTTGTGCTATGGGTATTCTCTGAATGATGTCCCATACCATAATATACTCAACTTCCTGCATCAGCAGGTGGTACAAGCAATTTTTTACAGCGTTCTGATTGGACGTGTGTATGTGACACCTTTAGAACAGAGCATTGTGATCGGTTGCCAGTAACCTTGACTCCAATTTCATGGCTCTGTTATACAGAGGAATTCTCTAAATTACACGCAATTGTTACATGTACAAGGACAGCATATATCTACAATGTATGTGTTTTACTTAAACTCTGGATACTGGCAAATTGAACTGTTTTTCAGACAAGCAGATTTTATGTTGGATATAACGGCGACACAATTTAAATGCTCATTTCAGGTCTCAGTTTCGAGGTCATCCCAACTGAAAGACCTAAATAGTTCAAGACTAAGACAAGACTTGGGATCTGATGATGTCAAGACCAAGACTAAGACCAAGACAAGCAGGGAGTGATCTTGAAACTTGTCTTAGTCTCAAAACCTTCTCCAATAGTTTAAACATAATTTTTAGGACAAAAGATTGCAGAATTGCACAAGTTCATTTGACAGATTATAATACAAGACTAGTACATGTAGGCTTAACAATGATCAATGAAAAGTAGACTTTTTTACAGCAATTAAGAAGCGTTATTTTCCCCTTTACTTTTCATCGTCCATAAAGGATCAAGCGAGCCCAGAGGATCATCCTCTGACTGACTGGCTCCTAACATGCCCCTTTGCCCGCTGAAGTCCGTTTTGGAGATCCGCTGCTTGGATTTGCCCTTCATGGAAAAGTTTTGCGGTGTGAGATCGGCCAAAATAGATGGCAGGGAGCCGTCTGTGGGGCTGAGCGAGCCCTGGGCTGGGTCCCCACCTTCTTGTTGGCTGGACTCCACAACATCCGGGATGAACTGGGGTGGGTTCAGACTAAAGTCAGTCAGGTTGGATTCCGTCAGCTCCACCAGGGTGGGCGGGGCTTGGACAGCTTGGGAGGGGGTGGGGTCGGATGGGCTAAGTGACTTGGCAGGGGAGTCCACTTGGGGTATTTCATCTGTTGCCTTATCCGATGGAATAGCCTCGGTGGATGTTTCAGATTCAGTCTTTGGCGGCAGGAATGGCTCCTGATTGGTTGACTCATGGTCACTGATGGGCGACAAAGATCTCGGATTGGTCAGGTCGTCTTGGAAGGCGGGGCTTGCAGCTTCCTGCACGGGCATGGTCTCTTGGCTGGTGGTCCGGACGGACATTTTGGAAATCCGGGAGTGGAGGCTGGTGACGGAATCGGAGCCCATGATGACATCGAAGGAGGTGATTCTCTGAAGATGTTTGAGATCAACCTGTGGGGATGAAACCGAGGACTTCACCGAAATGCCACCTGTAAGGAATAAATCATTTCAATTACATATTACAGAATTTTGTTTTTTTAAAGAAAATAAACCCAGGCCATGCAGGAGGAAAAAGTGACACGAAGTTAGGGCTGTCCCGAATATACTACATATTCGATCATCGACCAAATAATCAAATAGCTTTTTGCCGCTTTGAATATTCGAAAACCAAAACACTATGCACGCTCACACACAACTGTGATGTTATTTTATCGTAAAGTTTTGGTGCTAAAAGGGTCAGGTGCCACTTTTTTGTCGACGGTAACTTTTTTGTCGACGGCGGTTCATTGTTCTCATCCTTTTAACAGGTTAAAGCCTTTGACAGTTATACGATGCTTACTGCAAAACACTCCAGCAGACCATATCAATCACCGCACACACATTTAAACTGGCACACTCTGTGTGCAACTTTTGACCACCAGCCAACACAGTTGCAGCGGGAAGTTTCGAATATCCTAATATTCGGTCCAATGCAGTTTTGAGTATTCGAATACCTTATTTGAAAATGGACAGCCCTACACGAAGTAGTCTACGAAACTGTTGACAAAGACCATGACTTCTATGACGAGTGAAATCGCAACTTGCTTTGAAATCTCAATTCTTCACAATAGTCTACACATGTTACAAAAAGAATATTGACAGTGCAGCATTACAAAAGAATATTGAGTGATTCAAATCTGACAAGAGCGCTCTGCATAAGTGAGTAACAATGAATCAACGTGAAGGTGGTATGTCTGAATTCACTGACAGCATACAGAGACCACAGAATCAGCCAAGCACACACATTACAGGTATTGAACTTACAGCAAACAGAATCATTGCTCAACTGGAAATTTATGGGGGAAAACACAAACAGTTTAAAACTGGTTCAAACCGATATCAGATACACCAATAATGTTTCAATAACAGTGATTTTTTCCCCAAAGAATTGTGAAAAAATGTCTGTGTTTCTTCAAGGTGTCACCTACTGCCATAGCAAAGAACATAGACTGTGTATTGTGGAGTGTATTTTTAGCGTTTTAAGTTTGCACAAAGATTAACGCAGCAGGAAACAGCGCCACCAACCAACTGGTGGTGCTTCGTTCTGAGGATGACTAGTGAAACTAGTCGAAACGTAAACGAAACTACGTAAGTAATTGGCTGTGTTAATAGAGAATTCATTTACAAAAGATTAACAATTCAGAAGTTTAACAATATTTAGCAAAATTGTTTCAGGGATTTTTCATAGAGAGGATGACATAAACATCTTTTTGATAACAGCAGACTAACGAAGGCTCACTTACGCTTTGCCAGGATCTGCTGTGCAAAACACAAGACTGCCATGTACGTGAACTTTAACTGTTCCTGAGGATATTAAAAAGGGTAAGAAAAAAAATCAAATGTCACAATTTAATTATGTACAGCTGTAATTGTTTTTCTAACAGTTTTGTCAGACAATCTGATTTCACAATACATTCTGAACCCTAGCAGAGCAAAAGACAAATAAATTAGACCAATAAGCCTCTGTACTGATGACGTCACACTTTGTTTACGTGTGTGCTTTCCTATGGTGCTCAGAGGACCGTGAGCCCCCACTGGCTCCACAGGAAAGTGCACGTCAACAAAGTGTGACGTCATCAGTACAGAGGCTTATGGACGGACATAAAGAGATCAGAATGCAACATATGAAAGGGAATTTGTTGAATGCTGCCCTCGACAGACTTCAGGTTTTCTCGTTTACCTTCTCTGCCACCATGCCTCTCCTCTGTTGTCGCAGCGTCTTCACCTGTCTGGGAATATCAACGATGCCTCCCCCGCACATCATCTCTTGAACCGCTGAATAGATCAGGCAGAAGGTCCCCGTCCGACCAATTCCAGAACTAATGGATACAAGGGTACGGAAGTTACTGTAAAAGTGCGGAAAATTTCCACTTTATCAAATATTGGGGCTCATCCCTGGATAAAACATGAAGATTCCCATGGTCCAGTGGTTACTGTGTTTGACTCATGTACGATAGGGCGTGGGTTCGAACCCTGGTGTTTGGTGTTTGTGCCCTTGGGCAAGACACTTAACTAAAATTACCTCTCTCCACCCAGGAGTATAAATGGGTACCTGTGAGGGGTAGAGGACCAAATGTGCGCTGATATCAGGCCTGATTAACTGGGGAATAATTGTAAAGCACTTTGAGATTGTTAATACGATGGAAAGCGCTATATAAACATTACAATTGATTTTTTTTTTTTTTTAGATCCACATGTATGATTGCCATTCAAAAAAACAGGTTTTATCTCTAAAAGAATATATTTCAAACAATTCAGATATATCTGCATGTTGAGAATCAGAAGTAAAAATAACAGGCATGCAACTGGAAAGTAACAAAAAAATAAAAGGAAATTCCAAGCTTCACAAGACTTTGTACAGTGTTTTTCAATTTTTAATGCATAGAGGTTGGTTCATACTCGTGCGAAAGTGTAAGCGAATGCGAATTTGAGACGTCACGGCAAGCATTCGCAAAAGTTGAAGCATTTCAACTCCAACGATTTTTGCAGCGAATGTTTTATGACGTCAAATTCGTTTCGCTTTCGTACATGACTGAAGTAGGAACCGGCCTTGAGTGAGAAGTAAAAAACGAGGAAATCAGCCGATCCCAGGAAAAGTTGCAAGTGGGTTTTTTTCACAAATGTTTAAAGCAATACCTGAACAAACCCTCAGTTATCCATTGAGCACTTAATTTGTAAGCTGATTTGAACCACATTATTAGAATTATGGGGGCTGAGTTTTTATCCATCCTGTGCTTACTTGCAGTGTACTACAATGGGAGTACTCAGGCTTCTTTGCTGCATGTAGAAACCGTTGACGTCACTTATGTACTGTAGAAGGTCTGCTGGTCTGTTTGGGACTCCACTATAAAAAATATGGCATGTTTAAAAGACATGATACAGAATTAACAGTACATCGATACCACAAGGTTTACTCTGTGGCAATAGATATTAAAGGCACGGTCATGTTTGCACCATATAGAGCATACAAGTCTCAGGAGTTTTTATGAAGTCTCACTTTTTTAAATTAAATTTAGATACTAAACACTCATACCAAACACTGACACGTCTAGTCACAGACTCCCGTCTTGACCAAACACGATTGTTTGACCAGAGAATGAGGTCAAAAGTTTTCATTTAATTATGGTCATCGATTTGCAATATTTAAAAAAAAAGTTTTCTTTGGTAAAGCTTCAGTTTTTGCCACAGAACTTATTTGTGATGCGATCAAGCTAAATGAGTCGTTTGTCGACCCTGGTCATTTTTAAAATTTGTTTTTTACAGTTTTGAGAAGAGCACAATCTCAGCATTACTGCTGTGAAAACCGCATGCTCAAACTATCTTTAGTTCAAAAATTATGGAAGTCGGAACACCAAGAGATGTGATGAAGTGATGTGATGAAGTGGCCCTATTTTGGCCTGAATCTCCAAATGAAAGTTCCCGACAAACGACTCATTTTGCTTGATCCAACATTTAATTCCAGGAAAAGTCAGGCTGGGAAACACAATAAATTAAAAGCATAGACATCACACGCATTGCAACTTCTACATGATATGCCAGAAGTCACATATTGCCATAAACTCTAACTTGTTTTTCAAAGTAAACTTGGATGTTCCATAGCACCAAATGTGAGGCTGTGTATGGTGCTATTCAGTGCAACATGAAGTTGAAACTGCCACCAAATATGTAAGGCGTTCTGGCAGAATGAGACACAACCGGGCAGAGGTCGAAATTTCGGGTTTGCGGGTATTAGAAAAGAGAATAAAATTCCCTTTAATACAATACTGTTCGTTGCTCTTCAATTGGACATTCAGTTGACAAGTTATGGCTGTTTAAAGTTTGCACTTACTCACATGTCAAAAATTAAAATACTGAGAAAAGGCCATTAAAGTTTCAAGTTTTGTAGTCGTGCAAATGACAGATGGCAATTGGTTTTCCTTGAAAACACTTTTATTCCACGATTTTTACACTATTTCTTTAAAATATGTGTGGTAGACATATGAAAGGTTATAAATATCAATACATTTGAAAATCAAAAAAAAAATCACCTTTTTTTTTTTTTTTCATTTTTCTCCACTACGACCTATGCCCAGTTCCGTCTCATTCTGCCAAAACGCCTCACATTATGTGTTCCACTGAAAGCACTGTATCCACTGGGCTCACACTTATTGTAGAAACTTCTCACCCCATCACAGAACCCAGATATTTTTTTCCCAGAATTTCTTCAGGGACTTACAATTCTGGCCAGGCAGTAAACTGGTGCTGAAAGACTGTCCTCTCCTGCTTAGTGTCTTTGTGGATCAGATGGAAGGTCCGGTCTGTCTGATGGTCGGTGGTTCGTTTGCTCTGTAAACTGATCAGGATGGAGCCGTAGGTCTTGACCTGCCCCCGCTCCTCGGGCCAGTACTGGTCAAAATCCGCTTTACTCTGGCAAAAGGAAATATCAAATTCTAAGTTTTCACGAAAAATTAGTATGTCCAGGGCTCGTGCGCGTCATGGATATTGACGTCAATGTCTTGCCATCTATGATGCAAAATGTGCTGTTACAGGTGAAGAAAGGAAGGAACACCTGTTTATTGCTCATAACAGTGAAATGTTGCAAATTGATATACACAAAGTTTTATTAGAGGTCACATAATCTATTGTCATAATCAATAGATTTGAGATTTTCTTGCTTAACCCTCCTATGCAAACATACATTCTGTGCCAAGTTGTCCTTTCAGTCAAAATCAATCAAGTGACTGTTTTCAACAGTTAAGAGCTCCCAGCCTACATAAAGCAGGATTGACAGACTGTGACTGTTTATGTAACTTGATACAGCTGTGTTTTGACTGTAGGTGATTGATAAGACAGCTTAGCAACCAGTTTCCTGCTTTTGACTGTTGACTGAATTTGCCTAGTCAGAGTGCTTGCTTGAAATATGATCTGACTGTTTGTGACTAGCCTGTGTAAAAGGCATGGCAGGGGAAGTGGATGGAATTTTTGATTGTCTGTGACTGTTAAAACAGTTGGATGGTTAATGTAATAATCTTTTTAGCAGTAACTGTTTCGATTTATTTTCCTAAAGATCACAGGTGAGACACTTCTCACAAATGTTGATGTCTGTGCACAGATTCTATAGGCTCCAAACAGGAACGTGAAGCTTCCAGTATACATTGGCGTAACTAAACCTCACTTTTGTTCATCCCCTGTTACTTGTGACACAACTTGAGATGGACTCAAATTCAAGACCCCTACTTACCTTGGCCGTGGGTGCCTGGGAGACCAGCATAGCTATGAGAGAGACCTGCTGCTCATAGACCATCAGCCAGAAGTCATTGTAGGAGGACGGTAAGGGAGCCTGGGTGGCAATGAAGTGGGGGGAGGCCGGGGAGAGATCGTTGATGAAGCTTGCGTTGATGTAATCATCCTTGCCCGTCTGGAGCTTGACGCGATTGTGATCATCTACACAGTGAAAGGATTAATAAGTACCCATGCAAAGACCTTTGCTCACTGAGATACTTTATTAAAATATACCCGTTGTGTCAGAAAACGTAAGAGCAGGCTTATCAACTCAAGCGTGAGTTTAGAACATTATTGTCCACAGTCTTCTGCACTTCACAACCCTTCAATTTTTGCAAAACCACTTTTGCTCATAGAGTTAGCACCCACACTTCAAATTCCTTTCAGGTAATCTTCTGTGGAGTATGGAAAACACTTCAAATCCCTGCACAATTCTATTTGTATGGTTAAGCTCAGGGCATCCTTGTTCCATGGCGCCGTATGCATGCTGGTGTGCGCATTGAGAGTTGCGCGTATTGTTCCAAAGAGCCAGTAGCTACAGAGTTGGGTTCAAACATTTCGTGAAGGGGTGGTTTGGAAGAGAGAAATACATTTCCCACCAATTTTGTATTAATATAGAAGTTCATTTTAACTGTAAATCAAATGACAAGGATCTATAAGTCAGTTTTATAAAACAAACATTGAGTGGCTTTAAATTGCGAAATGGGAGGAATATTATTGCTCGGTAAAATCTGGACTTTTCCATTTAACTCGGCTTCGCCTCGTGAAATAAACAAGTCCAGATTTTACCTTGCTATAAAATTCCTCCCATACCACTCTGAGCCACTCAATATTTGAAAACTGACCTGCAGGGTTTTAAAGGGTTTTACGTATTGCTCTGAATATTGACTTCCCAATGTCACTGCCTCTCAAGCAAAACCGCTTTAAAAAGGTATTGACGATCTTACATGGCATGACATCTGGGTGTCTGTTCTTGATGGAGTAGCAGCGTGCGACAGCAATTGAAGATTGCCTGGTGTCACGATCTTGAGCCTCACTCAACTCCTTGTAATGCCAGGAAGAAAAAAACATTACTTGACAGTCAGTGTTGTCTCATTGTAGACTGAAACGAAAAGTGGTTTTGCAGGACTCAAGCCTAAACACTAAATCCTACTTTGACTGATTACTCTGAATGAGTATGAATGTGAATGTTTGGACACAGAGTTTAATAAACATTGGCAAAAATGGACCCCTGTTCTTGGACTACAGTCAGATTTTTAAAGATAATTTTACCTTTTAGGTATCCTGTTGTGTCAAAATGTCAATTTCCCTCTAGTTTTCTAAATTTGAATGCTGCACTTATTTTCCTGTACACTTCTTGGGCTCACACAAGGACTAATATACAACACTACTCATAAAAGACCACCACTACTGTTGGCTACCCTAAATGGTCCATAAAACAAACACATGTCTTGAGACAACCAAGATCAGATTTTGAATTTTTAAGAATGTACGCAAAATGACTTTTTCAATTTCTTGACTGGATAACCGTCGGACACACACCTTCCAAAGTCCATCAAGTACTGTTGGTCCACTCAGCATCTGTTTTCCGAGGCCATCAACGTACTTCTCAAACCTCTCAACCTCATCTAAAAATTTGTCAAGTGTCTGCTTATCATCGTACGGGTCTTTAGACTTTGGGAAGGGTCGGGCTGAGGCAGACTGTCCTGACGTAGAGGATTTTGTGGCTGGACCAGGTATGAGTGGTTTCAATGAGGCCTGGTTGTCTGCCGATTTGTGGGTTTGGGTGGATGTGCTGGGAAGTCCAGCTTGCTTGAAAACATCAGATAACACAGCCTCGTTGGATGAATAAGACTGCGTGGGTGTGGTTGTTGTAGTTGTCAGGGGCTCAGTTTGGGTCTTGGAAGGGGCCTCTTGAGGCGGGGCTTCTGAGGTGTCTGATTGTGGTATCAAAGGTTTACTAAGAGATATCTGCTCGTTGTCCGGGCTGTTTGAGAGCAGATCCCGGGAGCTGGGCTCTACTTTCAAAGGTTGCAGGGAAGGCTGCGGCAGACGCTGCTGCTCTTCCTTCAGTGCTTTGTTGACCTGCTGGACTTGATTCAGAGGGGGTTGTGGTGGCTGTTGGTAGGGCTGGCCCGGAGAACCTGCTGGGAATGGAACAGCGGAACTGTTAGCCTGCTGCACTGGAACTCCTGCATGGGAAGGGTTAGCAATGGATGAGGGACCACTTTGAAAGGGTTGGTTCATGCTGGGTGGCAGGGGATGGTTCTGGATGGGCGTCTGCATTCTGGGATTGGATGGGTTCAAATCTGGTTGTTGGTGGTTACCTGGAGGCGGCATTCTTTGGTTTTGTGGGTTCACACCAGGAGGCAGCTGGGCTGGATTGGACTGGCTGAAATTTTGCGGTGGTAACTGAGACTGGTTTGCATATCCCATTCCCTGCTGGATGCTGGTGAACTGACTACTCTGCTGCTGCTGTGGCTGTGGCTGCGGTTGCTGAGTGTAGGGCTGGCGGATGGCGAGTCCTGCACCAGGATGTTGTTGCAGAGGCTGCTGTTGGCTAGAGATTGGCTGCTGGTGCTGTTGGTGTTGTTGCTGCGGCTGCGGCTGCGGCTGCGACCACACCTGACCTCCAGCCTGTGAAAATGGAGCTTGTGAAGCCATTCTCGGTGGATGTCCCATGGTACCTTGCTGTGGGCCCATGGGAATACCTTGACTAACTGGTGGCTGCTGCTGCCCCGCTGGAGCTATTTGCTGCCCTGTATAACCCACAGGTTGTCCAACATTAGTTGGCTGTCCATTAGTTGGCCTGGCACCTCCGGGCATAGATACAGCTTGGTTTGATGGGGGCAGGGTTTGAGTTGAGCCAGGCTGCTGAGGATGGTAAGTTTGCTGTACTTGAGCCTGAGATGGATGCATTTGTTGCCCACCACCTTGAGGGATGCCTTGAGGCCTGACTGGGTTTCCTTGTTGAGTTTGAGGAGCTGAGAATCGTGCTTGATTTAAAGGCTGCTGTTGGAACTGTGGCGGCTGCTGCTGCTGGTGTGGGTGCTGCTGTTGTTGTTGTAAGTGTTGCTGCTGATGCTGGGGCATGCCTTGTCCAAACCTGGCATGTTGGTTAGGACTGGGCTGTGACTGAACCTGTTGTGGAGGTCTAATATGTTGTGGGCTAGCTGTTGGTGTTTGATTTGCCTGCATGTGATGCTGCTGCTGCTGCCCCATATGCTGTTGGCCAGATTGGATGGAAGTCCCAGGCTGTGGGTAAATCTGTTGGGGTCTATGCTGGGGACTCGCTGTGGGGGTTTGGCTGAACTGTTGAGTGGGTTGTTGGTACGGATGCTGTTGCTGCTGCTGTTGCTGCTGTTGCTGCTGTTGCTGCTGCTGTTGCTGTTGTTGCTGCTGTTGCTGCTGCTGCTGTTGCTGCTGCTGCTGTTGCTGCTGTTGCAGTAGTGCAGCTGGATGAGTTGCTTGCATACCAGGCTGCTGCGACATCCCTTGTTGGTGGCTCATGGGCTGGGAGGTACTCTGCTGTGGCTGTGATTGGTTGTTTTGGTTTGATGTCATCGGATACTGGGTGTTGCTGCCAGGTTGTGAAACCATTGGCTGCTGCGACTGCTGCATTATGTTTTGGTAGCCTGGCTGGGATTGATTCATCTGTGGGGGCATGTTGGTTTGTTGCGGCTGCGGTGGTACATTAGATTGTGACATCATGGGTGGCTGATGCGGCATTTGGGTGCTCGGATGGCTAAATTGTGGATTACCACCTGGGGGTACCTGCTGATGCTGTCCAAGCGTTTGGCCTTCCATCGGTGGGCGAGTAACGGCTGATGGGATGGGAGTTGTGATGCTGCTTACCATGGCGGTGCTAGTGTGTGGCTGAGCTTGTATACCCTGAGCCTGTTGGTTGGCTTGTGGTTGGTGGTCGCGAGGAACTGATGGTTGAGGGTTGCTGTTGGGTGGGACAGATCTGGCGGCTGGATAGCCAGGTTGATTCTGTGAATGCGATACCTGTATCTGCTGAGAGTGAAGTGATCTTGGAGTTGGCTGCTGAGGTGGTTGGGGTGGTGATTGGCTGAATGGTTGAGGAACCATGGGTGGCTGCATCTGAGGTCTGCTAGCCGGCATCATCGGCTGCTGGGAACCAGACTGCGGCATCACGGGGGTTTGGGATTGTGGTAGGCTTCCAGGGTACGATGCACTGGGGTGAGGTTGCTGTGCCTGCACTCCTGAATGCCCAGGAGCTTGGGGATGACTTGGGATGGTTGGAGGGGCAGATGAGGGTTGGCTCATGGGTGCAGAGGGGGTACGATGGGGCATCCTGGACTGGTCATAAGCCATGCTGCTTGACTGGGATGCATGGAGGGGGGAGCCTGGACCTGATCCGGGATGTGCAAATGCTGGGGATTGAGATGGAGGTCTCTGACCGTCCAGTGAAGACAGGCTGGATGGAGAGTCAAAACTTGAGTGCCTTGCCAGGCCCTGGCTGGGATGGGCTCCAGGCTGCATGGTATTTGCGGGCGGGCCTCCGTGATCCAAAGACCCTGGATACTGGCCAGAAACAGCAGCTGGCATCATGGGAACATCACTGACGCTGCCCCCTCCAACTGATGCAGATGACTTGGGTTTCCAGAAATCAGAGAGTTTAGGACCGGCGGGCACGGGATCCACAGGGAGGACTGGCTTTGGCGCGGTGGGTCTGGCTTGCACTGTAGAAAAGGATTACAGAGGAAATGATGTCATTACCTGACAAAATGCTATCAGTGCTGCTGGAATTGGTAAAATCAGTGCTTATTCAGTAAATATTGAGAAAATACATTACACAAATAATCAGATTGGGGAGTCAGATAGGCCAAACAGGGACTTATTTGATTTTAACATGTACTTCCAACTAAATTGCCATCAAAAATCTAGCATTTCCTTTCAATATGGCTTTTTCTGCGTGTTTGCTCTTTTAGGCTCCCAGTATATTCTTCCCCCAATTTCCAGAAGACCGAATCAGTCTTCAAGAGCTCTAACCACTAGTTTGACTGGTCTCGAAAACTTTTAATTACATGTACTTAAACGAAAAAAGATGAATGGTTTACATAATTGGGAAAGTTTCATGTCTGAGTCTTGAATAAGCTGGTAGTATTTTCTTCTTCCCCCGTACCTGGTTTTGGTTTGAGTCTGGCCAAGACAGCCTCTCGTTCCTCCTGCTTGACCTTGATGACCCCGTCGGTTCGGGTCTGGAGCTTACGCAACCCAAGCTGCAACTTATTGTAGAACTCGATGCCTTTATGGGACTTGGCCAGCAGGTCATCGTAGACTGTGTACGATCCTATCAGCTCCTGGATCTTGTCCTCTCGACTAAAAAATTGGATTAAAAATGTCCGCTTGTCACTACATCATTTCCAAGATATTTGTTCACAATGGGTTTTGGGCATGATAATAACTTTAAAAATGGTGGTTCTTTTTCACTGTATGTCGATTAATTTGTTTTAGCTGCTACAAGGCCCTTTTGAAGATGAGTTTCTCTGATAAACAAGAGGATTGAAACATGTAGCATAGATTCAACTGATAATCATATCACTGAATGAGATAGAGCTAACATTATTTTTCATCATTCCTTGTAGAAAGGTCTGAAATCGTAAAACAAGATGACAAGAAGTAAAAGACGGTGGGAGTTTGATAGAAAAGCTCACTTCTTGGAGATTTCGGCGTGCATCTTTCTGGTGTCAGCGTAGGCAGCATTAGCCTCCGTCAAGGCCTTCAGTATGTTCTCTTGGGCTGAGAGATTCTGCTCAATGTAGGTGACCAGTGTGTCATGCTTCTTCATCTCATCTTCAAACAATGCCTGGTATGAGGAGAAATCACAAAATGTTTTACCTTTTTGTCCTCCAATGGAAGATTACAACTTCAATCGGTTTAAAATATACATTTGAATTTAGCTATCCATTCAATTCCTTGATAAGTACCCTTGTAAGCATGAGCAAATTGAAAGAAAAATTGATGATCATTCTTTAACCTTTGGTCACTTGTCATAAAAAGAACACTACATGAAAATATGTAGAAAAAAAACAATCCACAGTTTCAAAGAGGTCTTCCTCTTCCAATTTGTAGAACTTCCTTGTTCTCGAGCGATGCCAACACGAATGCATTCGAAGGTATCATGAATTTAAAAAACATTAATGGAAAAATCCCTTCAGCTCCACAAATTGCAATTGCTTAAAAGATGTCAACATACAGACGTCAGCTTTGCACCTCCAATGATACCTTTACTGTGTTTTATAAATTGTTAAGTGCCCAGTTAATAATAATAATAATAACAGATAATTTATAAGGTGCACAGTATCTGGAGAACCATTCAAAGGTGCCGGTCACTAGCAAATCACTGTGGTTTAAATGATAGCTTGAAAAGATGAGTCTTAAGATGGCGTTTGAATGATGACATATCAGTTGTGTCCCTTAACTCGTCTGGCAAGGAATTCCAGAGACACGGTGCACAGCTGGAAAAGGCCCGGTCCCCCTAGCTTGCCAGGCGAGTTTCGGGAACAGAAAGTAGCCTATCTGTGATGAAGAAGATCTGAGGCCTGGTCACAGGTTGCGAAGTTGTAACAGGTCTCGTATGTAGGATGGAGCTAATCCATGAAGGGCTTTGAATGTAAGGAGCTGGATTTTGAATTGTATTCTGTTTTTAACAGGAAGCAGTCTCATTTCCGTCTCATTTTGCCAGAACGCCTCACAATTTTTGAATATATATGTACAACTGGTTCGTGGAGTGTGGAGTGTAGTGGCCTTGTGATCTGGAGCATTGAATTCTTGGTCTGCGGGTAATTCTGCAGGTTGTGGGTTCAAGTCCAGCCTGGGGTTATGGTATGCTTGCCCTTAGGCAAGGCACTTTGTCACTCATTGCTTCTCCCCACCCAGGAGTAAATGGGTACCTGTGAGGGCAGAGATGCTAATTAAGACTGATTTAAGCTGCTTTGCACTGAAATGGCAGCATCGAGCTGTACACTCCCCGGGGAGCTGAGATGGTCTTTGGAATGTTTCATTGGCCCAATGAGCAGGGATGTAGCGCCTTGAGCACCAATACTGGTGGATACATGCGCTATATTATTATTATTATTACCCTCAAGTTTCCCCCTTCAGTAGTAACGATTCTGCTGGTGATGTCATCGGTGCGAAGCTGGTCCCTCAGCTGAGTCTCCAGACTCACTCTTTGGTTCTTCATTTCATCCACCTTCTTAATGAGCATGCTCAGCTTAGACTCCGCCCCTCTGTCGCTCGACGCTGCGTACCAAAAGGAGTTTACAAAATGAATGGTTAATTTCTACGATGATGAAAGGTAAAAAATGATAACTTTTATATATATATATATGTATATATAAGAATAATAGCAAAGGAATGCCGTTCTCACAGTTGAATAGCTCGTGTTTTGAACTTGTGACTGACTTGTGAGAACTCGTGATGGACTCTTTTATAACACTGCCTTCATTAGGGTCCGATAATATTATGTGAAACTACCATGTGACCCTTAGTTTCCTTGTGATCAGCCATCGCTGCAGTAGGCATGCGTTTGTTCAGCAACCTCGTTGTGCGTTGTAAACTAGAGAGTAGGGCTTATTTTCACATCATATAAATGCAATTCTTTATCATATGCCGTAATGGTCACTAGCTGTGCTGTGTATGTTTGTCATATCGTGCTGTCCCAGGACTGAGTGTTGGCTCCGCATTATTCTCACGGTTTTTTTGCCATCCATCCCAGCTTTGAAGGCTTTCCTAATACCTACTGCACATGGTGCTATATGATCTTTGCCTACACAATGGCGACGCAGACTTTTGGGTACTCAGATGTAAGCCGCGTCACTTAAGTCAGTGAGAGAGCCCTTTACCAGATCTCTTTTGTTGCTGTCACCATGCCCTCCATACTCACATTGGGCATCTTTGATGGATGGCAGGGAGGCCTGTAACTCATCCAGTGGCCCAGCCAGCTTGCGGATATTCTCAATGTGCACCTGCATGGCCTTGTGTAGTTCCTGGTTGGACTTGCTGGCCTTGTCGTGGCCCTCCTTGTACTTTGAGAACTCCTGCTTGATCTCATCCATGATCTTGGTAGGACGCTTACCCCGATCCTTCTGCAAACACGTGGGGAATTTTTTCTTAGAGAGTCGTTAAGCAGGCACATATGGGTGCACACAGAAAATTTTGAGCTTAAGCAAGAACAAGTAAGTCATCAGGCCCAGTGTGTATTTCTCTATCTTAACCGTTGCTCTTTTGGTGTAATTTAGTGCACCCCAGGTGAAGTGTAGTGGAGGATGCTTTGACTCACTTTTGACCCATTTTTGATTTTGGTGTGCATAGAAATACCAGTGACGGATGGGAAGGGCGGGGAAAGGCGCTCTAAAATCCACCTTGGGTGCAAACCAAAACTGGATCCGTCCTTGATGCCTTTACAGGGTGAGTAAAAAAAAAAATGTCGGGACTATTGTTTTATTGAAGTTCTGCATGTAGCACTTTCAAAATCTAGGACATGAAAGCCCAAGTCATAAGCTTTCTTTTAGTACAGGAATCATTCAAATCACTCATGTACTTTTCAAGTTACGGAATTTACGAAAGTTACAAAAGTTCTGTCCACGGATCACAACAAAGGTGTGCGTTCTTTCAGCTAAACCAAAACAATTCACACACATCCGTATGTGATTTGTTTTCGTTTTGCTGAAAGAACACTGAACTTTTTTGTGATCCATGGACAGAACCTTAAAACGGTGCTTGTGATTAAAATTCTGTAACTTGAAAAGTACGAGTGATTTGAATGATTTTTGTACTAAAAGAAAGATTATGAATGGGGCTTTCATATCCTTGATTTTGAAAGTGCTACATTCAAAACTTCACTAAAACAATGGTCCCAACATTTGGGTGTCATTTTTTTTTACTCACCCTGTAGAGGGCTTGTCTGTCAGTCAACTAGGGGACTAATCTGGAGGGATAAGGAGGGTCTAGGAAGCTTGCTGCAGACTTGGTAAAGAGGTAGATATTTGGGGGTGGTGCCAAAAAAATGAAGAGAAGTCGCCTCTTGGCAAATATTTAACTGAAATGGAGGGAGTGGTAGAGCAATGATTAAGTCTAATTTGTATTGACTAATCTCACTTTGTTTCGAGTACTTGGAACCGAGACGAGGCTGTAGCAGTACTGACTGGCTAGGAGCTTTGGCTTACCTGGAACTCAGATTCTTGTTTGTCCTCTCCATCTAGAATTTCTTGCAGTTCCTTTACGTCAGCATCGACATCAAGAACGACGCTGGACAACTCTGTCCATAAAAGTAAAATGTTTCAGTGATGTTATAACTCTTGGACATATTTTTTTTAAATTTTCACAAATCAGCAAATCTGAATGAAAAAGGTACTGCTTTTTAAAGGTTTTCTTTGGATAAATTTGGTAGTCAACAGTTAGCAGAGCATGATAAACCAAATACCCACAAGAAAGTACCATCATTAGCCCTAACTTTCCTGGATTCTCATAGAATTGTGCCGGCTTTAGGACGGTAGATCTCAGCCACTATTACTTTACATGAGGCTTGATATACCCTTCAGGAAGGTTCCTGGCAAAACAATGCCCAGGCAGTTAGGCGTTTAAGCACTAACACATGCATTTACGCAGTTAACAAATCTGGTATCTGCGGGCAATACTCACCTTGCATGCACTGAACGAGTTGCTTGATTGGCTCCGTCTTGACACTGAGGGCAGCACACACCTCCAGCATGACCTGGGGCAGTCTCTCGGGCTCATCTGCCCCGTCCAGTTTGAGTTGGTCAAGTTGTAACGAGGCCATGAACTGTCTGCGTGTAGAAACCACATTACGAAACATTATTCAAGCTCATCAAAAAATGAAAATAAGCCAGTTTGGTATCTTGAGGTAGTCCAGGTCAAAGGTCATTCAGGATAAAATCGCTGACGCGATGTTAAGTCATGTTACATGAACACACATTCTACTGGCAACTAACACGCGAGCGTCGTGCGCCCATCTCCCTGCGCATTCATGCGCCTTCGAATGACATGTGACCCATATCAGCTGAAATACTGAAGCAGCTTATTTAAAGACTCTGTACAACATCCACTAACAAAATAGCTTGCTTGATTGAAAGTAAAAACAGTATCAATTAAACTGTATAATCAGAGCATCTGGTGTACTGTCATTTTCAAGAAAGGCGGAATTTTGTCAGAATCTTTTTCTAACTATCGCTTAGCCGAGCAATCATTAGAAAAAATGGCTTTTAAGGCACAAATGTGAATGTCAATTTTTTTCCCATGACTTAGCCGGCACTCAGGCATAGCATGTGACAACTGACTCTGGGATTTTTGAAAGATACATTTAGTTAGCTGCTCTTTCATGTTTGAAACAATCAGTGGTTTTTTTCCCTCCTTGTTTTACCAGCACCTTTGCACACTAAACACTAAACAAGTTGCTGGAACGATATCTGCGATAAATTATTTTCCCAAAAACCCATCCAACTCTTGCATTTGCAGCAAAAGCAAATGTTGTACTGTAACTTTCAAAGGAGCTGGTTATTAAGAACCCAATGCTGCCTGTTCGGATTTAACTTACTCAAGGTGTTTGGTCTTGTCTTCGATTTCATCTCCGATTCGGCGTAGCAACTTGGCTTTTTCTTCACTGTACAACGAGGCTGCCTCGTGGGCCTCCATGGGGACCAGCTTCTTGAAGATGTCTGGGCCTGCTATGCTCTCATCATAGGGTTGAAAGGTCAAGGCTTTGACCAAGGATGCACCTGTTCAGGAAATAGTGTTCAAATATGCAATACATGTATGTTCATTTGAGGGACCAGGCACGAAGTAGAACATTTCTGTTTTCTTCACGGTATGCGGGCCTAACGCCCAATAGTGTGTGGTTATGCAACAACCTTAGTTTTACTGGAACGCTCGGGTGGTAAGGGGAATCACTTCACGTTGGCTCAGCACGGACTACACACACGCAATGTTCTCGACCACTCCCAAGCCATAACATATCGTAGCGCATTGCTTACCGTATTCAATCTACAAATATGATTAGTGCATATTCATAATACAATTAATCACGCATACTTCACGCCATACGCTTGCCAACCAGTGTCCACATACAATGTGTCAGCTTCATCTACTGTTCGTGCAAGGAGTTGATAAAACCCTACCTTTGATTTCGGGGAGGTTCTCAAATGGAGGCACTTGATCATGGTACACAAAATCATTATCCTTCTTTGCTGCCTGAAATTTTCCCGAGACCACGTCTTTGGTGAAGTTGAGGGCCTCTAGGATGCCCTCGTGCACTCCCTGCAGCAAAACAATCATTGTGGTAAAAACAACAGTGACAAAGTTTCTGTTTCAGCTGTCAGTAAATAGAAACTTTGTTCTTAATTCGGCATACACTTGAGTCGCAAGTCCATGAATTGTCCCAAGATTAGTAACTGACGATGACTAGAGCAGGCTAGTCGAAACGTTGAGACCAAAGACAAGTTCTTTTAGAACTTAAAGCAGGACTGTTCTTATCAGAACAAAAACTACTTAGCGAAACTTGATAATAAGCAGGACAAGTTCTTTTCAGAACTAAATATCTTCTAAGCAGTAGTTATTACCACATGGTGTTACCGCAAACCAAAACGATAAGATTAGTAACAACAGTTGAAACATTCGCGCAGGAACTGTTGCTCGGATTTGAGTTTGCACTGAACTTTTTGTCACAACTGCGCAGAGGATTTTAACATCTCTGCCTCGTTTCCCTTTGCACTTTTTTGGTACAGCAAAAGGGAGGATTTTTTTGCGTCAAAGAGTTCGGCATTCAACAGACATGGGCAAAGAATTTCAATGGTTCGCTTTCAACAAATGCTTGAAAACCAGTTGCCTGGGTGATTTCGACGATCCGCTCGCTAGACAAATCACAAGTCGATATCCTCCTCAGCTTCTTCCTCTTCTTCGACCTCATCCACGGGGTCAGATCTTTTGCCCTTTTTCTTCTTTTGCCCCAATAAGTAGCCACAGTTCTTAGGCAGTGTCAGAATTACTTGGCTACGCCCAACCATAACACACGTGTCTTGAGAAGTGGCTTCCATAGGTACATGCGTAATAGCAAGCCACAGCCAAGTAATTTTGACACAGCCTTACCTTGGATAGTTTCATGGCTTCATTGTGTCTGTCTACGGCTTGCTGCAGCCAGCTCACCCTCTCCCCGTGTTTCTGTTGTTCATCTGCTTGATTGCTCATGTACATCTGAAAGAGACCAAAAGTAAAAGGGGTCTCACTTGAAAGAACCATCGAAAGGAACCCAGAACCTTTGAACTGTCATTCAAGCGCACACTCAACAGGAGCTCAAGGAGCAATTTACCTTGAATTTGCAAAGAACAATGAGACAGTTTTAATCTGTTGCAAGACACTCTAAATACTTTCTGGCTAAATGAGACTCTGGAATGCAGTCTTCAACACACTTGAATTGTTTAAGATCGTGAGCTTACATAGGCCACACTCAGGAAGTGCGTAATCTTGACTTGAACGGTCTTCCTCCACGTCTTGCTCCTCCTGGACCCCATCAGACTGCTGATGTTGCTGTCTTCAAGGCCCCTGAGTGCCTGCCGGTAGTACTCAATCACCTGCATGCTGATGCGGGACACTAGGGAGCTCTTGCGGTTGTCCTGCATGGATTTCTCCAGTAGACACTCCTGGGCTTGGCCCTAGAACAAAACAATTCATGAATACAGCACATTTTTTACTGGAGCTGAAGGGTCAGCCTACTGTCCTTTGACTGACTGAGTCACTGAGTGTAAATAAAATCTTAAATTTTCATGCTGAGGCTATCAAATGACAGGCCAGTTCATACTTCATGCAAATGTGAAGGTGAATTTGATGCCACAAAACTTTTGCAGCAGAATTTGCCCGAGTTGAAATGAGTTTTCGCTGTGCGAAAATTTGCTGTAGCATCACAAATTTGTGTTCGTGTTTGTGCTGTCGAGCCGAGTGTGAACTGGCCATTACACTGACCAAACTATCCAACAGACCTTTGGGGCTAGCTATCAATTAATAGACTAATCCATTGAAAGAAAAGAGAAAGTCATTACTGAGGTTGAGCCATGTTTGAGTGCATGGCACATGCATTCTTAAGGTTGAGGGGTACGTGCCAAGGAGTGACATTGAGGAAATGAAAGTCCACAAAATAATTGGCAGAGAGTTTGAGAGCTGCTGAGGGGCCCAAAGCATCATAGGGTCTATGGTATACATTAGCATTTTGCCTTAAGGCACCCCTTCAAATGCCTGTTTTTTTTGCCCTATATAAACATTTATGAGTAAAAACACCTTTACAGTAAAACTTCATGAATTTCAAATGTGATTCTTTAAAAATTCAGTCAAAGATATCCTGACATCAGGAAAAACACTAAAAAATCTCACTGCACTGAAGGAGTATTGAGTACACGAGCAATGGTTCAATCTCAACAATGGTTTCAAATTGAGGCAGCTGAATTAGTCTACAAGGTTTATAGTGAGGCAAGCCTGCAGGAACATACTGGGTACTGGGTCCTGGGGTGTACATTTATGCCTAGTAAAAGGGGCGAATGCTTAAGTATATTCCAGGACTCCTATCCAAAAGGTTAGGGTTGCCGCAGCACCCACAGCACCCCCCGTTCCCGCGGGCTTGAAGAGAGGAGAGGATACATACCAGCATGAGGTTGATATAGATTGTCATGAGATCAAATGAGATGTCTGGACTCATGTAACTCTGGAAATGGTCCTTGAGGTAGCTGAATGCCCCAGCAGCGCACTGGAAGTGAGTACAGGCTACCTTCATCTCCTGTAAGAAAGACAACATCGTCCATGAACATGTTGATAACAAATCAAAGTCTCATATGGTGAATAACTAAAGAAAGGTTCTTTGATGATGGTCATTATATTTCACAGGATAACAAGTGTATATCCTGTAACGACAAATTTCTGCGTGGCGGGCAGATCCATAAGTTTGGACAGGACATTGCTCAAATAACAATGCTTGATAAACTCCAAAGTTTTGCTTCTTACGGCAAAACAAGGTGGCTTTGCTGCCTGTCGCCCACATCACAGGCGTGTAGCCCGTTTCACGGGCGAGTCGCCCACTTTGCGGGTAATCAACTCATGAAGAGTTCGCCAATACACACACACAATACACATACACACCCTTTGCGCTTTATTGTACAGCAGTGATGTGATGCTTCTGTACATGACAATGGTCCAAAATAGAGCTAGAATTCCCAAACTAAGAAATTAAATTTGGGAAAGTAAAACTGAATTCAAACTTAGCGACAAAGCCAATGTTTGAAGAAAGGCCTATTATAATTAACCTTGACTTCAGAACAATTCTCATAAAAAAATTCTCATGAAAAACTTAACAAAATTTGGAGTTATGAACACCACAGCAGTTTGGGCCAACATAGGTAAGAAACAGGTACGGGGATGTTCTTGCCGTCCACCCCTCGCCTCCCTTCCAGGTAACAACCCCCCCCCAAACAACCCCCTGTGCCCATGCAGCAATAGTACATGAAAAAGAGAGTATGTACTAACCTCTTCGCTGGCCCGAGACTCCTTTGCCCCCAAGACGGAGTGGAGGACTCCCAAGTTGTAGAGAATGCAGGCCTGGTCAAAGGCAGCATCAGCATGGGAGAACGGCTCCTCGTGAAAGGTATCAATCCTGCCGTCGTGAAAGAGGAAATTCAAGACATTTGGTATTGTAACAGCTTACAGTTATTTTCATAAAAGAATCCAAATCAGCCAAGTATCCCAAGCAGCCCTGGTGTAACTATTACACTCACATGTCAAGAACACGTCAACTTGTTTAGTTACTTACTAGTCAGACAACAAGAAACGGGATGAGCACAAACAATCACTCTTCACTGGAGCAACTTGTCTAGTGACTTGAGACAGGATGACTTAAAGGGAAATCAAAAAATAAAACTACCAAATCATATGAAATACCTTGCTGGACTGTTAGTGAATGACAGTGTAAAGCATCCTGTAAAATCATGGCACCTGGTATACTGTCATTTTCAAGAAAAGTGGTATTTTTGTATCAATTTCCAACGCTGGTCGACCGACCAGCGTTGGAAAAAACTGGCTTTTTTTTTCAAATACTGGCCCCAATTGACCATCACACTTGTTTGCAATCGAATACACACACCTATGAATGGGTACAAGCCAGCTAGACTGGTTCCCTGACCTTACAATTCCCCAATGTATGTAAACTGCTCTGTTTCTTCTTATATGGAGTCAGGGAACCAGACTACAGGAAAATGATTGTTTTTCTTGGTTTTTATAGCATTTTCGAACCCAAAACTTCAAAAAAGTCAGTGTAACTATATTTGCTATATATTTTCAACCCCCCAATTCCATCCATTTCTGAAAATTACAGCAAAAGCAAATGATGTATATTCCCTTTAAGGTTCATACTCGGCGCGAAAGCGAACGCTAATTTGTGATGTCAGGGCAAGTTTTCGTTGAACACATTTCGACTCCGGCGAATTTGGCAGCGAAAGCTTCATGACGTCAAGTTCGCATCGCATTCGCATGAAGTATGAACCGGGCTTTACACTGTCTTGATCACAACTAAAGATACATTTTACATCCGCATAAGCCCTGGTTTTTAACTTCAAAGTTTCAAATGGACTTTTCTTTAACTGTTTGCACCGCACAGTGAATGCAAAGTGGTTTTAATATGAAGCAAAGAACTACATGTAGACTGAATGTTTTGTTCTTTCAAAAAGATTGGTCAATCAGTAATCTATCAGTAGTCTGGTCGCATGAGTGTGAACACAGAGTATAGAAATATGGACTTGGATTCAGTTGTTTCTTTTTAACACTTTACTTGTGCAGTACATAAGAACTGTTGGCCTGGTTGCTCCTTGCACCAGTCTATTTCCTTTTACAACACTACACCCACAGATTCTGTATATTGAATGGCCGTATCTCTACTGTACTGCTGTGCACAGCCAAAAAGCCTACACAACGGCTACCTCGGTTACTCGGTCTGAAAAGTACTACACGCAGAGATATCAACGTAGCAACAAGCATGCAAAACATGCATACGGGTGGCGTGTTGCGCGTATTGTCCCCACATTCTACAGAGTTGGGTTCAAAAATTTCATGAAAAGGTAGTTTAGAAAAGTTCAAGTTTCAACTAATGTCATAAATGTTCATTTTAATTGGATTTTGGTTAAATTAATCAGTTATCTCTGTCCATGACTTTCCATGACGGCTTTAAATTTCTGCATTCTCCAGGATTTTTTGAATGACTGTAGGAACCCTAGGTGATGGAAATTTGAAGATTCAGGAAGGTTCGTGGTACCAAATCCCAGGGCGTTAGGGGATAAGCAAGGCAGGAGTACCAACCATGTGAAGATAGGAGCTGCCTCTCCACCGTCTGTGATCGGGAACCGGCTGGTCAGCAGGTGCAGCTGGCCATAGTATTTCTTCAGGGTGCTGATACCGTTAAAATCTCGCGACACGTTGGTGGCATTCTAAGAAATATTTGACAAAGTAAATCAAAGTGAATCATATTATTATTATTAAGCAATTAGGTTTTTGGATACCATAGCCAAAAATACAAGAATTCTGACACAGCTGTGTAGTGGCGCTTTATGAAACAACAGATTTTACTTTGCACGTTGCATAAGCACAACAAAAGAGTCGCGAAACTTTTTTTTACTCTAAACAAAATCATCAACAAGATTTAGAAAAAAAAGAAGGCTATGCCATATATCTTAGCATAACTTAAGAGTTCAAATCGACAAGTTATTCATAAGCCAGCCAGAAATAAAATGACACGTCAGTTAAAAAGTAACAGGAAATGCTTCTTTTACTGTTCATTCGAATAGCTTGTGTCTTGGCTTGGGCCTGGATGACCGATTTGTCAAATCTTACTTTCAGAGGACAGAGTGCAGACTCACAACAAACATTTGTGGCTTTCTTCCCGCAAAATAATCGTGAAATTTACCCAAGGCTACTTACCGCTCTCAGCTGATCCAGTTGCTTGATTTCTTCATTGTATTTGTTAGGATCTTCCATATAGTGACCCTGAATGTACTGCAAGTGTAAATTTACACGTAAGTGAATTTTAATAGGCTACAAAATTGCTTGATGCACAAGCCAGACCAGATGGCTGTTTACAGTATTTTGAATATCTCAACACATTACTAAACACGCGTTGAGATTTTCAAAATACTGTAAATAGCCGTCTGGTACAAAGACGCCTGTCTTGTTCCCCAAACTACAACAGTAGCTGAACGTTGTTATACAGAGAGGGCACAAGACTAGTAAACATGCTCGAATGCTCTGTCATCGGTACTCATCACATTCAACCGTCAATTCTGCGCATAAAAAAAAGTGGACATATTTCTCCTTATTTTTCATGCAAAGGAAACACTCTTTAGTAACCAACTAAACAGCTGATAAATGCATACTGGTAAGATGCCTGCAGGAGAGATGAAACGGCTCCGAAAAAAAAATCCATTTGGCAAGCTGCTTGCAAGATTTGTCAGACTGTATTTTGACCTCTTTTGTCAGGAATGACATTTGAAAAGTTGCAAAAGACCTTTCAGTTTCACAAAGAATCGCCAGGGTTGTTGCCGATTGTTTGCATGGCGGCAACCAGACTGATATAGTCTGGCACCATATATATATAGTGTGCGGCTATATATATAGTGTAATGTATGCATTATGCGGGCGCGCTTGGGCAAGATTATGAATATGCATTGCATTTCATGACGTTTGTCGGGCGCGTGGCGCGGCTGGCCATACAAACACGAGGTCATGAGCTGAATAATGCATATTCATAATCTTGCCCAATCGCGCCCGCATAATGCATACATTTATTACAATGCAGCCGCCATTTTGAAATCGCATGTAGGACAATTTTCGGGACGATTTTCGTGGGCGATGATGACTGAATTTCATCTTTTGGCCAGATGGATGAAGATTTTTAGATAAAAGAACGTTTTTTCGAAAAGGTATGAGTTCCTCTACGACTAGGAACCTTAACTTTGGAAATTTCTGTCCTGGATGAAAAGATAATCTCGATCAAAATCGGTAGCAAAATCGCTACATCAGAGTTCAGCGTGTAGGGGAGCATTGGCGGTCTGGCCGTACTACAGAGCTTGCGATAGGACTACTGTACGGCCAGATGCAGTCGGGCTACTGCGCATCATGATGTTCAGTGCATATCCAGCAAGCTAAACGTTTACTAAAGGTTTGCCGTCTCCGGCTAACTATCCACTGCCTATTATTAATTAAATATTTTAATGATAGGTCTGGAAAATTTAGAGTTATAAAAATAGAAATGTTTACACTAAAATTAAAATGACAATGCAGAATGTTGATGTTTTCACAGACATTTAATACCGACCAAGTCTTGAGTTTTGCCATTTAAATTGTTAATTATCTCCAAAACGGAATCACCTATGAAAATGATTGAAACGTTATTCATTTAGTTGTATAATTCTCTTTTCAATGATACTAAAATTGTTGATGATTTCTTCAAAAACATGAAAATCCACCGGACTAACTAATTAGTGAGTGGCGAGTGCAACTGCAAGCACTGCCACTGACACTGGCTTAGTACTGAGTCAGTGACAGCACGGTAGCTCCATGTTCTGATCGTGATCAATTAACAATTGTGTTTAGCCACGGAAGTTGTCTTTACACCTAAAGTAACAACCAAAGAAGTTACCCTACATAAGGGTACCCAGAATAGGTCTTACCTGTCTGAGATTGGGCCCGAATTCTACTTTTTCCAGGCTCCATTTTAGCTCTAAACTGAGCATAAACATTCGAGGAACGGCTTCCATTTTGATGTTTCACTGCAAATAGTCTGGCTACGTTTCGGTCTTGTTGAACAACCTCAATGCAATGTTATGCGACTTAACAGGCACCGAACTGTGTGGTGGTAGACTTTATTTAAGCCCGGTTCCGTCGATCGTGCTGTGCTAGCCTTGTGATTATCAGGTTAAATTATGCAAACACACTTATCCCTATCATCCAGTTGTCTATGAAATAAAACTAATTTACTTTTATATTAACAACATGAAGCCATAAAATGTACCACATTCTGTGTTAATGTTTCCCCACATCATGCATCGAAACCTAATAACGAATCGGCCTTGGTTAAGACTATCAAAAAACGCTACGTTTGGGAAGCACGCCCTCTGTATGAGTCACAGGTGCGTGATCGCTACGTCAAAGTTTCAAAGGCCACGTACAACTCCATGACTGTATGTACTGAGTCAGCGAGAAGAATATCGAATCATTTATTTCCTGTTCGTGGCAAAATGAAAGGGTAATAATAACAATAAAAACAAATATTAAAAAGGTATATTGTTAAGGCATTTAAAGGCCCCTAGAGCATGGAGGTATTCCGCCTCCATGCCTAGAGCAAAGGGATAGACACAATTTAATATGGGGAGTGTATAGCCAATCAGGACCCCCCTCAGCCGCGCTGACATGATACCGCTGGCTTAGTAAAATGGGGCCAAAAATGATACATGGCCTACATGATGACATGCATTCGTGCCAACAATTCAGCGGTAAATAGACACGGTTGGTATGAGAGGAATAGAGGGAATGACACATTTCTTCATGAATCAAACAAATATTGGAAAAAAACCCCCAAATATTTGTTTATTTTGTTTCTACATAAGGCCAAAACAAACAGTTCTGTGCGGGTAGGTAGGGAATAGTTTTGTTGGCAATTTGTTTGGTGTACAATCTAGTCATGGTTCGGCGTAGCGGTACTTTACTCGCCTTCCAACGCTGTGACCCGGGTTCGAATCCCGGTTCGAAGTGTGCCAATATGTGTATTGGGTTTTCAGTCTCACCTGATTCCGTGGGTTTTCCCCCAGAAAATTCTTCTGGGCTTTTCCTCCCACCTCTAAAACTGTACTTTCTTCTCAATGTACGCGTCTTCTCTCCACTGTTTCTTCAAGCTTGCGAGCTACAGTGCTTAGGGCGTTTTTGAGAGATCCTTGGTTTCATTACCAGAAATTATTAACAATAATAATACAAATAATAATAATAAGGTGTCTGCCGGTACAGTTAGGGTATACTGACCGGTAGAAGAGGTAATACTTGATGATTTTCTGGATTTTTTCTTCATTTTTCCAAATAAAAAATAGGGTATAGGCTGTCAAAATAGAGTAGGTAGGGTATGGAGCTATAACCGGAAGTAAAACTGTTATTGTTTTGGGCCTAAGTACATGTAAAATGTATTATTCACTTTCCACGGCACATTCACAAAGAGCGCCTTGAGTTAAGTTTAACATCGTAGGGCTCCAGAAACCCATTTAACTCAAACGGCCTTGGACTGCCCGTTCACCATAATGTCAGTGACCTAAAAAATGCAAATTACAGGCTCTGCGCAGAAACGATTACGTAACAACTGGAATGGATAGAAGTGGACCAATCCATACTGGACATTTCGGGGTGGATCCGAAGGAGTGGGTGGAGGGGCGAAATACAGCACCGAAATGGTGGTCTAAATTCCAGCGTAATGCCAAGAACGATTTGAAGGAATGAACACTTGTTGCTCCCGACACAGTCCAAACTTTAGGAGAAGAATTTCGGTCAACAAAATCAAGGGGAAAGTTTTCTTAATCATTTTTGGTTAGGTCGTTAATGTAGCCGTGACCTCACGTGTCCTGCTTAGGAAACCTCCCACCCCCCTCTTCACCCACACAAACTGCACTGGACCGGTACTGATTGGCGCAATGAAGATAGCAGCTTCCTGCGCTATGGGGGAATAACAACCCAGGAGGCAGCACGGAGGTAGAGGTGCTCGTGGCTCGAGAAGAACTGACCCTATTGTGCCACTATCGAAGGGCTGGCCTGTAAAGATCAGGACACAGGCGAGGGAAGATCACATCGTATTGCTGCGACCCTCACCTTGTACGCGTGTGGTACGGAGACAATCTCGACCAACCCAGCTTCTTGAGGATCGGATTCTTTTCTCTCTCTCGTTTGTCCAGAGGTAGAGGAAAAAGATGGAACGTTCGATGACAAAGTACAAGTTTGGTAAGGCTGTGTTTCAGTTGTGACTTTTTTTTCTGTGAATTTGTATTTATCCCGGAAAATATGCCTGTTGTGATCTCTGAAGAGAAGATGGTTGCGATGAATTTGGATATTATTTTATTCCAAGGTCTTTGTTAGTAATTCGGGTGCCGCGTGCACTGAGCATCAACAGGGACTAGAAAAGCGAGATTGTCATGTTCCATAAAGCTTAAAACTGCTTCATCTTATTCTTCACAAGTTCAAATCAAATATTGAGTCTAAGCCCTAACCAAAATTTATATATGTGTCATATGGTATTTAAATTACATACATTAAAAAAAATTATTAAATAGCAATACACTGTACATCTTTGGCCACCGGCACCATACGCCACATTTTCAATTTATCAATTTAACATTTATGTCGTGGTAGATTGGTTTGAGACGGCGAGGCCTTCTCTGCCTTTTTTGTGCAGAGGAAACTGACCTACAAAATTACAATGACGGGAAAAATTGGAAAAGTTAAAATTGATGTGAAAATTGGGAAAAATCTATCATTAGACTTTCTTTTGTTTGTGAAAGGAAACCCTGTGCAAGACACAGTTTTGATAATGAAAATGGGGATCATGGATTTTATCGAAAACGCTGGACATTTTGAGTGGAGCATTTAGCTTCTTGTCAGAGGCCACTGCAGATAGATGATGATGATAATGATGAAGATTAAGAGATTTTTTTCACGTTCGCACTCATCGCCGGTGATAAAATTCCTTCTCATGCCAATCGGTCAACGTTTTGCACAGTTTCGTGTCGTTTTCCCTCTTTTTTAAATAGAAATTTGACCTGCTCCGAAATATCTCAAACTTATATCATTTATATTACTTTAACAATATTGAAAACGCGTACGATCGAAAAAAAAATCAGCCTCTAATGAATGCATGAAAAGAGGGTATGGTGCAAGGCTAATGCGAAAATCAACACAAAAGGCAACAACTTCAATCATGGGGAAACATATTGAAGTGGTATTGATTATTGATGTGACATGACGTATGCTCTAATTTAATAGGTCCATGCGCGCTCCAGAAATGGCTCGCAATAAATCTCATTAAATGTACGCGTGAACAATGTGGCTCATTTGCATGACAAAGTGGTTGGCAACGCGGCACTTGTGTGTTGCATGGTATGTAAAGCAGTCAAGCAGTCAATACATATGCTTTATAAGAATTGATATTTGATTTTAACATGGGCTCAGACAACCTGAAAATGATTTCTTTCCACAACGCACTTTTTTTTCGCTGGCACCCTTTACTTTGTTGGTAAATAGGAAAGAATGTAGTATCCATGACGCCACTTCAGCAAAGTCTATGGAGAGTCTAGAAATTTGTCCAAGCATATTTCCTAACAAAATTGAAAACGTTGCTCAGTCCCATCAGATTCATGTCTTTTCAACTTTTTTTAAATGACTGGCCTTCATTGAGATGATATGAAGAAAAACAGTGGCGTCAGGTTGCAACATTCTTCCCGGTAAATATTTTATGACCTATATTAAATTTGAAATTACGTAAATTACAACTGAGTATTGTGTGTTCCTTGACCACGTCAATTTGCTCTGTAATAAACCATGACTTTTTATTGTCTAGCCATAGACTAGAAATGTATCTCATGTGTGAGTTTTAAATAGACAGAAGTTTTAGAGGTACTTCTAAAGATAATCTTGATTTGCCAATCTTGCTTTTGTCTCTCCGGTTTCGGCGCTGCGCCGGCAGTACACTCAGCCGTCGGAACCGAAGTTTTAAAAATGGTTAACGCCCTGACGATTGAGGTTGTTGTTAAAAAAATCCCATTTTATTAGCTTTAACATTTGTTTTAAGTTATAAAGTAAGCGTTCTGAGGCCACGGCCTTAGGAGAGGTGATAATTCGGTTTTTCGGTTACTCACTTCACAAAAAAAATCCTTCCCATTTGATGAATCACTGCTTGGTGATCGTAAATTCTGAAATTACACGTACATTTCAAATTCAACTGAACCACCTCGGCCGCGCAAACCGTATTATTATAGCCTTGGTAGTACGTCCGCGCCGTACTCCGCCTCGTGGGCCTGGCGGTTGGCGCGCTCCTAAATCACGGCCGGACTCAATCCGCACTTGAATGGAGTCTGATGTGTTGTAAAGGGTTGCATTTTAACAATTTTAAAGAAGTTTTACCCAGGTTTTAGCAGTACTGTGTGTATAGTAAAAAAAAAAAAACAAGACTTCTCTGACTATCGTCTTATCTCCCCTTTTATGAGAATTAACAGTCCAACTGGACAAGGTGTATACTCTAAAAGCCACGTTTACCTGGAAAGCGTTCCACAGCGTTATAGTACACCAACACCACGGCAATATTCAAGTCCACCGGTTAAGATTCTGATGAAATCTTCCCCCAGGAATTTATTATTTCAGACGAATGGTTAAAATTCTTCGTATAACGAACATTATTTTGTCACAATGTTAATTTTGCACACATTTTCCCTACCATGATGGAGTGGGCGTATTGCGTCTGTCAAGAATTATTCTTGGCTTCCGGAGATGTTGAAGGACTTCGCAGTTGGCTGGGTAACTGTTATTACAACAACCGAACAAAGTCTAGTCTAGTCTGGACAGATTTCGTGGAAGTGGTCGGTGATATTTGAGCAGGTTACGTAACTCGTGCCCCCATAACGCGCGGGCACAATGGCGGGCAGTGTGCCAGCAATTTGAAGTGATGGTACCATTGAAAAATATTAAAATACATATAGCTTTAAAAAACTATAACTTACAACATTTATAATGCGCTTTCCACCATGTTTCAAAGCGCACAGTACTAGTTTCTTGTACAATTATCAATTTACTGATCAAAGGCTTGTGAAAAAAGAAAGCTCTTAAGTACTGTCTTAAACTGTTTAATAATAACTCCTTTCGATTCGCTATGGTTGTCTTGCACCGTTGGCGAACATGATTGTTTGTCAAACAATCTGAAAGCACTTTGTGTACATAAAAGTATGTTAACGGATGGATATGGGTTAGTAAAACATCTGAAAATGTATGGTTATAATACAATTATTGTCAAGCCGTGCAAGTGGTGTAATGAAGCAATTGTTTGTCTCTAACTTTGTGACAGAGCGAAGTTTTAGATAAATGTACGGGGAATCTGTAAAGTTCTCAGCAGACTGCAGTGTATTCGATTTACTGAAGAAATTCCCCCTCCCCTCGTTCTCTAAATGTGAAATAGAAAAGAAAAGAAAAACACGTATAACGAAAGAGTTAGTTGTCCGCCATATGGCTCTGTAAAAGAGTGGTGTTTCACTCTTTTGAGAGTAAAGTTGTCATCTTTTAGAGTGAAGTTTTCATCCTTTAGAGTGGTGTTTCTCAGTAAAAGATTAAAACTTCCACTCGTTTGTAGAGCATAATTATGGCCGAAAGCTCTTTCGTTACGAGTGGTTTTCTCTCTTCAACATTTAGGGAGTAATTTAACTATATAGGGACTAGACAATTTAGAGTGATAATGTTATTGCCTTCGGAACATTTTTAACCACGGAAACTGGTTCAACCGTGGTGGTATATTAGCCGCCACCACCATCATCCGTTGACCTGAATGGGGTTACATGCATAAACAAAACTTGTTATACCACAGGATTACGAATGCATTGTAAACACAGACGGCGGATCGGGACTCAGCTGTTTACAACCAGTAAATAATGAACGCATTGTGGTGCCGTAAAAATAACTTCATGGTGGTATACCAATGATTTTTAACTCGATGCTGTCATGGAAACATTATGCAGGTAATAAATTTAATATTTTATCAAAAATCGTGCATAATATGAGGGTATATCACATAATCAATAATAAACACACTTCAGTTTCTCTGCACGTGTTAAAAATGTAAAAATGAATCATGGATGAATCAAGGTTAATAACTTTTCAGCGCTTACACATTTTCACTGTTGGACTTCAGATTCAATTCTTAGAAAATTAATCATGTTTCTGATATCACGACGTTTTTCTTCCCACTAATGCACCATTTGGCGTAGTTTCATGGCCAAACAGCCGTGTTATACCGTTCCTTTACTACTGCCGGCCTACCCGCGTGTATTATAGTGGGCGTTTTGTGTTGGGATTTGCGGGTTGCACAAGGTCTTCTGGTTAGGGCAACGACTCAGTAAGGTCTTGTAATTAGGGTTCGTTTTCCTTGAAATTTGGGAACGTAACTTTGCCGGTTACATAATACGTGCATATGGATGCAATTATTCCCACACAATGCCGGGCAGTGTGCCAACAGTACACAGATCATAAGATAATCGTGCTTTCCGGACATTCTGCAATTAGTGTCGTTTTTTAAAATTTATAGAGATGATGGTAAGCTACTATCGATGATAAATGAACGACTTTAAGCCACAGGAGCACTTCCGGGAAACATACGAATTGTTTTAAATCAGCCTACATTCCCTTTATCGTGCTTGCGTATGGCAAATTAATGCCAGTTACTATTTTGTGTATCGAGATATAGGCCTTGGCATTCCCACAAATTTGTACGCACTTTTCGTTCGAGGAACGTTGGGAAATAACCCCCAAAATAATGTACATGTTGGCTGAAATTTGGGCTTCCTCTTTGTTTAGAGCCTTTGTTCTATGAGAGGTAAAAAAGTTCATACGAAATGTAAAGTCCCTTCAGTATGTGCCATATATAATCTTTTCCTATACAATCACGATAAATCCACAGTGTGGTGGATCGGAAAGTAGGGAAGAGGGCTCCTTCTGTGTTGTTGATGTGCTTGATACCATAACTCAACTGAGTTCAACTACAGCCTCGTATCAAGAAACTCGTTACTGCATGCATCGTCCTCTGCATCATTTTGGTACCCTCCAAATATCGCCTACTCATCAACCTTGGCCGAGTGGGCGCCATCGCTGCCGGCCTGGGACCCCCGTTGACCTGACGGGGTTATACCTGGCTGCGCGGAGGCCGTGCATGTTGTCTGCATACACATTAAAGCCTGTTACCAGATTACAAATGCTTTGTAAACAGAGACAGCGGAAAACGGGAACAAAAGGACAGTGTACGTGGTACCTGTCCCAAGACCTCAACCTCACATGCTGAAACAAATCCCACACAAACACAACTGCTCTGTTAAAAAGCAATAAAGGGTCAGGATGCTGGACCAGCGCAAACAGAGATGTGGTCTACTGTATGTAGGGCTTAAAAGGTAGTGTATTATGCCCTGTTACGTAACAGGAACAGCGGGAATCGATTTGCCGAGGCGGGAATGTTGCTTTAAAAAAAGTAATGTTTCTCAGCCATTAGGCATTTCTTTCTTTGATTTAAACTTGAGTTCGCTAAAACAAAGTGTCCATAAACTAAAGCAAAAGGTAATACTGCTTTGGTTGCTCTTGTACGTGGTATAAGCGACACTCATCTTGGACGGCTGTTGCGATCTTAACATTAGGTACAACATGAAGCTTCATGGGTACAAGGAGGTCTGTTGATTTTTCTGAGAATAAGAAGATGTGTATAGCAAACAAGTTTTTCTTTCGTAGTTGGATTGTCCCTGACCAGCCTAATGCCATGAGGACAAGGCACGATAAGCGTTGATTGTGTGGCTGAATCATGGATTCTTGTTATAGGTTCAGTTCGTTAGAATAGAAGGCAACCGTTGATAAAAACAGATTCCAGGCGCTCCATGGTTGGCACAATGTACATGCATGGTAACAACTAAGGTATGCTGTACAAACTGAGATTGTGCTGCCACATTATAACAGAAGTTTTTTTCACCGTCACTAGTGAAAGAAAAGAAGTGCACTAATATCGTTTTAAAGTCTGCCCACCATTTTAACTACCAATATATCACCTACACTCATTTAATTAATTCGTTATGGATTACCAGCTAGTATAAAACCCAATTAAAGAGAGCGGAAATTGGGAAAGCTATTTTAGGCAAGGTCAGATCCAGAACACAATTTGGGGGGGGGGGGCAAAAAAAGTCCCCCCCCCCGAAAAGTGGGTCCAAAAATGTTCCGCCCCGAATGTAATATGAAAAGCAAGGGGGGGGGCACTATGTATTGGTTTTGTTAAGTTTTGTGGGTGGTGTACGCAGTGGCTGCCTTTTTTTGCGACGGCACTTTTTTTGCGTTGCCGCCCCCGATCTGCCGTTGATTTGAAATCAACCAAAATTAACAACTGCATGCGGTAGAAATGCAGGTTGATTTTTTTAAGACACTTGATATGACATTAAAATGAATTATGGAAATAGAAGGGTACATTGCATCAGAGCATTAGTGTACAGTTGAAGTGTTTTGAGCTCATGTAGTTTTATTTCATGTCAGTGCATGTGCTTAAAACAATTTGATATGGCCCATGCAGTTGGTGATCGCACGGTTGCTGTGTATTTGTTTTATACAACTTAGTTCATATATAGGCCTAAAACGTATTCATTTCTTAGGAAATATTCTCTTAAGCCTTCCCTTGATCTTCATTCTTCAGACACTTTTCCGATTTTATAATTCGAGGTCACGATTTCAAGCAGATGAAACTTGTGAATATGACTGAGTTCTGCAAAACTCAAACCTTGTTTTACATAACACTAACTACACCGTGGAGGACTGTGCCTACCATAAGATGGGCTTACGCATCGATTTTACGCAACTGAGTGACAGCTTTTGGCGGTTTTTGCATCCTTTTAACGTCGCGATTCCCGGCCAGTCTTAAACTCATTTCCTGTCGTTGATCATTAATGGATGGGAGAAGTGATCGTGCCGTTCCGTTGCTACATCAGGGCGAAGGAACCTGTGCATGCGACTGGCATGCCGGTTGGTGCGCTGCGTTACGTAATTATTGGTCCAGTTGGCTCATCCCATCCTGCCGCATGGCTGGTGATGCAAAGGATATCGTCACCTGCTCAAGGACACTGAGCTAGAGCTAGTCTTGGTTCCAGGCGTCAAGTTTTTGGGCCATCTTTGTCCCTTCCGGCTCGTAAAATAGATCTGCTGGCAAGCACCATGATTGAACTGGTTAGCAGAACACGCTGTTTAGCGAAACTTTTTACCAAGCAAACATAAACCGGGCATCAGCCACAAACTATATAGGCCATAGGGCATGTGCCATTAATATGCTCAATTTCAGATTTTCGTGCAGCAGCAGTGGGGACAACCTGAAATTACCATAGACTGGTTGGGTATACACCCCTGATCAAAAATTTAAATATCCCCAAATAGGGGGGATGCTCACTAATATGTTTTCGATTGGCGAGACTTAGCAAAAACGTTCCTGTTCTTAGCAGAACAATCGCTGCTAATGAGCTATGTTTTTTGTAAATTGCCCCAGATCGACTTGCCGTATGTTACAGGGGATTCAGAACAATTCTGCAAACATCATCTAAGTTCTATATTTTGCGATGCACGTGTCTCAAGTCGCATCAAAGAAAGAGCATTTAATAAACTGCTATGATGTATTTGACGTTCGTATTCCATTTTTTTTTTCTGTCGAAGACATGGATCAATATGCGTCCTTCGCCCACGTAAGCTTTATACAACCAAGATCGTGGCGGGACTCAGGCTTTATCGTCCAATTTCTTCAGGCAGAAGCAATAAACTTGCACACTTTAGCCACGAGCATAGTATTTTTAGTAAGATATTTTCTGGTTTCCACCCGCAACATTTTGTGTTCATCATGCATGGAGTAACACATTATAGGGTCAACATCCAGGTGGATGATTGGTTGTGTAAATAGTAATAATGTCTTGCATCAAGGCTATTAGTGCACCGACTAGAACATCTCGTAAAACATGCATGAGTGCTCAAAGTGGCTGATGGAGCTCCATGTGAAAAAAAGGGTTTATCACATAAGACCGAATCAAAGGTGGCTGGTAGGCTATTGTCCTTAATCCGGGTATCCGTGTTCTGCTGTAAAATTCAATTTCATTGGTTCGTCCCTCAACTCCCCCCCCCCCCCTCATGCTGCCAGCGAATTATTTAGAAAACCTATGTTTGATTGCACTTTGCACCTCGATGTTCAAGAAAACAGTTTTCGTTATAAAAAAATGTGACACTCTAAATAAATGGAATGCTGTATTCATACGTAGTGTGTGCAATAAACAGTGCCCCAAATCATAAATATTTATTGTATAGCTCCAGCTCCACGCGTATTGTTTAATTATTTTTCGGCCGCTACACAAAAATTTGGGATTTATGGATAGGCAGAACTACTATGATCCCCTATACTTTCGGAAACGTAGGAAGCCACCTCTGTTTTATTAGCCACCTTTCTATCCAACCTCTCCTTCTAAAAGAATCGTAAAATAAATAAGATGGCACTTCTTACGCTATTGTTGCTAAAGCTTCGGTGGGCTGGTAGTGTACACGGTACCAGGTTAATACGGTTGTCATAATTATGTCTATGTGCCCGGCATTCAGTTATTAGGTAAGTTGTAAGTATAAGAGTGTCGTAACAGCCACTCGCCAAAGTTGGGAGTTTTCCCCGAATTCACGCGCTACCTTCGTGTTCGGTCCCTTGAACCCCTTATTACACTTTTATTTTCCATTATTATCTTTCTCTTGTCACTCGAACAAATAGTATTAACAGTTTATGAGATAGTGTTATCTGATGCAGACGATTCATCCTTAGGTTGATTGACCGTAGGGTTAAAAACATGTGAAGTGGTGAATGAGGCAACGTGTAGCCGGCCTACTGGAGACAAACAACAAAGGCAATAGGGCTTTTGCATTGAAAGGTGAAAACGAGGCTGTACTGGCAGGATTAATTCCTGCTGATTAGTTCAGACCTCGCACTTAACCTTACTTTTTTAAACACGTCAAAGAGTCTTTGCTTTAGAAAGGCAGTACGTGTCGCTTTTGTTCGTTTATTGCAAAGACAATGGAAAAGTCTTTCAATAATTCTTTGTTAGTTCAAAACTCTAGTATATGTATAAACATGTACATGTAAAATCATATCCAGACTTTATATTAGGAAAAAAATATCATTCCCCAAGCATATTACTCGTGCTTGGAACTACAATTATCTACACAGCTTCAAAGTCCAAAGGGATGCTGTATAACAGGAAATATTCCCTTGTCTGTATATAAACTCGTACGGCAACGTGGCGTTGGCGGCAATAATTATGTAAACACTTCGAATCGTATATCGTTATCAACAGTCCTGACCGTGTAGCATTAGACACTCTCGATTCTGATTGGCTAAAGTTTCATGTGACGCGTGCACACGTCGTTGGTAAACTCATGGCCGTGAAATAAATTCACACTGAAGCTTCTTTTTTGCGCAAACATGTATGTCTCTATTTGTTTGAAAAAAAAAGATTGGATAGTCCATTATTAGATCTTGACGCCTGCAGTTGTCGCTAGCTGATGGTGTGATGTGTAATGTTACGATAGGAACGAGGAACATTCTGTACAAATTATGAAAAGAGCATGAGAAAACCTTATATATGCATTGACTGACTGTTTTGCACTAAATCAACATTACTGAAAAATAAAATGAGAATTGAGGACAGGAAAATGATTAAATTCGGCATCTTAAGATTTGATGGCTTGAATGGTAAAATCAGAAGAAAGGGTAAGTTTGCGATTGTACAACCTGAAAGGAAGTCTCTTTTGTGAGTTAGTGTGGTTCTGAAAAGAACCTGTGGAAAACTCAACGTTTCGGACAGTGTACAATGTACTCTCCTGTAAATTGAATGCCCAAATAAAGGGTGAAAATAAATAACATGTAGGCTACACGGAAAATCAACAACCTTCGTGAATAATGTATTTCCATTGTCGTTTTGTGTGTGTATTAATACAGGTACCCCTTACATACCAAGCTACATGGACCTGACCAATGGGCCTGAGCCCTGCGTCGTGTGCGGGGATGCTGCCACTGGTTACCACTACCGTTGTATGACGTGCGAAGGCTGCAAGGTAGAACCAAACTGTACAATTACAATTACGGTCTAGGAGTTATATTTGGAACCTGAAGAAGAGCAGACATTAAAGTCTTATATATAGACATTGACCATACTCTGCAACTATACACTGTCATCATTAAAGGGAATATACATCATTTGCTTTTGCTGTAATTTTCAGAAATGGATGGAATTGGGGGGTTGGAAATATATAGCAAATATAGTTACACTGACTTTTTTGAGGTTTATGGTTCGAAAATGCTATAAAAACCAAGAAAAACAATCATTTTCCTGTAGTCTGGTTCCCTGACTCCATTTAAGAAGAAACAGAGCAGTTTACATATATTGGGGAATTGTAAGGTCAGGGAACCAGTCTAGCTGGCTTGTACCCGTTCATAGGTGTGTAATCGATTGCAAACAAGTGCGATGGTCAACTGGGGCCAGTATTTGAAAAAAAGCCAGTTTTTTCCAACGCTGATCGGCCGATCAGCGTTGGAAATTGATACAAAAATACCACTTTTCTTGAAAATGACAGTATACCAGGTGCCATGATTTTACAGGAAGCTTTACACTGTCATTCACTAACAGTCCAGCAAGGTATTTCAAAATGATTTGGTAGTTTTATTTTTTGATGTTTGCAAATGTTGTATTTTCCCTTTAAGATTAAGGGCACGAACGATGAAATTATGTATTTCTTTTTTAACAAAATCCTTTTAAAGTCTGCTTTTATTATTTAAAGCTCCTTGGTGAAAACACTTCAGATAACAACCTTGCATTCAAAGCAAAAGGTTAGAGAACTAAATTTTTAACAGTATCAATCCCATGCCTTTGCATTAATTGCTCTCCCTCTGAAGAATTCAATCCTTTCATTTTTGTTGATAAAATTAGGGTTTCTTTCGGCGGACGATTCAGAAAGGCCTGAGCTATTACTGTAAATGGAACGAAGAGTGCGTAATCGACAAGACGACCCGGAACCAATGCCAGCAGTGCCGGTACAAGAAATGCATCAGTGTGGGCATGGCTCCAGATCGTAAGTTATTCAACAGTTGTTCGATACTGTAAACCAGGGTCCAATATCACAGCTTTGCTGACCGTAAAGAAGCTTTCGCTATCTAGAGCAGAAACTGTCAGTATTAACAATTGTGTAAGTGCTGTCAATTTTTGTTCAATGGCTATTAACAATGTAATAGCTGTAAAAATGTATAGATGTGCGTGCCAGCGAAACTCCGACAGTGTTGGGGGCTAAGGGCGCCCTCTTCCGCCAAAATAAATGATTAAAAACCTTTTATCGTATCAGAGGAGGGCCGGCCAAGCGGCGATTGATCCAGGAGAATCGACATAAGCGGACACAGGAGTAGATGTTACGACAGTGTTTATACGTCGGTGAAGGGCAAAAAACTTATTTTATTTACATCACCCCGACGCAAAAATTCCACCTTATGAATTGATAAAAACATTGTTTGTCGTATGTACCACAGTTTTAGTCCAGTTTAAAACGGAAAAAGCTAACAAAATGACCAGAAATGAGCACATTGTGTGACTGCCATCTCTCCGTGTATTAAAGAAATTTGATGATTTTTTTCTTGTACTTCTCAGTGGTTCTGAACGAGAATCAGAGGAGGGCCAAGCGGCGACTGATCAAGGAGAATCGAGACAAGCGGACACGGGAGGAGATGTTAAGGCAGAGCGGTCTGCTGCTTGCCAGCCGACTGACCGAGGCTGAAGAGAACCTCATCAAGGCTATACTAATCGCTCATCAGGAGACCACCTATCTCTTCAGGAGGAACTCGACTTCTTCTGATGAGGTATGATCATCAGACCTTAGGCTGTTGGCAGGAATAGGGACACTAAAATGCTTTAGACAATAGCAAGTAAAATGTTCACTTTTTCTGTTTCAGTTTCAAATAGGGCCCTAATTAACTAACGTCCCAAAAACTGTACCGATTTTCATTTGGTGCAAAGAACAATTTACGAAGAGGTTAACTATTTTCTCAAAAATTCTCTTGTTCGGTATGTACATGTATTCTCATTATTGATGCCATTCCGGTTTCTTCGCCTATAACTGGCTGATGAGATCAATTATTTTTATGGCTTGCAGTACTTAACTACATAATTTAGCGGGGCTTTCCCCTTGTGTCGTTGAATTCGTTTCAAATAACTCAATGTGATGCGATAACATGTTTCTCTTTCAATTATTGAAATTAAATACAACTGAACTCGCGAAGTGATGCGTTTGAGACAGTGCATGCTATACCCGTACGTGTATTAAGTTATCTTGTCACCTTTCATTTGGCATCAGCAAGGTAACCTACGACTGTTTTGTTTTCTTGTTTACAAGGACGGTGGAGAGCCAGATACCAAACGGGTCAAGGCAGAGGATGACAAAACTGCTTTAATGAACCTAGCTGAGATCATGACGCCCTCTATTGTCAAGGTGGTAGAATTCGCCAAGAGGGTGCCGGGTTTCAAAGAGGTAAGGGTAATGCCAGTTTCTTATCCCAACCTAATCTTCAGGAATTATTCCCAGTTTCTGAATAGTCTCAAAACGGTAGATCGCGTCTTTTCAGAGGTTCGCATTAGCAAGGTTTTAGCCTTGATTTCAGTCTCGTTTTAACTAACGTTAACGTGTTCCAGAATGATCGGCCTAATTTTAACAAACTTGATCAAGTGTAATACAAAAGATGTAGGTCATGACAAAACTTACTACGAGCCAATGATTACCTTTATTGATTTGCCTTTCCAAATTAGGATTCCTCGACCAAAACAAAATAGGCAGGCGTGGGTAAAAATCATCAAAACGTTAATACATATAGCTCTCTGTGCATGAAAGGGTTTACCAAATTAGTCAAACCTTTGGGCAAAATGCGTAAATATAGCTGATCATGTGGGTGTCAAAATATATACAAGTGCACAATTTTGCATTTTACGTTTAATGTAAAAGCTCCAATATTTCATTTATTGTTTTGTTAATTTGATCGATTCAGCTGAATCATGAAGACCAGGTCTTGCTCCTCAAGTCGTGCTGTATGGAGATCATGTGCCTACGAATCGCCCAGAAGTACGACCCTGACACCCAGCAGCTGATCTTCTCCAACGGCATGCCCCTGGACAAGTCCGAGTTGAAGCAGGGTGCCCTCGGCGAGCTTGTGGAGCCCATCTTCGACTTCGCGGTGGGGTTGGCCAGGCTTCAGCTGACCGAGACGGAAATGGCGCTCCTGGCGGCCGTTCTACTCATAGCTGGGGGTAAGTTGCAAGGGACCAATATAATGGAACGGCCAGGCTTTTGGCATAAACCGCGCCAACCTTTGGGTCTATACATATCTCGTTGTGCTTGTAAACGAGATTGACCTAAGCTACCATGGTCACCTAACCAGAAATTGTGGTCTAACCGGTTAATTAATGGCTGATTGGCAGGCACTGACAGGCTCTGAGAAAGAGACAATTGAATTGTCCTAACTCCAAACTCTCTCAGATCCTTTGAAGCTACAGCCCTCAGGAGGTTCAGAACATTTGACGGGATTTAGGGAGATAAAGACTAGCTACACTTTACTTGGGACCTGCACGGTGCCTGTTGAGAGTTGAGATACAAAGAATGTGTCCTCTGTTTTCTGCATAGTGGAGGATGTTTAAGAAAATATGTGGAGTTTCTGGCCAAAACTACCCAGAGAACTAAAAATCTTCTACACAAAACCAACGTGTTTTAAGATTGTACCGTGCTTAATTATTTTTTTTATTTTACAATTTCTCCAAAGACCGACCCGGACTTAAAGATGCTAAATCGGTGGAGTTGCTCCAAGACACTCTGCTGACGGCCTTCCAGCATTTCATCAATGAAACACGACCGACGACACCAGTACACTGGGCGAAGATTCTTATGAAGGTAATTTATAAATCGGCTGCTTCTTACTTTCAGACCCCTCCTGGAATTTGGAAAGACAATTCCTCCCAGCCAAGAACCTTCGAATTATAACCCCTTAGTATTATACGTTAATAAGAATAATGGGCAGCTATAATAGAAAAACGGAACAAAAAAAACCCAAAATCCACACTCTTATTGACGTTTCTCAGGCATAAACAGACCACTATGTATGGAAAAAATCTTCCGAGTACGAGATGATCTTTCCTCCAGATCCACGGATGTGAAACAGTGTTTTGTATGCATGTGGAGCAGCGCCCTTCAACCTCATAGCTAGTGAATTTTCAAACCTGTCTCAAAGATCGTTTGTTTCTTTTTGTCGCTCACAGATCACCGATCTGCGCACCATTAGCGCCCGCCACGCAGAAAGACTGCTCTGCATCAAATTGGACAAGTCCCAGGAGATACCACAACTATTTCTGGAAATGTTCGACGACTGTAACACAACGTTATAAAATGCTAGAAAATAATGCGTGTATGATGATGATCCATCTTCCAGGTTTTCTGATCTTTATCCCGCCTAGTATTTATTCTTCCTCAGCCTTTCCTGCTCCTTCACAAGTCATGAGTAACCTCTTATGTTTCTCGGGGTTTGAACCTTTAGAAGTGCAGCAAGCAGCAGTTGGTTATAACTTACGCGATGTGTGTCAATCTGCATTTGTGTCTCAACCAGTTCAACTTGTTAAACTGGGTTGCATGTATGGGAGAGTTTGAAACTCTTCAATGTTGTGCAGTCTGTAGTACGCCTGCGATTGATTTCAGAACTTTGGCGTATATTTTAAACGTCTTGGATGAGGATGATGACATATTTTATTACCGCAGTTTGTGTACGATTTCATATCAGTCACTAAACAGAGAGTGAACGAATTCGGCCCGCCATTTATGAAAACATTTTTTGTTTCTGACTCGCTTCGGAATCGGGTGGAACCCCTCTAAATTACGTCACGGATTAAAGAAAACACAGTAAGCAGAGTTTTTGCCATTGTCTACAATTTCGTGAAATCTGCTCCTGGATTGCGCAGTTTGCTGTTGCAGTATCTTTTTGAAAAAAAAAACTCTGAAAAAAGGGTGCAAATGCACTCCTTTGATTTCTTGCCAAAACCCAAAGAGTTCCCAAGGATGATTTTGTCTTTTCGTACAACAGTAGTGTTAATCATTTTGTACCATATTTCATTGTAATCGATTTTAATGTAGCCATTGGTGAATGACTGTCTCGTCAAGAACATATCACTTCATTAGTTTCTAGTTAGACCTGCCAACCGGTTTATCCAGTACAATTTTCATGTTATTCTTTGGAATACTGAATTTTTTTAATCTTGAAATTTGAACAAAGTAAAGATTGGATTAGCCTGCGTTAGGTGAATGTATATATCCTACCAAATTCAGAGCTTTGGTAGGCATGTAAAATACAACGTAAATATTTCGTTTGGCTTTTAAATTATCGTGGCGTTGATGTAAATTATTATAAATTATGCAACCATTGCAGCTGTTTGTTTCACTTATACATTAATTGTACGTAATATTCGTAAAAGTAAGGTTAAATTACTTTGAAGTCGTAGATTATATTCAGGAAATATGTTAGTGACATGTCCAAAGAATTCGTGCGACTGAGATCAGTCTCATTAAAATCAGGAATAACTCGTGTAAAGTTTACTAGAAGTTTACAGAAAAAATATATAAAGCTATATTACGAGAATATAAAATGTTGTGTATGTATATAGACTTTACCCTGCACGGGCGATGTTTATCCGCCATTTTGTCTACCTCATTTTTGAAATTAAAATGTAATATCTATGGAAGGGCTGATTTGGCTGCACTTTCATTTAGTTTTGACAGCCAAATCCCTTTTTTAAAATTTATTATTATTTTTTTAATTTATTTATTATTATTATTATTTGGTTTACTTTTGTGGCACTTCAGGTTGAAATTTGACCAAAGCTTGTTTTAAAAGAAACACAAACATATGAATATTAAATATGCAAACATACGGGTGGGAGTATGACAGTATTTTAGAACAAAATCCGGGTACTTCCGAACCGGAAGCAGTGGGTTCTTCTAAGAGTCAGCAAATTTTTCTAACTGTAACAATATTGAACAGAATTTCCAGGAGATTGTTTTCCTTTGTCGCATGGAGTACAGGGAAACATTTCGTTGAGTTGTGATCGTGCAACATCAAGTTGTGATCGTGCAACGGCTCAGTTATTTTGATCAACTATAATTGTATGAATTGGACGTAGTAATGATCTGTTTTTCGCACCACAGCTTTTGCCTCGCAGAGCCGAAGGCGACACCCTATGAATACGGAAACAACCGAATAACATTCTGTGTATGTTTTTTTATGTATCCAATGTCATTCAACTTGCATGCAAGATGCCCTAACAGATAACAACAAAATGTGTTCCGTTGACTAATGCAGGCCTGTATCGGGCAGCGGAGGGAGGTCAAATTGACATTTTTAGCTGGCCATTTTAATCAATCTTATCCGTCAAAATAAGTAAACGCACGCAAGAATACGTGGTGTTTCACCTCCCTACTACAAGCATGCGTTCTTTATACTTGGCCTTTGATGTCGTGTCTTCTAACATAACGTTTCACTGAAGTTACACTCTCACTGTAAGCATGCGAGGCGTCTTGCAAGGAAAAGGTGCACCTTCAGTTTAAATATAAGATAAAAAGACCCACCCTCACATTAACCTGGATACGGGCCTGTAATGCATTTGACTGTATACTGAAAGACAATTATTTGGGCATACTTACAGGTGTAAACACTCAGGGAATGTTTAGATTTTTTTAAAGGTAAATGTGAAAAGTGTATGGGGAATTATAGTCCGGTTCGTACCTTTGCTTGATTCAAACGTGAACACGAATTTGTGACGTCAAGGCATGATTTCGCTCCAAGAACCGCAAACGCATTTTCAACTCTGTCTTTTCAATCTTATTTTAATATCCATGCGCAATGCTGCATTAAGCGTGACGCATGACAGTGTGCAGGAGAAGTACGGAATTGGGCTGGACGCACTACACTGCTACAGATAATGAAAGTTTGAGAATGCAAGAATAATTTCATGGCAATGACTGATGGATTGTGGAACATTCCACAACTTTTCCGTGCTAAATCCGTCGATTTGCTTCGCACACTCGCAGTGTGTATGAACCGACCTTCATGCATCACGTCTGTGAATACCAAAACAAATGGGTATTATGGTATAAGTATCGGTAGGTCTATTGAATTCAAAACATGTAGGCCCTATGATGTATTTACATGTAATGAAAATGTTACCATAGTATTCTGGTATAGTTTTTAATTTCAACAGTTTTTTGCAAATACAATTATGCAGAATTGTATCATTGTTTTCCTTTCAAATGTTGTAAATAAATAGTTTTAGAACACATTAAGTGCTGCAGGAAGTAACCGATGGAATTCTTGCATTGTGTGATCTTAGATTCATATACATCTAAGGAATGTACATGTTAGTCTGCTGCCCCTATGGAGACCCACCGGCGGTACTCGGCGTTTCTGGGGTGTTGGTCGCATTGTGGTGACTCCTCGGGAAAGTAGTTTTGCGTAACTCTCTAATAAGTTGTTTAAAGTACATGCATCACGCACGCTTATTTTGACTGCGCGATATGACTGGCGTTGTGCATATGGTGTGCACGACCTGAATTTTAAAGATTTATCGACCATAAATATTTTGACAATAATTAAGGTCAGTTTTAATCACATTTTGTAGTCATTTTTTTTTAAAAAGCTTTCGTAGTGCAATGGAAATAGTTCAGGCTGAAATTCGCAATTGAATACCGCCATTCAATCAGCACAAAAAAAAATTGGCAAAAAAAAAAAAATACCGACCTACCGACCCTATTTTTGAAAAACATGTATAATCGGCAGCACAACTATTTTTTGGGGCCTAATTTAAAACCCCTTGCATTTTTTCCAAATCGTGATTTGGCCGGCGTATGCTACTTCGGACCCATTTTACTGCCTCAACCCTTTAAACAGCCGCAGCTATAATTTTGTCTTTTAACCCTTGCATTTTTTCCAATTTTGGCCAAAAGAAATCAAATTTCTTCAAACTTGCTGGAAAGATGCCGATAGGACCCTAGAACACATTTCAGTGCGATTTCTGGACAGATGTGCTTTTCAAAATGAAAGTTGGACGAAAATTTGGGGTAAAATCAGTCAAAATTTAGGATATTTTCTCTAAAAATCCATTATTTTTGTCCGAATCTGCAAAATATTGGGTGTGTGAAGGTTGATTGATGCTCCTCTTACCTCTAAAGGAATTTCTGCATCGTTTGGAGAAAAGTCATTTTTTTAGGCCAAATTTCACCAAAAAAGTAAGGCTAACCCCTTGCATTTTTTCCAATTTTGGCCAAAAAATCAAATTGCTTCAAACTTGCTGGAAAGATGCCTAAAGGATCCTAGAACACATTTCAATTCGATTTCTGGACAGATGTGTTTTTGAAAATGAAATTTGGACGCAAATTTGGGGTGAAATCAGTCAGAAATTAGATTTGTTTTTCTCTAAAAATCCATGATTTTTGCCCAAATATACAAAATATTGGGTGTTTGAAGGTTAATTGACGCTCCTCTTACCTCTAAAGCAATTTCTGCATCGTTTTGAGAAAAGTCATTTTCTGGCCAAATTTCATCAAAAAAAGTAAGGCTAAGTAAGTAAGGTCATGATATGTTACCCAGAATGCCATCCCCACTTCCTTCACAAGATTCTGTGAATGGCATCAGCCCTTAATTCCCGGCCCAGCGCCCTAGCCCCTGTTTGCGGGGCGGGGTTACGAGCGAAGCGTTATTGTACGAAACATAAAATATGGACATCGTGAATAGGGCCCCCTAGTGTAATGTGGTGTCCTGGTTAATGTTGTTTTCATCTACGTTTAAATGTTTGTTTTTGGTTCTTTATAGAATTAAGGATGAGAACGTACTGTTCACATAATTTTTGAGGAAAGAAATCCGTAAAAACAAATTATCGTTTTATTTCTAAAGACGTGATACTGTTGAAATAGTAGTGACGGAGTTGAAAATCTGTATATCTGTCCAAATACGAAATAGTAGAAGTCAGGCGCGGATCCAGAGGGGGACGAAACACCCCCCCCCCCACCGGTCAGACACACACGAAAAATAAATAAATTTTAATCAAATATAATATTGACACGGTCCGCCTGTCCTCAATAATCGGATATAAATATCTAAGGTGCCCGGACCAACCCCCCCCCCCCGGCAAAAAATCCTGGATCCGCCCCTGAATGCACCCGATAGCTCAAAAAAGCCTGCATAATAATAGTGTTCACTGTTGCGTAACTCTAAGTACATTTAGCACAAGATGTTTAATTTCCCGTCGTCAAACACCAACGGTACCTTAGCTTAATCGGTAAGCTCTGCGGCTGGTACTGTCCGTGAGTTCCAGGTTGGCGCCTTCGTACAGGTTCAGGGCATGTGGTCCACTCGGAGGATCAGGGCTTAGGGTGCCGCCCTGTTCCTCCCTTAGCTCTTTGCTTTTACATGGCGCCTGGCCCTCCGGGGTTACATGGATGGACAGGGAAGGAAGTGTGTATTGGCCGGGAACACCGAGATCCCAGAAGAGAGCTAAGGGGTTGGCTGGGGCATTGTCATGGCTCAGACCGATCCCTGAATGCTTGGCTAGCACATAACTTTTTGATTTTTTTTAATCCTCTATTTTTTTTTTTAACTTTGCTTTAGTTGGATATTTACATCTGCCCGGCAGGTCTCCGGTAGTATTTCAAAAGGAATCAAAAGTATAGGTCGTGAATCTATGAATATTAAATAATAATTATTATCAAAATTAAGTTTCGTTCGATCAATATGACTACGGTAACCGTTCATTTTACGTCAATTGGTAAATTTTGTAGAAGTTAAAAAGAATCCAAAAAAATTCGCCCAAAATTGTGGCTTCATAAAAATGTTTTATTTTTAATGCTTGACATCGACATGAGCTGATGTTTTTGGTTCAATTAATTAATTTGGATTTTCAAATTAAGAGCGGGATGCTCGGATCCTTATTCGTTTTGAATAGTGTGCGCAATTTCTGAACTGGAGCGCGCAATTTAAAGCCAACTTTTCAAACTGTGTAAAGGCCTGCAAACTAGCTGGATATTTTTGTTCCTACTTTCCCGATATCTTTGGCGCCTATTTTACCCAGTAGCGCACCCAGGATTTAACCTAGGGGGGGGGGGGGGGGGGGGGGGGGGGGTGCTCAAAATTTTGGGGTTTTTTTCAAACAAATTGGGTGGCTTTTTGGGGGGAGGGGGAATATTTTGACGTTGGTGGCGCCACTTACACCCCTATTATAATACTCGAAAATGTGCCACATACACATCGGTCAATTCGTGGACCAAAAAAATGACCCCCCCCAAAAAAAAATATATTAAAAATTAACAACCTCTACGAGTGGGAGGGGTCAACCCCCCCCCCCCCACCTTGGGTGCGCCACTAATTTCACCCACCCGGTCAGTGGCACAGCGGTAGAGGGGTGTTTGCGGAGTGGCAAATTGCAAACTGCTAGCTACAGATTTTAAGAGCGAGCCAGGCGGGGACGTGCGAAGAAAAATCGAGCCGGCGACTTCGGCCGGTGGTAAAAAGCTTGTCTCGTCAGTCGGCGCGGCAGGGATGAAGTCTCAAGTACTGAAGAATTTGAGGGCATGCAAATCGTGATTTGGCCGGCGTATGCTACTTCGGACCCACTTTACTGCCTCAACCCTTTGAACAGCCGCAGCTATAATTTTGTATTTTAACCCTTGCATTTTTTCCAATTTTGGCCAAAAAAAATCAAATTTCTTCAAACTTGCTGGAAAGATGCCCATAGGACCCTAAAACACATTTTAATTCGATTTCTGGACAGATGTGCTTTTCAAAATGAAAGTTGGACGAAAATTTTGGGTGAAATCAGTCAAAAAATAGGATATTTTCTCTAAAAATCCATTTTTTTTGTCCGAATCTGCAAAATATTGGGTGTGTGCAGGTTGATTGATGCTCCTCTTACCTCTAAAGGAATTTCTGCATCGTTTTGAGAAAAGTCATTTTTTGACCAAATTTCAACAAAAAAAGTAAGGCTATTAAGTAAGTAAGGCGAATAGATTCAATTTGCCAAGTTTGACAAAAGGATGTATCTTCTCGCGGGAAAATAGGCAGGTTTGTCTATGAAGTTGGTAGATACGAATTTCTTTTTGTGACTTAAGAAGCAGGATTTCTTATGTTTGCACTGCGAATTTTTTTTTAATGCAGGACTTTGTGTATTTGTAAAAATATAAAATGTATTTATATATAAAATTATTTTAACATGATGATCTTTAAACTGAACAAAAAAAACCATATACATTGAAATACTAAAAATTAGGCCTAAATAAAACAAGTCCTTGTGGAGGACGCGTGACGGTGACATCTTCGAGCAGCGAATTGGACCATCCAGGGCGGGCGGGAGGGGCTAGCATTGTACCGCACCCCGCGCAGTACAGTGCACCCCTTCAGGCTCAAGTCCATCGTTGAGGGCGCTGTCGATTACTATAGCAACACGTTATGCATGCAGTAGCGCCGGTGGCGTAGGCCTGTGTGTGTCAGTATCTTCACTTCTTACTAAGTTTTGCCGGAACCGTATCGTTTGAAAAGTGTAAGTAGGTTTTTTAATGCCTCTAGTGATTGTACTTTAATGTTTAAATTCATCGGTATTTTCTGCAGTACTAGTACTAGTAGGCCTATGTTGACGAAGTTGAAACTCGGACCGTTGCGGAGGAAATGGGTCAACTCGTACCCGAGTTAACTCGTACCCGAGTCAACTCGTACCCCAAAATTGACACCCAAGTCAAGTCGTACCCGAGTTAGGTCGTACCCGAGTCAAGTCGTACCCCAGTCAACTCGTATCCGAGTCAAGTCGTACCCGAGTTGACTCGTACCCGAGTCAACTCGTACCCGCAGCTCAAAATAGTTGCCTATTTTCGAAAAGAAAATCAGTGAAACGAACGGAAGATCGGAGGGATATGGCCGGGTTGTCCGTGCACGGTGACATCGTTTGTGCAGAGCCTGTGCGCGCACTCGCTGGTCAACGTGGTCGTACCGTGCACGGTGACATCGTTTTTGCCGGGCCCGTGCGCGCACTCGCCGGTCCACGTGGTCGTCCGTGCACGGTGACATCGTTTTCGCCGGGCCTGTGCGCGCACTCATCGGCCAACGTGGTCGTACCGTGCACGGTGACATCGTTTTTGCCGGGCCTGTGCGCGCACTCATCGGCCAAAGTATGCATGCTTTTATCAATTTATTTTATTTTTATATTACAGATGGTTTTCGATGAACCATTTTCTGCTGCTCAAACCGATCGATCGGATGGTCTGTCACACAGTTCATGATGAATCGAATCGGATGTCAAGTTTCGAGGACGAAACCCGATTAGCTCAGTTTTGTTTAAGATAATAAAACTTTCTCTTGCACTTGAATTACAATTTGCTAAGGTCAAACAATCTTTCACACCCAAGGATCAACTAACAAATTGGTCCCCTAAAACTTATAGAAAGAGCATCTCTGAATGAAACGAGCCACCATTTTCCTTTATCGTGTTTACTTCCTTGATGCCTCAAATGTAAACAAATAATTAAAAATCCTACATTTCTGTTACCAAAATAATATTCTAGTTGAACTTATCGCAGAAACTTTATTTAAGCTGCACAAGATTTTTTTACATTTACCGAACTAATTGTACAAAAAATGACCAACATATTAAAGAATCATTATAAATTAAATAACGATGTCCGTGTGACTCTTTTAAGTTTCCTGTAATATATTTTCTCTTCAGATTTGTACTTTCAGGGCCCCAAATCTTCCCAAAGAGATTTGTGCCATGTGCAGTTTTTATTCAATAAATGATGCCAAAAATGGAGTGAGTGAACGTTGAAAAATATTACTTTTACATTACAAAATTCATTTTTTAATATCAGCTTTCTTTAAAAAAAAAGAGGTCTTAAATACTAAATTCGTAAAAAGAAAACTATGCCCTTAAAACACGTTCGACCGAACAAAAAAAAGACGTAGCAGTTCGCACTGTCACTACGCAATCTCAGTGATCCAGGGTCTCTGAAAAAAGAAAGAAAAAACATCATTACTAAGAGAAAATACTACACAAATTTTAAAATAACACATCTGATGATCTGGATGAAAAGTGAAATTTACCGTTTATCAGCGAGGGCTCCGTCGACTCGCGAGTACCACACTGATGCCGTTTTGAAAATGTTCTCCGCGCGGTACCCGTCCGTTCGCGATGAAACCCTTGCCGATGAACGGTACATTTTCCCTTTTCATCCAGATTGTGATCAACATTTGATACCACCGCCTTCAACTAATCCTTGAACTTTATTTGTATTTCTGGCGGCGTAACTACTATTTCTCAGTCGCCGTTTTTGAGGGTAAAATCGGAAGTTTTGTTAACCATCCATCCGTACTTCCGAACTAAAAAGGAGGGGAGTACGAGTTGACCTGGGTGCGAGTTGACCCGGGTACGAGTTGACTCGGGTACGAGCTAACCTGGGTACGAGTTAACTCGGGTACGAGTTAACTTGGGTACGAGTTGACTCGGGTACGAGTTGACTCGAGTACGAGTTGACTCGGGTACGAGTTGACTCGGGTACGAGTTGACTCGGGTACGAGTTGACCCAAAATCGTTGCGGACTCCGAGTCCTGTCCACTCAAATGGGCGGGGCCGAGGGGGGGGGGGGGTATCAAAAGATAAGTGCATTAGTGTTAGACTGTTACTAGTGTTAGTGGTACTTTAGGGCATAGGACTGGATCATGTGATTTTGAAAGGAAAGCCGTAAGAAAAAAGGAAGATGATAAAGTTGGATTCTGTTCATTTCTAAATTGCAATTTGCAGCCGTAGAAACATATTGTCACTGTCCCAGAAAAAAACTGTGCATGTGTGACTAATGTTAACATGCACATAACGTGAACCCCTTTTCAAAATCTTGGCTGTATCTCAAAAAGTGGACTACACTTTGCCACCATAGGCATCATTTCTAGTTTATTTTTAATAATATTCTTGTGTGTCCTGTATTTTGCATTTGGAAGTGGACTGTGTGCTGTTTAGGCCTAAATCTATTTTCTTTTATATCCTTCCCTATAACCTAGTAGTACTTGGAAGAGTTTCAGATAGTTTGCCCACCAAGATGGCTGCCTTGCACTGGGAGGCTCAGCGGAAACAGGGCGTGGTCGACAAGAGGAGTAAATTTGAACAAGAACGGCAGGTTTGTATTGTCGCATCTTTGCTAGCTGAAAAGGCACTTAGGCGAAGGAAAATTTAGTGGTGTACAAAATGTGTCCAACAAAAAATCCTTCAGGGACATATTGGGCTAACCCTGTAAGCACAGAGTCCTTAGATACGGTATGAGAAAAAACTGTATGTTTTGGCAATGTTTAAAGGTAGAGTTGATCTTTTGCAGCTATCCAAAAAAGTAACTGACCAAATTATTGTTAAAAAGCTTACTTGGTTTAAAGATAGTAATGGCACTAAACTCCCTGTGAAATTATTCCTTCTGGCATGCTGTCATTTTGAAGAAAACAAGAAAAGAAGGTCATTTTCAAAGATGGGTCAAGCGATGTATTTTTGGAAATTTCTGTAAGTACATGTAGTTGGTTTTTAATTGGGAGAATGCGTGAGTGGGTGCGCACAAGCATTGACACGACACATATACGCGGTTACGCGCACGGTTAATGCTTTAATTCATCGGTTCAGTTTTCAGTGCAATCAGTGAATTAAAATAACCTTAAAACTTATCGGGGGGGGGGGGGGGGGGGTGAGGAGGGGGGATTCGATGACAACACTGCCCAGGACTAAAATTGTGTTACACCCCAACTATGGCATGATCCCAACTACTCTTAGGATCATCTCAACTACAGTAAGGACTTGCCCAAGTATTGTTGGAACTTTCCCAACAGTACTTTCTGTGCCAACTATAATTGGGATCATTCCTGTAGTCGGGGCATAACAATTGCATTCTGGGCCCAATTTCACAGCGCTGCTTAACAGTTAGCAGAAAAGTTGTGCTTAGCATAGCAGAAAAATTTGCTAACCTTAAGCACTATTTCACGGCGTGTGTGTGCTAACGGTCGCGCGTACATGGAGATTTCTATTGTTACGTCACTGAGTTAAGCAAATTTTTCCTCTGAAGTAAGCGTGCCTTTTGCTGTGCTTATGCTTATGGTCTCTGTGAAATAGACGAAGGCTCTGTTAGCAGAAAATCGTGTGCTTAGCAGCGCCATGAAATTGGGCCCAGATGTCAGCTCAACTTTTCAGCTTATTTTCCCCTCTCATTCCCGCAGGAGCAACTTAAACTTCTGCAAGAACAAAACCAGAAGGAGCTACAGGAGAGGCAAGCCAGACAAGGCTCCAGTTACGAGAAGCAGCTGAAGAAACTGATCAGTCAGAGCGGTCGGTGCCCGCGAGGCGAGTACCATCAGAACAGGGATGTAGAACGGCGACAGGAATTCTATGAATCTACCAAAGGTGACCACAGTGCCAAGATACAACTACGATATAATGTAAGTCCTTCTTACTGGCGTTTGTTGTATAGTACAAATTATACACACCTTGTGCTGGTTCTTCATCCTGGTTGGCTGAAACATGGTCATGTGTGGTTCACTAATATAGGTTAGTGCATGCAATTTGCCTCAGCGTGAACTAGACGCGCTGCAAGACATCGCGAGTGCGTAATTTCCGGAGTATAGTGCTCGATCAGGCACTATACTCACATTTTTAAAACTGATTATAGCGCCCTCTCAAAATCTCAAAAACTGACTGTAGGGAAACTAAAAGCGTTCCTTTAATTGTTGAATTGCATATATAGTTGAATTGCTTACAACTTAATTGATGAATTAAAACAATTTAATTATAAAACCCTGAAAAGTGTCTTTTCAGAAAACTGTAATTTTGATTATCAATATTGCCTTTGTCGTTTCCATTGCAGGATATAAACTTTGCCCAGCAGTGGTAACACAGCATACCTTCCAGCATGATGGATGTGATCACAACGTGCGTACAACTATTAACATGACCACACAATTGGTATTACTTCAATTCAAAGAGGCATTTTTGCAATATGTAAGTTTTGTAAACGTTTATTTTTGTCATCAGGATCAGCTGTAAAGAAAAGAGTCGACTTTTTATGTGGGTTTTGATCGAGCTGTGTATTTGTAAATTTTACATGTTGATATGAGTATTGAAGGGAAGCATTTAATAAGAGTAGACGTTTCATTGGTATTTTTGTAGACCTTCAAATTGTAATGTATTTTCTATCAAACACTGACATTTGGATTTGTCCAACTGGATTTGAAGTCCATTAATTTTATGAAAAGACATATTTTGACGTCTTTCAATTGAGCAATTATGACAACAATAAACGAAGAGTTGGTGTCAATCACCGTCCTTCCATCAAAATCTTGAGGATTAAAAAATACACTCGGAAAAAGTGAATACATTGTAGCCAGAAATTTGGAAGGAAATACTTCAGAAGATTCTGTTAACAAAAAAATCAGACCCTTGTCCTCGATTATATTAGGATGACCACAACCTGTGCTACTATTGTAAAATTAAGATTTTATGAAATCATGGGAGAGGGAGGTAGATTGATCAGCACTACAAATAGCTAATTTGTAATAACAATCAATAAATAGTACATGTACCAAAGGAAATAGTAAAGCTCCGTTAAAACAATGTACGTTGTGTATAATTGTAAATATGCATTCATGCAGTTGCAGTGTTAACAGATGTCATTTAAAAGCTGTGCTCAGTTTTGTATTCACAATTGTATGTATTTTTATTTGTCGAGGTATTATGCAATGTAACCATTTTGTATTGGATGTTGTTTTACTCCCTTGTAATGGCTGTGTGGCTTTTATTATCATAATAAACTTTTGACTTGAATCGTGACATAAATACTTGTTTTTATTGGGAAAGAGTGAACTTTTCCAAATGATTCCTTTTGCTGCTTCATCATTACCAAACTTGCTGGACTACAGTCGACTCTCGTTAGTACAAACTCTCTTACAACATAATTCTGGTTATAGTGAACACTCAGCCTCGGTCTGGACCGTGCATGTATGTGCACAATGAATGGGACCGGCACACCTCTTAATACAAAATTCTGTTATAACAAACATTTTAGCCAGGTCAAGCTGAGTTTGTAATTAACTACAGGAGTCGACTCTAATCGCTGTTATCACATTCAAATTAGTAAGAAGGGAAAATTGAAGACACTGCATAGTACTGCTTTCGGCTGGCATTTTTAATTCTAGCAAAGCACCTGAAATGACAATGACAGTAAAGGGTTGAATACTTGTTTTTTGTGTAAGCATTTAAAAACAAAATACAATGTACGTGTATAAAATTTGAAAAATGAAGTACACTAATCCTTGCATATTCATTACAAATAAATGAATACAAAATTTCAAATACAGTATGTAAAAATCCAATACAAAAGGCCGGTCATGTTCAATGCTTAAACATGTACACTGTATTATACACATTGCTAAAAGGTAACTGCACCAAAATGAATCATGCACCTTCAAATAATTATTTTTCTCTGTATCAATTATCCTTTTTTAAGGAATTTAAAGTTGAACAAAGAAATTGATTGAAGTGGAGTTTGAACCTGTGACCTCCGGATTGCTCTATTTTGGCGGTTCCCCAAGTTTTGTCGTTCAGTCACTCCATCTTTTTTTTTTCTTTGGGAAAAAATGAGACTGGAGCCTGTATTATCTTCAAAACATTCCAAGATGAAGAAAAGGATTTGATCGGAATTTGCATGCTTTTGAAGAGAAATAATCCCTTTCCATATAATCACAGCGTTACCATTTTGATTAGTGCTTCAACCTTTTGAGTAGTCTATGAATACAGCAAAGGTCTATGATATGCGATTAATTACTTGATTAATGATGCAAAAAAGACCGCACATTGACCTCGTCATTCTGACCACATTGACCAATCAATAGCTTAGTCCACATTTCCGATCAAAATGACATCACAATTTTTCAAGTTGATTTTGATTGGCTGATGCGCGGGGTCACATAAAATTTGCATTGCTCAGAAATATCAGACGTTGATTATGGAGAGGGCTCTGTTAGACAACGCGTAATGCTCAGACTACCTTTAGAGCAGGATCCTCCAAACTCCACACTTTGCACAAAAACCAATCGGCCAATTTTTTTTCAAGGGAATTGAGCTTCATTCACAGATACAGTGAACAAATTATGAACAGATCTTTGAGGTTTAAGGTTAATAAATTGGTATTATAATCTACATGTAGATTCAGAAACAAAACGTACAAAAGTAGATATTGCCTGAAGAAAATATGGCAGTTTGGAAGACTTTTGTAAAAACTCTTTAAAAAACAGTTCCCGCATTCGCCAAACTGTACAAAACTAAATGCCTGTATAAAATATGACATTTCATGTACCTTATAGGTAACATTGACTTAATAAATATAAATACATACAAAATGACAATTTAAAATGCTTTCACGGAAGGTTAGAAAAATACAATGAAGTGAAGACTGACAATTTCAGAAGTCGGGCACATTTCAGATAAATTGTCTAAACAGAAAGACTGTTGGAAGTTGGGAATAGGAAGTAGTTTGTCAGTTTTATAGTGGGAGAAAACCTCGAGACATAAATCAACTAAAACTCTGTAAATTGCAGATATGAAATTTAAACAAAGTCACAACTTGACCTGTGGAAGAGGAGAAACTATCCCTGAACCAATCTGTAATAATCCTCCTTAAACAGCTTTGGTTTGTTTTGTACAGTGTGTCCAAAACAAGTCCTCTTTTTCACAGCTTTTAAAAAAGTAAGTAAGTAAAGTCTGTCACGAGCCAATGGGGCCAATCAGGCCGGCGTTTATCTCCGGTTTCAGTAGCACGAAATGACTAGGAATATTCTATTCCCCCTGGATGGGATGCTAGTCCATCGCAGGTTACTCCCCAGCTAATGCCGGTACCCATTTATACTCCTGGGTGGAGAGAGGCAAGTGGGGGTGAAGCGGTTTGCCCAAGGGTGCAACATATGGCCAGCAGCTGGATTCAAACCCCTGACCCTCTGATCAGGAGTCACGTCCCCTAACCACGTGGCCACACTCCCCCCCCCCCCCTTTTAAAACAATACATAACTGCTGATTTTTCATTTTGTCCACGATCTTAATTGTCATTTATTGCGAATGTAATGGATTTGGGTGAGGGTAGTTTTGCTTTCTTTAATTTTTAAACTTTCTATATTTGGTTCTTTTTTTGCAACAATGGTCATTTCTCCATTTGGAAGAAATGGTAGCCCTGAAAAAAAAAGCCTATTTGATGAACTTCTTAGATGTTAACTGTGGGGTGTTAGCACTCTAGTCATGTTTAATATCTCTATGGGCTCCGTGCACAAGTACCCTCATCAACGGCCAGAAAAGGAGAGTTGGGGTGACCTAGACTGGTTCCTGATCCATCCACTGCGTATTTCGAATGTATCCCAAGTTATTGGAGGCGGGGATTAGTCTAGGAGACCATCACAAGTTGAATTTGAATGTATTTGTGCGCCGACGGGGCCTGACGCCCACGTGAAGACGCGGTGGCTATAGCTTTTGCACATTCAGAAAACCGTGTGTACTTCACGTGCAAACCAGTACAGCACGCTGTGTGCCCCGTCCACGGAGCCATCAAATGAGGTAAAAACGCACCCTCTTTTGTTGGCGCACTGTGCCCATGGGCAGAGCACACACAGGCAATGGTGTTCAACTGTCCTTCAACACTGACGTTCCTCTTCACTTCTGAGGGGATGCTTGACCATGGCGACCATAATTTCAATAATGGTTGTAGGAGAAACTCCTTGCATTCTTGGAGGACCGTCCACTGCCCGGCCGACGTACTTCCTGATCTGAGATGAACAGCAAAACAAAACGCTCATCAGCCAAACAAAACACTTCTTACTCCTGCATGGGGAGATGCAACAGAGTTGCCCTGAAAAAAAAAGCTTTCTGACCCCGGAAATAGAAAGTTTATTAACTGTTAAAAAAAAAAGAAAAACAAAAGAACAAGTTTTTACAGGAAAAAAAAAGGACTTCTGGGTACAGAAAAGACAGCATTACAATTACATGACATGTATATTGAAAGAATATGAATATTCAAAATATTGCAAACTCATGACTGCAATGATATTTTTATTGGATTGTCTCACCTATGTATGAACTGCTGTTTTGTGGACTTGGAGATGTTTTCCATCGATGATTCAGTTGCTGTAAGCTGGATGGAGCCCTGACATTTTGAACCGTGGGTCGGTATTGGTCGATTGCAAAGTTGAAAGACAATGCTGCAAAATAATCAAAATGCATCATTACTTAAAGAGTATGAATGGATGACAGCAGGCATTTACTCCGATTTTCCAATCATACAAGCTAATTTAACAGCGATCGTGAAGTGTAGGGCCCGGTTCCTATAAGGGAACAAAATCCACTTTAAAATTATTGGACCTACCAAACTAGTTGGCGACATTCTCAATAAACAGGTATGTCATAGATAGAGGGCAGGGTTTTGATTTTTTGAGGGAAATTTTGGGGTAAAATGACGATGACAGAGCGGCGACAACACGCGACCCGAAAATAAAGATGGCGATCACCGCGCGATGTACCGTGAGCACACACGGCGCTCTGAATCGCAAGGCACAAACCGCGCAGGAAAATCGTGATTTCTACCCCAAGAATCTGTTCAAAATTGCAAAATGGGTGTCATTAGAATTGAGAAAAGTCTGCTTTTGATTGCAAAGGTGATTTTTGAGCAATAAAATACATTTTTGACTCTAATTTGATCAAAACAAAACAGGGGCCCTACACTTCATGATCGCCAATTTAACTGCACAAGCATCCCTATGTTGTTTTCTGTTCCATGTTACTAATGGCTGAACCTGGGTTGATTTGTGATTCACTTGCGACCAGACCTGTGATAGACTGGTTACGGACTCCTGGTCTTTGTCTATTAACATGGGTACATGATGTCAAAAGAAGCAGATGTAGTTCTAGACAAATGTTTTAGGCACAACCTAACCTATGATCTACACATACCTACAGCGGATGGGATATATCGCTGGTATTGAGGTCGGGCTCTGTGGACAAATGGCACAGTGCGCTGTGGTTTGGTAGCCGACTGCTTCTTGCCTGAAAATGAACATGATGATTGGGATAACTAGTTTATTGATTAAGAGTGGCATTACCAATAGAGTGATGTATCCTGTGACATGCACATTTCAAAGCAATCATCGAATTCACAAAGCAACAGCACAGCATATTCAAATCCGGAAGTTTGTCAAAATTGGGACAATCCTGTTGAGCCTATGTTCCCAATAATTTAATTATCAATTCCAAAATCTCATAACAATAATTCAACAGTAGAGCAAAACAATTGCTGTCTGTTTATGGAATTGCCAATGGGTTTTGTCCTCTCTCAGGGCAGTATTGTAGTCCAGTCCATCATAAGTCCTTTCGTAAGTCCAGTCACAAGTAACAGGATAAACAATGAAAAAGGAATAGCTAGTGACTTTACTTGAGACTGAGGGATTTGTGATGGACTTGTGATGGACTTGCAGGGACTTGTGGGGATTCGTGGGGATTCGTGGGGACTTGTGGGGATTCGTGGGGACTTGTGGGGACTTGTGGGGATTCGTGGGGACTTGTGATGGACTTGACTACAACGCTGCCTCAGGGTCATTCAGCACGTACACTAAGCTCCTCTTTCAGTATAAAACAATAAGGGACCACTTGTCAGCAGACAACTGTAGCAGTACATTATAGTACACACCATATATCTTACTCATCACGAGTGCTTGTCTGAGTGCGTTCAGCTGTGGTTTCCCAGTGTTGCCACTTGCCAATGCTGACTGCTGCCTGCTCCTTGTGCAACCTCTCCTAGCTTGCTGTGTGTCTGGCCTGGGGTCTGTCCTGCAGTGTGCCTTGGGGTCTGTTCTACCGTCCGTCTGCTGATTTGGGTGACGCGTGACACGGTGATGATGAGCGAGGCTGTTTTTTAACTGTTGCCTTTGCTTGAAACTATGCAAATTAAAGCAAGTCAAAACTTTTACAAACATGTACATGTACATGTATATACAAAGTGTATAAAGACTTAACCCCAAAGAGAAGTGCATTTTGAAAGGGGTAACCTAAGGAATGCTTTGTTCTTGAACTGTCTTTGGTGTGACCATCCTGTCATATCCTTTTCACAATGAAGAAAATGCCCCACTGTAATGCTTCAAACAAAATTAGTGATTAGAAAATTCATAATGGATAACCATCGAAAGTCTCTCGACCTATTTCTAATGGGGTCCCTTGGTAGATGTGGAAGGAAATTATAGTTTTTGTTCAACAGTTTGTTGACTGATTGGAGTGACTTGTGACCCGACGATGTGAGGCTGGATTTGATCTGGTGTTGCCTTTGTTCAATACTATGGAAGTTAACTCTTTCAGTGCCAAAGTCGTACATGTACGAAGTGTATTTGTTAGTTCGAAATCGCCAACCTCGTACATGTATGAGTAATGTTCGTACTTAAAATCGCCAAACCTCGTACATGTACAAGATAGAGTAAGCATGTTATCACAAGGGGGCGCTCTCGCTCTTTCTAATAATATCATTTTCATTCAGGTACGACCTGTATTTATTTGTTTCATTCGAGTTCTTGCGAGAGGGCGCAGCACTGACACTCGTATTTTCTGCAAAAAGTGCGGAATTCCCCTGTGTGCAGGACAGTGTTTCAGGGTGTATCACTATGTATGTGACTACTATTGACTATCCAATATACCAAGGATATACCAGAGAGCAACAACAACATATTTAGTGAGTAAAACTTATTTCCTTTTTTTTTTTTACAGAATTTTGAACAATTAACAAAAACGCTTGAAGTTGGGCACTTTAGGGTTAAACTTTTCAAATTTCGCGAGCACTGAAAAAAAGTTAACAAGTGTCAAAGCTCATTTTATACAGAGTGTGTAATTGCACCCCCTTAACGAAGAGTGGATTTTCCAGTGGAAACATATACAGTGAAGAACATTTTGTTTTAAACTTTCTTTGGAGTAAAAATCCTACCTGTCCTTCACACAATGAAGAGAATGCCCCATTGTAATGTTTCGTTATCAGGAAATTCAACTCTTTTGTTGGTGCACCCCAGACTACTTGCATCAGTGATCACTCCAATAAATACAAAAACAAAAGTCACTCAATCCACAAACAAACTAGCGGAAAATTGGTAATGAAGACCTTTGGCTACTTACATATTTTGTTTTTCAAATGAAAATTATATTTGTACTTGGTACTTGTAGAGTCCATATCACTTTGCCCCCTCTTTAGCTGTTTCCAGAATTTCAATGCAATTATACTGAAGTTTTCAATGTGTTACATATACATGTAGTACCAGGTTAGCTTGAGGAGAAAACAGTGGGGTACATAGGACACTTTAAGGACCTATGGGTTAGTGATGTATCTTTTTTTTTCAATGAACAAATGGAAAGAATGAAAGAACTGAAAGACACACATTGCCAAGACAGAGTATGTTCCTTACTTTCTCCATGCTCTTTGGATGACAGCTGCTGCATCACTCCTCCTCCTCCAAACTCTCCGCCTCTCCATCTCAACCGACTGCTGTCTGTCCTCAGATGACGCTTGCCGATTGACAGCAACCTCCATGCCACATAAGTTCCCTACACAATTACCCATTGAGCATGTACATTTCTGTGGTTCTCCAAGACATCTACTATCTTCATACTTGACAACTTCTCTCTTTTCTAGGCTTTTTGCTGTAAAGTCTAGATTACTGTTACTGTTATTTGAATTCGCATTCACAACTGGCGTGTCCGTTTGGTGGTTCGTATCTGAGAAGTCTATTTCACTTTTCCCGATAACCTCTGCAACTTCTGATGATCTGGAATTTTGGAGACCAGTGGCCTCGATTTCTGTCACGGGATCCTTCTTGTGGCGTTTGTGATCTGAATCACCCAATCCCAGATTAACTTCATCATCTGTGATGAAGTCACTAGTCCTTCCGCTGTCCGAGCTGGTCTGATCTCCGGGATGACATTTTTCTTCTGTCGCTTCTGTGTCCTCTTTGCTCTTTTCAGAAGCTTTCTGTGTTTCTGCTTCCCAACACAGTCTCTTGGGTTGTCCAGGCTCCAGTTCCGTTTCCAATTTGGAGGTGGTTTGTAATTCAGTGTGCACCACGTGTGATTCTCCGTCATTCACTTCTTCTTCATTACGCACTTGTCCCATCTGAGAATCAGAGTTTCCTATGTCTTTTCTTGAGGTTTCTTCTGTCTCAATTTTCTTGGTCATCTCCACTCTCTTCCTGTGAATGCCAAAGCAGATCATAAGAACTAAGAATACACATGTCATTGTTTGGATTAATTAAACCTTTATAAAAGGCATAATCAACCAAGATGTGTTAGAGTAAACAGTCTTGATTAAATTTTGCTCTACCACTGAGTGTGTCTGACACATAAAACAAATGGTGTGCAAAAATCATGCTGTAGAGTACACCTTTTTTTTGCTGAAATCCATGCAAGAGAAATGTGCCTCTTGTGGGTGTATGACGTAAAATGGCACTGCTATGGCACTGCTATATACCATCACTAATCAATAACTGGTCATATTTTCATCAGCAGAGGGCAGGCAAGTGCACAGCACAGAACCATTACAAATACATGTGTACGCGCATACTAACTTTGCGGCATCTTTCCGGAGTTGCTCATGCTTCATCAACAGTTGTTTCCTCTCCACAAAGGTCTTACGGACACGGTAACCTCGGAAGTAGGCCTGGACCCGGATGGCGGCCATGTCGCGTATCCCAGTGATGGAGAGCGCCCCCTGCTCGATCATGTACTGAGCCACGTGATGGTGCTCGTTCAGTAAGGCATAGTCTAGGGGAGTCAAGCGGTCCTCCGTGTACTCAATGTGGTTGGGGAAGGCTCCGTTGTCGAGAAGAAGCTTGGCGGCGTCCAGGTAACCGGAACTGCAGCACCAGTGCAAGGCGGTCATGCCCTGTGTAGAGATAACAAAGTATTTGTTATCCATTTGTTATTACTGGACTATTATTCATTGTAAAGAAAATGGTAACGAAACAAAGGATTCCTCAAAAGCTCCCCTGGTAATATACTTTGCAAGCCTGAAGATACATAGAGAGAAGACGATGAGGAAATGTTCAGGTGGAGGGAACCGACCACGCCTTGACTGAGTACCCAATTCGGTTGGATTGGAACCCAAGTCACAGAGGTAGAAGATAAAGAAAGCAAGGAGGGACTCAGGTTAAATCAAATAGATTTTGCTTTCAGGCAGGCAAACTTTATGTTTATAATTTTCCATTGACTGGACTCTCGAATTGTTCTTATCAATTGCAACGGTTGATCTTTTGATGTAGTGGCTCCTAAATATTTCAAATGTTGAACTTTTTTTAAATTTCTTAATGGAGACTTAATTCAAATCGTGGAAATAATTTGGTCCGGTGGTCCAAAATAGCTTGAAATGGACTTTGTTTGTGCGAGCTTACTTCAATGTCTTGAGAGTTAGGATCGGCTTCTTTGTCCAGCAGGAGGGAGATACTGTTGGTGAAGCCTCCATAGCTGGCACACTGCAGAGGAGTCCTGCCGCTGAAATCCTGAATGTTGGGGTCAACGTCCTCACTGATCAGGATGGAACAGATACAGGTGTGACCACCTAATGCTGCCCTGTAACCAAAAAGAAAAGGAAAATATCACCAAGGGTCAACTTAAGATGGGGGGGGGGGAGGGGCTATAAATATAACCATTCCTATTCTCTCTGACCAATTTGTTGAAAGAAATCCCAAATTTACATTCCTAAAATAAAGTCAAACTTTATTGCAAATCTCAGTTCATTGCTTATAAGCCTGTGGGCTCATATATGTTGGCTTTAACACCTAAGCCACCTACCCTTATAAAATCTAGGAAACACCTTCACCCAGCAAGCACCCTTTGAAATGAATGTACACAATGACATGTTTTTTGCAGCCAAGAGACTAAAGGAAGTGTATTTTTCAATCAAAACTATAGCTTTCACCCATGCTTTGTAAGCAATAATATTTCATACAGAGCACCTTTGCTGAGGGAATAAATATGAGCTTGGCCGATTTTAAACAAGTGCGTTTCAAACCAGCTAGGGGCCTAGTCGTAGGCTTGGGACATTATCGGTGACCAGGCCCCTGCCCGGTTTGAAACGTACTTGTTTAATAACAACCAAGCGCATATTTATTCCCACTCATAAACACTTTCCGTCAAAGAGTCAAAACAAGTCAAAAATTAGAAATCCCAAAGATTTTGTAAAATTTGTTTCAACAATTTTACTTTGTGTTTTGTGAAACACCCCTCAAGCTATGGTTATGGTATGTGCCTCGCCCGAGTAGTACTAAAAATCTCCTTATATGGCGATTGGCACGAGCATGGCCCATACTGTGCGATGTGGCGCAGAATGCAGCGGTGCCGGTGTAGTGTGAATTTAGGACTCTATGAGTATTGGGTATGCCTAAGTGAAGATAATTAGGAGAGTGACTGGTCACGTGTGATGAGGGTTCAACCAATAAAAGGGTAAAAGGGACCAGATTTTATAGGGCTCCAAATTTCACGTGAGACCAGAAAAAAAGTGTTTAAAACCAGTTGGTGTTATATCAACCGTTGAAAACCACCCACCTAATGGGCTCTTGACCAATAGGAATGGGTAAACTGTCTTAGGTATTTATGGATGAGGGATACATGGCACAGATTCACTGGCTTTAACACAAGCTAAATTCAAGACATACCAGTGAAGAGGCGACCGTCCCTCCTGATCCAGAATGTCAACATGCGCACCACCTGTCATCAAGTGGATCAGAACTTGTCACACCATACGATCCACATTTTATTACATCATTGACAAGCATGAACTACCATTCCTCAAGTGTTTTCATTGCCTTCAGTTCTTTGTATGATAATACTAATTTCCATATTCATGAGCAAAACTGTGATGTCATCTTAGAATCTTCAATGACAAAGCTGTTACCAGATTCAGTTTAGGCCGATTGTTAAGTAAGGGAAGGACTTCACCCCCTCACCTTTTGTTGCCATACATTTGGAAAAACAAAACTAAATTTTTTTTAATAAAAAAATTAATTCTCAGATGCCCCAATATGCATGAGAAAGTATCACAGATTTCAAACTGTCTCTGGAAAAATATCCCCTGCAGCAGTGGCGCACCCAGGGGAGGGGGGGGGGGGGAAATTGTTGTTTGTCCCGCGATTTGACCATGGTGATATGTATGTGGCATATTTTTGAGTACCATAATAGGAGTGCAAATGGCGCCATCAATGTCAAAATAGTCTGTCACCCTCCCCCCCCCCCCAAAAACAGTTTGTTTTTCTGCGGCCCAAAATTTTGGGCATAATTATTTTGAAAAAAAAAAAACATTTGAAAAAAACATGTGAGCCCCCCCCCCCCCCCCCAAGCCAAATCCTGGGTGCGCCACTGCCTTGCAGCTGGACATGTCACATAGATAAAGCCTCCTTTTTTGCAAAGTATCCGTCTGGATCTGTCCCTGTCCATTCTGTTTCTTGAACCCTAAGGCATGCAGTGGGAACCAGCTTAGGCTTTGTTTGAAACCGTCCAAAACTGACCTTGAACGAGTGCCTTGGCTACCAGTGTATGTCCCATCTCTGCTGCCCTGAACAGTGGTGTATGCTTGGACTGGTCTAACATGTTCACATTTGCACCAAGCTGTCAAAACAAATTCGTTCCAAAACAAACGAAATATTTTCATCATTTCCAAGACAGAAATTAATTCTTTTCAGGATGATACAGTTATCACTTTGTACATATATGTACATTTTACTTCAAGCATACTCAAATCCTGGATGCTGATTGGCTGTTACCATAGCAACAGCAGTTGGATAGGATCATTTGTTTGTGTGCATTTTGTTTTCAGTTTGAAGCAACAAAATTGCTCAAGATCCTTAAGTACGGTGCACAACGACTGACTTGTTGAAGTTGCAGTTTGGAAAACAATTTTTTTTGGGGGGGGGTTCTGGTAACTGGATTCCTTTGCTAGTGCATGTAAAAAACAGTGTACCCAGGGTTCGATTTTAGCAGCAACCCGCTAGCCAAATGCTAGTCAAAACAGCAGCGAGATAGTCAAAGTATTCCTTAAGTAGCCCCGCTGGCGAGTCAAAACTTATTGGGATACGGCAAAGATGAATAATAATTTTATTAACTGTTTAGAATTAAATTATTAGATCTGTTGATTAGAAACGCTGACAAGATTGCTTCAGGATACACGTTTGAATGTATGCACATTGTTGTTTATGAGACACTCCATAAAAGAAAAACAGGCTAGTAAAAATGCCCACGGGCTAGTTCAGAGTCTGTTTCAGTAGCCTGCTGGCTAGTGAACAAAAGGTCGAACCCAGTGTACCTGCAGGCACCCTATTTTGAAACAACGTTCAATGCTAGTTTCATTCAAATGATACCATTTCAGGCTGAATAACTCCACAGGGTATTGATAACAGTCCTAAATATGAAATTGGTAGGTATCTGCAAGTGATCATACATGTACATGGCTTTGAAAATGATTGAAATTACCCAAAATGTGCATTTTTCTTTTCGACAAGTTCTACACACAAAGATTTCTACCCACAGTGTGTTGAAAATGGGAGCAGTGTTTATTTCATTCTGCCTTGGCCTGAGCTTTGCTGACTGAAACAAATGTATGCTTTCAGAGTTCAGATTTCTGCAAACAGGTTGAAACGTACAATTTCTAAATGTGTTTAATACGGACCTGGATATCAAGTGATGTACATATTGCTTAGTAATTAAATTTACTGTTAATAGTTTCGGTTAGCAGTTGTGAGCACTTACCTCTAAAAGTACTTGGATTGTGCTCGGATGTCCACACATAGCTGCCGCGTGAAGGGCTAAACAAAAAGCAATCCAATAAAAGATATTTGCACAAATTAATCTCAGTGTAGTGGTACCACAAACAAATGACAATTTCTGAAAATTACAGCAAAAGCAAATGTTGTATCTTGCCTTCAAAACCTCCAGCAGGATTTTGAAAAAGCCTTGGGGTTAGCATAACGGCCTGAAACAAGCTGCCTTGAGCATTATTCCGGTGAGGACCATTAGTCGACTAGTGGTTGATTTGCGATGCAACTTACATCTGTGCACTAAATGCAATGTGCGAAAGGTCTCTATAGTCAAACGATAGTCAAAATTTCATCACAAAACTTCATGGTCCTGGCTCCCCGTTGTGCTTTATGATGCAATGGTTATTGGTAACCAGTGATGCAACCGTGCCCCGTTTCCATATAGTTGACTAGAGTAGTCCAACCATCCAGTGGCGTACCCAGGATATGGCTTGGGGGGGGGGCCTCACAATTTTTGTTTCCACATTTTTTAGAAGTTTGAATTTGTTCAAAAATTTTACAGAAAATTTGTGGCCGCAGAAAATATCACCAAGGTCAAATCGTGGGAGTAAAAACAAATTACCAAAAAAAAAATTTAAAAAAAAATTGACAACCTCTTGGGGGGAGGGGGGCTCAAGCCCCCCCCCCCCCCCTCCCCTCGAGTACGCCACTGCAACCATCCTTAGTTCGAGTGAAGTCTGGACATCTGGAGAGGCTTCATTTCCTTGGTTCGATCGGAAGATCGGCCAAGGTAGGTAGATAGGTAGATAGGTAGGTAGGTAGGTAGGTAGGTAGGTAGGTAGGTAGGTGAAGTTAGTCAAACAATGGCTTTAACCATAGTCTGTCTCAAACGAGCTCTTTGCTGACAAGAAACTCACCTGTTGCGCCTGTTTTATCCGTGGCATTGATGTCTGGCTGGCTGATTTCAACCATGCGGACAATCACCTCATCGGCACCTTTGCCTGCCGCCCACATCAGTGCGGTGCGCCCCTCCAGATCGGGCTCATCAGTGATGCCCTCACGACTCAGAAAAGCTGCCACGGTATCCTATTTCAAACAAAGACACAGTTGTAATTGCATTTTGATTCAAGTCGTGATACGCCTTGTAATGGAAACGGCTACAACTCTGGTACAATTTACAAATTTGGGCACACTCCATGCCTTTGAAGTTTAAAGCTTTGTTGCGTGGATGAACCGTTGCACATAACCCTCACTACGTACCCTTATTGGCTTGTGTGAGTAGATACAATGACATACTCTACCGTTCCATGCCTAGCCTCATAAAAGGAATGTCATTTCCCCTAATCTTCTGAAAATGCTCTTTCTTAAACCGTGTACTCTGATTGCAATTTTAGCTGAATACGCCACTGGTCTCCGTGAACAAGTACCCCCTCAATGGACAGTAAGAGAGTTGGGGGTGACCACTGGTAGAGAACTTCGAATGCATTGCTGAAAACGCCCGACACTCGCACAAAAATGCTATGGTTTTGTGAACAAAATACAGTCATGTGCGCTTCACACTATACACCCGTGAATCAGTACACGCATGCCGTGTCCCCCGTCCACTGGGCTTGAAAGTGGTCAAAAAGCGCCCTCTCTTGTTCGCGCACGGAGCCCAAACCCTCCACATGGAGTGCACTAAACAGCAAAGACTCTAAATACAGTTATTCGGAAGCCGCTAATGTGCTTATCATAGGATTAGCTGTAGATTTCTATTGAGTGTGCAGCTACTCACTCCTGTAGTAATATCCATGCAGTAAATATCAGGCATACTCTTATACTGAAGTATTGCTGAGCAGAATTTTTACAACTGGACATGTCGACTCACCGCATGGTTATTCTGTGCAGCGTAATGCAATGGCGTGGCCCCGTTGGCATCTGAGCTGGTCACGTTGGCCCCCGCGTCAAGCAGAAGCTCCACAATGTGGGTGTGGCCAAGCACTGCCGCCCAGTGCAGAGGGGTGCGGAACATGTTGTCCAGGACCGAAACGTTACACTTCACCAAACTCGTCTATGCCCGACAAAAAATATTCAAAGAACACAGGATGTGGTTTATTTTCAGAACATGGTAAATGAACAACATGTAAAAACATCGAAGACAGGAAAGTTCAGTTTCTACCGTTTCTGTTTAAATTATAGCTATGTTTTGTTGTACATCAAATTAGGTTTTGCCCTTCACCGACGTATAAACACTGTTTACTCAGTGTGTAACCTCCCGAGTGAAAGTTGGAAAAAATCACTCGGGTGGGACTCCAACCCACGACCTCCTGCTTTCTAGTGCAGATGTCTTACCACACGACGTTTATACGTCGGTGAAGGGCAAAACTTAATTTGATTTACATCACCCCGACCCAAAATTCCATCTTATGAATTATGTTTTGTGTTATTCCCTCTGAATGGATTTTTTTAAAATTGGGTATTGCTCTTCAAATCGACAGCTTTCTAAATCTATTTGTTTTGCTATATTTGGCTGTAATCACATTTGACTGTTAGTCACTGCTTAGAGGGAAGGCGAAAATAAGAACAATTGTTACAAACCCATTCAGTACACCCCCCCTCCCCCGAAAAAAAATGCGGCCCCTCTGCAAAATGGACCCAAGTTATGACACTGCCCTTAATGCAGTGTTCAAGTCTCAAGATTTCATTTGGTTTTCATTTCATTCTCGAATACACAGATTAATTTATTGGTCAGTCCAATGCAAGATATTCCACCCACCTGAAAATTGATGAGCTGTTGAGCTATGGTCTCATTGCCCTGGGCAACGGCTAGATGAAGGGCGGTCCGACCCTCGTAGTCCTGCCAAGTAATCACACTGGGCTCTGTGTCCTGATCAAAACAATCAAAACAATTGATCGGCACCTTCGAGTGACGATTGTGCACCTTATAAATGCTTTGTATTCCCAATGAAAATTCATTAAAAAGGGCTTACAGAATTTTCCTGTCTCGTTCTTAAGACCCAGTGGCAATTTTTTTTCTTCAAGTACCCAGATTCAGCTTCCAGAGTGGTATGTCGGTAATATAATAATAATAATAATTTGGGAGGCTAATCATCCTTACTCGCAGCTGGTATGCTGAATTGCGAAGGACGCGGCTACAACGTGGTCGGGCCGCTGGCATGTAAAGGCGCCTATGGCTGCCGGCCACATCGACCCATATATGACCACGGAGCACAGCCTGAGATCGAAAGTGTTTGATTTTTCCGGAGGGAGGAAAACCGGAGGGCCCGGAGAAAAAACCTCGTGGCACAGGAGAGAACCAATGCACAACTCTACTCACATGCGATCCGCGGCCAGGATTCGAACCGAGGTCACCTTGGTGAGAGGCGAGCGCTTTACGCACAAGCCACCCATGCCACCCAAGAGCTTAAATCAAAGCCTCCAGGTGATAGCACTTACTTCATCAGCCATTGAAGAATGGTTTTGACTAAAAAACACTGAGAGTACATTTTTCACATCTTCACTGTTGTCCACAGGCTGATATCCAAAATGTGAAATTAGAAAAAAAAAAGTTTGGCGAAAGGACTAAGCGCAATCAATTTTGAGCTGTCACATGTCAAATTCGTCCACATACTTAAAGTCTGAATGAGCACATCATAAATTTTGTTTGAACAAGTATAGTGAAAAGTTGGAAAATGTCCGAAGTCCCCCTCTAAAAAAAGTCGTTTGTGATCAGCAAATAGTTGCGCCTATATATAGCAGCTCTATGAAATTGTTCCCTGGTTAAACACTGACCAGTATGAGCTGTACAGTGTTGACAGCAGACACATCATGACCAGCACTGGCAGCCCAATGGAGAGGGGTCTTGCCGTCAACGTCAGGTATGCCGATATTGGAGTTCTGTTGGGAAAATCAAGACAAAAATTCCCATTAAAGGCAGTGCTTTTTACATATTGCTCATGTCAACATTGTTAAGGTGATTTTTTTTCTTCAAAGTATCAGGTTCTGTTATGAAACGAAGATGACAAATTCCAACCTTATAACCCTAACTCCCTACTGACTTTTTTTTTACTAAAGTAGAGGACCAAGTGTATCAAAATCCATCACTGACACTGCTTTGCATAATGCTTCAGGACCACATCCATTGCAATCCACCACTGGTGGATTCGGATGGATTTGCTACGCATGGCTTATCTGCCAAAATTCCCCCAAATTTGGGAATGGATTTTGATGCACTTGGGAAGGCTAGGGTTAACATAAAATTCCATCTTCAAATTGGTTTTTTATATCTTTGTTCATGTTACAGATTTTTTTTTCTTTTTCTCAAAATCATTACGATCTCTTACATCGAATCCAAATAATACTTGCATGTTTGATTAGAAGTTTGACGGCCTCTTCATTCCCATAGGAAGAACTCCAGTGTAGAGCAGTTCTCTGTGAAAATACAAAATAAAAATAACTCATCATCAAGTTTGATAAAAAGACAAAAAAATTAAATCATAACTTTACACACCTTAAGGCAACTGTGCTTGTAAAGTTAGGGATTACAATGTCTACTGTACAGGGCAAGTCAAAAAACGGAAACCCAAATGTCAGGACCATTGTGTTAATGAAGTTCTGCATGTAGCACTTTCAAAATCTAGGCTATGAAAGCCAAATTAATAAGCTTTCTTTTAGTACAGGAATCATTCATATCACTCATGTACTTTTCAAGTTACGGAATTTTGAACACAAACACCGTATTAAAGTTCTGTCCATGGATCACAAAAAAAGGGCAAGTGTTCTTACAGCAAAACAAAAACAATTCACATAGGGATGTATGTGAATACGCATGTCACAAGTGCCTGAACCGATCAGTTGTACAAAACGGACAAATTGTTTTTCAGTGTGGCTGAAAACATTAGCGTATAATGAATCACAAATATTAATTTCTTCGTCAGAGCAGACTTGTATTAATTTGTAATTAGCTTTATTTTATTGCTTTCATTTCTATTCGCAAGCTCCAAAAATTGAAGATTTGACCTTATTTTCAATTTAATATGGCCGACTCATGAATAAAGCCTATTGTAGGTTTCATCACTGCCATGACTAAGAAAATGGTTCAAATTCCATGCAGTTTATGAGAGGATCGATAAAAGCATTGACTAGGTCTTCACCTTCGCATTGTCCTGTTCGTCTTGTTCACCTGGCTCCAGTTGTTTGATCAACAGCATCAGGCATTTGGTGTTGTCATGGCGAGTTGCTAGGTGCAATGCCGACTGGCCCTCCTTGTCTTTAATCCTCCAGTTGGCTCCCTTGGCGAGAAGCAGCTTGCATAACCTCAGGTTACCCTGTCATTCAGAATAGAACACTTCATTGAAAAACACTATTAAGAATGTAACCAGTCCAATGCTTTACAAATAATGAAATCTTCCAGCCCAAAACGTACACACGGTTTGTGTGCAAACTTACAGGACTGTGGCAAATATACGGAATATTCACATTTTCAAATCATCAACTTGAACTGAAAAGCTTCTTTCAAATTCAAATATTAAAAATACGTGAGCAATCTCGGGGTGATGATGTAAAAGGTCCAAGATATCATTTGTAATCGTACAATTTGCGTGGTTCTAGTCAAATGCCACACTTTTGCTGATTTAAGAACTTCTATTCATAAGGAATATTAGCCGAAATTTCTACTTTAAAATCGGTCAAATATAAGCCATTCTCCTACCTGTTCTGTACCTCATTTTATTAAGCTTTTTGCTAATCCTGATTGTTGGCTAGTTTAGGCTGGCGCATGTTTATCTTGATCAGTGCATTTCAAAATAGAATATTTGAATATTCCATGAAGTCTAAGTTGGAATAATTGAATGCTAAATTCTTCACAAATGCACAGTTATACAAAGAATGGAAGGTTTGCAGTAACACCGTATCTCTTTTTGAGTTGTGTGGTTCTGGGAAAAACCAGTTGTTTTAACTCGACGTTTCGAACAGTGTGCTCTGTTCGTCATCAGAGCACACTGTTCGAAATGAACAACTGGTTTTCCTCAGAACCACATCAACTCAAAAAGAGATATCATTCACCGTGGTGTTACTGCAAACCTTCAATTCTTTGTTCACCTCCACCAAAACCTGCAAGTCTCATTCACAGCTTTACAATTCACAATGCAGAGGGCCGTTACCTAAAAGAAACCACTTTTCAACCTTACTGTCGACAGATCACAGCAGTCGAGATTTGTAAATAAAAAAAAAAACACCCATAAACCTGTTGAATTTGGAAGTAAAGTTTGTACTTTTCTTGTTTTCCATCTTTTTGGCCTGGGTTTAAATCCTACTCTGGCCAGCACGTGGAGTGACTTTTCAGTCCCTACATGAATCAGAGGCTTTTCCATACAATATTCATATGGGATTTTCCTCCCACCTTAAAAACTGAATAATTTTGTTTTTGCCCTTCCGATTTTTTGGGGGGCTGGCAAACTACTAGTCTATGGAATATCTTGTTGCCCAGTAACTGTCTATGATACGCGAGCAGATTCGGCGATTAATAATGCAAAACAAGACTGCGTCTTGACCTCGAGATTCTGACCATTCAGTGGGAGCCTTCTATATCGGGTCTTCAGTAACCGGTTGTTGTATTACAAAAACATGGCATCCAAATCGACCAATCAACAGCTTAGTCCACATATCTGATTGACATGATGTGACAGGTTCCAAAGTCGACAGAGCCATGGGCACTTTTGAAAAATGTGTTGTCTTCATTACCAGAAATGAACAATAAAGAAAACTCTTTAGTTCCCACCTTGTAAGCTGCCCAGTGGAATGCTGTCCTGCCTGCATTGTCCACACTATTGACTTTAGCACTGTGCTTAATAAGAAGCTCAGCGCATTCCAGCCGGTCGGCTAGCACAGTCAGCATCAGTGGGGTACGACCAAACTGGTCACCGGCATCAATGTCATCGTGACTATCTGTCATTCAATGTACAAACGTGCATGGAGTAATTCACAATCTATTTTAAACAAAGAATAAAAGGGAACATATAATATTTGCTTTTGCTGCAATTTTCAGAAATGGATGGATTTGGGGTTTAGTATTTTATACCAATTTGTTACACTGACTTGCTTGAAGTTTTGTGTTTGTAGAATGTAGATGCTGGAAAAAGCAAGAAATTTAATCGCGTTCCTGTAGTCTGAAAAACAATCGCGTTCATGTAGTCTGGTTCCCTGACTCCACGTAAGATGAAACGGAGCAAATTATAGACATCAGGGAATTGTAAGTTCAGGGAACCAGTCTAGCTGGCTTGTACCCGTTCATAGGTGTGTAATTGATTGCAAACAAAATGTGGAGTAACTAATATGGAAAATTGGGGGCAGTATTTGAAAAAAGCCAGTTTTTTCAAACGCTGGTCGGCCGACCAGTGTTGGAAATTGATACAAAGATGAGTGTGCAGTGCCTGATGAGTACAAAGTCCCTGCATTCCCGTAACTTAATATTTTTTGTAACCTCGGTGGATACATAAGGTCTGGTAACTATGTTCACATCAAATATGAAGTTTTGGTTAAATTCACAACTCATAATAATAACTCGATGCCCTAGTGAACACGTAAAAATATGATGCGAACAGCTGTCAAACTACTCACTGTTGAGTAGTTTACTGAGGGCGCTCTTATCTCCATTGACAGCAGCCGCATGTGTGTGCGTGCTCTGTGCCGACCCTCGCTGTAGGGATGGAATGGATCCCATAATGCCTTGCTGCTGTTGCATTGTGGGGCCATTGTCACTGGCAGGCATGTTGATATCCTGTTCTGCATGCACACGTCCGCTTCTCATCTGCAAATGAACAATATTTTGAAATGAGGAAGGAATTTATTACAATGAAAAGAATGATTTAAGTGCCAATAAAATTGTTTGGAAAAGTGAATGACAGTAGATAAGTCTCCTGGAGGCAAGGGCTGAAGATGTCTGCACTAGCTAGTAATTCAAAAGATATGGGTTGGAGTCCATCGTGCCAAGCTTCGGAAATTTTCACATCACGAAATTAATTCTCTTTTACTCCTCACAAAAGAAAGACAAAATTAAAACTGTTCAAGAGAGGAGGTTGATGAGTTAGCTGATTTCTTTCATTCATTTAAATGCTGACAGCATTTCCTTCACTAAAAGAAGTGTTAACTTTGGAAGTCTTAGGAAAATAAAACTTTCCATGATCACATAGTAATTAAAGTGGCCTTCAGGGTGAAGCATTGAGGCACTCATTTCAACAATGCACACATCTGGATTTCACTTGGATTTTGGCATTTTGTAAAAGCACTGTCTAAAAAGAAAAGCAACTTTTTAAAAAGACATCATAAGTCATCACGCAAACGTGAAGGGAATTGGATGGCAATAAACGTTCGCTGCAAAATTCACTGGAGTTGAAATGGGTTCAACTTTTGCGTATTCGTAGTGCAAATACTTGCCATGATGTCACAAATTCACATCCGCATTCATTCTCGAGCAGAGTATGAAAAGAAAAGCATCTTTTGAGAGAGACAGATCAAAGGTCATCATGCAAACATGAAGGGAATTGGACGGCACTAAACATTCGCTGCGAAATTCGCTGAGAGTTGAAATGTGTTCAACTTTTGCAAATTTGTAGTGCAAATACTTGCCATGATGTTGAAATTCACATTTGCATTCACTTCCGAGCCGACTATGAACTGGCCTTAATTCTATAGACTCTGCTGAAACCAAAGTTTGGCTTCCTTACTCTGAAACATACTTACTCTGAAACACTTGAAGAACCAAGAACACATTTCATGCACTGTTACCTTTCCACAATATTAATTCAGTTGTGTACATTTTCTTAAATCCATTAGTTTGAGTACTGAACAACAAAATGGTAAATTCATCGAGCTTAAAACAGCACAGTGAATGGCCGGAGCAAAAGTTGTACACCGACAGAAATACCTCGGTGTTCATCCATAGTACGCAACTCTACATACACTCTCGTTTATGACTCAACAGAGTGACAACATATCAGCTTAGTCATCACATGTATTGAACACTTTTGTGTCTATGAGTGAGTGTGTAGGAACCCATTGCTGACAGCTTTTCATTGTGCGTTGCTAGCCCGGACAGGAGCGCGCTATTCTTGTGTTGGAGGCTGCTGTCACGCACCAATGATTTCTGAGCTCAAATGTCAACAACGTGAAAAATATACAGCTTTTCACTTTTTTTGAGCAAGAGGACCGGTGTGTGGCAAATAAAAAGCTTCTGGCTTACAATTACAAACAGTACAAGAACATATACCGGCATATCATGTAACATTGTATTTTCTGCCATTTGGGAAGGGGGGGGGGTGTAAGTCTCTTTTTTAGCAATGTAACATTTTTAACTTTTGGAAAGATCCATACTGATTTCACTCTTTTTTTAACATCCTTTTTGCAAATCATGCATAAAACTAATGATGTTCTAATTATACTTTCAGCAAGTGAGTCACATTACAGAAATTTTCAATAGTGTTTAGGAATAGTGTTTATAAAAATAACATGTCTTTCATTACTCCATTCTCTCTTGTAAAATTTCAAAAAAAAAATACAATCAAACATTTATCAGGGCCTCTGATACCATTTGTATATCAGGTCACTCCATTCGATATATTTTCACTTGATTTTTTTTTCTCCAGTTTTTACATTCATATTATCATATCCAAAAGGATTGTTAGTGTTACAGTTGTGTGAAGATTCGTAGATAGGTGCTGGGTTTTTATTTCAAGAATGTCTTATGCCAACTACCATGCAACTTAAATTTTAAATTTTACTTGCCTTTTAGTTTCTACTTGTCTGTACTTTGGGCAAGCAAAAAATTAATTCAAAGCTCACTTGGAATGAAGAGATAAAAACTTGTCAAAAATATGTTTATTATTACCTGCAGCGACTTTGGACAATGGTGCACAAATGCTTGTCCCATCCAAAGTTCATTTTATGAAGCACCCTCTGTAATAAAACACACAAAAAATGTTTTTAATTAATATAATGTTGAAACTTGAAACTTTCAAGCCACATTTAAAAAAAAATATACTATCAATGAAGGTCAGTCATTGCAAAAATGTTGAAAAGACATGAATCTGGGTATGAGAAAATTTCCAATTTTGTTAGAAAATACTGACATTCACAATGCATTGCGGTACATATCAACGTGATGTCGCACGTTTGGATTTCAATAACTCTCTGCAAAATTAGAATTAAAAGGCAGAGGTTTCAGGGAACATTGAGGAAACCGTATTAAGAAGCTTGCAAATTTAATGCACACCGGTTTTTTTATGCAGCACAAACTTTTGCACGATATGGATACCTTAAGTTTTGGGTGATCGTGTAGTGTAGGGCCCCTGTTTTGTTTCGATCAAATTAGAATTAAGAATGTTTTTTATTTCTAAAAAATGACATTGTCAACCTAAAGCAGATTTCTCTCAATGTAATGACACCTTTTTGGTAATTTTTTGAACAGTTTCTTAGGGTAGAAATTACGATTTTCCTACGTGGTTTACAGGCGGATTACTGCATAAATGAACTACAACTACAAGTACAAATTACATGTAAAGTTTCAAGTATAAGTTCCATCCAGGAAGGATGTGTAGTTCTGTTTATAATAAATGGTTGCATATAATATGAGATTTCATTCTCATAGGGGTTTCAATTATGACGTCACATGTCACGTGATGATGTATGTCACATAAATTTTCATCTATAACTATAATTGTTTTGTATGCCAGAGCATACATCGTTGAAAGCAAGTTCACATCTTTCACCAATTTTAAATTACAAGGCACTTCCGGTTTCAACCGGAAGGAAGGGTCACATGATTTTGCACATATGTAATATCAAAAATGAAAACCCTGGATTATTCTATCAATTCCAGCAAAAGTCATGTTCAGGTCTCTCACGGTTGATTTTAATTTCTATATTGATTTTATATATATTTTTTATATTGATTATACAATATATTTATATTGATTTAATCTTTAATGTGACGTCACGTAACCCATAATGACGTCTTCGTGACGTCACTTCAATTTTCATCTATAACACATCCCGGTCTAGGTACATACCAACTTTCAACCCAATCGGACCTGTAGTTCTGTAGATATAGGCCTTCAAAATATGCACTTTTAATATGACGTCACATGTCACGTGATGACGTCATGATGATGTCAATGTTCGGCACACAACTTCAGATGCTGGTCTAAATGTTTCGGATTTTTCGGATTAAATTTAGTGTCCAAAGTGCCGGTAACAAAAAATGTGTACAAATGCAATGGGCAAAAATGACTGGAATTTTTTTTTTTTTTACAAAAACAAAGGGTGTTTCGGCTGGTTGCCGAAACAGCCAACAAACATGAAACTTGACTAAGTATAAAGGCCATCGGGGAAAAAATTCCATACTGGGCCACCACTCAGACAGTCAGAGCTCCTGCACAAAGTCCACGGGCCCATGACATTTTTAAGTAGTATCAAGAATTTCTGCACTAAACAGTGTTTCTTCATCAGATTTACAACTTTTGGTATTTTTCAGGTCATATTAATGAATATGAGTGGTGGCCCAGCATGGAATTTTTTCCGGGCTAAACATTGATGTGTATGACGTCACTGTTTAACAGGTTTTTTTGTTGCTAGGCTGTGTGGAATTCATTAATGAGTGATTACCTAAAAAATAAAACGCAGTGGCTATTGTTACGGCAGCCGTAACGCATTTCCCATTTTCTATCGTTACAGTAGTAGGCCTACTGCTACTGCAACTTTTATAAAAACATGAGAAGAAAATATAAAATAAGAAGGAAAAAGTGAATTTGAACGTTATGAAATTCTGACTTTATTTCCCTTTTGAAAAAATCCTCCAAAGCCTCAGGTTAGAAAAGGAAAAAAATTCGAGTGCAAAACTGAGATGCGAACCCGCAACATCGCGGTGCAAAATCCTACCCTCTATCGACTGAGCTGTCGCACTGTACTCCTAGAACTATGAGGCTCCGCGTGAGCGGAGCCTCATAGATGTAGAAGCCCGCAAAATTGTCTGCAGCACAAAACACTAATAAAGTACAAAAACGTCCATCAAAATTGCAGACATTTCACACAGAACCGCTGCACAGTTTGCCCCTATACTCCGTACTTTACCTCTTGACATACTCACGTATCTGGGGCACAACTAACATAGGTGGATTCTGTCGGTTTTTAGGCCAAAATGATGAAAATATGCCCTTTCCGCACTGAGCCAACCGAACACTTGAAACGTGCACGCATATGATCGAGCGATGATTTTCGGTTCGCTCGGAGCGCGCCGCAGGGGGTACGGTACAGGCGAAATGATACATGTAGTATGTGCATGCGTACAAGTGCATGTACCGTACCCCCCGCGGCGCGCTCCGAGCGAACCGAAAATCATCGCTCGATCATATGCGTGCACGTTTCAAGTGTTCGGTTGGCTCAGTGCGGAAAGGGCATATTTTTCATCATTTTGGCCTAAAAACCGACAGAATCCACCTATGTTAGTTGTGCCCCAGATACGTGAGTATGTCAAGAGGTAAAGTACGGAGTATAGGGGCAAACTGTGCAGCGGTTCTGTGTGAAATGTCTGCAATTTTGATGGACGTTTTTGTACTTTATTAGTGTTTTGTGCTGCAGACAATTTTGCGGGCTTCTACATCTATGAGGCTCCGCTCACGCGGAGCCTCATAGTTCTAGGAGTAGTCGCACTGCTCGCTAAAATGTGGGGAAACAAATAATTATATACCCGGGTGCGTATCAAAAAAAGCGTCGTAGAGGGCGCTAAACAACGGCTGCCGTAACGATAGCCACTTCGAAAATAAAATTAAATGGGAATTTTTCCCCATTTTTAAATCAATTATCATAAAAACATTGACAGATCGTCACAATTCACATCGTATTCCAAGTCCCTACTTGTACTACTTCCCAATGCACGTACCTGTACTACACTGTAGGCCATACGTTAACCATAACCGATATTTTACTTAGTGTTTCCGTTGTCATGCTGCATTGCAATGCGATGATAAATGACAACACACAGCATAGTACACCACCTGCTTAATGCTGTAGCATGACACCCTGCCAATTACGGAAAATTCTTGTGACTTAATAGTGCATTGCGAAGCACATCTACGTCAGGGTACCAAACTCTGTTCTTAAGCCGCAAACTAGACTTAATTTAAAGGCGAACCTGAGGCAATAAGCACAACACATGCGCTGTCGTTTAATGGACAGACAGATCATGCGTGGAATCTGACTTGAATCAAGTTTAGCTACATAGATTCAGTTGTGTACAACGACCCCGACCCGGCCAGCGCACAATGTAGGCATGGAAGTTGCATGGCAAGGGAAAATTACTAGGAGACGTGCTCCAAGTTCAATTCAGTAAAAAAAACTTAAGTCCAAGGTGATATTTTGAAAGTTGAAATTTGGAAAGAATGTTTGATCGTGAATGTTTTGACCGTGTAGGACCCTATATGAGCGCCCCCATTTGGAAGATGGGTGCCAGCCCCCGCCCCCCTCCTGTTTTTTGATTTTACGAAGGCCAAAACGTGCCTGAAATTTTTTTCTACATTTCCCGCGCACGGATGTGCAGTTGCTTCCCCCTCTTCTGGTCACTCACACATTCTCTCGGGGCACATAGACGTGCACTAGTGACCTAATTGCCAGTCTATTATGTGTATACTAGATGCCAGCGCTGAATAAGTTTTTTATTATTAATCAGTATCATTATTTTCGATGAAATATTAATGATTTTTTTTGACTGCCTTGCTCGTCACACAGTTTGTCCTAGAAGTGGACCAACAGACAGAATGAATCCATTTGCCAATAGAAAATAAAAGTAATGAGCTTCTGTAAAATAATCAAAATCCAGAAGAAATTAACCTAAGGGCGGATCCAGAACACAATTTTTTTTGGGGGGGGGGCCCAAAAAAAATTTGGTCCCCCCAAAAAGTGGGTCAAAATTTTTTTTTTGGATTCTAGATGCTCTGTGGTGCGATCTGAGGCAATTTCTGACCACTTTAACCAATGTTTTTTTTTGGAGGAAAAGATGGTGGTGTTCTCATTGCCTGCCTTTATTGCGATGTCACATAAAAAAAAAAAAAAAAAGTTAGCACCAAAGTTAATTACCTTTACAGACTTATGACGCTGTTGTTAATCTCTAATCTACTGATAAGGCTTAATGTACAAACGTTATTTGACATACGAAAGCATACAGTGCTTTGTTTTTATTGCGGGTAGTAGCTGATGCAGAAGATGATTGAAGAATTAAAAATCAAGGTCAATCTGTTATAAAAAAAAAACAATTAAAAGTTAAGTGGATTTTTCGGACTGGCAGGATTACTAGCATAACCCACTCGTGCCTTATTAATGCTTCGACTGATAAAGTTTGAAAAAGTGCCCGAAGCAATGGCACTTTTCGGGTCATTTGTATTTTCTGATTGTGTAAAATTTCAGTATTGGTCCGAAGACTCATTATTTTGTCCAACATTTCAATCTATTTCACCTTAAGAGTTTCAGGTCCCATACTCACACTTGTCATTCCTCTGCGTTCAAGGTAGTCTTGTACTCATGTTTTAGTCCAAATACGTGTCAAAATGTTTTCAGTATCTTAAATTCAACACGGAAGATATAGTCCATCATTTGTAATTTGTGCATTTTGTTCGTTTGAAGCAAAAAAAGTGTTCAAAATCTAATGAAAGATACTGAATAACTAACCTGATGAAGTTTCAGCTCAGCTTCAGCTGTACTTCCGAGAAAACAGCATTCTAGGATCTCAATTTCAAATCAAAAGTTGCTGAATCATGTTTTGAAGCGATGTCGCGCACTGATCCGACGAATTATAGCAACTGGGTGCACGTGTGCGTCGTGCCAATGCTTGCGCACGAACTACTAATTTAAATTTTCCTACGGTGCGTCTTAAGACGCACCGTTGGAAAGGCCTTCTTTCGTTGATTACTTCAAAATGACAGCTTGCCAGAAAGAATAGTTTCACAGGGAGTTTAGTCCCTTACTATCTTTCAACCAACTATGTTTTTCAACAATAATTACGCCAGTTACTTTTCGGATGGCTGCAAATGATGGACTATAGCTTTAAAGTTTGAATTATACTATAAAAAAGATATTTGAAAGTCGTGTTGGTGCTTGGGCCTCAAGGTCTAATAACTGTTTAAGTGCCAAGTTCAAATGACGTTTGAAACTTCTTATACATGAAATAGAAAAATAACAATTGTGAAGTTTTTCGATTAAATGTAAAAGTAGGTAGTAATTTCCTGCTGGTACATTAACCCAATTTAAAGACTTACCAGAACTAATGGATTTTTACAGGCCTAATTATTTTTGGAAGTGTTTCAGTTAAAGAGATGAATTTGATGTCAAGCTAATTTCATCACCTGCTATAACATTGCTCAAAGCCTATAAAATCGTCTGATAGATTGCAGAGATCGTCATTCTGATCTCGAATCCGAAGACGTATCACGCCATGATGATGTTGGTAATCGGTCTCTGCCTGGTGCTTGCCTCGACGGTGTTTGCTGGACCTGCGGTGAGTTTCGGTAACCCGTTTGAAGCCTAGGGAAATCATTTGATCGAAATCGACCCCATGTATCTCTTATGCATGAAGGCTGATCTAACCCAGAGCTGCTACAGAAGTGCAAATTTTAAACACTGGTCTAGACAACAGAAGACACGGAAGAGTCACGTCTTAAGCTTCAATCGGCAGTGGCGTAAATCTGTACCGGCGAGGGGGGGGGGGGGGGGGGGGGGGGGGGGGGGAGATGACCAAAATCCAATCGAAAGGGGGGGGGCGGACACCGCACTACACTAGGAGGCGCTCTTCAGGATATAGATGTTAATATGTATACTCGCGCTTACATCAAAACGGCGCATTTGAAGGTTTTTGTACTTGTGTTTCTTCACTTTTCAGTGCTATTGAATACATTTTTGTTGTCTGGATGTTTGAAAATACCTCGAAATCCGCATTTTTTTTTCATCACGAAACTTGTCGCCCCCCAGTCGCCCCCCCCCCCTGAGATTTTGAGTTTCTAAAAAAATTATCATTAATCTACATGACGCCCCCCCATGAAATGTTCCAGCCCCCCCCCCCCCCCCCCCCCCAACTGAAAAACATGGCTACACCACTGTCTGGGCGTCGGGGAAATTGTCAGGTCAGGGAACCAGACCAAAAGACTTTGTATCTCTTTGTAGACTGGACTAAAAACCTGCCCCGATTCAGATAAATCTCTTTTAAATAAATCACCTTTCCTTCTTCTGACAGCCGTCATTGGGACAATGCTGCTTTCTTAACCGGGTGAGTTGGTTGAATTACATCCCAGGCGGTGGTTTAGCAGGTTGTACAATTCATCGTCTTCTACTTGATTGTGAAAGCTGACAAATGTCGAGTTATATCGGCGGCAGTTTTTTTTTTTTACAGTCATACACAAATAGATAAAGCAAACGTTTTAAGAAAATTCATGATTCGAAAAAAAGGTTTATTCTACATTCGCTGGTAGGCCTACACAGACTACGCACTGACGTAACTTTCCTCGACTTGAACACAGTCGTCTCAATAATATTTTTTTGTCCAGAGCTTAACCGATCATTTGAAAAACAATACTCCATATTGATTTGGACAAAGCTGGTATGGTCTGTGCACCTTGATATTTTAAGTATTATTTCCAGGAGTATCTGAATCTCTTGACTATACTCACTTTTGTTTGGCTTCATGTTTGTTTCCTCATGAATTTCAACTTGCAAGCAAGTTTATAACAAAAAGTGTTTTTCTGTTCCTTGCGTCGTTTAACCCTCTGAAAAAGACTTTGAATTTTGGGTGTCTTTGGCGCAAATTGATCTACCTTACATGTTGACTGGCTTCTGGCTCCGTTTGATTTTGACTAGTCTCCCCAGCAAGAGCTTAATTATTGTCGGGCCGCAAAATATTCGAAATTAAAAAATTATCAATCCATAAGTAAACTTGGGACGATTTACTACGCATGAACAAATAGCAACGCAAAATATATATTCGCTGTGAATAGCACAGAAGATATATATTTAATAACTTTAATTTGAAATAGTAATTTGGAAAAAAATTATTACTCTGGGAAAAGTAATGAATTTGCCAGGGTGTCTGTCTGTTTATTGAAGCATTGTTCTATTTCACGCATTTAGATGGTCCATGGATTCGGGCGGCACCTTAGGAAGAGCAAATATCGCCCGTTGTGGCGATGCCCATTCAGCGTCCATTTCGAACGTCCGTACTTTAGATGCTACCGACACGGTCGCCCATGAAATCGGTCACAAGTAAGCAACATATTTATACTTTGGATTCTTGAAACAAGCTCCAATTATTTTTGTTTAATTAAAGAGATCTTTACCCAATTGCCGTCTTTCGGGCGTGACACTTCATCTACCTGTTCTGTTTTGTTTAGTTTCGTTTTAATGTCTGTTGTGAATTAAAGGTTTGCGGAAACGCCATGTGAGAATAATTTCTCAGACTATAAGATCTGCATGGTTCTGAAAAGAACCAGAGGTAGGCCTATTCTTTTCACAACCATTTTCTTAGTTTGAGAATTCCTTCCTCCATGGCGTTTCCGATAACCTTTCATTCATCAGTATCTCCACCATGCAAAGCCACAAATGTTACTGCATGTCTCTTGTGTTATTCTGGTGTTTTTTTCCCCCAAAGATATTTTAAACTTTTAACTGGGGTACGCAAGTCGGGAACAATTTGAAATGTGTTCTCCAAATACCATAAACCGCCTTAGGACATTTTCCTATAGGCATAAGACCTCCAAGTCAAACGCATTCCCTAATTTCACGATTGTCACGGTCCCATGGTTTCTCCTATTATTTAGTAATACATGTAGACCTTTATCATGCTACCACCCTTTCAGTCCTGTTTCCTGTATCAAATAACAGTACTGCATGAACGATACTGTTTTTTCTTTTTTTGTGCAAAAAGGAACCAGACTATTTTGCCTTCCAGCCTCGCTGGAAGGCAAAACGGTTATGTATTTGAATAGGAAGAAAAATCAAGATGGCCGCAACACGATAATGGTGTATTTACACCATGTAGGCCTATATTGGAACATTTCCCTAAAATGCACCAAATTATTGAGCCAAGACTTGAAGCAGGGACGGGACGCGCGCATATACGGAAGATTGAAACATGTTGCGTGAGGATATGTTGAAATGTGTTGACGAGCTAGAAATGCTTGATAGATACAAAAGCATTAAAATACGATTTGAACTCACTTAACTTGTGGTGGTTAAAGAATTCAACCTTACTGAAATAAGTAGAAAGAATTTAAGTGCACTCGTATTAGTTTGAAAAAGAAGCCATGAATTCACTAGTTTCTAGTATTTTCAAAAACTCAACAAATAACTACACAAGTAGAACTTAACGGAGTAATTCTGTATTGATTGAAAAAAAAGGCTTCAAATTAAGACGTCATGACTGTGTGAGATATTAATTGTTATATTTCCCCCGTCGACCTCACTGATTATTCAATTTACTCAAAGTATTACTCAATACGTTTGAAATGACTGAAAAGCATTTCGTTCTACTTAATTTTACCACAGTTTGGGCATGCGGTATGACAGCGATGGAAATGGCTGCTCTTCTTCTGGTTATATGATGGCTGCCAAGGCAACGGATCACCGTTCAGAGCCGAGTTGGTCATCCTGCAGTAGGAGTTACTACAACAGCTTTGTTGCGTGAGTGTGACCAATCTTGCTCATCGGTGTTTAGCGTAGCGCAATGAAATTCATGGATTCGAGACTTGTGGCTCGGTGCATCCCTTTTTGCAGTGATTGAAGAGTTGGCGAAAGACACGCGAAAGCATTATTTATAAAGCTAAGCCGGCAGATATCACACCAACAATTAATTAAGCAGGCACTTTTGCATGAGGTTAACTTTCGAACCAAACCTTTGATTGTCGTTGATATTCTGAGGGCTCTCGACATACGAAACGTTATACATGGGCCTGTCGTACGACGACAGCCTAGCCAAGGCACCTTTCGGCTCGACCACGTTGTAGTTGCATCCCTTCACAATTCAGTTTCTGCTGTCAATAAGCCCCCAAATCGATTATTTATTTATTTATTTATGTATTTATTCTTTATTTGTATACAGGCGAAAGACCTGCTACAACGACTTCTAGGACTAAGCGTCTTCCACTGGAACACCTCGTTATGATGATGGACATATAAAGAAATGACAACAACGATTTACTTGTTTGTTTGCGCAAATATAGCGGGGAAAAATATGTTGGGGAATTGTGCACTTGATGATAAAAGCTTGGCATTTGGCACACAGTCAGGGTATGTCAAAATAAAGATATTTGGCTATAGGGCCATCGCAGATTTGTCCTTTGAAAAAACATAGGTAGAATAACAAGCACTTTGCAAAATTTTAAAATGGCTGCCATTGCTTGTTATTCTATTTTCTCAAAGGACAAATCTGCGATGGCCATATAGCCAAATATCTTTCTCATGACATGCTCCGACAGTACGTGTGCCAAATGCAACGCTTGTATTATCAAAGGCACAATCCAATCACCTATCTGCCGCATTAAAATTGTAGGTCACTGTTCCTTCCTGTATTTGTTTACCTTGCATAAGAATGAAATTGGCAATAACTATATATATATTTGTACATAATTCCTTTTGTTCTAAATTTAGGTGAAGGTAATTAAAATACTCACTCATCAATCATTTTCTTTGAGTTGTGTGTTATATATTTTGTATATGTCTCGGCAGAATAGGAGCAGTATTACAGCACAGTACAGTTTCCATTTGCCTTCAATACCGATTTGGCGTAAATTTTGGTGCCGCGTTCACATTGGACTTAATTTGGTAAAAAGTTACCGCGAGTGACTGTCAACGTTCCATTGTAGCTTGCCTGCCAGAATATGAGGGCGCCCTGCCATGTACCTTTTACCTATAACACTCGGACGTGATTGAGGACAACACTTCAGTAGTTTCGACGGGAACATTATGTTTATTCATAAGAAAGGGTCAATGGACCTTTATCGAGGTACGCCATCTTGAAAATCAAAGCGAGGTATATAACACTAACAAACAAAGAAACAAACATGGCGGCATAAGTAGTGTGTGCGGTGAACGAGTGACACTAGCAAAGTTACAGCATGTTGACACTCTAATAAATGGATGTCAATTCGCCGAAACATCAATCAACACTCCAGAAGTCTCGTTGCATTCTGAAAAAGGATCTAATTATTAAAATTAATATACAGCCCCAAACCAGTGACCAAATTATATTTTTCTTGTCAGTTTGTAATACGCGTAGCTCAATCAATTCAGCTTAAAATCAATTCGACAACTGCATGCTAGAAATCTACACGTGTGTTCACAGCATTGACTGAAAAAATTTGTCAGTTAATAAGTCCTCGCTTTTTAATTTTTTTTGTTTCGAAAGTTAAGGTTTGAAAGGGCTATTAAGATTATTCAGATTAAACTGGACAGCTAAAAGAACTCCTTCTAGGTCAAATTTAGGGTGGGTCTTTCAATCCCCTGGAACATCCTTTCCCCGACCGCGGGCGCGCGGCCTTAAGTCTGCCTATATAAGTCTGTGTAATTAATTAATAAATTAATAATTAGAGTCTCTGGAACACAGTGCTACCATCCTGGGCCTGTACTTTGGATGATTCATATATCCCTCCGCCAAGTGAACAGGCTAGCGTCTCACCATTGAAGGCAAAAAAGCCACAACCACTTTGATGGATGCACATCAAGGAGCAAGCGAGACGACTACGTGCTGGAGTCTTAATGATCATCTCAGACGAATGAATGGTGTGATGTAAGTCAGTCACGACGAAGTATGAGCTCTGGGACCTCCAATCTTGATCACAAAAATAGATTTAAAAAAGTACAAACTAGTTGGTTAATCTTCATGTAAATCTTCGATTCAAATAAACATGAAATAATTTGGCTACTGCTCTCTCAAAGTGCATGCGTTGAAATAAAGAGAACCAAGGTTTATATTCCATGATTCATCCCATTTTTTATCTCTGGAAAAAGAATTTTGTCCGTGAGTTAGATTTGTTTTTCGCATAACAAATTTCAAACTTGTTTGTTTTAACCAAGCACAAACAAGTTATGTTTTTCTCTATTTTGGGAGTATGCAACCCTCTCCAAAGAGACTTTTTATTGGGGTTATTTTTGCACACAGATCCACTCCTGCAAGTACGCTGCCTCATTCAAAGTGAACAACGTTTGCTGGATTGAAAAGAGAAACACACTCAAAAATAGCATGGACAATAGGCCTAGGCTAGGCCAACATCTGTCAAACCTCTTGTGAGAAATCAGGTAACCTTCCTTACAAAACAATGTGTAAAGTATTCTTTAAAACGAATAATTTTGACAAGAATAGATTTTTTCGCACTATTTTGCATTTTGTTTCCGTCTACGAATACCTGAACTGCAGCTTGACGCTTGACTTGGAGTCACGGTACTAGTAGATTGAGCCACGTGTGTAGTAGTAGTATCCTGATCCACGGCTGAAAAATGCGCGCTGGGAGTGGGGTCTATTGGTGCTGCTGTCATGGCTTGTTTCGTGGGGTCTGGTGGTGCTGTTGTCACGGGCAGTGTCGTGGGGTCTGGTGGTGCTGTTGTCACGGGCAGTGTCGTAGGGTCTGGCAGTGACTGTGTCGTGCCATGTGTCGTTGAGGCGGCGACCGTTGTGACATCCAGGTAGTCACCGCTGTTACAGAGGTTAGTGTCGCAGCAGTAGTAACAGACCGAGTTGACATTTTCCCCGCGGTGACATTGAGACGGGTTTTGATTTTCTTGGGTGTGGCAAGCGTCTATTTCCTTGCACACCTTTCTGACGATGAATAAACTATTTTCGTCTCGGACCTCATTCATGCAGATCTGTGGTTTGAAAAGAAAGACCAGAACACTGAAATCTCTCAAGATTTATAGGGCCCATTCATTGTCTTTTTACTACCTTGTATAGCTTTTTGGGTGAAACCCGTGCCTATTACTGTAAAGTAGAGTTAAATACGCGTGAAGGAGGAACGATTTCTTTTTAAGTTACGGTGGACAGGTATATCCAAAATTTCAAAAGGCGGGAAATATCCGCATTTTTCACACCTTTAAAGATTACCGTGTTGGACCCGGGTCGAAACCCGAGATTTAGGGAAGCCCTTTCACATTAGCAACACTCTCAAAACGTTGGTTAAATTTGTTTGGTAAGAAAAAGGTTAGTTAAATTTTCACCAAATCACCAACATTGTGTAACGGTGTCCAATTTAACTAATGTTGGGTACATTTTACCAAACGTTGGGAAAATTTGTTCATGTTTTAGTTTCATTTGTTCATTTTACCCAACGTTGATTAAATTTAACAAAATTTAACCAACGATGGGTAAGTTTAACTATTTAAACCAACCGTTTATTACCAGGTGAACAGCCACACAGTTGGTTAAAAAGTTGGTTAAAAAAATAAACAAATTTTACCCAACGTTGGGTAAAATGTATTAAACATTGGTCTAATCGGAAACATTTACACAATGTTGGTTAAAATTTTAACCAACTTTTTAACCAACCAAATTATAACTAACACTTTGGGAGTGAATAATAGATAGAGAGCTTTTTTTATATTAATCTTCGCTGCATTTCAGCAGTTTCTAATCTGTTAGTATGTAATTTGCTTTGTTAGTTTGCGTTTATTCACCAAAACGATTTCCCGTTATACGGTTTTAAGCGTTGTGGTCAAATCTTTTCAGTGTCCGGGTCGAGTTGGGGAAAGGGACGTGTTCTCTATCCCTTCCCGCCAGGATCGCCACCCACTTTGTAGGTGTACAATCAGAGAACGATGACGTCATAGACTAACAGACTATCAGACAGATTAAAAAAAAAACATAGATAAACATAATTTTACAGTGAATTCAAAACAAACATACAAATGGAAATCTGACTAATTACCTGACCACTGCCGCATGTTGTTGCAGTCCCGGGATTGCAGTCGTTGTTGTTAGAATCACACACATAGCAACTGATCGCTTTTTGAACGAAACAACAACAATATACACAAGTTATTCCGGCAATTTGTAGGGGAAAAAACATTTCATCACGTGATGGTAGATCGTTTGCGCTCTGGGTCCATAGAGATAATCATATCAATTTCTAGCCTTGGTCAAGGCGCTAGTTGTTATTCATCCCGGCCGTAGCGCGGTAAAAGATATCCTCGCTAGCGCGCGCTATGCATGAGGTGCATTAAAAACACAGCGCGAACAGCGACCTCACGCGGCCACCATTTCTATGCAAATCAGTTGGACCCAATCTAGCGCCTTGGTTCAATCGTCCATGTGAGGTTTTGGGGGTGGTGCTCATTATGTTAATAGACTTAGCTGACCTTAAAATGTCGTTTTCTTATTGGTCGATCGTTGCGTGGAAACTTGCATAGTGAAACGTGGCACCGTACATAATCCATACACGTACACGTTGTGTGTCTCTGCACACGGCACCAATGCACAAAAACTGTGGTTCCTGTCACGTCCGCAAAAGGCGAATAGCTGCAAATAATTTGATGACGTCCGGATTGACCAAGGTGTGATTGGACACTCCACATATTAGCCCCGCCTACACTTATCTGTATTCGCATACGGGGTCGTGCGCTAGAAATCCAGCGCAAAATAAAGAAAAACATAAGCTTTTGCCGACGATTGAACCAAGGCGCTAGATTGGGTCCAACTGATTTGCATAGAAATGGTGGCCGCGTGAGGTCGCTGTTCGCGCTGTATTTTTAATGCACCGCATGCATAGCGCTAGCGAGGATATCGTTTACCGCGCTACGGCCGGGATGAATAATTATTAGCGCCTTGACCAAGGCTAATCAATTTCGTACTATTGGCATTTCAATGAAAAACAACGTTGATCGTGATTGGTTCTTCGTTTCTGATCGCCAATTTACTCATTATAGTTCAAGGAAAATAAAATCGGTCCATGCATTTTGTTCGATAACACCACTTAAAATCCAAAGAAAAACCTAACCTGTTGAAGTTTCAGTTCCGAGTGGATATTAGTTTTCTAGAAAAAAGCGAAAAACCATGCACAACCTTTTGATCACGAAACACGATTTTGTCCATGGAATGAAATCACCTACATTTTTTGATTTCTTTTAAATGACAGCAAGCCAGACGGAATAATTCCACGGGGTGTTTAGTGCCAGTACAATCTTTAATCCAAGTAAACTTTTGATAATAACTCGGTAGGTTACTTTTTGTACAAATGCAAATGATCCTATATGTCCTTAACCATGTGATCATCAGTAATTGAAGAACACAACATATTGTGCGAAACAGAAGATATTCCTCCAGGGAATATAGCATATCGAGACCAACTTCCTCCGGTCAATCTGTTGAATTTGTATATAGGCCTACAATCTAATGTGAATCAGAACTTTAATTTGCTTATCTTGATACAAACATAATACCGGCCATCGACAAGGGCGGATGGGGGGGGGGGGGGGTCAACGGGGGCCATCCCCCCCCCCGAAAAAACACACGAGGACCAATTATTATGTCAGCTAGGTTCATCATCTTTGTTGGACTTACCGTTTCCACAACGTATTTTGCTAGCAACAATCATCACCTGTAAATAATAATTGAAATTTAAGTGGTAGTCAGACTGTACCATGTGCATGTAGGCTCTATACTGGGGCCATATTCATGAAACCTTACTAACTAGCAGCCAACTAGGCCTTAGTAGGATACTAAAATGCCTAGTAGTCAACTATGAAGTTGACAACTAAATTGTAATCAGGGTGACCGTAAGGTCGATCATGGCCAAATTCTGCTAAATGCACTTCAAAAATCTGTCAGATTTATCAAAAATCTGCCAAACTGCCCAGAATTACTCGAAATACACTATTAACACTTAAAATCACATGCAGATGTTGTAATATTGCCTTAATTAAGGTTCAAATTACATTATAAACTAATCTATGGTCACATAAAAATGTTATAAAATAGCGTAAATTTCAAGCAAAATGCATGCAGTTACGTCACGACGACGGTCTCGCTCCAGTGAACCTCAGCACCTAAACCAGGCAACCTGTCCTATTTTGCAAGGGTTTGTTTGAAAAGATTGACGCATTTTGTTTCAAAATTGCTATGTTTTTCTGTCAAATAACCATTTTTGCAAAATTCTGCCAGAAATCTGCCAAAAAAATCCATTCTGCCAAATTTCTGTTAAACACGTTTTTTTAACAAAAAGTTAGCCGAAAATCGGCTAAAACGGTCACTAGGGTTGTAATTCATAAAACCTTACTAAGAACCTTGCTAACTAGTTACATACTAGGGAAATTTAGTTGCATACGTGACTAACTGGAATTGGGTGCTTTTGGGTGGAGTCGGCATGTATGGAATGTGATGACAACAGATACAATAGTGTGACAGGTGTTTTTAATAGGCTATTTCATGTTCAGCACTTGCGTAGATTAGCATAATATATCTTTGTGGTATAGTGTTCTACATGTAAGTGAATCAACATCAAATTCTCCAGCAATTGCATATAAAGCTAATAAAGCTATCCGACATGGCTACAACTTTATGGCAGACAACAAGTAGAGGAATTTAAAAACATTATTCGTGCTAAGCATAAGGATGCAAACACTAACAAGAAAAAGAAAGATGCATGGACAGCTATTCTCTGCCAACACCTTTTGCGGCCATAAATGTGCCCCCTTGTGCATAAAAGTGCCCCCTCGAGATAAAAAAAAAATGCCCTTAAAGTATCTTACTCATTTCTTATAAGTAACCATTTCCCAATAATGGTATAGATAGTTTTGATATTAAACGAGGAATATGAAAACCAAGCCCCCAAACCCATACACTATGCCCTGAAAATGGGCACATAATGCATAGTTAGCGCCCCCATGTTGGAACATCGTACCAGCCCCCCCCCCCCCCCCCCCCCCCCCCACACACACACACACAGACAGACACCCACTATCTTATTTTACGGAGGCCAAGTGTCCGGTGAAAAGTACGTGTCGACCTTTCAGCACGGATGTGCCAAAAAAAAAAAAAATGCTGAGCAAGTGCCCCTTTTTGGTGATGCCCCCAGTTTCAAACCCGCTCCGCCGCCGCTGATATAGTTGCTAACCAGTGACTTACAGTTGCCCTGGATCAACACTAACTTTAGTGAGAAACTTGGAACATAAGTAACGCTAGTAATGTTTCATGAACACCAATTAGTTACCAATTAGGCTTATTAAGCAACTACATGCCTTTTTAGTACCCAACTAGGCTTAGTAAGGTTTCATGAATATGGCCCCAGGAGACTGGGCTCCGCCGGTGATGCTCAGACTAACCCAGATCCGGATAGCTTCCAAAATCTAATCGATTTGTACTTGTACCAAAGCCCACCCCTAAGCAAAATTGCTTGCAAATCTGTCAATAACTTTTTGAGTTATACCAACCAACCAACCAACAAAATCCGATGAAAACAAAACCTCCTTGGCGGAGGAAATAACTGCCCAATACACAAGCAAGTTCTGAACAAGATGATCATGTACTTACAATCACAAGTCCCAGCTTACTGTTCATCGAATTAGGCATGTTCGTGACTTCAGTGGCCTGTTTTCAACAAAAGACCAGAGTATATTTGAAAACAAAAACTGCTCCAAACCAATGTTAAAACAGTCATCATGCACGGAGCCTAATGTGCATAATAATGATGTGGCATGCATTATGCCTATTCCAATGTAAACACTATGCATATCAGCGATAATGGAGGAAGTGCCTTTGTTTTACCTGCATTAAAAACGTCTGTCGATGTTGCAAACTATTTCTTAATCTTGGTGAAAAGGCACGCATGCATGTCTTTTGTTTCTTCATTCAGAGAGGAGGTTAAGCCCTCAGCCATAGGGCCTAACCGGTTTTTATTCAAGACCAACCAATGCTGATACACGATACAGTTACGGTTTTGTTTTAATTTAACATTTCTGATATAAGGCATAAAAACTCAAATTATATGATCCGACAGGTTTAATTAAACACCGATTTAAGAAAACGTGTCCGACTAGAACATGGCTGATTGACTTTTAATGAGACTTAACAGTACCGATTATGTATTTTTATTTAGCGCTTATAAGATCCCCCGCCAAAAAGTCATTTCTGCAGGTTCATCGTATTTAAAATCAGTGTCAAAATCTCCCCAAAACATAGTTAATAATTGTGACGTGGCAATCACCACTGAAACGTATTATTCTATGTTAAAAGGCGACAAGTGCAGGTTTGATTTATTGAGTGACAAATTGGTCAAGACCGCATACATCTACCTTTTGTTATGTCAAAATATGACGAAAAAAGAAAATTTCAAACTCGGTAAACTGCCATTGTAGAGGGCTTTGTCGTACTCAGGTACACACGAAAACAAACAAAAATCTCATTGTCTTACTACCAGATGAGAAACTGCACCTGTGCAAATATGATGAAAAAATCACAAACCAACCCTGTCTCTGTCTGAAATTACGGAAAATATATTTTTTTGGCAGATAAATATAGAATCTATACCTTCCACATCCGAGCATGTAATCATATCAGACAGACAGACATAATAACTTCGTGCTTACCTGATGAAAAATATCACGCAAGAAACCTGCTAGCCTTGCTTCACACACGGACCAAAATGGTCCGTGCTTCACATAATGACCACCCGATGATGGAGCAAATGCAGTAATGATAACGTGGCCTTCAGGAACGTTCTACCTAAACCAAGACTCGAGCTGAATATAGTCCGAGCGATGGTCGTTAATTATAAGAGCCAAAATCAATAACCAGCAATATAGCTTAAAAGTAGACCTACATTGCACCCTCTGTCATTTCATTAAAACCCAAAGTATTTGGCTCACACAAAAGAGGTTCTAATCAGAGTATTGATTTGTTTTTACCCAACATTTCATTTGAACGAATTTATAACAATGAGATGACATTTTCTTAATAATACACTTAATTTACAAGGTAGTGGGTAAATTAGTACTTGCAGAATACTCTAATTGCCCCCAATGTAATTAGGCAGTTCACAATGGCAATAATATCAAGCAAATAATTGACAATAGGCCTTACTAATTCAATTTTTTTTTCTTTTTTTAATATACGAATTGAAATCTCTTTCTCTGGAAAAATCTAGCCCAGCATTTAAGCAGGTACAGTTTGGAAGCATTGTATATCCTTATTACATCAACGGGCTCCATCGGTTTAAAAAAAAATCGAAAGTGTCCTCGATGCTCATAATCGAAAACAAATGAAGGTTTAGGCTAAGAAATTGTTCGCTCCTAAAGCTTAAATGTTGGCGAGTGATTTACACAAACATTGACAAAACTTAATACCCCATTGGGGACTCGAACCATTGGCGTTATACAGGGCGAGTCGAAAACAAAAAGCGGAACCAAAAGCCCCAAAATATATTTCGTATTTAAAAAAAAAATATGTAGCACCAAACATGATAACTACTGGAAAACCAATTTCATAAGCTAGTTTTAGAAGAAAAAAATACTAAAATTGCTCAATCCGTTCAAACAATATCATCATTTAAACGCAATGACCCTTAAACCTGTTTCGTCCCCAAAAAAACTCCCCAAAACCCCCAGTTTATCGTGTATTCTGATTGTTTGTAACAACAAAGAAAATGATTCAGAATACTTGTCTACAACTGTCAACAACTGCAGTACACAATGTCTTTATTAACAACCTGCTTAGGCAAACAATATGATTTATAAAATCCAACTTTTTGTAAAAGACGGGCCTTCAAAAGGCCTTCATTGAAGATTTTTAACTTTAAACTGAGGTTTTATGGCTGGTGACGTTTGAAGACAATTGTGAAATCAACGATTCTTGAAATCGCATTTTTGGACGAAAGAGGTTTTATGGTCATTGCGTTTAAATGGTGATACTCTTTGAACGGATTGATTAATTTCAGTATTTTTTCAATCTTAAAGTAGCTTATGAAATTGGCTTTCCAGTTGTTATTATGCTTGGTGGCGGTGCTACATATTTTTTTAAAATATGACCTATTGTTTTTAGGGTTTGGGTTCCGCTTTTTTTTTAATCACTCCTGTAAAACGTAGAGCCACTTCTTCACTTACAGAACAAATTGTTCACCAGGTTCAATTTATCCATGCTGATAAAGATAAGAAAATCCAATTTCTTTCTTCGTGCTTTAATGATACTTCAGAGCACGGAGTGTCTGTTTGTACTGAGGGAAACGCCACATGTTTGTCACTTCGCGCGGAAAATCCATTGCATGTAGCTATTGTCTACTTTATCGATTGACTGGACTTCAATGTCACCGGCGTTATGGTTAATGAATTATTGACATGATCTACTAACCTACAGTATTCAATAGTTGGCATGGAAACCACATCAATACACTAACACGTAATGTGCAAAGCCTTTACACAACGGGTGATGTTTCGACTACTAGTCAAGGTGTATTTGGCACTAGAACGGCTCTCTGCAATTTTTCTGTGGGTCTTTTAAACACACAAAAGCCCTTAAGATCATTAATATTGTATAAGGTCCGAAATGTAACTCAACATGGTGTAGTTGACCCCTTCCTGACCCCAGTTTTCAAATGAAATCAAAGTGGATAAGGTGTAGAAATATACACATAATGAATGCCAAACCTGGGTAGCAATAAGACTAAAAACGAAATCAAGTCCAAACGTTTTCTGTTACAAATGCCCCTTTACTAGAATCCACTACATGAAATGATATTGCAAGTTTCGTTTGTACAGAATTGACAAGGAAGACCAATGATTGGGACTTAGATTATGCAAATATCATTCATTTATGCAGACGTCTAATGTACTGAAGATACTGCAGATGGAAGTTGTTATCTGACTCGAATTGTGACTCTTCACTCTGTATAGTGAGTGGAGTTTGTGCATGAGATCTGCCAATGTTGACTTCCTTTCTGACTGGTCTGGCTGAGACCTATAAACAAGAGAACAAAATAGGTCAATCACCGAATAATATGCACAGTTAAATTCAATGAGACTTCTATAAGTTGAGATTTTGCCACATTTACTCTTTATGAAATAGAAACAAATTGTTTGGTCAAACTCAGTTTTCTGTACATGTGTTTTTTTCTACATATCCCACCTTTTTTTCCAGGCTTAAGTTTTGCTAAGTTTCTTTTTTTTGTACAAAACCATTACACCTGATTCCTCTGCAACACACTATAGAACCTCCGTTCTGCCATTACATGCTTCACTTCTGATGCCCAGGACAGTATTGTAGTCGAGTCCATCACAAGTCATTGGGGGAATGATATATGAACAACAATCACAAGAAATAGGGATAAAAATAACAGGGGAATGCCTTTGTAGGGTGCTGTGGTCCAATGGTTACGGTGTTCGACTCGTGAGCCATGGTACGTGGGTTCGAACCCTGACAGGGAACATGGTGCTTGTGTTCTTGGGCAAGACACTTTACTACAATTGCCTCTCTCCACCCAGGAGTATAAATGGGTACCTGTGAAGGTAGAGACCAAATTGCGCTGATCTCAAGCTGCTGCAGGGTCTCATTTCTGATGAACAGGGATAATAATTGTGATGCGCATTTGAACATATACAACACAAAGACAATTAATTAACCATCCCTAAGCAATGCTTTACCGTGAATCTTGAGATGGCATCACAGCTTGAAGACTTGGCAACAACTGCTTGGAGAGAGAGTCCCTTGTCTCCGGTACATCAAATGCTCTGTCCAACAACCTCACAACTGCCTCCTAATTTGAGTAAGAAATAATAGCTATCAGTCCATTGGTCAAACTCGTGTGATTTAAGCAGGATGTTTTATATTCTGCAATCCTGATCAGGAGAATCAAGTCTTGAATTCAAGACATGCCATCATTCATTGAAGTACAATCAGCACTAGTACTACATTGTATTGCACTGTATTTATTCCCAAAAGAATCCATTAACCACACAGTGCTTGGGCAATGGACCGATCCAGGAAGCACCGCCCCATGGTGTTCTGACCAATCACAGCCGTTATTTATGTCCGACGTGCGTGCACTAAGGTCCGACATGCGTGCACGCGCGTATGATGCGCGCAGAAGGAAAATGCAGCGTGGCATTGGAGAGGAACACGTGTTAATTTGCCCACGTGCGCACTGGGCGGAGCTTACTGGATCGGTCCATTCTGGGCAGTACGGGTGTAATAGGCAGGGTGGTTTGGAGCAGTACAAGGAATAATGGGCTGAACAGATACAGCTATTCCACTTTGAGAAGAAAAGTGAAAAATCAAGTTTTTTTTCTGCAGAAAGGACGAGTGAATATTGTTATTTTTTATCCAGAAATTTGAATATCTTATTTCTTAGTACACCGTAGAACAGTTTAATTTACATGCCGAAGAATTTTTGCTTCATTGTATTATTGTCCACTTACCTTGAACTGCTTACTAGCCAATCTTGACTGATAGCAAGCCATGAGTGTTGTGAATACAGAGCTTCTGTTGTAGAGTGTGACATCATTGGAGTCCCTCAGTCCATCCAGCAGTAAAGTCAGTATCCAGTAACGCTCATCCTCATGCTAAAAAAAAATGAACCAAACCAAACAAATTGAAATTCACTACAAGAGATTTGCTGGCTCAGGCAGGACTCGAACCAACTACTGGTGTTCAAGGGTTTGAGCCCCACCTGAGCACTTCACTTCATCTGATGAAATAGCTGTTGCTACGAAAGCTCTGGCCATAATTTTAATTTGAGTTAGTCTTTAAAGTGCTACCTTCATTACATCCCTGAGTAATCCTGTCTAGTTTACTGGCTCAGGCAGGACTGGAACCATCTACTTGATTAGCCCCGCCTGAGTACGCAGGTCTAGCTTCCTGGTTAGGGTTGGACTCGAACCAATACACCACACCAATGCAATGTCAATTCACAAATTTCTAAATCCTTTGGATATTTTGTTATCCTTGGGAAATTGATGTTCACTTCTCAGAGTTTCCACACAATGTTTGGAATATATATGAATTTGCAGTGGCGTTTATTCTCGTGAATTTGTAAATAAAATCAATCCATATACAGGGTGAGTCAGATTGATCTGGACCCAAGTTTACCATTTTTTTCTGTTGCAAATAGAGTACATTGAGAGAAAATCGGAGTGTTTCATATGAATGGTTATTACCTTGTCTTCCACAGGAATTTTGTATTTTTCAAATTAGTGGCTGTGGTGAGGAGTTATGCAATTGTTATTGAAGTGGCTCATTTTCCAGTCTGCGCACGAAATTGGTTTTGCCTCTTTTAAATGTGTCAATAACTTCAAATGAGCCAGCTACCATGACTAGGTTTTAATTTGTTATTACACTGCTTCACATCAGTACCAAGTTTCAATCAATTTGTTGAAGCATGGAACCGTGGTCAGAGTGTTTTTAGTGTGTGTTCTTTGCTAGCGCTTTTCTTCAAAATTGTACAAAGGACATACATGAAACTTTCACCAAATATGTCCAAAATACCAGCCTATAACATATCTCATTTGCAATTGTTTTGACAATTGCTACATATTTTTAATATTTTCTTTAATTTGGGTCCAGATCATTCTGACTCACCCTGTACATGAACATGCTGTGATCCATCTATAGTATGAGTCAGTTACCAGACCTATACAATGAATATAAACCAATGAACTCCAGAAGATGCTTGTTACAGCCATACGTTTGACACAAAAGTATTTGACTGGCCGTCAGGGACTTGGTAAAGGAAAAAGAGAAGCAGCCATAGTACATCCACACATTCCACCACCCAACGAAAGATATGATTTGACACCAACCAAAAACTTCACCTAAAACACAAGGTTAAGTTATAAAAAATACTGCAAGTGAGACTTGCGCAATCCCCCTCGCATATGCTGGCAGTTTTTATAAAGTCAGTGTCCCAAACCAAAATGTTAAATTTCTATTGTTTTAGCAATAGTGACCTTGACCTTTGACCTGTCGGCCCCAAAAGCAACAGGCTTCTTAAGACTATCAAGAACAATCCACAAACCAAATTTGAAGTTCCTCAGTAAAGCATTTCTCAAGTTATCGTGCTGACAAGAGTGAACCTAACCAAATCATAACACACACACACACACGCACACACAGACTTGTTTCACATACCTAGTGTGGACTTTCCTTTCTTTTCGTGTAGTTAAGGAACACCAGTGGAAAAACTCATTTTTCTCAAACTGTGAAAACTCTTACAACCCAATTTTTTTTCAATGATTCCCTTTAGTGTTTCTCTTCATTCTGCTACAGATAAACCTAACCCAAAAATGCCTCTAAACCTGTTTTCCAGAAATGGGGAAACACTGTGTGGACGTGGGCAAGTCCACACAACGTCGGTGCTACCTACATTATGTGGACGTCTTTTGTTCGGAAGTCCACACTGCGTATGTAAGACAAGCTCACCCGTTTAAATGCCGGCAATCGTGGACGCCCCATTGTCCCTAATCCTCTTTGCTTTGTTTGTACTCTAACTTTTTAGCGACAGCTCTCATTGGTTTTGTACACGATTTGAGATCGTGGACGTTCGGTCAATCGTGGACGTATTGTTTGCGCCCACATTCTTTTGTCCTACGTCCACGATTGCCGGTGTTTACATACTCACACATACACACATACATACATACACACAGAAGGAATACGCTATCGCCATATCCCCCTCCGGCTTACAGCCAGGGGGATAACAACGAATTACCTTGAAGCTGGAACTATAGAAGAGTCTACCAAAGAGTGGAACAGCATTCATCTGTAGGTGTGGTTTGATTAACAGATACTGCAGCACAGTTGGATACATGAAGTGTTCTGGTGTTAGCATGAGATGAGCTGATCTGGCAACGAACGCACCTACAATGCTGGGAACTCTCATGCTGGGTTCAGTGATGGAATTCCTGAAGCAATGAAGTAAGTAATAAACCTGAAGAAAACACCAAAAGGAAACTTCATAAATCACCAATCTAGGCCTTTTCTAAATGTACTGCTGTGCCAAACTCAATTGAAATGCACGTAGCCGTAGCTCAGGGGTGTGAGTGATCGCTGATAAAAATAGCTGAAAACAGCTGAAAAAGGTGTAAAAACAGCTGAACTTTGGAAATCTCCTATACTTTTGTACACAGCAAGTGAAGGAAAAAAGCTGAAATCCAAAACAAAAAAAAGCTGAAATCAGCTTTAAAGCTGAGATTTCACACCCCTGGTAGCTATAAAAGTCAAACTAAACGCATCCAAAGTAAGACTGCAGGATTATAACTTTCAAGTAGTCTAACCGTTTCCACACAATTCCACTGCATTCACTCCACTGTGAGCGTACAAATTTGTCAAATATTCTTCCAAATTTCCAAAATGATCTGCGTTTGGCACGACAGTGGCAAGGTGTTTAGAGTGGTGTCACTGCTATTCATCAGAAGAGCCAAACCTATTGAGCAGAAAGTTGCAAAGCTCAATTTGTTGTGACAAATAAGTCAGTTTGAAATGTTGTGCTATAGCCGTGCCAAATTCAAAGAAGTCATATTTATTGAGTCCGTCTTGGCAGTAGCATTTCATTAAAATTGGAATTTACATGATGAATAAACCTACTGTTTGGAAATGTTACCCTAAATTATCGTTCAAGAAATACTTAAGAAAATTTAGATATGTGCATGATAAACTAACTGCGTATGAAAAACTAATGTGTTATGTTTAAATACTACATATATGTCAGAAACAATGAAATCCGAATTCTTGGAACGAATTCTGACCTCCCTTCGTCCCCTGAATCTTGCATGTTCCAAGTGACTGAGGAATGATGCCATGACGTGGTAGGCTGCCCGTCTCATGTCTCTGTCATAGCTGCTCAGGCCAGCAACGACCATGTAAAAAGCATTGGAGTCTATGAACCGGCAGCAGTCAACGACACACTCTGACAAAACAAAACAGATAAATGTTTAGAAAATGTTTAGAAAATGCATCCATATAAAATGTGTCTAAGGGGCCAATTTAAACTGTGAGTGGCAACAGGAATACTAATTTTTTTTTTTAGAGTGTACTTGTTTCAATGGGACAGTTCACACTTTGTGTGCATACATTTTGGAGGTACATAAATGTACCTTCTGCGCCAAGAAATAACCAGAGGGATTCTCTGATAAATCTGATCAATCAAGACACTGGTAGTTAATACAATATGAAGCTTGGCAATGTAAAGCTTTTAATAAGTTCATAAACTTACCGCACATGCATAAATGCTTACTACAGGGCGATATGCTACTTTTTCTTTCTGCCTTCTATTAACCATGCTTCTGTAAAAATCTGCCCTTTGACTGTTGAACCCATTAAACTAATCTAGAATGAGACGTGGGGAATTAGTTGTGTTTATTCATAATCAAATAAACCAATACTTGCGTACCAACAGGGTGGCTATTCAAATGTTATAGTTATGTTTCAGAACACAAAATTGATCACGTGCAAAAAAAATTAAAATTGGTGACAAGCCAAAAATGGACTTATTCTAATTCTTAATTCCTTTTTTCACACAAAGATGTGTCACAATGTTACCGATCTTGAAAAACAAGTGCCAAGTAATTTCTACAATAGTCCACAGGCATTTAAATGCTAATATTTCTTATCTGAACTGCTTTTCAAAAACGTTTTGTAAGTTTTCATTTGTGATAATGTTGGTGATAAATTGTACACACCTGGTGCAAGGAGGTTACTGTAAAGAGGATACAAGAAGCCGGGATCATACAGATGAGACGAATCAGCTGCTGAGGGGTCACACGGAGACTAAAATGTGAAGAAAAAAACAGAAGAAAACAAAATCATCTCTATGATACAGACATACTCGAGTAACAATTTTCGAAACCCAACACTGTATGAAACATCAATTTTTAGACACCACACTTTCTGGACCTTTTTCAATGATTTTAACCCCTGTAATTATTCATGACAAAAATAACACACTATGCAAAGTACAAGAACACAGAAACATGCAACTTGAAACTTGAAAGGATTCATAAGTACTTATATGAGTTACTAGCTGGTTCTGGGGAAGTAAGCAAAACAATTTTGATAACGAACCATATGAACGGAGTAAAAAAAAATTAATATTGGGTTTTGCCATTCACCAATGTAATTCCATAAAAACTGTATACTCAGAGTCTGAGGGTTTGTGAAAAAAAAATCACAAGCTTACTCGGGTGAATCCATGGCCTCCTGCTTACCACGACTGACGTCAAGCTTTCGGGGTCAACTTTCAGGTTCAAACTTAGCAGGAGGTCATGAGTTCGAGCCCCATCCATTAAGTTTGTAAATTTTTCATGCAAGCCCTTGGAGAACGCTGACTATACAGTGTTATGGAATGATGCGATGATGGGCATAAATCCAATATTAAATATACATCTCCAAACACAGAAATTTCATCATACAAAGAGTTGAACAAAATAATTAGCATGGTCCAAATCAAATAAAAACAAACCTCTCCCTGTAACTTGCGATGGAGAGGGAAGTGAAGTGCCGAGTCTCTCAGCACCTCTGTGTCTAACTGCTGAAGTATTTCCTTCATGGTTGGCTGTTGCCATAGTGACTTTCCCAATGCCTTCAGGGTTTGGTGTTGTGAGACTGCAACACGACCCCATGCAGTGGGCCTGGAAATCAAGAATGAGAGTCTCATCAAATAACCGTGGTAAGAGTGTTTTTTAGTGTATGCATAAAGTAACTGGAGCACAGTTTGTTTTCCTTTATTAAGTTGTTGCAAATGGATTTCAAATGATTATAAATGATTAAAAAAAATCGCCAGAGCACTCTGTGGTTTTATGGATTCATCAGAAATAAATAAAATGTAATACAATGTAATACAATGTAGTACAATGTAATACAATGTAGTACAAATGCCAATGGGTTCATTACCAAATTGGTTGACTTTGGTGGTCCTCTTAAGAATGTTTGCATCCGTTCTATAGTCCCGACTTTCCATCTGATACCATCTCTGATAGTTTTGTTTGCCATGTCATGATAGGCAAGTTACAATGCAACCACGAATCACGTTAAAAAACTCATGAAGTTCATGTTGTTTCTTAAACCAAGGCTTGTAATGTTATAAAACCGAGAATCCCTCAAAAAGTAACGGAGGCACTATAGCTACCAATCCTAAAGAAATCTTGAAATAAACGTTGGACAGTTTTTGAGGTGGGATAAAACATTAAGGAAAACCCACAAAACCAGTTCGGGACTGAAAATCCAATCCACATTTGGGTATGTGCGGGATTTGAACCCAAACCACTGAGCTTAAAGACAAGTACCATCAGGCCGGTCTGACTACCAACAGATAAGACTCACTTGTAATCCGATGGCACAGCCTGATTCCTCTGATAATGCTGCATAAGCATCAGCAAGGCTGTGTCTGTGTTACTCCTGGTGATATTGTATGCTCCGATGAGAACGGCATAATGCGCTTCATGGCAACATCTTGGCTCCAACTCAACCATGGCAAGCATCAGTAACACCAATGATTCTATCAAAAGAACAGTCAACATAAGGCATGTAAAGAATTACCAAAAGAGACTTTTTAAGACCTTCGATCCATGTCAACACAGAAATGTGCTCATTTCACACATGTTTACATATCCATCACTAGTCCATTGCTTTATATTTTATCCAAAGATGCGACAAGACCAGCAACCAATTTCACAAAACAGTGCGTAACGTACACCGGACAATCCATATGATTTACACGACAAATTTGTTGCAAAGCTGCACAATAAACTTACAATCGATTTCACGAAACTTGGCACAGCTGAACGAAGTTTAAAATATCTGAAAAATCTTAGATGAGGATATACATGTAACAGCAAATTAGGACAACTGTTTGCGTATGAATTCCGTTTTGCTCGTCTTCTTTTGGAATTGTGCGACAACTCAAAAAATTATGTCACGGGTAAAACAGTACCTTGTTTACTTAAAAAAAACCAAAGCTTTAAGTGCCTTGTATCAACCTTGTTAAGTTGGGCAATAAGAGGCTCCACGACGATCACATTTTATTGAGTGAAATAGTCATTTTTCAGTCTTTTTGCTATAACTTATGCCACCTAAAATACTTCATAAGTTACGACATAATTTGTTTCGTAAGTCCCGGACTTACGCACAGTGAACATTTTGTGAAATGTGTCATAACTGAAATGTTGCTGACGTCTCCATACCTTTTGCTGATCTGTTTTCATCCTGTTCTTCTAGGACTGTTGGCAGAAACAGCGAATGACTCAGCACAATCTGATAGAGAACTGACAACGGAAGTAGGTTCTTTAATATCTCTTTCTCCAAGTTTGAATCCTTGTTACTGCTGTAGATCAGTTTGACCAGACTAGCTATGAGTTCCAGCATGGCTGGTGACTGGTAGCAGTGCTTGAGTCCGTTTCTGACCAGACTCTTCCAGGCTTGAGTAAGTGATGGAGACACTGACAGATGTCTTGTTCCCACAGCCTGAATGAAAACGCAAGGGAAAAAAAGAAACATTCAGCAGACTTTCAGATCTATGATAAAAGAATTTTTTGTTTACAATCAAATGGAATAAAAGACAGATTCTAAAGTCAATAGTCTGTTACCTAAATACAAAAATACTGCAAGTTAAACTTGCGCGATCCCCTGGCATGCTGGCAGTATTTATACAGTCATTTAGCAAGCACATTTTTCAGTGTACCTAACCAAAATCAACAATGACCTCATTTGACCCCTAGATGACCTTTGACCTCCAATGGCTCAAGTCATCTGAAGTTAACCTGACCAAGATGGAATACACACACATCGATAGAAGGAATACACTATCGCAACATCCCCCTTTCTAAGGATAAAAAGGTTGTTCAGTATGTGCAAAAAACGTAATGAACGACATCCTCATACACTGCGCAAAATTGTTGATTTCTATAGTAATAAACTCAGCAATGTATTTTTTAAACCTATGATTCCTAAAACAAGACATTTTGAAGGACCAGCAAAGGTATTTATTTTCATAATGCCACACTAAAGTGTCGTTTTTACTTGAGGGACACATACCTTGACAACTGCTGTTGTTGACATCAGCTGATCACTGATAGCTGTTGCTGTGTTGTCAGGATTCTTCTTGATCAAAGTGACGACGTTCTGTAAACATGCCACAACCACCTCCACAAGAACATCACCAGTCTTCTGGTCTGACTTGTTTACTTCATGACGGTTGGCAAGCCTTTCTACTGCAAGTTGACAGGCTTTCAGCTGTAACCTAACAAAAAAAAGTCGAGTTTGCTTATAAAACATATTTTTGCTCTGATAACTTCATATGTACATGTGCCAAATGGTACTAAATAAAAAGGAAAAGGAAATGTGTCTATTTCCAGATACATTCTTTGAAAATTTTTCGGTCAAAGTAGGAAATTTACCACTTTGGCACTTAATCCTCCTGTTATTTAAACATTCACAGACAATCAAAATTCACTTTCACTTCCCCCGTTATACTTTTAACAAAGGCTAGTCACCAGCAGTCAGATCATATGTCAAGCAAGCACTGTGACTAGTCAAACTGGGTCAACAGACAAAGCAGGCAAGTTGTGGTCACAGCTGTTTTATCACTCACCCGGAGTCAAAGCATAGATGTATCAAGTTACATAAACAGTCCCAGCCAGTCGATCCTGCTTTATGTAGGCTGGGAATTCTTAACTGTTGAAAACGGTCACTTGTTTGTTTTTGACTGAGAGGACTACTTTGGCACAGAATGTATGTTTGCAAAGGAGGGTTAATCATGTAAAACCTTAAAAAGGTTTTGCCAAATTAGTGGTCAAGAAGAGACATTGATCATGTTGTTTAAAACATTCCATTACTTTAACAGAAAATTACAGACTGACATGTCGTCTTATATGTTCTGCTGCCTTACAGACAACTTTGCAACACAGCTCGAGATTGCTTATTTTATGCAAAGTTTCAACGAAAGCGATATTTATACTATGTAAACTGCCTAGAGCGTTCATACCTGTGAAACACGCCAAGATGCTTTCCTCCTTGTCCTCTTCTGATAAGAGACTGAAGAAACAAGATCAACGTTTCTCTCTGTGTATCCATTAGGATTTGACTCAGTAGTTCCATCTTGGAGTCATCTTCTTCATGAACATCTTCGTTTGCTTGAAGACCAGCAATCCACTCCTTCAACCAAATCCAGTATGTAGCATGCAGTATGCTCAATATCTGCTTACCTGAAAGAAGTAAACCCATGTTTTAGTATTTCATTTAAAAATGTACTGTCCGTTTGGTACAGCTTCGTTTTTTAAATTGCTCTTTTTTCTAGTACTGCAAAATGCATTCACTTTTGCATGACACATTGAAAAAAAAAATGGCTGTTTAGTAATGAAATAATTTCTTGACAAATTTTGAATTATTTGTGGCCTGATAATAAGTCAGTTCTTGCAGGTTAGACTGGTTCTTGCCTCCTATCAGCATCATTGATACTGGAACTAGGAACCAGTCTGCTCAAAGAGCAGATTTATTTGTGCAAAAATGCTATCAACAATAACCACATTTCACAGAGGGATGAAGACACCCAAAATAGGACTATTATAAAAGTATTTTTTTTATTTTTTTTTAAAATGAAACACAGAAGGTGAAAATTCATCAGGATATTATTATTCAATTTGTGGATGAGCACCAACATTACATCTTTAAATTCAATATCTACAATCATTTGCAAGTGACCTCATGCTAAAAAGCATACAGAACGTTTTTTTATTAAATTTAATGACTTGCAAATATGTTGGTATTGCAGTGCAATATATAACTGTAGTGTTAAAATGCAAGAGTTGGTTCACAATGTCAATGGCTGAAGTACTTACTCGCAGAGCTGTGCTTACAGTAAGCCAGTATCACAGGAAGTAAGACGTCCTCCTTGTCATTCAGTTCTTGTTTAGAGCTCTCTAAACACCACTCCTCAAACCACTGTATGTGTACTGCACTGTGGTGTTTCATCAGTTGGCATACGAGCTGACTTGTAGCCTATCATGGAGCAAAAATAGTTATTAAACTACAATTTATAAATATCCAGAATGACAACATTGCTTGGAAGTGGCCCAAGTAAATACAGTGAACTTATGCAAACACAAACACTTAAACAAGTGCAGGTAAATATAACCAAAACAACATAAAAATCGGTAACATCAAACCAGTGTTGTAGTACTCGTACTCAGTACTCGTACTCGAGTACTACTCAAGTACTTTTTTAGAGTACTCGTACTTGAATGTCAAAGTACTCGTACTCAAAATGACGGTACTCGTACTCGACATGTCAAAATTGTATTCGATCATCAAAGTACTCATACTCGAATAAAAAAAGGTATAGCTTGACTTACCACGGCCTTATTTTATTATCGATACTTTCAGTTGGAAATGGTTGATTGGCTTGCAGAGAAATAAAAGTTTCCTGATTCTTCTCTGTGCACGTCTGGACAAATACATTGAACAGCTAGCCGTGAGTCGGTCCTGTTTATCAGTCTGACTGGGCCTGGGGCAATACACACAATGAACCAATTGCCGTATGGCTGTATTCAGAAATACAAGCACTCGTACTAGAAGACCTGAACTTGTACTCGGAAGTACAGGTACTCGTACTCGGTAACCTAAATACTCGGCAGTACTCGGTACTCGGAAAAAAAGTACTCGACTACAACACTGTATCAAACTCTGTCTTCAGATTTGCAGTAACGCACAGGAAGTAGTAATTTCTTTCACAGAATCAATACAAATATGTGTATGCTTGTTGTTTAGAGAGGGTCTCTAAACTGAGCTTACTTTGACCATTCCACTAGGAGTATTGTCTGTTACAATCAGGGAGACAAGCTGTTCCCATTAGAAAAAAGTCTGGGAACACCAGATGAATCTGTTTTAAATAAAACATTCTACAAGGAACAGAAAGGTTCTAAGTTCTTCATTTTTCCTTTATCATTGAGGGGCTTGTTTTGAATCGCTCACCTTAGTGGGTTGGTTCAGCCAGTCCATGTATACTTCCTTGGTGAACACTGCTACCAATTCCGGATTATCTCCCACAAACTGTGACAGCACAGATGCCATCTGATCACAGCTGAACTGGTGTGCTAACTCCACTAATGTGGAGATATCGTCTGTACTTAGCATCACCGGTTTGCTGGTTACTGCTTTGTCCACTGACTGTTTAAGTTTCATGGCCTTTTGTTTTTCTGCATGTACTTCCAGCAAATGGCAAAGCGTTGATCTGAGATGCTGTTTAGTCCCTGAAGTGACGGCAGAAATCTTCTGGCTCTTCAAACTCTGGAGTAGAATCCTGATAGCATCTACAAGTTCCTCATCTCGACAGTAAACGCACATCTCCTGAAATAACTCTATGACACTCCTGGACTCGTGGCTATGTCCTTTTGTCCTGTCTTTGTTTGAATTCATCTCCAGTTTGGCCAAGTTCAAGTAGTTTTGACAGGACTCCTTGATGATTAGTCGAAGTATCAGTTTGAGTGTGTCATTTGATAGATGCTGCTTGAACACACTTAGACATTTCAGAAAGCATGATGTAATAGCACTAAGTGTTTGTGGTTTGCCTTTGAGGCCTGATGTTACTGGTTCTTTCTGGACGTTTCTTGCAGAGTGTTTGAATAACATCGTGAAAGCTGCATGTTGTAATACTAGCTCAGCCATGCTGGTCCACCATTCATCTGACGTCTCACATCTTGAGGGGTCAACTACTGATGACATTCCATCATTTATTACTTTCTCAGGATCATGAATGTTGTTCTCAGTCTCCTTATCACGCTTAGCGTGGACGTGGTCAAGAGCGCTCTCAATCATCAAAAGATAGCTTTTCAAAACAGCCAGCATATTCTACACAAAACACGACAAGAAAATTATTGTTAACTCACGAAACGATTAAAGGAATGATGCAATTGTTTGCACAAATCTTTTAATTGTAAAATCACGGCTGAAGCTTTTTCCAAGATTGACTGTTCCATTCAACTCGGCTTCACCTCATTGAATGGAACAGTTACTCTTTGTCCACATTGAAATATTCCTTCCATTGCATTCATAGACATTCAGTATTTGTAAACTGGAGGCTGGGGCATGGTTGCATCACTGGTTACCAATAGCAGGGAGCCAGGATGTTTCATGATGATGTTTCAACCATCAATTGACTAGAGGACACTGCGCAGGTGTAAGTTACGTCACAAATCAACCACTAGTCGACTTATGGTCCTCGCCTGAACTTGCTGTATGCTTCAGCCTATTTTTGATGACATGTACCTTTGGTTTGATGATGTGCAGAGTGTAGATGTACATCAGTAACTGTCTAATCATTGGCAATAATTCCCTCTGATCACAACGCAACAGTCGTTCCATGTCACTGGCCTTCAGTACACCACCTTGCATGATTGATGATCGTAACGCTGAACTCCGTTCATTTCTGGGCTTTAGAGATGTCTGATCTGCTGATGCTCCTTCAGTCTTCTAAGGCAATGTAACAAGACAATTCGTGTAGAAAATTGTAAGTAACATCAAAACCTTGGCAGACATTAACAGAGTTACCGATACTGCAACAGTGTGATATGTACTGCATACCAGATTTGTAGTTGAGTCATTTGAGTTAAGTCCGGGTCCGAGTCTTGAGTCACTTGGGTCGAATCTGAGTCACAAGTCACATTTTGGAACTGGACAGATATGTGCATGCATTTAGTATCTTGGAAAACAACAAGTAGGACAGCGTAATGATGAGGAGCTTTCTAAATGCCACCATTTTGTACTTCAAGTGCTTTTATACATGTGATGAGCCCTATTCCTGGCCATGGCGACCAAAAAATTCACATCAAGTTTTTTATAATAATTAAAAAAAATATTAAAATGTTGGGTAAATAGTATGTGACTCACCACTCAGGAGTCTCAGTCATGATAGTTGAGTCCGAGTCCCGAGTCTTTTTTCAATGTGACTTGAGTCTAGTCCAAGTCACAAAAATTATGACTTGAGACAGACCTCAGTCCGAGACCGGGACTCGAGTTATACCACCTACGTGTGTACCAATTCTAGGAAATGCAGAGTGATAGCTTAAAGCAAAACAACTCAATACATCTTTCAAACCCAAGTACTTCCATTCATAAATTTGTTTAAACGTTTCAAACTGAGTAATATTTTCTAAACTGAAGAACAGCGGGTTTACACAGCAACATTATTAACCTATTACATTTTCATTGTTGACATTTATATTTCATCAGCGAATTCTGTCAACAAATTCTCAATGAAACTTATTTTCCCATGACTTTGCCCAGCTTACTTCCATCCAAATTACCAAATTTCCAAGACAAAACATCGGATCTTACCTGATACAAAGCACTTTTCTTGTAGATAGCCGGCAGCCACATTGCATAGTATTTCATGACATCTTGCCAGTACAGATTATGCTGCAAACCACTGCCTTCAGTTTGTGTGCAATGATGTAGCAGCAGACATACAGACATTGGGTTGTCTTGTCTCTCAAGAATACTCAATGCAACAAGTGATACGTAGTGACCAAACAAACCTGGATGAAAAATGCATCAATGGAGAATTTTGTTCCATGAAAGTAACTAATTACAAGGCTGCAAGCTACTCAAGTTATCGCAAAATACCTAACTTGACTGTAAGTGAATAACAGTCTCAAGCAACCTGTGACATCATATCACCTGCTGTGCTGTCATTTCAAGAAAAGTGAAATTGTTGTATCAATTTTCAACTCTTGTTTTAGAGTTATTGTTTAGGTCTTAGTCAATGACAACTACAGGGGAAAATGATGACAGAGACATAGCCGTAGCTCTGGAAGGCTGTTTCTAACCAGCCTTACCTTGAGTGTTGCCTTCCAACTGAGCAAAGACTTGGAGAGCGGAGGGCAAGAGAGCACTACAGGGGAGAGGCTCAGCTTGATGGGCTTCGCTGATTGGTTGATGAGCGAGGTCATCAAGGTCATGCGATGCTGTGTGGGTTATCATTGCTAAGATATCAGGTGAAAGGGTATCTGAAAAAAAGACAGATATTCAAATGATCTGAGTTTAAAGTGTGTTATAATGTGTAAAATTTATGGAAATAATAATATTGCCAAGTCTATTTAACCAGTTCGCGTCGGAAGTCGTGATAACACGCACTGGCTGTTTTTATACACAGGCACGGCTGACTAGTTAAAATGTCAAGATTGCCTTGACTCGCCTCCAGTTGACAACTGAACACGCTAATCCCTTGTGTCTTTTGTACACACACAAAGTCCATGAAGTCTGTGGAGGCAGACCGTGTGTTGATCTTGAATTGGCCGTTGTGCACGGCCTATTGTTCAACAATTTACGCTCCAGTGCACACCTCAGATTTTTGAAACATATGAGGTTTTGTCTAGAAATATCGTACAAATACTGTTGAAATGACTCTTGCAAATCAGTATTTAGTGGTGTTTTGGCTGGAAAATTTTGCCTTTTGCGAAAAATCACATTTTTTTGCAAAATCCTGGCGCGAGGTGGCTAACTGTGTCCCAAACTGGATTTGTTCGGTGAGACTAGGTTTAAATTCCAACAGACCAACCACCCAGTCAAACCTACTTTATGTAGGCAAATAATTCCTAATTGTCAAAATAGTCACTTGGTTGATTTTGACTACCGAGAAGGATTTGTCAATATGCAAATACTAACCATTCACATTTCCTTCTTGTCCATGCTGCTGAACTGCACACGCAGAGTGCATAGCCTCCATCACTCTATCATTGAATGGGTATGGATTCCGTATGGCCTGCGTCAGTGACTTGTAGAAGACGTCCACTATTTGTTTGGTTTCATCTTCACTGAAGGTCGCTAGGATGTCTAACCAAATGGCAATCTCCCATTCCGTCTGGGCAAATAGTCCGGTCTCTTGGATAAACTACACATGGGAATAGGAAAAGAATACATGTACATAAACGCCTTGGCTATTTTTACATGGAATCTTCTTGCAAACCTCCAAAATCAACTACGGTGCACCAACAAAATGGCACATAACGTAAAATTTTGTTTCAATGAGACATGAACCCTTTCCTTTCCCTTGGCAACTTTTGACTTTTGACAGGTGGGCAATTCCGACCACATGACGTAAGGTTGTTATTAAAGGTGGCAGTACCTTAGTTTTGTCAGTAATTGTTTTCTACTACATGTACTAGACATCACATTATTAGTGATGTATCACATTCACTTTTCTAACAGCAGCTCATTAACGTGTCCGATGTGTACGTCCACATTTACAAAATAGCCCTGGTCCAAAATATTCCCCACATTGAGAATTTTGATGAATTGAAAAGGGCTTGGGTTACTGTCAGTAAAGTCATACAAATTTGGCCACATATACTGTTGGTTGAGAAATAAAAACAAAACTTAAAAAAGGTCAAAGAAACCTGTAGTCAGAAAAGAGGAGAATTTAGGAAGCTCACCTTATTGAGTAGTTTGATTTTCAAAGCACATAGATCTGATTTTGTTGAGGCAGATATTAGCTGTCTGAGCAGCAATAGCACAGTGGAGCCATCTTCACCTCGGACCTGCGATAAATGAAAGGCATCATTATCAACGACTCACTTAACACTAACACGTCAACAAGTAGAGGTTGCTAAGTAACAGGACATGAGGTTCTGACACATTAGTGAAATTATTGTAAGGCCTTTTTTACAAATATTCAAACTGTATGACAAACTTATGTTTGCTGTGTTGAAACTAATGTGCCACGATTCAGCTCATTAGCCCTCCTGCTGTTTGAACAGTCACAGACAGTCAAAAAATAAATACTCTTCCCCTGCCATGCCTATTACACAGATTAGCCATCGCCAATAGTCAAATTCAGTCAACAGACATAAGCAAGCAAGGCGTCAGCACATCTGGCTTATCAATCACCTGCAGTCAAAGCACAGCCGTATCAAGTTACATAAACAGTCACAGCCAGTCAATCCTGCTTTGTGTAGGTTGGGAGCTCTTAACTGTTAAAAACAGTCACTTGATTGCTCTTGCCTGAAAGGACAACTTGGCACAGACTGTATGTTTGCATAGGAGGGTTAGACAAGAAATTGTGCATAATGTACATAATTTAGATCGTGCCTACCTCCTTAAAGCCGCGTAGCTTGCCTTCAGGGAACGCCAGTAGCAATCTAATAGCTCGTTTCTCAATAGCTTCAGTCACCAATGGGGACTCAGTGTGGTATATCAGATGTGGCAGACGACTGAAGTCATAGGTCGTTGGAGTAAAGGAAAGTGGGATTGTCAGCTGGTAGGCAGACAGGACATCAAACAGGGCAGTCAATAGTTCGTCTTTCTTTGCAACAGGTACTTCAGTCACTACAGCTAAAATACAAAACCAAGAAGGTGAAAGTCATCATACAAATTGTTATCACGTCATAAATTGTGAGGCGTTCTGGCAAAATGAGACGGAACTGGGCACAGGCCTTTAGTGGAGAATAATGCAAAAAACTGAATAGTGATGATGATTTTCAGATTTATTGATAATTGTAATCTTTGATATGTCTACTTTGCATATTTCAAAGAAACAGTATACAAATTAAATGTGTTTGTCCGGACTTGCACAGAGGAAAATCAGGAAATCTCGATTTCTCCACAAGCCAATCAACCATTTCAAACTGAAAGTATCGATAAAATAAGGCCATGATAAGTGAAGCTATAACATTTTCCCCGGCCGAGTACTGCTATCCGAGTTCGAGTACTTTGATGATCGCGTACAATTTCGCCATGTCGAGAACGAGTACTTTGCTGCCCGAGTACGAGTACCGTCATTTCGAGTACGAGTACTTTGACATTCTAGTATGAGTACGAGTACTCCAAAAAAAGTACTCGAGTAGTGCTCGAGTACGAGTACCGAGTACGAGTTCTACAACACTGCATTGAAGTGCAACAAACAGTATTGCAAGGAAAATTTAATTCTCTTTCCTAATACTACCAAGCCCGTACTTCCAACTCTGCCCAGTACTGTCTCATTTTGTCAAGCTGTGATCAATGTTAATTTTACCTGTAGAAGTATGTTCCATCTCTGATTCAGCTTCGCTTGGTTCTTGTCTTGTAACAGCTCGTTGGCTCCCATCCAGAGGTCTATCCAGCGTCTTGTGAAGTAAGTTCACATAGGTATCCAGATCTGGCAAGGCCTTTGGAAATCACAGAAGTATCGTATTAAACTTCGCATCATGTACAAAATATGCAAAATACACAGGTTTGCTTTTTATGGGCTCAATACACGAACAGCATATGGACGATATATTTAGAGGATTTCTCTTTAGAACTTCTTACCTTGATAAGAGCTTGCTGATATTGAGATATGACTGCTGTCTGACGAGACTCTCTCAACCAGTCTATCATCCCATGGGCTCTATCCAGAATGAGTCTGATGATCTGTAGTATACAGCAACTGACAACCAAGCTACTGTGCTGAAATACATAATAATCATCATGGTGTCAAATAGTGCATGCGACCCTGAACTTCAAAACTCAAAGTTGTACCTACAAGTTGCACTCAAATACCCGGCAGTTTAAGTGTCTGAAAGATCATTTGGTTCACCACATACAGTATACCTTGTCTACTATTAATCAGAACTCGTTTCTGAAAAATATAACTATAATGACAAAAATGATAATTAATTTACACAGAATCATGATTTCAATAATTCATGGAAACTTTTGAAACAGTTTACTTTGTGAAAAATTTCACATTGTTACCAAGAAACAATAAAGACTAATGCTAACACCCACAACAACAAATATACTTCTTTGAAAGAAACAGAAGAATAAATGCACCAACTATGAGCAACACCAAAAAAAAAAAAAAAAATATTCTTGTCATTTTTTTAAAGAATCGCCAGCACATACTAGGAGTAGTTTACACATAACATCTTCAGTAAATTGTTTGCCTTTGTTTCCTTTTCTTCAAATGTAGTCATACAGCAAGTTCTGCTACATACCTTGACAGCTTGAGACAGCAGGACAGGTGTCATGACCGTTGGGATTGTGCTAGCCATCGCTAGCTGTACCATGTAACCTGTGGAAGTGTTTCTAGCGTGAAGCAAGGCTGATGGAATTACTGATTGGCCAGTCAATATCTGGGGAGTCAGCAAAAATCAACAAAACTGAAATATAGCTGAAGAATTACAGGCAAATAACGAAAATCAAATCAAATCAACAAAGCTTAAATAGCAAGGCTGTATAAAATATAAACAGAAGAAGCTACATATTGGCAATTCCACGGTTACTCACGTTACATTTTTGATGTACTTTTGAGTTTCCTTGGGCTGTAATTACCTTACTGAAAAGGTTTAATAACTGTTATCCCCATGGTAGATAGAGTAGACCTAGACCTACCCAAGCACCAAAGATGACATCCAAAAAAATGTGTTATGTATGATAAACAAGACGCAAAAAATTGGTTACTCACGTTACATTTTCGTAACGTGAGTAACCGTGGAATTGCCCAAATGTATGTGTTGCTATCCAATGGACCCTGTGCACTATACACCACCACCAACCCCCCTTCTAAAAAGGGAGCATTGGGGAGACAAGTGGATGGGACATTTGAATGCAATGCCGTAGTTCCCAAGGAGAAGAAAATACTGGTTTATGCACATACAATTTAATCATGTGTACTCCACACCATATGTACATGACCAGCAGTACCATGGAGTTCTAATGCATTGTCACAAGGCACCATCTACTGTTAAGATTTCTATAAACAGATACATGAATTGTTTCCGACAGTGTTTCACTGAAATTAGATTTAAAAATAAATAATCACTCAAAACCATCAAGTTTTATCTTTTAAAACTTAAATTGTTAGAGGTCCATGTACATTTATGTAATTAGAAAAAGCAGACATAAGAATATAGTCATTTCAAAAACAGTTGTAAAAAGTGTACAAAATCATTAGAATTCATTCCAATACAGGGTGAGTCAAAGGGAAAGTTACCAACACTAATAATTTATCTTAATAAGCAATCAAATTTGAAACACCAATGAAGTATATCTAAAAAGAGCCTCTTCTTCGACTCATCTAAAAAGAAAATTACTGAAATTGATCCATGCTATCAGGAGTTATCAACGTTTTACTAAAAGAACACATTTTTATAGCTGTCCTTGGAATGCCATGAGAAGCTATTGAGCTGGGTGAGTATTACAGATTACACGTCCAAGTTTCATTGTACTCAGTAGGCATTCATGGGTTTGTAGAACGGTAAATGATCAGTGGTGGACAGCCAAGTTTTGTGATCTTTTTATTGAAATAAACATAACTTGGGAATACAGTATGCAAATTTACAGTTAAAAGTCAATAAGATGTACTTTATCCGTATGTTTTATTTTGTGTTCGAAATGGAGCAAGCCAAATATTTTAAAAATATTTTTAAAATTTGATAACTTTCTTTTTGACTCACCGTGTATTTATAAATCTGTTTATTTACCTGTTCTAAGACTTTCATGTTGTCAAGCCAAGATGCAGAAGGTCTGGGTTGAAAGGAGAGCTTGCACTGAGACAGGTAGCGGTTTAAAAGATCAGGACACGTATGAAGAATATTCACCACCAGATCTAGAACCAACTCATCCTCTGTAGTGTTATGAAGACTCAGTAAAAACTTCAGCAATACTGAATTGCAGTTTCTAAAGACAAAACAGAACAGAAGGTGACGATGAAATTAATGTCATTCTTTGTGAATGTCACATTAACTAAATCTTCATAATTTGTAGTTTCGTAAACACGACAAGGCAACCTCATAAATCTGGTACTAGAGTGCATGAAATTATATTCTATTGTTCAGAATGGCTGTTCACTGGAAGTCTTCTCACAATGAGACGCATTTAGCCCATTCATTGGTGTTATGGGGTAATCCTATATGATAGCACTGCCTGGTTTTCTTCACCAGTCTACAACCAGTCTAAGTCAGGGGAGGGAGTCAGTCAGTCAGTCAGTCAGTCAGCGAGATATTTACAAAGTGGGCACTAGGCTGGCAAAAATTCAAGGTTTTTTGGCAAAACTTAAAAAGATAGAAATCTTATAAGTAGTTCTATAATGTCAAAAAATATTTGGCTGCATACATGCATGGATGCATGAATACATAATAATAATAATAATGTGCTTATATACCAACGGTCTCAAAGTGCTTCACAATTATTACCCCTTTTCATCAGGCTATGAGACCAGTTTTTGCAACAGCTCGAGATCAGCGCATTCTGGTCTCTACCTTCACAGGTACCCATTTATATTCCTGGGTGGAGAGAGGCAGTTGTAGTAAAGTGTCTTGCCCAAGAGCACAACGTGAGTTGAACACCGTAACCATTAGAGCACTCCACATAATTATGTAACTTACTTTCCCGAGAGCCCGAGAGAGTTATCCAAGAAATTGATGCCATGTTTGAGGTCACAGGTGACTTTCAGTAGAAACTGATGACACAGTTGGCGTATCTCCAACACTTGAAATTCTTCATCAATTGTAGTATCATTCTGCAAAACAATAAATAATAAGCAGTATGTACATCTAATTATGTAGCTTCTAATTAAAAACTCTTCAGCTAAGTTTCCTTGTGGGATATTTTGTGCAATGAGGATGTATGTGCACCTGCTCACAAAATCGTGATTTGTCCTTTGTATTATTTTCAGTGAATTCACAATCCCACAGAATAAATATGTTTATAATAATAATCATATAATAATCGGCATTTAAGAACGCTTTTATTAGTAAACTAAATCACAGCGCTTACAGTATTATTATTACCCCTGATCATTGGGCCAATTAAACATTCCAAATACCATCTCAGCTCCCTGGGGAGTATACAGCTCGATGCAAACAAAGTGGCACATAGAGAATTCTAAATTGAAGTCAACAAATATCCCATCAGGAGTGGAACCTGGTCCGATCGAGCACAGGTCAACCAGGCATATCGTCCATAATTACACAAGTTTGTACACAGGTTGGCATAGGTTTTGGGAATTTTCTACCAGGTAGTGCCTCTCAACCCAGGTCCTAACTAGGGTTGAATTTTACCACGATAGATTTTTGTAAAAGCAGTTCCCAAAATCCCAGGGTTCGACCTGGGTCCAACATGGAGATTTTGAAAACTTTATGAAATAAATCATATTTCAAGGTTACCTTAGCTTCTGCAGTACCCTTCCACGTGTACAATGCAGCAAGTTGTTGAAGGGTGTAGTTGTTGAGAATGTGAAGTTTCTCAGTCTTGGTGACCGCTGGATTGCACACCAGATATTGCGTCAGCGTCACTAAGATCAGCTTAATGTTGGAGGCTCGGTCATGCCCTAGCTTCTTGAAGAAACTCTTGAGGAAATCTAGAACAGACCAAAAAGTAACAAAAAACGACATCAATGATTTTCAATGAAAGTGGTATGTGAGAATAAGTCAATATTGGGTTTTACCATTCACTGACGTGACTTTAAAAGCGCTGTACATGTACACTGTGCTGTCCAAGAGCCGGACAAAGTTCTTTAGGAGGGACTCGAACCCACAACCTCCTGCTTGCTTGCTGTGCAAGTAGGAGGATCATTGAGCTTGCTGGGTTGGCTGGCTGGCTGATTTGAATCCCATCATTCGAATCCAACGTTGATTAATGCAAGTTTCACAGACATTAAAATCACTTGAAAACAAAAAGTTATTACTTCTGTAGTGCTGTCTAAAAGCTTATGCCAACAAAATATACAAGCTTTTATTCAAAAGGGACTTGAATCAAATGTCATCCTGCAAATGGGAAAGTCACTTTTCAGAATACACCAGTTTTTTAAAGAAGTCTTGAGGACGTTAACAACCCCAAGATGGGCATCATGATCACTGGATGATGTCGTAAACTTAACATCATATCGTTATAGTAAGATACTAGTTAATGATTTGAAAAGTCAAGATTCAACTTAATTGAGACTATCAACAAAATGGTCATCAATGCAATTTTGCATTTCTAAAAGCATAAATGCAATATGGTGAAAAGATGTATTGCCATTAAACCTAACCTTCCCAAATCCTTTTTGCATAAAGGACGATTTTGAAGTATTGAGGCTGTACGGCAAAGTGTGTGGCTGATTTTGTGTCAAGGTCTTGGGCCGGACCTTGTGTTGTTTATGCTTAGCCGTGCATACATTTAGGCCTAAATTACACTTGAAATCATCCGCATTGCTCCAAGATGTCACTGGCTCTGCCTCAACATATTGACAGTGATTGCTGGAGGATTTTGCACAATATTGAGGCAGTGGTCACCCCTCCAAGGATCACATTCAGGAAAATACGGATGATTTTGGAGGATTGAGGCTGTACGCAATTTTTACATGAAGGCAGTTGGAGGATTTTGCATGATTGAGGTTGCATCCTAGCAAAAATGCCTAGGGGGTTAGGGTTAACATATCCAAATTATTTACCTTTACGAGTAAGAAACTGCTTGATGAGCTTATTATCTCCACTGACAAAGAATGCCATTGCTAAACGAATGCAACAAGTGCGTACATCATCTTCAGACTGAAAGAAAATAGACGCCACTACACTCAACATCTACCGAACGCAATAAAGAAAAGCATTTGTGTCTGAACTTATCAACAGATACACTTGAGAACTTTAAATCTCCTTTGGATTGAAAAAGCAAATTGAAATCGAACCCTCCCAATGACTTATTCAAAATTTCTAGTTTCCTCATCTCAAGATGGAAAGTAGATCGACTATAACCAGCTTTTTAAATCATTTTAATTCTGAAGCTACATGTATGATAAAAACACCAGGCATAAACGGTAATATAAAAATGTACATTCATTGTATTACTAAACGTCAAGTAACTTGTTTTGACTAAAGACATTTTCACTCCAATCAAAGTCATGATTCAACTGAAAAAGTTGGAATTGAATGATGCAGGTTCTCGCAAATACGTGAACGTTGAACAATATTTCTCTGTAATATGTACACACATGTACCTTTGAATCAGTCCTGTTGACTAGTGTCATAAATACGCCCTGTTGGAAGTTGACGGTCACCAAGACATCTCGCGCCGCATGCTGGCCGTAGGTTACCATGGCAACCAGGAGATTGAGAGCAGACACAATGACCGAGCTCTCGTTACTTCCATTCAGTGCGCGGTAAATGTGGGTGATATGAACATTGAGAATCTTCTGTATGATGTCCAATGCGGTGGTGCTGTGTTCTGGTAGACTGTCCGAGACATGCTGTAAAATCTGAGTCAATGTCTCCAATGATTCACGAAGCTGTAAATAAAAAAGGATAAAACAGGCCGGTGGTAGACACTAAGTCAAAATGCCTGAAAAATGATAAGTTTTTACTCTCCTACTGGGAAGTCACTATTCAGTGAAATATGTGCAACCCCAGACTGGGACCTTGAATGCAGAAAAACATGCAAAACAAATTCAGGCCAACTTTACTCACTCTTTAGCAGACAAAATTCTCCAAAATTTTCATGAGGCAAAGACGAGGTCCTCAGTATTTCACCAACCAAGTTTGAAGTCTCAATTTTATATTTTAAGGAAACTTTTCTTCCTTATTTTGCACCTGTGAGTGAAGCCAAGTGATTTAAATTTGAAGCCTAAGGCCAAAAAAAAAAAATTATTCCGTCTCTGGTCAGACCAAAAATCCGGAATTGACGCGGCCACGCGGCTTTTTTTTTTTTTTTTTTTTTTTCTTCTAGCTTGGATTGTACAGACAAGGTGGGGTATTATTTTGCTTTTTTGGTGTCCTCATGTACATTGGTGTCCTCCATAATTTGCCTCGGTGCTTTCGATCATTTGCCTTGGTGCAATTTCCCATTCCTTGGTGCTCTTTGGTAAAAAAAATTGAGGAGGTGCAGAAATAGAGGACGCTGTTGGAGCTACCGTGGAACATTTTGGAAAAAAAAAAGATCGACGCGCATGATTAAAATCGATGCGCGCGCTGACCAGAGACCGACTTATTTTTTTTTTGGCCTAAGACTAGACTAATACATGTTCAACTATTTCAAAAGACTGACCTCTTCAGTAGTCTGGTGGCAGACTATGGAGAAGATGTGTAGAAATACAGAGACCAGTACCAGATGTTTCTTTTGACACAGTTGATTGATGCAGCACCAAAGGGGTGTTGGACTGGGTGTTTCCTGTGCCAGTCTATTTTCTTCTATTGCATGTTTTTACTGTCTTAAGTTTTGGACCATCATACACAGTATTGCGAGTCCCAAATTTTCGGATCATGGTGGGGGGGGGGGGCAATGTAGTTCCGTTGGCATGAAATGTTAATTTTTGGCAATTGGTTGGACCATCTTCTGGGATGTTTTAACTTACAAAAAATTAATGTTGCCATTTTTCTGACCATTTTCTGATACCTTAATCTGATTTTCCATAATATACCCCTAAACGGGTTAAATGCACACAATATGGTGTTAGAAATAGAAGCTTAAGTATTGATTCAGTGAAATTAGTTAAAATCCTTTAGATAGATTATGAAGTGTTAATTAACTGTGTCGCAGAGAGTCACTTCACAAAACAGGGAACTATGGAGAGAGAAGTATAATGGAACGGAAGCCACCGCTTGCCTGAGCTTAACCACATGGAAGAATCATGGTCAGTTTTGAAGTGTTATCCACACCCAACAGAACTTAGGAATACCTCACAGTACTTTAAAATATGGGTAATATGGGCAAACTACGAAGGCAAAACTTGAAAGATTTTGAAGTACGAAAGGATTAGGAGGGTATAAAAGGATGAGAAATCAGTCGAAGATGTGATACTGACTTGTGCCGCTGGTACTTTTTCCTCCGTTAGTAGTTCCATGATCTTTGGCCACAGCTTGATTTGTTGAAGACATCTCTCTGACAGATCTTGGAGCTCCTCCTCATCTTTACTGGTGGATGACACAGCTGCCATTGTTCTACTAGTACTTACTAGAGATAGTGATAAAGGAACAGAACTTATTGCTAAAGACTTTTTATTATCTGGGATTATTCTGGAAGACCATCGCAAGTTAAATTCGAACGTATTCGCGCCCTGACGAAGCCTGAAGCTCACGCGCGAAGACGTTATGGCTTAGCTTTGTGCACGTGCAAGATAAATTAAAAGCTGTGCGTACTTTACGCGCGAACCAGTTCCATACGCACATGCGGTGTCCCGTCCAAGGTGCAAGATGGGAATCAGTGAATACGAAGTTACAACGATAATGTTGGCATGGAGCAAGACTAAAATTTGTCACCGGAAAATGTTTTAAAGATATAGTCCATCATTTGTAATTTTTAGCATTTTGTTCGTTTGAAGCAACAAAAGTGTTCAAAATCTAATGGATACCAAACAACTAACCTGATGAAATTTCAGCTCAGCTTCAGCTGTATATTCCGAGAAAAACAGCATTCTAGGATCTCAATTTCAAATCAAAAGTTGCTGAATCATGTTTTGAATTTTTTTGAATTGCAGCTATACGCGATGTCGCGCACTGATCCGACGAATTATAGCAACCGTGCGCGCCTGTGCGTCGTGCCAATGCTTGTGCGCGCTGCGCCGAATAACAAAACGAACTACTAATTTAAATTTTCCTACGGTGCGTCTTAAGACGCACCCTTGGAAAGGCCTTCTTTCGTTGATTACTTCAAAATGATAGCTTGCCAGAAAGATTAATTTCACAGGGAGTTTAGTCCACTTACTATCTTTCAACCAAGTATGTTTTTCAACAATAATATGCCAGTTACTTTTTCGGATGGCTGCAAATGATGGACTATAGCTTTAAGTCCAAAAAAATAGTAACTGCGCATGTTCAGTACATATCCGGCAAGAACGTTTACTAAACATGCTAAAGGTTTGCCGTCTCCGGCAAAATATCCACTGCCTTATAGTAAATATGGGAAAGATATGTTGCAACCTGATGCCACTTAAGCGGTTGTGTAAAAAGTCTATGGAGAGTCAGGAATTTTTTTAAAGTATTTCCTAACAAAATTGAAAATGTTTCTCAGTCCCAGATTCATGTCTTTTCAACATTTTTGCAATGACTGGCCTTCATTGAGATGATATACAGTTAAATCTTGATAAGTCAAACCTCAACATGCTCTAGGGAACCGGGAACAGGTTCAAAATTTGACTTAAGCTAAGCACAGTTTTGAGTTAGGCAGGTTGTCGTTGTACTTGTATCAACTACTGAAAGCAATGTTTGACTTAACAGTAGCCCCACTAGTGTGGCCGTCGGTATGCTGTGCTGAACCTAAGGCCACACACCGTGGTACCACGCGCTACTGGGGACGAAGTTTTCATAAAATTCAGGGCAGTTTCTTACATTCTCAGTTTCTTACTTTCTTATGGTTGTATTCTATGATGTCTCACCAATCACTTCTGGAATGCTAAGGTCTAATGATGTTCCATTTTCCGAGATATTCTTCAATCTTTCTGGAGTCCATATGCACTCGTGAAACGTCTGGTGATGGCAGCCATTTTGAATGGGACAAGAGATGACCTCAAGCTGTGACGTCGCGTGTATGCAAATTGCTTGTCGAGCGCGCGAGGGCGTGAGTTGCAAATGCGACGGCTGTTTCCTGTACCATGCATTTATCGTCAGGGGGCCACGTGCACCGATCTCTATTCAGGATCTACGGCACAGGAAACAGCCGTCGCATTTGCAACTCGCGCCCTCGCGCGCTCGACAAGCAATTTGCATAAACGCGACGTCACAGCTTGAGGTCATCTCTTGTCCCATTCAAAATGGCTGCCATCACCAGACGTTTCACGAGTGCATATGGACTCCAGAAAGATTGAAGAATATCTCGGAAAATGGAACATCATTAGACATGTTAGACCTTAGCATTCCAGAAGTGATTGGTGAGACATCATAGAATACAACCATAAGAAAGTAAGAAACTGAGAATGTAAGAAACTGCCCTGAATTTTATGAAAACTTCGTCCCCAGTAGCGCGCGGTACCACGGTGTGTGGCCTTAGGTTCAGCGCAGCATACCGACGGCCACACTAGTGGGGCTAACTTAACAGCTGCTTTGAGTTATCAGAGTTTGACTTATTGAGATTTCACTGTCAGACTGTATGACCATGGAGCTATAGCTCCATGGAATGACTATGAGGAAAAAAGTCGCGTCAGGTTGCAATATTCTTTCATAATCCTACTCTAAACATTCACTCGACTCTCCATTGACTTTGTACACAAAAACAGAAGTGGCGTTTGGACTACATTCTTTCCTGGATATTTCCTAACCATCGAAGTTGTGTCTGAAATTTCTTTCCTTACAAAAGCTACAGATAAGCCCATTGACTTACGTTGGATACGATGTGGAAATCATTTGGCGTACGTGCTGGGATTTAAAGGTGATTTTCCCCTGGCCCTGTCCCGCATTCTATCTTGTTGCACCGTCCGCATGCTGTTGCACATGTGCGATTCTAGTCTGCTCCCTTGTTCCCTTATGCGAGAATTTAATACATTAGCAAGGCTGGGTATCAAACATGGTAAATTTCTATATCAATAGCGCCCTCAATATGAATTGGTTATGGGAGAAGGGGCGGAGCCGAAGAGTATAGGAGGGGTGCTGTAAAAGAATTGTTTCAACCAATATGTACAATGTAGTATGTTCATGAGAACTTAACGCACAAGGTCTATACAGCAGATCAGACTACATTCCTTTTTGCATTTTCTCCTTTGTTCTCAAGGTCAGAGAAGTCTGTAGTAATCATTTCCATGAAACTCATTTTCAAAATAATTTTTCCACTGACAATTGAGTTTTATTATTCACATCATATGCAATTGATTTTATTGGAACAAACAAATTATTACAAATTTTCAAAAGGGTTCAATCAGATTTTAAAACAAAAACATAATCGTGACCCTAATATATAACACTTCAAAAAAAAGTCTTTCAAAAGTAACAATGCCGACTTTAAAAATACACATATCACTAAAACAACACTATATGTAAATCAATATAACAATTAAAAATGTATTCAAAATTGGCAGCGTTTGCATTTGGTGACCACATTTTCATCAGAATTTTAGAATTATTAGTTTAGTCATTTATTGTGTATGGGGAAGATATTATGGGATGGATCCACGTACCACATGAACCCTTAGTCTTTGCAATGTTACTTCCTAAAAGTTCTTTCAGACTATCCTAAATTACATTTTAAAAATGTGTTATTTCATAACTTATTTGAACAGTGGCAATAGTACAAAACATGATATCTGTCTGTATGGGATGCCTGGCTGATGTTGCTGTACAAAGATTAAAATGTTTTATGGTCATTGAATAAGCCTTTTCGGAGTTCCAACTGCGCGCATTCATAACCTGTGACAACGCATATTGTTTGTCTCAAATGCCCTTTGACAGTACCCACAATGCACAAACAGCCTTTTTGTAAAGTCAGTGGCGCGATGATGTCAAAGGCCATTTGAGACAAACAATGCGCGTTGTCACAGGTTATGAATGCGCAGTTGGAACTCCGAAAAGGCTTATTGAAACAAGCCATCATTTTATATTAAACATCTCAGGAATACCTTCAACAGTCAACATATAAAACCTGCAGTATATCAATAAGATTTCACAAATTAAATACAATAAACCCAATGTCAATTAACGTCCAGTATTTGTCTTAAGCCTCTTCTGACAGAAGACATAAATTCTTCAAACTAGATATCAAGAGTTTTGGAGATTTCAGACAGTGACAGGAGTGTGATTACATCAGGATTTACACATTACAAACGAATCCGGGCACGTGTTCACTGTACACACATGCGGCCCCCATCAATAGAGAAACCATTGTGCACGCTATTGCACAAAGCAACTGCCCCGTGACGGAGTATCTAAACAATAGCTAGCACAATGCTTTCACCATTGATGGGGGCCTTAATGATAGAATTGATAGCATGCCCGGATTGGTCTACAGTATGTATGTCCCAACAAAAAAGTCTGTCAATCACAACAACATTTTTGGACAATGTGACCAAATCCCTTGCCTTAATCAATTTCAATGCTGTGTTATATTAAGATGTGTAAAATTCTGTGGATGCTGTGAAAAAAAAAGGGCTGATGTAGTTTGGGATTGGGATCATTTCCCCTTGAGCATTAAACTGAGGTTATGCCATGATGACTGATAGCCAGGCAAATGATTTCAATCCCAACTGCAGCCCTTTTCACAACATGAAGGAATTTACACAGCTTACATAACACAGTACTGAAATTCATTAAATTAATTAAGGCAAGGAACTTGGTCACAATGTCCAAAAATGTTGTTGTGATCAATTGACAATATTGTGCAGTGATGCGTGACTGAAATTAATCTGTACAATCAAACATTTCCAAAAATAGTCGAAGGACACTTTTCGAGGGACATACTGTATAGGATCATGGATGAAGGGAGGATCTTGCCACAGACCAAAAAAAACGGAGATCACAGACCAATGCTGGAGTGTGATCACGTCTTGAAGAATACATGTACATCATCTTAAAAGATGGACAAAGGGGGAATCTTGTCAATGGAGCAGTTGACTGAGATTAAACACCATTGATGGAGTGTGACATCTTGATGAATACATCATCTTAAAGGATTGACTGGAATCTTGTCCATGGAGCAGTTGACTGGAGATTGAAGACCATTGATGGAGTGTGACATCTTGATGCGTACATCATCTTAAAGGATTGACTACAGTCATGTCCATGGAGCAGTTGACTGGAGATTGCGGACCATTGCTGGAGTGTGACATCTTGATGCATACATCTCTAGAATCTTGTCCATGGAGCTGTTGACCGGAGATTGCGGACCATTGCTGGAGTGTTATACATCTTGATGAATGCATCACCTTGAAGAACAAAGGGGGAAGCTTGTCCGTGGACAAGCTGACTAGAGTTTGCAGACCATCGTTTGGATTTCCATTACTTCTTCTTGTTAGGCACATCACCTTGCAAGATGGATGACAAGAGGACTTTGTCCTGAAGAGCAGTCTCCACTTCATTCTCATTCAACTTTAAGCTGATCTGGAGAGGGTTAAGAAACGGAAAACAGTGAGTGTAAAAATGCCAGCCCTTTTCAAGTATTGACAAAAACTTTTCTATATATAAATAACTTGTCAAAACTGCATTTCTCTAACTGTCTAGAATGTATTTATAGCAATGAGCGTTTTTTTATGTCAGCCCTGGAACAAGCAACAAGAGTACCAGGACCAATCTGGACACAAAATCACTGTACATGTACATACAATCAAAGAGGACCTCACTTATGGGGCAAGCATTGTGCAGAATGGACCATTATTTTTCACAATAGCTATCATTACTTGAAATGTCATGAGTGACACATTTTTTTTTCCGTAGGTGGGCGAAGCCATTTTCATGAATAATTCAGTAGTTTCATTGGAATCATTGCCAGACACTCAGGTTCTTGTTCTCTTTTTTCCATAAAATTAATATTATCCCAACGATAAGTTTGGAGAAGAAAAATAGTCGATGAAACTCAGCATTAGTGGATTCGAACCAGGGACCTTACTATCCATAGCTCATATTGCTATCCCGACAACAACCGTTCTTTAAAATGCTTTAATGTAACTAGGTGACGAAACAATAACAATGCTGTTGATGTCATTGTTTTAATCTCAAGAATAAACTTAATTTTCCCATCGAAATCCTGAATTATTCATATTGCTTCAACCGCCTACTAAAAACAAAATTGCGCCCAGGACAGTCAATAGTTGATTTGTCTCAAGAACTAAATGTCAATTTGCAGCATATTTTGCATATTATCCTTTATAAACCCCAGAGTACATGACAAACATTTAAGGAGGATGTGGGCATCAAAAGGTGTGATGGGGTCAACGTAGCAGAGCCTACTCCTTATTTATGACAGAAATACACAAATGATTCTACCAAAATTTTTTAAGCAGGTTACTTATAAATTGACTTTGTACTACGATTCACAAGAAAACTTACAAATGATTTCTCTTCAATAATGGATGTTTTACTGAGAACCACAAACGTTATCAGGTGATAGTAAGTACCTTGGATTGTCTAGTGTCTTTGGAGCACTTGAGCCCAATCACACCTCTGCTTTCAACCAACTGACAAAGAGACAGGAATTCAGACTGATCCACAGCGGGTACCTGTCTATCCTTGCACAATTTGCTGTAGGTTTCATGGCACTGAAAGAAAACAAGAGAACTTTCTTTGAATACTATATTCTTATACTACGATACAAATAGGACACTGGGTGTTCCCTCTGCCTCTGGACCAACAAAAATAAACAAACAATCCTTCAACAGTGTTCATATCTTGAAGACACCCACCTTTCCTAGAGTAATTTCCTTGAACTTGCCGCCTCGGACCATCATTAGCACAGTGCATATCATGAGTTTCTGTTGTAGAGGGAACATCTGAGATTGGTTGGAGTTGGTTGTCAGACGCGATCCATACACCTCTGATATTACACTGGATACCTGCTTCAGACCAACTTTCTTCAAGCGAGGTGAACTGCTCGTCGCTGCACTTGAGTATCGCCCAAAATTTTTCACTAAAAATGGAAATAAAATTTGATTTTTCTGTAAAACAAACGAATATTGGTTGTGGAAACCAATCAAACTGAAATACAAATATAATAAAATAGGGAATTGACAACCTATGTAAAATATCTTGCCCTATTTGGCCCAAACAAATTCTAATTTTCTTAACCAAACTTGTATATCTTTTTGAAGTTTGCATTATTTCAAATGTACAATGAATGATAATGATAAGACACCTTCTAAACAGAGAAATATTGCAATTTATCAAATACAATAATTCATCGTACAAGATAAGGACGTTGTCACTCTTGACGTCAAATTTCCAAGTCAGAAATCGCAGGTGATATTTGTTCTCTTTCAATTGTGCATGAAATGCTGAGAATGCATGAATCTTTTTTGGTGTATCATGAAACATGGTTAAAAGACCAAAAAAAAGTCTCTTAATTTTGAAGGATCAAGAGCAAAGCGGTCGTACAATTCAGTAGCCACAAACCAGACAGTCTATGACAGTGTACTTTCTTTTGATTTGCTGTTTTCAAGGCAAGAACTGTCTGATCTGAGGGAAAGGTGCACGCTCTCACCCGGTGATTTGCAGCCAAATCGCAGCTGACTCTTGACATCACATTCAACTATCTCAACGGCACGCCTGAAAAATAGAAAACAGGTTAAATTAAGGTTAATATTGCCAAAAACAAGGCTATAAGTCCATCATTTTAGAGCTTTACCCTACCAGTGCCTTCCGTGTGCCTCAAGCCGGTCCAGCAACTATATTGACACAATTTCAAAGCTTCAGGCCCAGTTACACAGAAAGTTAACTTAAATGTCACCAACCCTAGGTATCAAGAGTCTTTGACAAATCAGTATGCAGTCTCACTTTAAGATCAGAGGATCTTGGGTTTGAACCCATTTACTCTGAACTTATAGTCATTTAAAGATTTAACAATGTAACTTTTGAATTTCATTGATGGTATAAGAAATGCCTATTGCTTTCCAAAAAGTTTGTGAGATACAAACTTCACAAGCTCACTCTGCGGGATTTTATCCGACCCTTTGTTTTTTACTGCAGTTAACCACTCAACTACCAGGAACAGTTACTTACTTGCATTCAATAATAGTACCAGGTACCATATTTAATGATGTCTGGGGAAAATACGCCATACATTCGATTAAACTTCGGCGACCTACCTGCAAACATCCAGTGCTTTCCTGATGTCGCCAGCTACCGCAGCGACCTTCCGTGCACACAGCTGCAATGCTATAGGCTCCACAACACTCTCCTCGGAATTCTACAAATCAACATAAAAATGAAGTATTTTCTTTGATTAGAGGCCGTTTAATATTCTCAGTTAATCTGTCATTTGTTAGTAGACAAATTAATGCTCCACACAATGTACAATGTATTCGTGTAAGGTGTTTGTCTATGCAGAATAAAGCTCAGCTTCAAACGACTGACCCTCACTGATAAGTTAAACTGACTATATAACTTCCCTGTACCCTGGATGGTGGTATGATAGTAATTTTTATAATATGGATTTATATTGAGCACATATCCACCAAAAATGTGCTTATTTTGAACAACATTATCACCCCTGCTCTTCAGGCCAATAAAACATTCAAACTACCAGGTCAGCTCTAAGGGAGTAGACAGCTCGATGTCGTAATAAAGACACAACTGCCAAAATCAAACACACAACCACGCACGTTTACGTTACATAGCCTACCTAGTGTGGACATTCTTTTGTTTTCGTGTAGTTTAGAAAAGCCTGTAAAAAACAAGTCAGGTGTGTTTACAAACACAAATGCCCCGCAACCGTGACTGTTCCCATGACATAACACCACTCTTTTAACATCAACTTACATGTACCTTGGTCACATGGAACATTCATTGACAGCATTAGTGTCTTCTGTAGGTTTTATATGAATTAATCCCTAATCCCTATAATCTCAGAATAAATACAAGATTTCAATTGTTTTAGCCACTGTGAACTTGACCCTTGACCTTTTGGCCCCAAATTCAATAGGCTTCTTAGGATTACCAAGAACAATCCACAAACCAAATTTGAAGTTCATATGTTAAGTATTTCTCAAGTTATCGCGCTGACAAGATTTCTATTGTTTTAGCCACTGTGAACTTGACACTTGACCTTTTGACCCCAAATGCAATAGGCTTCTTAGGATTGCCAAGAACAATCCACAAACCAAATTTGAAGTTCACATGTAAAGTATTTCTCAAGTTATTGCGCTGACAAGATTTCTATTGTTTTAGCCACTGTGAACTTGACCTTGGCCTTTTGGCCCCAAATGCAAAAGGCTTCTTAGGATTCCCAAAAACAATCCACAAACCAAATTTGAAGTTCACATGTAAAGTATTTCTCAAGTTATCGCGCTGACAAGATTTCTATTGTTTTAGCCACTGTGAACTTGACCTTTGGCCTTTTGGCCCCAAATGCGAAAGGCTTCTTAGGATTGCCAAAAACAATCCACAAACCAAATTTGAAGTTCACATGTAAAGTATTTCTCAAGTTATCGCGCTGACAAGATTTCTATTGTTTTAGCCACTGTGAACTTGACCTTTGGCCTTTTGGCCCCAAATGCGAAAGGCTTCTTAGGATTACCAAGAACAATCCACAAACCAAATTTGAAGTTCATATGTTAAGTATTTCTCAAGTTATCGCGCTGACAAGATTTCTATTGTTTTAGCCACTGTGAACTTGACCTTTGGCCTTTTGGCCCCAAATGCGAAAGGCTTCTTAGGATTACCAAGAACAATCCACAAACCAAATTTGAAGTTCATATGTTAAGTATTTCTCAAGTTATTGCGCTGACAAGATTTGTCCGGACACACACACCCACACACCCACCCACCCACACACACACCCACACACCCACCCACCCACCCACCCACCCACCCACCCACCCACGGAAGGACAAGGCGGAAACAGTATGCCCCTTCGGCTTCGCCGCGGGGCATAAAAAATCATTTTACTCACACTGTGAAAACTCTTTCAACCCAAATTGTTTTCTATGATTCCCTTTAGTGTTTCTCTTCATTATGCCGAGGATAAACCTTACCCAAAAATGCTTCTAAACCTGTTTTCCAGAGAGGGGGAAACACTGTGTGGATGTGGGCAAGTCCACACAATGTTACCTGTTTTATGTGGACCTCTTTTGTTCGGAAGTCCACACAGTGAATGTAATGCTTGTACACCTCTGCCTTCAAAGGTACTCATTTACTCCTGGGTGGGGAGTGGCAATGAGTGACAAAGTGCCTTGCCCAAGGACACACGCACAACCACCTCAGGCTGGACTCGAACCCACAGTCTTCAGAGTTACCCACAGACCATGAGTTCAATGCACCAGACCATGAGGCGACAGCACAGGGCACACCATTGCAATCTGATCACTATGACACAGTGACAACTTCACTTACATTCTGTACCCTGTCCAATAATATGGCCGCAATCTGATCCTTTGAGTATGGCGGGAAATGCAGCAACTCAGGTTTGCACTTGGGTCTAGCTTGGAGTCGCGGCAGAATCCTATCAGTCAAGTCCAGTGCGTTGGCAACGCCTGCAAATGTCAATGAAGAAAGATGAAAATCATCAAGCAAAAAACAATAAATAACATGCTGGGACTCTATAATAAGCCACTGTGGCACGTATGTTACTACTATTTGCCGAGTCAGATTATGTTGAACCAAGAAACACCCCAGATTGACTTAATCTGGACAACTATGTGGCCATGTGTTCCTGATGACCATTGATAACAACACATTTCACAGGCAATTCTAATATACGTAAGTATTTGATCATGCATATGGACATGTTATTCCTGTCTTCTCTGTGTTTGATTTAACCGTCACACAGGTTTTATTCAGTTTGTTTTGCCTTTCTGTGCAAGACCAATTCAGACCAATAGACCTACAATTACATTTGAATTACAAGTTCTGAAGAGCCTTAGAACATCAATGTTTTATTTAAACATCCGCAGTGTTTCTTTTTGTACACAGCACCTTGAGCCTACAATTTTTATCAATAAGTTTCAGTTTGTATCAGAAGCACTTTATAGGAACAATACATTTACATTTGACTTCCGATATTGCAAACTCAGCTGGACATAGAAAAAAGGTTTAAAGCAGTCGAGACAGAGGGTTTCGTTCAGTATGGGCTCCATGCGCGAACAGAGAGGGCGCTTATTTACCACCTTCGAGAGCACCATGGACAGGACACACCAATGTACGTACTGGTGGTTCACGCGCAACACAAATTGTACAAAAAATAACATAGCGTTTTTAAGTGACTGTCAGGCGTCGTTGGCAATGCGTTCAACTCCAAGTGGTCTCCCCCAACTCTCCCTTCTTTACCGTTGAGGGGATACTTGTGCACGGAGCCCATAACCAGAAACAGAATTTGTATGAATGAGAGTCAACTGTATTGTGAAGTTTTGTGAACTTACCAATGAGTAGAAGTCTTGACTTGGGTAGGGACGGCCACTCAAACATGGTGTACAATACTTCCTGTCCCTTGCTATCTAGATGGTCAATCTCATCCAACACCAGAACTCTGTGGCAAAATAGAAACACCCAAAAGTCATTCTAGGCTGCAAGTCAATTAGGAAACCCGACAACATGTTCACAAGCCTCGACTCTCTCAAAACCCATGGCGGTTATGGACCTATGCTGTGGTCTTTGCCTTATTTCCCCATAGTTCTGGAACAAGTTAAAAAATTATACATGTACACAAAAATGACAAACTCATTCATGTTGTATATGTACTGTATGTGCTCTAAGATAATTTGAATTTCTACTCCACAGATTTTCAACTTGTATTTTTTTCATGAAATTGTTTTCGTCTATTTTTGTCTTCTGCAATTATCTGGCAAAAAAACCCTTTTATTTAGGGTAACTTTTGCATACGAACAAATTCACTCTGTGAGTAGACTGGTTCCCGGTCCTTACATAATCAATTTTCATAGGGGGCAGGAACCACTGAGTCTAGTAGTCTATTAGGCCAGATCCGAATTATTGTCAGGCCAAAGACGATTCCAAGCAATGGGAATGTCTTGTACTTTATTTTGGTAAAGTCAAAGCACATTCAAAGCAATCAATTCGGGCGATTCACAATGCAGTGCGCCACCAAGAGTTTGCCACGGAGGGCTCGTTTTTCCCAGTGCATTGTGGGAGATGGTCGACAAATTCACAGCGCGGGACATTTGAAATTGTTAGTTTTTCCGGCCAGAAAGTTCGTATGATTCGAGTATCTGTTTGCCCGGTTCTTTTTTGTTTTATCAATATGGAGTTATTTTGTAAGGCGGCAGAACGCTATGCCCCAATCTATAACAAATTAGCTGAAGTTTTCTACTGACACTCGTTCAAATGGGCCATGTTTTGTCGACCGTGACCTTGAAAAACGAACTCTCCGTGGCAAACTCTTGGTGGCGCACTGCATTGTGAATCGCCCGAATTTAAACAGGACACCATACACTAAATAAAGCATGGTTGATTTAGTTATGATTGGAAAACTGTTCAGTATAAAGGCAAAATTAGTTTGAATATGCATGTAGGTATGTATGTATCAAGACTGAAGCTTACATCATGGGTCCTGTCGATGTGAATGCCTTCTGTAGTCTTCTGGATGCTTCCTTAGCACTCCTCTTGCCGTGTTGGCTGCCGAGAACTTCCTCCAAAATCTTCCCATAAATTCCTTGACTGTGTCGGACGGACATGCAGTTCACAAATATGACCTGAGCTTTGCTCATTAATTTCTGAAGAAAAAATAAACAAAAACATCTTTTGAGAGAAAAAAAAAATTGCAGAAAACTGCTTTCTGACTGAATTGATTTTTAATATGCAAATTGTAAAAGTTGAAGGGCTGACATCTCGATTCTAGTGGGATCTTTATTAACCCTAACTCCCTAGTGTCTTTTACTAGGAACTGGAGCAAGTCCATCAAAATCCATCAATCACTGTGCTTCCAATACAAAACTGTACATGACATAATGGAATCCACCACTGATGCACTGGTTGACATGCATTGACTTGCTACACATGGCATTTATCACATTAGCAGTACAGGAAGCTAGGCAAAATCAATTGGATACCCCTAGCACTGCTTCAGGCCATTAGGCCCAAGTCCATCAAACTCCATCAATATTTAGTCACGCCACGCCTCCTGGACCAAGTCCCCCAAAATCCACCAAAACAGGGGGATGGATTTTGATGGAGTTGGGGTGGTTAGGGTCAAAGGAGAAATATTCTGGTATACTCCAAATGTATAATTTTCATGGTTTTGATATTAAGTAATTTTTTACGATTTTTAAGACAACGCTCAACATTTACAAATAAGCACACTGAATTAGCACAGTGTGTATTTCATATTAAGTCAATGTTTACATGTCAAAGGAAATATAAATTTTTGTCCATCTAGCCATTGCTCAAGTTTTACTTTCAAATAAGATCATATTTTGAGTGTCTCCAAAATGAAACACTTCTATCATAATCCAGGGCCTTTTACCTTATGCGTGTTTAAGACCTGAGACAAACATGCCGTCTTGCCGGTTCCCGGTGCTCCAGAAATATACAGACTACCAGCTCGATTCTTGGTCACATGACCTGTCAAGAATGATGTCATCATTCCAAGTTCCTTATCTCTACACAGCAGACGATCGGGTAGAGCTGTATGCAAAGCTTGCTTGGTCTTCTTGTAACACTCTCCTGAAATAATTGAAACATTGGAATAGTAAGCCGAAGACGTCTTCAGTAAATTTGATAATTTGTTTGTCTTCTCACATCTTCTCGTAGCAGCAACAAACATCCGTGGTAAATAAGAATATGGTTAAGATCACGTGATTACACATATTTTCCCCTGAAAAGAAGTCGATGAGAAGAAACGTACCTTCATTTCTTTCAAGCTTCAGGGGAGTAACCGTCTTCCTTGGAGATCTCTTTCCTGCTGGTGATGTTACTCTATCAACCATGCTGTCCTTTCGGTTTCTCCTGGGTGGTGAGGTACATTCCAACTTCTTACATGCACCTTTCCAAGGGCTAGTCTCAACATGGTGCAAGCGAGAGATGTACACATCTGCATTATCAGCACCGATGGAATTATCTTCACATACGGGAATGTTCTCTTTCTTCATCTTTCGTGGACTGCAGCATGGCGTCAGTGGGCGTTCATCGTTTGTCGAGACTTCTGTTCCGGCAAATTAAACAAAATACAACATGAAAAATGAAATCAAATTTTGGAAACTTGACAAACAGATCGATAGGTTTCCTTCAGTGAAATTATTTTTCCTATCACATGGGAAATATCGCAGAGAGTTGAAATTTGTTCAACTTGAGCACAACTGCTTGCAAAGTGACTTTCTTTGGTTTTTGCAGCGATGCTCCCTGTGAATGTTTTATGATGTCAACTTCGCATTCGCTTTCAAATTAAGTATGAGCCGGACAAAATACAGGTGCATGTAGAATATACTGAGACCACTTATTTTGAAAAGACATTAAAATATTGATTATTTACCTTGCAATAATGTCCTTTTTCTTGGAGAGGATGGGAGGATGGTTTGAGCAGGCTGACTTGCCGAATCATATCGTGACGATCTACTTCTAACACGTTGTGGAGACAATGACGTCTCTGGTGTCTTTGAGACTGGTGCATTTAAGGCGTCCTTGTCATTGTTGATGGTTCTACAAGTCAGACTCGACTTCCTTAATTCAGACATTGGGCATTTTTCCTGAGATTTGCTTTGCGGCGTCTTGCAACTGTTGCGTGTCTTTCGGCACTTGAATTGAAGCGGGGTTTGTACTTGTCTTGTTTTTACAGGCATTGTGTAACTCTTGGAAAAGACCTGCAAACAGAAATTACACAAAGCATTTGAGTAAAACTTGTGAGGCATCTTTTTATGGGGGTGGGGGGGGGGGGGGGGTAGCCCTGGTGGACTCCCTTTCCTCCCTACGTTACGGAGGGAGTCCTGAGTACACATATGCTCACAACCGAACGAAAACATTTCTGACCAATAATTTCAATATTTTTACCTTGTTGGGGAAGCTAATTTTTACGTCGTAGTATTCTATGTGTCCTTATCTGTTAGTAGCACGATGGGTTCAGGAATTCCATATGCGATGCTGACTGACGTCAATCAGGAAAATAAACTCGAAAGCATCGTTAAACTTGTACGTGTTTAGTCTCTTTTCATCAGTTTCCCACCGCCGAGTCTATTCTAGTCGTACATCATACCATGAACGTCTGTGCAGCGTGTAGTCTGGTTCCCTAGACCGGACAATTATTCTCGACGCTCATATCACATCTGGTCCGAGGGACAGACTATGCCGCATGAATATGCAGTGCGCACGCGCGATTTGCTTAGTAACCACCCTCATACGCACGCGCACTTACTTGAAGGCGCGGTCGCTAATCCAATGACCGAGCGTGTTTTCGCGCCAGTTACCAGAAACACATTTCGGCTTTGGTCATTGGTTGAGCGTTTTCGTGACATCGGTTGGCTGGAGTGACGTCACGGTTCCAACCAAAACTAAACAAATGAGGGCGCTAGCGTGCGTGCGCGCTTTCGGATCGTACGCACGTACATTTGTACATATCATGTACATTGTACATGATGCAAGACGTACGACTCTGGGAATAAACTGATGAAAAGAGACTACAAACACGTACAAGTTTAACGTTGCTTTGGAGTTTATTTTCCTGATTAACGTCAGTCAGCATCGCATATGGAATTCCTGAACCCAGCGGCCAATAGATAAGGATACATAGAGTATGTAGGCGTGAAATAAGCTTCTATAACGAGGTAAAACATAACAAAACTCTGGTAAAAATGTTGGGTGGTTTCATGTAGAGAATTCTTGCCCTGGACGTTAGTCGTATTGCAATGAAGACTTCGTCCAACCTGGGCTAGGGGGGGGGGGGGGGATACTACATTCCATGCTTATGTTGCAGCCCACAAAAAAATGCTTCATCGATCAGTTTAGCCCCTCCCCCCCAATCTTGAACTTCAAACAAGACATCCATCTGAGCAACAGTAGGCCTACTCCTAGTACCATACATGGGGTCCAGTCCCTCTTACAGTGAGCTCAGGCCGACACCTATCATGCCTAGTATAAAAATGCAAACACGTGGTAAATTTGCATAATTTCTGACCATCAGACCATGCTAACTTTGAATGATCAGCAGAGCAGGCGATGATACAAACTGTTTTGCAACTTCATATTAAATTTGGAAACGCACTTACCTGGTCACTACCTAGCCCCATAAATGTGGCCTATTTACTGGACTGCCTCCGTAAACATAGGCCACACATCCACATGTACAAAAATTGTGTCGACTTTGCCAAATTTTGATTTTCACATTTAGGCTTAGTTTGTAGGATTTTTTTGCTTTAGAAGCATACTCACCCTCTTTATAGGCTAGTCAGAAAGTGCTGCCTTTTTCAGATGTCTAATTTTTGTGAAATTTCATGTTGAAATTTTGATACGCAAACGTGTAAAAATGAATCTGAAAAATTTCACGAAAAATATACATCTGAAAAAGGCAGCACTTTCTGATTAGCCTATAAAGAGGGTGAGTATGCTTCTAAAGCAAAAAAACCCTACAAACTAAGCCTAAATGTGAAAATCAAAATTTGGCAAAGTCGACACGATTTTTGTACATGTGGATGTGTGGCCTATGTTTACGGAGGCAGTCCAGTAAATATTTAGGAATTCCAAGATATCTACCTGTACTTTAGGACCCTACTAGTTAGGGCCTACTTTAACTTTGTAATTTTTGAAAATTATGCGACAGAAAAATGAAAGAATGTCACATCCTGACACAACTTAATCTCGACCTTTGTGACAAAACTTAATCTCGACCACTCTCAGCTCACCACACCACACCTCCAGTTTAAATTCCCTAGATGGAATATTTTGGAGGACCACCAACCAAGTACCAACTTAGTAACTAAAGCAGGTCAGTCAGCATGACATTGCAAAAATCTTAATAAAAGAAACATTTCCAATTTTGTTTTGAAAAAAATTGCTTCATGTTCTTGACTCTCCATATTACACAACCACTCAACTGCTCAAGTGACGTCTTGATACTGCATTCTTTCCCAGGAAAAATATTCTCACTCTGACTTAAAATGTCCACTCACCTGAGCTGAGCTGAGCTACATTAATAATGACTATTACAATGACTGTGACTGTGTGTATGAGCTCGCCTCAGGTTACACTATCTGTCATGACTGTTTTCGTTACCGGTTTATGTTGAACTAGCCCGACTGCGTCTGGCCGTACATCGCAAGCTCGTACTACAGAGCTTGCGATAGTACTGTACGGCCAGACGCAGTCGGGCTAATGTTGAACATGCATTGACATGTTGAAGTTCATCATGAAAACTATGCACACAAACCAGATCAAAACTTACCGCGAATTTGAGGACGATTTACAAGTACAGCTTGCTAAAGGTGTCTGTGTGTTTCCTATGACAATAAACAGCAACAGAATCGGCAAAAAAGGTTACAATCTGCAGCGAAAAACTAATATCTAAAGTTCACGCCACTCTAATCTTATCACTTTGTGCTATAGAGGTCGTCATGCAGCTGGTGGGTACGCGGCAATCTAACTTTTCGCGGGAATTTAACACTGTATCCAACGGCTGTTCCGTGACTAAATACAAACCCGCACAATGTTTAAGCATTGATTCCCATCGGAAGCAATGATGCATGTACTGCACCATAAGAAAACAGTCGTATATTACATTCTAACAAAGTCGGCTATTGAGGGCGCTCTGGCGGAATGTATTAATGTGTGTTCTAGAAAAAAGGCCTTACTTAGGCCGTGTCCGAAACGGGCTTCCAGAGCTACGGCTACGTCTATTGTCAGCGCATCTCCGCGTATTTTCAAAGGGCACAGACCTACCTAGACCTAGCTCTAGGCAGTTGATTCGGATGCAGCCATAGCTTATAGGGCGGCCGCGTAGTACGGGTGTGTGGGATGGCGGGGGGGGGGGGGGGGGGGGGGGGGGGGGGGGGGGGGCACGCGCCCATCAACCCCCCAGTCTCCCCCAACTTGAAATTTGTCAGTCGCCAATTAACACGAATCCATGATTTAAAGCCGATCAGTGAAGTGCTATTTTTTGCATGTTTAATTTTGTTTTGGCGAAAACCTTTTCGAGTAATTCTCACCCAAAGAAGACGACCCCTAAGTTCCCAAAGGGGAAAAGTAGCCTAATCTTGAAAAACGATCCCTCCACAACATTGCAAAATGGTGCCACTTTCGAGCCCAATTTCATCCAAAATGCCCAGAATTGGAAGGTCCAATAAAAACAAAAAAAATATTACATACATGTTTTGATGTGATATTTATAATATTGTTTAGGTGTTAAGTCTCGGTGTCGGAATCGCTATGACAAGCTTGACCCAATTAGTGTTTCACCTTTCTGTCTATATGGTGTTTATTGCAAATTGTTCATTTTTCCACATACTACAATTCCGATTCCCCCCCCTCCGAAAAAAATATATAGTAAAAATATTATCCATGAAATCGTCTTTTATCACAATTCACAGTGCTCGATACATCTCTGTAGAGCTATAATCATGCAATAAATTCAGAATATGAGCTGATCGAACTTTGGCATATTTCTCTTCTGGACAGACTGTTTCGTACCGTAAGGCACTCATCAGCAGAATTTAAGAAATATTGGTAATTATGCAAAGTAGCAAGGAAATCCTGAAAACTAGGTGTTATTGGCTTTCTCACCACGAAGTGACGTCTTATTCAAGCCATTTTTGTCGTGTTCCCTGAATGTCTTTCATCAAATATTTACTGTTGAATGGGATGGCGCCAGACTATTTATGCAGCCTTACCTTTTTCTTTCATTTTTTTTTTATAAATCTGGCTTAAAACATTAGGGAATGTTTAATTGCAAATTTAAATTATTCATTAATAAGCGGACTTTAATTATTTAGTTATGTACTTTCATTTCTATTCGCAAGTTCCAAAAAAGAAGATTTTTCCTCACTTTCAATTCAACATGGCCGACTCGTGAATAAAGGCCCATAGCGCAACCGGCGCACGACGGACGAGGATTGTTTTTTTAAATTTTTTTAGGAGGGGGGGGGGGGGGTTGCACGTTTTTTCCTTCTCAAATTTCTCTGGCATTGCATTGAGAGCAGATGGAGAAGGCCAAAAACTGACTATACATGAGAGACGTAAGCTGATGGAAATACATGCCTTTGACTTTGGACTAAGGGAAACAAAGATCAGTAGCGTGTGTATTCCTTGAAATCAGCAAACTAAATTATTCAATTCACCAGGTGTTCTGATAGTGGAGGAAGGTGATCCCCATGCAGGCTGAAATACCATTACTGGGCTGCGACAATACTGATGTGCTTTTTTTTTTGGGGGGGGGGTGGAACTCTGTAACTTCCCGTATGCAGATTTGAATCCTTTGATAACCCCAGTTTTTCTGTCCAGGTTTTGACCGTGAATGAATAATAATCCGAAAAAAATGAAATCCAAATTTCACGGGCTACCGTTTATCATTATTTAGAATTGAAAAACTTTAGCAATTTATCTTACCGGCTTATTATAAGTGCAGACATTACTATAAACTGGAAAAAAGGATGACGGGTTGATTTCCACAATACCGATCTCATAAGAGTGGACAATTTGGAAACAATAATGATCAGGGAACTTCAGCGTCCTGCCGACATCGTTCTATTTTTCTTTTAAAGTTGTTTTGTCAATAACTGATTTCAGTTTTAATTATGAAGGTTTCATCAGTTCATCATCAAGATGAAAAGATCCATTCACCAAATCCAACTTGAGAGTTGGTGCACCAAGCGGGCCGCATCAAGCCAGCTTTTAAGGCCAACTTAGAGGGCCCCTTTTGTTAATTTAATTCAGTAACAACAAATATATTACACAAAAGGTTCACTCATGCAAATCCCAGCAAAGTAAAGCTACTGCCCCTTAAGATGGCTGCTACGCACAAGTTCTATGGGAGTGACCACTTCGGTTTCAAAAAAGATATCACACTGAAAAAGGATTTTTTTTTTGCACCGTTACAGCGTTTTGCACGCATGCGCGTTGTTTGGTGGACGGACGCGTGACGCGTTCACAAAGGCGCGAAAACGCAGTAAAGAATGAATTATGACGTCACGAAAATAATGCGAATTAACGCGCAAAGTCCCTCGTTGGCATGGTGGCATCAAAGTCATTGTTTTAGCTAATGCAGAAGATAAGAAATCGAGAGTCCGGTTATTTGCACCAGTACCATCCGCCGGCACTGGGGTCATGGCAATTAACGTGATGGGGGCTCTTGTGTTGCATCATAAGTAACACGGTCATATATTTTTTTAAACGTTCATTGTCCTTATTAAATTCTGGGGGGAAATGGAGGATGCGATAGCGCGAAGTGGGGCCGTAGAATCTGGGAGAGTGCGACTACAGAGCGATGTCATCGAAGAGATTCCAGAAGATGAAGAAATAACGAGCAAGACGAGTAGCCGACCCAAACTTTCCAATCCACGGTTGCTTGGTAGGAAACGCTCAGAGCAAAGAGATGCAGCTGCACCGGGTGATCGGCAGACACGAAGTGCCACACCCGCTAAACAGGATGAGGGCAAACTGACTGGTAATGCACGCAAGAGACGTGGAAGCATCAACTTACAAGTACGTTATTTCCTAATGAAACCACAATGGCAAACTGACTAGGGGCATTGTTATATTTTGTTAAAATAAACAACTTAAATCAAGATTTTTGAATTTCATACTCTTCCTGCTGTTTGGTTAAACATACATCTGAGTTAGACAATGCCAAATGAAATAGTTCTCAGCCTCATAACCCTGCATTTGTTAGAATGACAAACCCAAACCTCTAGTTTTCTAAATTGTTTACAATATTCTCTTATTTTATATTCTTGTATTAAACAGTTTCATAGTTTTCAGATTTTCTTGGATTTATTTTGAAGACTTTAAACTGAAGTATGAACATAAAAAAAAATCATATTAAATTCTACATGTTTGTATTAAATAGAAATTAATGACGTCGCGGGTAATATACATTTTGAAAGGATATATAAAAGGTTGTGATTTTTTGAACAGGTTCGTCGCCCGAGTACACAACCAGAGTTTTCCACCATCACTAACCAACAGAGACGGATGAGTGTGCGACGAAACAGCACTTTGCCTGCCCCACCCAAACCAGCGTTCATGTCAGCTGCCCAACAGACTCGTCGAGCTAGCACTGCACCAAAAACGAAAGAACCCGAGCCCGCCCTCACAAACGAACAGAAAGAAGGTTCGCATGTTAGCATCATAGCTTTTTTTTGGTTCCATGCAAATTCGTTACATCATAATAAAGTGCGACAGAAACTATTATTTATGATTGTTATGAAGGTTTCCCCAGAAAATTATACAGTATAATTATATCATTATATTTTCTCCTATCATAGCTTTAAGGGGGGCTTTCTGTTCTAGCTTTCAAGCTTTTTTCTACAACCTGAAATGAGTTTATTTCTCATCTTTAGCTGTCGTTATAACAATTTTTGTCTTGTTTTCTCCATTTGCTAGCTTTCAAGGAAGCATTTGACCTTTTTGACAGTAACGGTGGTGGCACCATAGACGCGGAAGAGTTAACCGAAGCTTTGAGTTCTGTAGATATTCATCTTTCTGTGGATGAGATTAAGGAAGTTCTGCAAGCAATAGATAAGGATGGTAAGTTGAACATTCTACTGATGCCAAATCTTTTGAGCCTAAACTCAACCTCTAAACACAAGTAAACTACACACTTCCCTAACGCATTCTAATACACTAGCAATCCGGGCACGCTATCATTTCTATCACGGAGGCCCCCATCAGTGGCGAATGCATTGTGTTAGCTGGTCAGGATAACTGTCATGGAACAGCCGCACAATAGCTAGCACAACGCTCTTGCCAATCGATCGAAGGATTAACATAGGGTAAGATGTTAAGTTTGTGAGACTTAAAATTTAATCTAGCGGTTTCAAACCATTGAGTGCATTGTGGTTAAAAGGGACAGAAATCCATTTCGCAACTCAATTTTAAATAGGATTTTAAAATAAATTATGTCTCATCGTTTTTTATGATTCTCAGAGACATAAAACAATACGATTTCTAGTCTGAGTTTTATCAGTCCTAAGGCCCTCACACGATACCATTTTCTTTTCTTTCCACTGCTCACGGTCGTAGGTAGTGGTGAAATTGACTTTGAAGAATTCTTGAACATGATGACCAATACAGAAAAGTTTCTGGAAATGTTTGGTAAGTTCCCCGATGACGATGTAATTACCAATGTAATCGAGGTTACAATTGGAAAAAGTTTAACTCCGAAACTATAAAATAATCAGATCAAAAGTAGATTAAATTGCCTGATGCGATAACAACGGCAGTACAGCATCTTAACACTTTACTTCAATCAATTCATAAATTGATGGACAATCAGTTAAACATTGACGGTACAATGGTAACTTTTGGTTTCATAGAAGAAGATGACAATTCATCGTTAATCTCAACTTATCTACCCGTCTTCACCTTGACCTTTCTCCTGACCTTTAGCCTCGAAGCACGAAGAGGGTTCCGTGCTGGGGTCACCAGCAGCTGGTAGAGGACACATTCTCTTTGATGCACTCACACAATTCATGAGGTCATCTGCTCTTAAAGCCATGGATGAAATTGTTGGGTTTGTATTACAATTAGCTTCAATCCGTCCTATCGGTGGACCCGAAATGCCAGCATATTGTCACATGACAGACTGAGTCACTGTCCCAAATTGACTGACTGAACGACTGAATAACTGACTGACTGGCTGAGTCACTGAGGACAAATAATGTCCCAAACTAAGATTCAATCACATGTCATTCAAGAGTCCTCCCAACCCCAACCTCGTCCCCAGGGTATCGAGCAGTACGCGCCCACCACTACCTGCTCTCTCACCCTGGTATTGGATCATTTGCATGTGCAAGATTTTTGAACACGTATGCAAATTAGGAGTAGTTTGGTACCTGCCTGGTAAAAACAGAATCAATTCGTCGCAGCGCGAGCATGGCGTGAGTTACGAAAACATGATTTTATTTTAATTTAACTGTTACGATCTTAACGAGACAACATGCAGTATCACATTTCATATTAATATTAACAAACTGGAAAGGATATGAATATTTTCGAGAAGGCGTGGACGAATGATCGCGAAAACACGTACTGCGCGTTGTGAATAACAACACCAAGTGCTCGATATAAATCAATTTCTAGCCAATTGCGGTATCGAATCAGGATGCAGGAAGGAAGTTTCCTATCCAGGGTTTACTATTGAAAACAACGTTGGAAATAAAGTAAGCACTGGGGACGAAGTTGTCCCAACCCGCACTGCAAAAATAGAAGTTCTATTCCACGGTGAATAGAACTTGGTGGTCCATTGCATGGTCACGCGATTGGTGGCTCTGACCAATCAGATGACGACTAATTATTCAGGCGTTGTATACAACAATATTGAATGTTTCATATTCGTGCAATAGAAAGAATACTTCAGGAGGTGACCGATGGAATGTTCCATTCCACGAGGCGAAGCCGAATGGAATGGAACATTCTATCTGTCATTATTGAAATTGAAGGCCTTCTGGTCACAGTTTTTAAGTAAACTTTTTAAATTGTTTGTGTTTAAATTTCTGTAACTTAAAAAGTGCATGAGTGATTTGAATGATTCTTGTACTAAAAGAAAGCTCATTGATTGGGCTTTTATATCCTACATTTTGAAAGTGCTGCAGGCACAATTTCATTCAAAAATTGGTCCTGATGCCATTTGGGTTTCGGGTGTTTTTTTTACTCACCCTGTAAATTAACTCATTCTTGCAAAACACAATCGTCGATCTAACGTTTTTTTGTAAAGCAAACTATAGTTGTTTCCTGTCAACTGTTATTTCATTTCTTGATGTGATCAGAATGACAGGTGCATTTAATTAAACGATTTCAGGTATTACAAAAACAAGTACCGGCGTGTGAATGCGCCGCACGTGGTCATGCACTATGCGGCCGGAGCTAGACTGATTGGACTGACTGAGAAGCAATTGGCGAGGCATCTAGAGAAGCTACAGGCTAGTAACCAAGGTAACGTTGACTGAAACTTACGGCAAAGTTAGCTGATGCAATCATTAAAAAGGACGATTCTGACATAAATTGTCCATAAAATGTCCATTTTCTTTATCAACGGCCCATTTTCTTGAGCTGATTGTGTATTTGCAAACTGCCTTTGCCACTGAACTATTTGTTTTTCGGGGGTCTCATTTTGTACTGTTTATTAAGACAAATAAAGTTATAATCAATCGTAATGTTTCTCGGGGGAAAAAAAGTATTCTTTTACTATATTTTTATTTTTTTTATTTAATAAAATCAGGAAACGATTTGAAGAGCCCGTACGCTCAACCTCTTCGCATTTTCTTGCTCGGACCCAATGTCAAAACCGTGAAGAAGAAAGAGCCGGAAGGCAATGACAAGGAGCGTCGTCGCTGTACTGGCAAAATAAGATTAACTGTACATCTCCCGCCCTCTACCGACGCCATTGCCCAGAAAACAGAAGACAGTGAAGGCCAGAGCAAGGTACTCATAAGTCTAAAAATGGCGGACCAGGCGGGCCATTTAAAGTCTGAGCGTGAATTTGTGTTTCGATAAAATGCGGACTCATTGGTAGTATTGCGCATGCCTAAGTGAAGATAATTAGGAGTTGACCGGTCACGTGAAAGTGTTTACTCAATAAAAGGGAAAAAGGATTGCGATTTTCATGCATGGAGACTGATTTTCATAATAACACCAGCCAGCGCGTCGATTGTCAAATTGACCTATGACGTAGGGGTCAATCTAATTGAAGTATCAACGCGTAGGGCCTATCAATTGGGCGATGTTTGATTAAAGCATGACGCATAGTGTGCAGGAGAAATGGGCCAATCAAACTATAGGGAAGGCGGCAGAGCCTAGACGCCCAGCAACCAATGAGATATCAGAAGTACGAGCCCGTTACCCGTCCATTATAAGTTCGTTATGAGTTCAGGTCTCCGGTTTAGGTAGATAATGACCATCATTTTTTTTTTAAAGAACTGTCTCCCGTAACTAAGCAACAAACGATGTAATGTATTGATTGGGTGGGTCCTTGTTTTTATGAGACAAGAACGTGTGAAAATGAGATGGGGTTGTCGTTGATTGTGCAAGGCTGAATAGGCGGGAAAAGGGAGTCCCTAAAATCATATGCTGTAGATGAATGCAGCGGGTTACCTTGACAACACAATAAAACAACGCATAATCCATAGAAACACTTTGTGAACTCCCAAATTTATTATGCCATTTTAGAGTCCCAACTGGTGAGACCAACAATGGAGGAAATGTTTAAGATGTGTCCGTTACTTTTATTTAAGCTTGAAGAAATCCTAATATTAAAGAAAAAAATCCCTAGATTGAAACAAAATCCCAGAAATCCAAAGAATTTAAAGATCAAGAAAATAGCTCCAACAATAACTCCAAAAATCCCCCGAGATTCTGATCAGAAATCCAACTTTCTTGAAATGTTATTTTGTGGGCACATGCGCTTCCTTATAAAGGTGAATTTCCACCACACAATAATTTCCATTCTTTTAATTTGCGTAAATGATTTTTTTTTTAATATCAAAGTTGGCTTAAATACTAACAGTAATAGTCAGACAGAGAGTATCAGTGTGAGCATGCTTAAAAGAAAATTCCCCATGTTTTTCGGGTTGATGCACCTCGAACCGACTAATAGCTCAATCGCTGAGCGCGTGGTGTCTTCGTAAAGGTACGGGGCTCTTTTGCTGTGCTCGGCAGCAGGCTTAGGTGCCACCTCGTTTCCTCCCTTGTATGGTGATACCCTTCGGGTGATGTGAATTGACAGGGAAGGAGGTGTGGTGTGTCCGAAGAGTATGGGAGTCGGTAATGGACTCATTGAGTGTATTTCCTTAGTCCGAGCCTGCCCTGAATACTTGGTTAAATTTTCCTTCATCCTTTTGTGGGGCTGATGGGGCTGTGATCACCCTTTGGTTTTGTGATGGTTCGTTTTTCTATCATGTTTGTTGGTTGATCTGGTACCACCCATTCACCGCTTTAAAATTGAGTTTTTGGGGTAATTGCGCACAGCCCAATACCCGTTTTAGGACTGTTCGATTTTTTTTCCCGGGCAATAATTCTCCGCAACTTCTCTTCCAAACGGTTCGCGGCATGGACGTCTTTTTTTAATGCACAGTTCCGTAGGCTTTAATGATGCGGAACTTCTTCCGTGTGGTTAGGGTACTTACTTTGTTTCTAGGGAATCTATGACCAATTATACTAGTGGCTAAAGCGTGGGTATACAAGTTATTCTCGTTAACTGTTTCTATCTCATCAATTAAGCCAAGAGTCAGCTTTGTGAGTACATTAAAATAAAGGTTTTTCTGGTTCTATTAACTGGCAGGATGGTATCCGTAAACTGTACTGTCTTGTACGATAAGTTCATAGGATGAGTGGCATAAAGGGGGCTAGGGGTGGCGCGGGCCTACGCCCGTGCACCCCTCGTGCAATTTTAGGAAAGCAGAAATGAGCATCGAGTGTAACCTTCATGATAAGGCCCAAAAGTGCCCCTCCCTTGCAAATCGTCTCCACTTATTTTATTTCAGCCACATCCAACAACGCAAGCGCCAAAAACAGGATGGATAAATGGAGAGAAGACAATGAGAAGAAGTTACAGTTTTAGAGGTGGGAGGAAAAGCCCAGAAGAATATTCTGGGGAAAACCCACGGAATCAGGCAGGGACTGAAAACCCAATCCACATATTGGCCCAGGCGGGATTCGAACCCGGGTCGTAGCGGTGGAAGGCGGGGAAAGTACCGCTACGCCGACCTGACTCCCCCACTGCCACTTGGAGCTCGAAAGATGTCTTCTTCCCCTCAAACAGGAAGAGGCAAAGCATGGTGTGCAGTTTTAACGTCGTTTATGCGATCTCCCGATTGTAACTAACTGTCATCATCTTCAGCGACGATAATGGTAAACATTATACATATTTACACGAATCATGAATAACAATCACTATGTTTTTTGCTTCCGTTCAGACTGTGCGCAACTCAAAGAACACAAACACGCACATGAAGCCTGTCTTCCAACCCCGTCTTGGTTGGGTCAAGACTCACGTCAAGAGTATTGCTGCCAGGCTACCTCAGAGGAAATCTGTACTGACCATGGAGGACTTTGCATCTATAAGGAAACGGGTAAAATAATGAGGGGGAGGGGCGTGGCGAGATGACAAAAGGGGGTGTTTACAATGATTGACAGTATTCACTAAAAAATCGGTACACAATAATGGAATGGTCAAACTTGTCAGGATAACAAGTTCCCCAAAATCACATAATAAGCCTATTTTTAATGTTTTTATTCTATTCATGTATTTAATTTTGTTCAAGTATAAATACAATTTAAGGACCCCAATTTTCCCGAAAAGAAGCACCGAAAAGACTTGTCATTATTGGTTAGTAGTTGACTAAATCCCTTTTAACTCCAAAATACTACGTTCAAAATTCGTCACCGACACCACGAAGTAACACTCTACCGTGTTAAACCGTGGAGCTATAATTATGGTTAAACCATATTTTTTTTCGATTTTCAGTTTTTTTGATTTTTAAACATTATTCATCAAGGCCTACCATTGCACGAAGTTTCAAAGCTTCAAGAGCTTTACTTTAATAATTACGTAAGTATCCATGGCAACATTTGCGCAAAAGTGACAATTTTCGTTTTCACGAAGTAACACTCAAGTTCCATTTACCATTGCAATGCATGGCGCGCACTCTGCTCATAAGTGAGCAAAAACGTTTTCACGAAGTAACACTTTTCTTGTAATAAGTTGTATGAGCGCGCGCGCGCTGACCTGAAGTTGCACTTTCCTCGTGTTAAATACATTGAAGAGTGTTACTTCGTGAAAACGAAAATTTACAGTTTCGCAGCTTTTTCGGTTTCACGAACTAACACTCATCTTTTTCTCTTATTTCTTGTTTATTTAATACACAAACGGGTGAAAAACAGCAGATTTAATAAATTCAATTCATCAAGTGTCCACAACGAGAAACCCAACTGAAAATACTCTGTCGTTTTGACGCAAAGTATTGTTTTAGAAGGCGTTCAACTTTAGTTGCCGTTTTCTCCGATTGCTAGTTTTTACTGGTATGTAGATGGGTGTTACTTCGTGGTGTTGGTGACGAATTGTTCATTCAAAAAATATTAAAATACGTATTTTTGCGATCAAAACAAAACAAAACAATGGTCGCCATGGAGACTCGTGATTATTACTATCCCTCATCATAATGATGCAATCACCTGAAGAAATAAAGAAACAAAGAGATGCAATACTGTCTAAAGTGCAACAGGAAATTATTGTAATTTGCGAGATAGCTTCCAGTCTTTTCTCACTGCTGACATTTGCAAAATTGCTCAGAGGTTACTGCAGTTCGACGCTCTTTACTTGGAGTGCCATGACCTCGTGCTGCAATGAACTCATGATCTGCACAGGTAATTCTGCAGGTTATGGGTTCGAGTCCAGCTTTGGGTTGTGGTGCGTGTGTCCTTGGGCATGGTACTTTGTCACGTTCCCCACGCAGGACTAAATGGGTACATGTAAGGGCAGAGATGTTATTGTGACTGATTTTAAGCTGCTTTGCGCCGAAATGGCAGCATCAAGCTGTATGCTCCCTATATAGTAGGAGGCTGAGAGTGTCGTTTGAATGCTTCATTGGCCCAATGAGCAGGGTAATAAAGATGTAGCGCTTCGAGCACCAATACTGGTGGATACGTGCGTTTCATTAAATCATCAATTATATTGTTACCTGTCCCTTTTTAGATAACGGATGCAACAAGGGATCACTACCATGACCTAGCGCGGAGCAGGGCTGTCGAGAACCAGCGATACTGGCGCTCGCTCCAACCACAGTTTATCCCATCTGAGACTCTGCGGACCAACTTCAGAAAAGTGTTCTGTGCGTACATCGCAGCCGGGCAACGAAAAATTTAAATATCCTCTCAGGAAAAAAGGTTGCTTCTTTATTATATCTTTAACAGCGAACATAAAGAGACGTTAATTCCAATTTGATCATTATAAATAAAGATATTTTCAGAAATCTTTCATGTTACAAAAGCTTCTGTGGACACTATTTTTTTTTAGAATAAAGATTATTAAAATTAACCATTCTAAATCGTTCTTATTGATAACACCAACAGCTGACGTCAATTCATGAACATTTTGTTATATGATTTGGAATAAAATCAGTTTCATTTTGAGAATCCACCTTCGAAAACATTTCGAAGTGGTAAACAAAATTCGCAAGATAGAAAAAAAAACTATCGGAACTCCGAGGTTGGAGATGGGTAAGCAACTGTTTGGCTTTTTTATAGTTTTTTTTAATTGAACGTAAGAAAGGTTCTTGTAATCCCAAAATTCGTTCTTAAACAATAATTGTAGGAATGTTATGGACGCAGTGCACCGATATAGACTTTATTAGATGGACATACTGCCGCCAAAACTAATCAAGATTTATTTGACATTCATCCCCGAAAGGACTATCGTTCAATATGGATTGATGTTGTTATAAATAATGAAAATATACGACCACGCTTAGAATGTTTGTCATTGAAACGCCAATAAGCGAGTTTATCATCTGTGTTTGTATTCTTTGTATTGTTTCTGAATCGTTCATTGTATGGTATGCCACCCACCATTTTACCAAACTCGCGGCTAATTCTTCTCCCCCCCCCCCTGTCATCGCTACGGTTTAGATTAAGCGTAGGTGGGAATCTCTGAAGATATTTGGGCACCAGAAATTTCTTGTTATGTTACTGTAAAATTCCACTTAAAGTTAGTGTATACGTGCATTTTGGGTGGCACCTTAAAAAATAAATTTTCAAATTGAATTGATCATTTCGTATACGTGCTTTTTGGGTGTGGCACCTTGAAAATTAGATTTTCAAATTGAATTGATAATTTTTATAGCAGTTCATCAGTTATGAGCTCTCCATGCAGACATCGCACGAAAAAGATCGGCCCATGGCAAGTAATCAATTAATTAATTTCAACCTTTGAATTAATAGCAGGACGCTCCTAATTCGTTCTAAATAGTATGCGTAATTCCTAAACCGGTGCGCGCCATTTAAAACCACTTTTGTAAAACTGTATATTGGCCCTATAAGGCCTGCAAAAGAAATTAGCAAGTGTATTTGACACATGACATTATATTCCTTAAATTTTCTTTCGGAAAAGAAAATCGAAATTTTTGAAAAAGCACTTTTATACCAACTTTAACAAAATAAAATTTTGTGAGCAGACCAACAATATTCGCACATAATCTTTATTCCCTTTCAATCTCAACAACCTGCAGATCGACGTGGAAACCAATTGGGCCACGTTTTTCTTAAAGGGACCGTGCCATGAAGTTTATACTAAAACATATTTTAACCCAACTTCCCTTTTTGAAGAAATGAAATGGTCCATGTTTCTCCTTACAACTGATGGCACTGCATGGCTGTAACGTCCTTTAAGACACACAATCTTTATTTGGTTCGTTTTTTTCCGTTCACATTGTGAACTCAAATAAATTTTACTCATGCCAAATATTTTATGCAAAACAGTTTGCTCATTGACTTGCCGCCATTTACCGAAACAACAATGAATCAACATAAATAGAAAATTTACTACAAAACAACATACATGTATTAAAGTTATTAAATATATATATGCAGATCAAAAGAATACACCTTAGATCAACGCATACACCAAAGTTAGGACACTAATTTTTAAAAATATGATTAATTAATCTGAACATACCAAAAACACCCTCACAACAAAACTAGTCTTAGTTATATTACATCATCATACTAACTTTGGTCAAAAGTAGATTGCAATAAGTATAAGGATAAGTTAATATGTTGCTATGTATGAGAGTTTAACTGACTTTTTTTTACCCGACCTAGAAACTGTAAAGAATACAGTTGGTACACATGATCTTACTTTCCAATATTCGAGTTGCTATGATACCAAACAAGACAATAACACTCTGTCATTTCATCATGAATTTGAATTATATCACTTCTCAAAGTGTCACTCAGGTTGAATACAGTTTCGATTTCCTGAAAGTAAAAACAATTTCTTGAGTCGTCTGTGTGTTCAACGTTAAAAACATATCTGTGCACAAAATAACGAACTTAACCATTTCGATCCTTTATCTAGACTGTTATGACTTAATAACCATGCATTTGCATTTGCTTTTAAGCTTCTTCCTCTAATTATATGTTGCAAAATAAACACAATAGTACCAGTGATCATAATAAAGTATAGGCCTATTAAACTGGTTATTATTGCGAGACAGAATAACAATGGACAGACCCTACTCGGGTAGTAATAGTAGTCATTACTTGATAAATGCCAGTCTAACGAGAACTAAACGGGTATTTGTATAGCCTCTAATAGCCGTATATAGCCCAGCGTCAAATGAAAAATATAAATAATATATCAGCCTGCATATATACAACGGCAGGCCGCCAACTACATGATGGCAAGGCAGGGAGGTTGGTTGCTATAGCAACGTGTCAACCATGTTATTGATTCGCGCGTCTGAGTGCCGATGGTGCTGTGTATACTAAAAACGGTATCGAATTTGTCGGTTGCTGTGACGTAATTGATCTGTTATTGAGTTGAGAATGTCTTGTCTTTGTCACTCACAATGGTTGCAACAAGTGCACACAAACTTGTGTCTCCTGACCAGGAGAGCATAGAAAACTATAGTGTCATGTCAACTCTATGTTAATGGACGCATCATAAGATGGTTGTATAAAGGAATATCATAGAGCCTATTCGAATAATTGCTGGATTTCCCAGATAAAATATACTGCATCGGCTATTATCATCGTCAAGTATTTATGAATTATGCCAACTTAATGGCCTTTATTTGGATTCACACATTTATTCATGATGCCTCCAGTTTCAATTTTTAGTCCAACATTAGCGAGAAACGTAAGGAATTTAGAGCATGTAAATGTTGGCTTTGCGTTACTGACAGTTTGTCAAAAATGTTATTGTGGGTATGTGGCTAAAAGGGAACGATTCTCATAGTTAAAATACTGGAAGCGGACGTTCCAGCGGATGGGAGTTCTGGGGTAGGAGCATTGTTGTCCTTTTATCCCTTTTTCTAAAGATTTCAGGTGAGGGGCATACCGTTCCATTTGTACGTTGTTTACACTTGTCGATACTCCTCCATTGTAGTAATTTCGCCAAAAATTATGAATGATTTCTTCTGTGCACATCCAATAAAGATGTTGAGGCAGAGCAAGCCAGGAAGCTTAGCGGTTCTGCATGGCTGTTATCTCTTGACATACTGAAAATGAACTACTTCGTGCAAATGTAAGTTCTGCACCTGCAAACAAATATTGAATTTTCTATCTGAACAACATTAATATTTTATCCACCAAAGATCGTGGGAAATTTAATTGACGCAGTAATTGAAGCTAGATTAACATAGCCTACATTTATTTTTAATCGACCATTGTGATTGTCACAATCGCCTGTCTGCCTTGTACGTGGTCATTTAGTACACTTGCTACCCATGTTGCATCGACGTGCATATTGTCCATTTTCACCTGAGTAATCACCAAGTCCAGACTAATCATACTCCTCACATTTTATAATCATTAAAACCGAGGGATGTTGCCGTGCCATGAAAGAGAAAATGGCGACACTCAGAGGCATGGCACGGACAAGACTATAATATGAAGGTTACCAATCAATACTTTCCGTGGAACAGTGTACACAGCTGCAGTCTACCAACGAAGGTGACTGTGCAGTGCCATTGTATGCTGGCCTGACGTCACCAGCAGCAAATAGCCTTTTGCAACTGGTGAAATTGATCGTACATTGTGGTAGTAGAAGTATGGTATAAGCCATGGTTTGAGCTGTCGGATGCAGCACAGATGATGATAGCATTTCATTGTCTGAAGACAGATTGTTGGTTGTACCGTTAAGACATTATGTGAGTGTGAGCATCAAGAGGAGTTGGGCACTAGCATAGGAAAGCTTGTATATCGAGAGAGTTTACAAGGCAGGTTTTTGAGAAACATGGCCAATGTCTCATACGACATTCCAGCTGTTGTTGCACTTGCTCGCATGTTTAAGTAGGAACACCCAACTCGACGACATACGGAATGGGAAGCGGCTCCTCCAAAAAGGCCAAGCAACTTGAGGCAGAGGAGAGAGAATTTAAGAAGAGAAACATGCAAAAGGGGAAAGCGATTGATGACGAGGAGGAGGAGGAGGAGGTAGGGGAAGATGGGAAGAAGAGAAAGAAGAAACAAAAGGATGACGAGTTCCTTCTTGGAACTTGCAAAGGTCACAAAGGAGGCATCAATTGCATGGGTATCAACGAAGATGGAAATATGATCATCACTGGTGGTGAAGACAAAACGGCGAGGTTGTGGAACTTGGCCACTTTCGAATGTACTAAGGTACTGAAAGGACATAAAGGGTACCTAACCTGCGCCCAAATTCTGGATGAATTCTGCTACACTGGAGCTGCTGATCGCACGGTAAGGAAATGGACAGCTAAGACTGGCGTGTGCGAGTTAGTAATCGAGGGGCATGCTGCACCTATCAATAGACTTATCTGTACTGGGGACTTCCTCTTTACTAGTTCTTATGATCGCACCGCTATGTGCTGGGACCCTGATGACGGAGAACTCTTACATATATTCCGTGGGCATCGTCGAGGGGTCACCCCTCTTATGTACATACCTGCCGAAGATGCTCTTAAAGATGATGTGGTTGACATTGAGAGTAACCGAGACATCTTGGTGACAGGTAGTGCTGATGGGACGGCTAGGTCTTGGAATATGGACTCTGGTGACAGCTTGGTTACTTTCAAGGGACACAAAGGTGGAGTATTGTGCCTGGCTGCTGATTCAACTGGAAGTATTCTGTTCACTGGGAGTGCCGATTGTACTGTAAGGAGTTGGAATATCAACAACGGAGAAGTCTTCAAGGTGTTTGAGGGCCATCAGAGTGCCGTCGTCTGCCTCCAGGTAACTCATCTTTTGGTTTATAATCTTTTAGTAACAAGCTGACGGAAATGTACCATTTTATAACCCTCATAATATCATCTGTAATCTGTCTCATAATTTGCACAATTTCTTCACGGCAGGAAGTCGATGAGTAAACTGGAAAATAGGTTTTCAAAATTTAAAAGGAAGAAACTTGCCGACTGACGCGACACACCATTAGAGGCATACACGATAATTTGCGTTAATCCCAAAAGTAACGTACCGAATTATTAGCAAAAAATCTTACTTGGATTAAAGATCGTATTGATACTAAACAACCCGTGAAATTATTCCGTCTGGCTTGCTGTCATTAATAACAAATCAACAAATGTACAGCTGATTTCCAACGATTAGTCAATAAACTGATTTTTGGAAATACAGAGTACATGGACGAAATCGTGTTCCGCGATCAAACGGTCGAAAAGTGTAATATCCACTGAGCTGAACTTAGGTTGGTTTGGGAACATTCTTCTTTGGCTTTGAGTGGTGTTATAATTGATAACGAACAAATAAAATGCATGTGAAGCAAATTATCCTATTTGCCTAACAAACAACCCACAAGCCTCCAAACTGAAGTGCGTGAAAAAGTAAGGCACTGTAAAATATTGTTTCAGGTATGAAACAATATCTCAGTAATTTTTGGTTAATTGGAGTAAACTTTAAACGGACTTTTTTTTTATAGGAATCTACCCCAAGGTGTAGGCTGGTTAAATTTTGACCAACTTTGGGTAAAAAAATGAGCAAAATGTTCGCCTTTTAGTGTGTATGGATGCCCATGTTCGTCGCACTGTAAAGCTGAACGATTTTTTTCTTTGGCTGCAATATTATTATAAGCACTAAGAAAGAACTTTTTACACTATTGTCTCACCCACACGTGTTGATATCAACACGAGGCTACCTTGATCGGAACAGGGTCCTATCGGAACACGAGTCGACAAGGCATATACCGTTCACAGGTTGTGCAGGGTCGGCAGTAGATTTTGGATTTGCTATCCGGGTAGAGTCTCTAAGACCCTAGTCTCGACCAGGATTGGATTTTACCCGTGTATTGCACGTGAACCGTGTAGAAGCCATGTTGGATTCTTGCAAAGTTCGCCTAGCCTACCGGGTCCAACACGGAGGCCTGAATCTTCAAAGAAAGTAGGCCTACTTGGCTAAGTGCGGCTCTCAGCGACTGGCTGTCTCTCATTACGCGTAAAGAAAATCTTTGTTCAAATTTTAAATATTAAAAACTTAGTTTGTAAAGTTACGTTGTGCAGTACATGTTCAGGAATCAGGAGTTCCGTGCGTGTCGTATAACTTCCAAATACAGGCACCAGAAATCCTATTTTTCCCCGGGAATTATGGGAGGTTATGCCCACCTGTATTAAGCAACTTGTCCGGATATGCCCAAAGGTATATCAGCCACGTTTTGAAACTAACTAACCTTGAAGAATAAGAGCGATAATTTATCTTATCCGCTGCGTGCTTTTATCCTTGAATTATTGACCTGACCACTTTATAGCTTCAGAAGGCTTGCTGCATCATCCGATTTTCATTGATATAAAGAAGAATAACCACGAGCGGACTCTCATTTCGGCATACAAAACAAAGCCCCAAAAGATGAATTAAATTGTCGCAATAATGCTTTTATAGGCCTAGCGCTTTTTCATCCTATCAACGATCTCAAAGCGCTTTCCCCCGTTCATCAGGCCACGGGACCACGGGACATATCAGCGCGCATTTGGTCCTTAAAACAGGTACCCATTTATACTCCTGGGTGGAGAGAGGCAATTGTAGTAAAGTGTCTTGCCCAAGGGCACTAACACCATCTTCCTGGCAGCCTCGAACCCACGTACCATTGTACATGAATCAAACACCGTAACCACTGGATTATGGCATTCTACATGGGATTTGACAAGAAAACTGAAAATAATAAATTTTGATTATATTTTTTTTCGCAGAATAAATCAAAAAGTCCGTCGTGAAAACTGCTGTTGCTTTTATCGATTGTGGTCGTACCAAGGTCTTCTGTAATTGCTGAAATCGTGATGTTAATTTCTCTATATACCGCCCCCGTATAAGCGCTAACTGATGCAGTGCGCGTTCTTGACGTTGTTGCGTAAAGAAATTATGGGCCATGTATATATAAAGATTTTTTTTAAAGCATTATTCAAAGAAAATTTTAAAACGGAGTGCTATTTTACCTTGTGTTATTCAGTATGTATGCAAAAAATGTTACTTTGGTCACCCACACCTCCATTCTATGTAAACTCAGAACACTATAGACAAAAACTACCACTTACAGTGGCGTAAATCTGTGCCGGTGAGTAGGGAGATAAGGGACGACACCAAAATCCAAACATTTCCCGGTCGTGGAAATTCGAAAAAGAGAGGGGGGGGGGGGAGGACCCCAAATTATACTAGGGGGCGCTCTTAAGGATGATAGATGTATATCAATATTGATATATATCCACTTTTCAGTGCTATTGAATGCATTTTTGTTGTTGGGATGTTCGAAAAATACCTCGAAATCCGCATTTTTTTAACACGAAAAGTGGGGGAATGATTCAATAGCCCATCCCCCGGTCAAAAAGTGGGGGGGGGGGATATATATCCCCATCCCCTCCCCCCGGAATTTACGCCCCTGACCACTTCACAATTTTGATGCTTTGTAATCGGGCGACTTCAAAGGGTATTCGTCTTCTTAAAAAAAAAAATGATGCAAATTATCGTCCCTGGTGTCGGTTTTTCTTAGAAACACGTCGCGGTAATGGTCAAGTTAGCATTGCAGCTACATATCATTAAACGGAGGCTGAAGTTTGGTCAGTCAAGCGGACATCATATATACGGCAAGGTCGATATTGATTGGTATCTATAAATATGGCAGCTTGAAGCGGGGGCTCCTCCAGTTGCAAACTCATAAAGGAAGGAACTATTTATCAAATCAATACTGATAATATATGACATTAAATATCAAGCGACCCCAAAAATCCGGTGCGGTGGTTTTAGTGGGTCTTCAGGATGTCAGAATATAGGAAGTTAGAAAATAAAGGATGAACGGAATACAGAATCGACAGAATCGACAGAAATTTAGCGTAGACACACGGCAGGATAAAGCATGGACTCATGCGGATAACAAGGAAGTAGGTTAAATCGAGCCGCAAAATTGTCTTCTTGGTAGGCATGTGTGAAACATAATCACGTGCGTGAATCGACTAATCGTGTGATTTGAAATAACTTTGAGAACTTTGGATTTTCGGTGGAGATTGTAGCACCATTATGGCGAGTTATACGTTAGGCCAGTGGTCGCAATGCTGCGTGCTGACGGGGATTGATTCCCAGAAATTTTACATTTGTCTTTTTATTGCCCCAGAGGTGAATTTTTTTCCTAAATTGTGTTTAATCATGTCCTACTGATCGATGAGGATTTTTTTAAAAAGAAGTTAAGGCCAAGAACCATTCAGTTACCAACTGACGCGTGCACATTACAGTACGGCAAATAGGTGATTGGATTGCGCCTTTGATGATACAAATTTTGAATTTGGCACACAGTCAGAGTATGTCATGAGAAAAATATTTGGCTAAAGGGCCATCGCAGATTTGTCCTTTAATAACAAAAAGGTAGAATAACAAGCAATGGCAGCCATTTTGAAAAGTGCTTGTTAGTCTACTATTTTATTAAAGGACAAAATCTGCGATGTCCCTATAGCCAAATATCTCCCTCAAGACATACTCTGACTGTGTGCCAGGTTCCATGCTTGTATCGTCAAAGGCACAATTCCTATAAACACATCTGCCCCACTGTTATGGTAATTGACTATAGTTGTTTGCAGAAAAACAGTTTCCCACTGTAAGCCGGGCCCGTGAATATATATATTGCCAAATCAAGCAAAGATATGATTTGTTCCCGTGAAGAAACGGTGAGAAAGAAGTAGTAAGTAGGTTTGTCAGAAATCACCGATTTTGTGGGTAAATTTGGCATTCTAAATTCAGTTTGTGATGATCATTATATTTCCAAACATTTGTCTTTATTTAATAACAGTTATCAGCAACATTGATGTTTATGTTTACGGTGTCTCATAAAATTCGCTCTGTGTTTTTTTAATTTTTTTTTAATTTTCAACACAGAGCAAGATTCACATAATATCTGTACCCCGTTAAACTAACCTGAGAATAACGTCATAATTCTCTCCTAAACCTTCTTCAAACAAGCTTCTATTTTTTGCGTTCATTTTTGATAGTTTAAAATCTAAGACAATATAACCCGATCAAAACGAAAATCATCGAATGCAGAGTTGACATTTAAAGAAATATCCGAATAACTGCAGTCGGGCATAACAGATATTGAACTGTTGAACCCTCGCCGCATTTTAGAATATACAGTAGGATAGTGTTGCTGTATCAAGGCTCTTCGGAAGACTGAGTCTTGTAGCTTTTTAATATGCCTATCCAAATGGAATGTATTGAATCCTCCCGTGAAACCAATAACTGCACGAAAACACTCGTTTAGGCCTTTGGAGTTCCATAGATGAAAACATTTGACTATTATTGATGAAGCAAGCTTCACGATGGAGTTGTCATCACACGACACTGAGTACCATACGGCTTGAAGGTTGCAATGATACGGACTAACGCTTGTTGTCTTCGGTTGTCATGGCAACCTACACAAGCACCATCTGATTAATAGATGCGTGCCGAAGCTGTTCGTGGGGGTGAGAACGAAACACCTGCGCTGACTGTCAGTGTGTATTAAGTACTCCATTTCTTTCCCGGGTTGTTTCTCGGAAACAAAAAGCGAGCATCTATATTTAGAAAGGTCGCGCAAAATGTTCAGTCTTTTTCTCATAAATAATTACAAAAAAAATATTGCGAAATTTCAACTGAAAGAATTCTTCCCAGGTCTTTTTTTTTGGGGGGGGGGGGAGGGGGAACCAAGCATCTTTATTTAAATCGGTCGCACTCAATTGTGAGTCTCTTGTCTCTTAAATAATATGTAAAAGAAAAGATTGCGATATTTTAACTGAGAGGAATTTTTTTCAAATCATTTCGCGGGAAAAAAGAGCCTCTATATTTAAATCGGTCGCATTAAATTTTGAGTCTTTTGTATAGTAAGTCGTCAATAATATGTTAAAAGAGAATACTACGATATTTTTAATGAAAGGAATTTTACCAGGTCGTTTCGCGGAAAAAATCAACAACAACGAGCATCTATATTTAGATCGGTCGTAAAAAAGTTATGAGTCTTTTGTCTCCTAAATAATATGTTAAAAAAAATATTGCGATATTTAACTGAAAGGAATTTTTCTCAGGTCATTTCGCGGGGAAAAAACGAGCATCTATATTTAGATCGGTCGTAAAAAAATATATGAGTCTTTTGTCTCTTAAATAATATGTAAAAGAAAAGATAGCGATATTTTAACTGAAAGGCATTTTTTCCTAGGTCTTTTTGCAGAAAAAAACAGCTTCTATATTTAGATCGGTCGTACAAAATTATGAGTCCTTTGTCTCTTAAAAAATAAGTTAAAAGAACAGAATGCGATACTTTAACCAAAAGTGTTTTTTTTAAGGAAAAAAATGTTAGCACGGGAAGGATGAAATCTGTTTCAGGAATTGTTTTGAGATCTATAATCTGTCGTAAATTTGTCATTCTGCGTACTTAAATCCTGGCAAATACAAATAAGCAACTGCACTATAATGCCATGATCTATAAGAAGTGTTGTAATGAGTCAATGAGTCGACTCGAGTTCAACTCGAGTCACATATATTGGCGACTCGAGTCCCAACGGGTAACTGACTCGACTCGACTCGAGTCACTGCGAGCAAATGACTCGACTTGACTCAAATCCCTCATCAGAAGACTCGACTCGACTCGAGTCGAAGGCTAGTAACACTCGAGTCCCAAATTTGTGCCAAAATATATTTGCGTTGACTTGCGGTAAAAAAGTTATGTTCGCGTACTTCGCGTTACCGTCAAGTTGTGGCCGATTTATGGCTTACAAATATCACGGACTCCCACCTCGTGTTTTTTTAATGAACTGCATAGAGTAACTGCTATACCAGAACCATACTTTAACCCTAAAGAGGCCGGGTTATTTTGACCATCTCTCAGCCGGGGGGGGGGGGGGGCGGATTCCGCCCCCCCTAAGATCTCGGCCATCGAGTGTCGAAAAATTTTGAAACTCGACACATGCATAGAGCAACTCTTTCTGAACATACCCAAGAAACTTCATGACTATAGGTCAAAGGGTTTTGGAATTATGGCTAATTAATTATTCATATGTACAAATGGCAATTCTGCTCTGTGTACACCACGTATATGAGAAAATTCAGTTTTCACGGCGCGTAGCGCCGGAAAATTTTTCGCTACGCGGCAACCCGTGGTCCGATTTCTATGTTTTTGGTATCAAAAGATGCGCAAAGCTTGAGGCTAAAAAGTCATAACAGCTCGGGTCGCGAAAATTTTTTTTAAGAAGCTATCACGGAAAATGTTGAGGGGGGGGGGCGGATTCCGCCCCCCCGGCCCTTTCAGGGTTAAACGGATTTTCCTAATTCTTGGTTTCGCCATCGGCTTCGGGCGATTTAATAAGCCCTGGAATGATGGAACTCCGGCTAAATTGATGTCCTGCCTAACCCATATTATTTTTCATATAATTAGAAACAGCTTCGTATGTTGCAATTTGGTTTTGATGTTGTCAGCGTAAAAATTATTCCAGACCCAACACCAAACCAGAGATAAAACCAAAGTTTCACTTCTTGTTAACTGTTATGTAGATCGTTGGTAGAAACGTCCAGCAGAAGCTGTGTATCCCTACTGGGAACCATGCATCATTTAAGTCTTTGGATCGTCATAATAAACTCACAGTGCCTTGTGTTTCTTCTTCAATTCTGTAATTTATTAGATGGTATTCAAATATCAGTGACTCGAATCGACTCGAGCATGTGACTCGACTCGACTTGAAACGACGGAGCATTTTGGAAAAAAAAGATTGACGCGCATGATTAAAATCGACGCGCGCGCTGACCAGAGACCGACTTATTATTGTTTTGGCCTAAGGACAGTGCCTTGCATGGAGGATCTGTGAATTACTCATGTTTTCGTCACAAGCCATGCATATCTGAATCATCAGATTGTACGTCTTTTACTACTTCTTGTTGAACACCGAACGTATCATAAAAATACCATAACCCCTGCATCCCCTGCATTCTAGCGCGTATCTCGAAGCAAACTCTATAGTAACGTAATCGGATGTAGTCCGAAAGTCAATGTGAATTAAAAAAACAGCATTCGAATTTATACCAATATTCCGTGAGTCCACACGGAAACTTGTAACTCATTTTCCGTCCCTCAAGTCAACCTTAGTATCTAATGTTATTTTTTTTCTTTTCAATTTCTCTTTTCAGGTGATGAACAAATTGATGTACACGGGCAGCTCTGACCAAACCGCCAAGTGCTGGGTGACTGAATTTGGTGATTGTACACGAACATACCAAGGTCATAAACACACAGTCAGCACTGTTCGCTTCCGAGACGGATTGGGTAAATATAATTAATTCAATTCTAGCCAAACCAATTTTTAATTTCTGATTGGGTTTAATATTTCAGTCTCCAGAAGACCATATTAAATTTGATAGTCCCAGAGGACCTATATAGTCTCCTTTTTTGTACCTATCTGACTGACTGACTAACTGACTGGCTGGCTGGCTCCACCCCCCCCCCCCGTGAATAATTAGGCTGGTGAAGAGAGCCGAGCAGTGCTGTCGTGAAGGAACACCCAATAACTGCAATGAATGGGCTAAATCCGGCCCATTGTGTAGACTGGTGCATGAAAAGACTTCCATTCTTAGTCTACTGAATAGAATTGTGTAGGGACTCAGACAGCTGTGCTAAGCTTGCCTTATCTTGTTAAGGAAACACATCGGTAAGATGCCTGTGTTTAATGCTGGACCCAGAGAGTAAACCAAAGTCATCCTGTACCCATTGGATGATCCAGCCCCCCGAAAAAACACACGATATTTTCCCCCCAGGAAATAAATTAAAACGTTGCGTATTTCCCCCGTAAGCCATCATCAGCTACACATACCTTGTATTTAGTTTTAGTCTATATTAAAATATGGAAATGATGGAGCCCCCCTCGATGTCAACGGCTGGGTATTCCGCTACATCTGATGTCCTCATCGGTGTATCTTTTCGTGAGAGAGGAGACCTATTCTGGATCCGTAGACCCTGTTTGAGGTGGGGCAGGGAAATCCGGTGCTTGAGATTGTACCGGTGTTGGCTGTTCTCCTTGCCCACCTTTCTTTCAGCTGTCTAGTTCGATTGGCCTCAAATGTCTTGATGCCCTCATGACATGTGTGGCGCCAGTCGCTCCGCTCCAATATGGAAACAGCGCACGATATTATATGCTTAATCCCCTTCCCCTTTGTGAAAAAAACTCAAGCCCTCTTCCCCCCCGAAATTTTGGTTCTAGATCCGCCCTGGTATGTACCTATCTCACTGACCGACTGACTGACTAATTGTTGTGTATTGGACTTTCTTAATGATTGGCCCAAAATGACTCAACTGACTACCCAAACCCCTAAAACCAAATTCGTCTGGGACCAGCAGCTTTACTGGGCGTGCCTAATCTCGTGTACAGATTAAAAAAACAACACACACAAGGGCGGCTCCAGGGTGGGGGGGGGGGGGGGGGCCAAAGGGGGCCATGGCCCCCCCCCCCAAAAAAAAAACGAAACCAATTTTTTTTTTTTTAATGTGACATCGCAATAAAGGCAGGCAATGAGTACACCGCCATCTTTTCCTCAAAAAAAAATTGGTTAAAGTGGTCAGAAATTGCCTCAGATCGCACCACAGAGCATCTACAATCCAAAATTTTTTCGGGCCCCGAACCCCACGCCGTAATTTTGTAGGCCCACTTTTTTGGGGGACCAAATTTTGTTTTGGCCCCCCCCCCAAAAAATTGTGTTCTGGATCCGCCCTTGAACACACAACGTATTTATGTCCACCTGTTCAACGCCCTTTTTTTTAATTTTTTATATGTATCCGTCCACAGTTTACACTGGATGTGGGGACAATTGCGGGAGAGTCTATGATGCCAAGTCCGGGGCATTGAAGAGGACGTTCAAGGGCCATGAGTACTGCATTAATGCTATCTTGGTAAGTAGACAGAGACAGACATTAATTAAATTAAATCAATTAAAATCAATGCTGTATATTTATCGACCTTCAGCCAACATATCAGGCGTGGTTGTCAACCAATTACTTTCTGGACAGCTTTAAAGCATGTCATCCCTTGATTGCTAGAGGTCCGGTGACCAAATTTTAAAACATTCAAATTTTTATCAGAACGTTTGGACAGTTTCATAAGATTTTTACAAGTCTTGCAAAATTTTCTTTCTTGACCACTCGGGCAAAAGTGGTTAAAGAGATGGCAAAAATGGTTTTAAACACACAGGCCGGCCCAACGTTGTGAATTAGTATTTTCAATTAGCTGATAAAACTTTTCATTGCCAAAAAAAACACCCGCAGACCAACATTTACTAGTTTAAATAGTAATTCACCATCTGATCGTTTCAACGTTCAAGTTTATCTACACTTCTTATTATCAGGTGATGCCCCAAAAGATGCTGACTGCGTCTCATGACGGAACAGCGAAATTATGGGACTGTTCCGGTATCAAAGATGAAATCACCAGCTTCGGTGACGAAGAGGAAGAGAAGGAGAGAAAGAAAGCGGAGAAAGAAGAAAAGAAAAGACAAAAAGAGCTGAAGAAAAAGGAAAAGAAAGAAAAAGAAAGATTAGAAAAAGAGAAAAAGAAGAAACCATCGAATCAAACTGAGGATAGGGAAAGTTTACCCGAGAAGAATAATTTTGAGAAAAGCGAAAAAGAACCTGAAGAGAAACAAGACACGGGAAAAGAAGATGGAGATGGATTAGATGAGGACATCTCACGAGAAATTGATATGATTAATAAAGATATGGATGACCTATAAACACTTGGAGTAGGAGAACAACTCACTTCAGTTTTCTCAAGGCACTTTTCACCAATCAAATATTTATAAATTGTTTGTGATTGTTAAGAGGTTAATGTTGTCAACGATCAATGAAAGATCACCGCCTGTAAAGCTAATGATCAATATTAATGGACCAAAACGAAGTTTACTTAGACAAAGTTAGGAAATGTTGGAATTATGATCAATTTTTTTTTTAATTGTGCGATTGTATTACTATTGCTACAGTGCATGCCTTCACCAAATTTTTCTTGGTTTTGGGATGCCTTGTATAAAAATAAATTTACATATCAAAAGTTATTACAACAGAAGGCTTATTATAGACATTAAGCACTCCCCCGTCCATGTTCATGAAAGGTAATGTAAAGACCAACGTGTATGTCTTTTTTTGATGATTTTAAAAATCAATCATTTATAAATGTTGTAATACTTGTCTTCAGCTTAAAAGTAAAACCATCAGTAAATCATCGATGACCCGTTGAAATTAGTGCTTTAACGGTTTTATTAGTGCAAACGATAAAGTTGACGCCTACAATTTTTCTCGTCAACTTGGCACCTTGGAAACTCGGCATAAATTCGGCGCCGACTGCAGTATCCCGGTACAGAATTGTGTTTGGTGTCGTGTTTCGTCGATCGTAGGGCGACGTCAGATATAATAAAGGAAATGCGAATGGGTCTTCATAAATACCATTCTTTTCTTGGGAAACAACTAACCCATCAAAACGTGTGCACTTTTATCATGAAACTAAACCATGAGTCTAATCTGTTTTATCCATTACAACAAAAATAAGTTTGTCTGCTTATTTTAATTCAGAATTACCAATTTGTAATTCCCACGTTTACCTGGATAAAGAAATTGTCATTATACTTCGTAACAAATATTTCGTTTTTATTTTAATTTAGAAATCCGTATTTTTGTGTCCTACAACTTTTGTTTTGGCATTGCCCCGTTGATTTTGTGTAATGGTTTACGATTACCTGTAGTTGTCTTAGCACATGATTAAGGAAGCACATGTGTACATTTTGTTGCAATATTTAACTATTGCAGATGAAATGTGAAAATGTAATATTAATTGGTAGCAATGGACAGGCAAAAATGCCAAAAACACTATAGGGTATGATAATAATGGCTCAACATTAAACGTGCTGACGCATTGCATTCTAACGATCTTAGGAATGTGTAATTGTAAACTGTAAAGAAGAGATGCCGTTTAGTTTTTGTACCTCATATTTCTTTTTTGAAATAATCATTGTGTATATTTCACAAATTGTATAAATAATTTATATTTTATAAAACCACATTTGTGCTTGAAAATGTGGCCATTATGGATACTCTTTAACACTCATCTTTGTTACACATGCACATTTTAAAAAAGTTTACAAGAAAGGCGATTGTGAAATAATGTGCCCAATGTTCTCGGCTCTTCTAGTCCCGTTACTTGAATGTATTGTGATGTGAAAAGTTGCACAATACCAAACAGGTTGAACCGTTGTTCACAATTAGTCTATTTTGTTAAAATATATTTTGCATTTCGCGTGCCAAAGTGATTGCTTTAATGTTGACTGTGTTTGAAATAGTTGTAACAAAGATGAAAATATATATATAGAATGTGTTCACACAAAAAGATTGCGTATTAAAAATATGTAAAGGGAGCGAAAGCACAATTTGTTCCTCTTTATTACACACAAACCAAGCATTTCTAGTCTCTGAGGAAATCAGCTGATGATACGGCACACCGGGCAAGTTTGGGGTTTCAACCCCTATCCCCTCCCCCAGCCAACTCCAAACTCCCCTCCCCCCCGAAAGAAAAATATAATAAACAGAACAAAATCACGAAATAGCTACAGGAATTGGGCCAACAAGAGTGATATGAAATAGAATCCCCAACAAACAAAAATCGGACATGAAAAGAAAATTGGGGGACACCCCCCGCAAAATTTGTGCCTAAGTGCCGACCACACTGTATCTCATAATATTATGACGTTTCATGTTAATTTAGCGCTCATTTTATCACGAAACGATGTAATGCCTGAACAGAATTGGCATTTTTTTCAGACAACGTTTTGTTTCTCAGAACTATGACAAGCTGTTTCAACTCGATATTTATATCGTATTGTCCCATAAAACACACACACCACCATTTGACGGGCATTTTTTTTGCAGAGATTTTGTAATAGCGCCCTCTTTCGATTTACGGGGAGGCGTTATAAAGCAACGTCTCTCGACTACTGATAATGATGATTATAAGTAAATAAGACAGTAATGAAAAAGAAAAACAAAAGACTGCGTTATCAAAGTTGGATTGGGTAACATTTTACACCGATACAACTAGAAGTTGGCAGGCAAGATAGTTTTGAAAACAGAAGACAATCACAAATTACCGATGGAAGAACAATAGACAGTTTGCACTGCCGCAATCTTGGAGGTTTTGGCTTTGGTTCAACAGGGATTGGCACGAGTAGACATCTTGTGCATTCATTGTTATAACAAAACAAACCTTCAAGATGGCTGCCGTATGCAATTGATCTATACCTCCCAGGGATTTTCTCTTTATGTCTTGAAGGAAATGTGGAGGGCCAGGGGATCGGCATCTGTAATACTTGTCCTGTATTTTTTAAACTAAAAATAACGTTTTAAACGTTTGCTGTCAGGTATCCCCGAGTGATCTACCGACAATAAATAAGACAGAATATCAGCGAGCGACATCAACTTAATAATCGTGTTGAGGGCGCACTTGCCGTTATGCTTAAATAGCGTAACAACAGCGCAAGCATCATTTCAGAAAATGACTACAGATCCATATTGGATGTTGAACTTTCATATGCATAGGCCTATCGAGAAATTATCATGGCATCCACTGACTTTGGTTATTCAGCATTTTGAATTTGAAGTTCTGATCCACATCACCTTTTTATGTATTTGGGATTTTTTTTGTTTGTTTTTTACATCAAAATGGCCAAAATAAATAAATAATTACGCAGTTTTATATGCAACACTCATCGTTTGAGATTTTACCAGTAGGAACTAAAGACTGATTTTAAAATTCTTCGAGATAGCCCAGGCTCTTACCAAATACTCATCGAATAATTTGAAAAATTCACCAAAGTGTCAAGTACACTTGTAAGAGTTTATTTTCTTTAGCATAACGTTCAAGACATAAACAAAACTTCAACTTAATTCCATACAAAGTGAGAAGACCAGACGAAATGAATCTCTCTTTAAACTTGTATCATCATAATTAGTTATGGTCCTCATAAAGCAATGTAACCGTTTAGTGATCAGTTGAAATGTAGTCACCAGCTATACCAATCAGATAATTCCGGACCTCTTTAGTTTTCATTAACGTAAAACTCAGTAGCTGTATACCTGTTTAGAATTGTCAGGAATATTTTAACCCGATTTCGTCTTGGTGAATAAAACTCGGAGTAGAATGTTGAATGAGAGGATGAAGGCACGACCGTGGGCCTGACGCTATGCACAAAGATCCTATATTTGGACGCGTCGCGTGCCTGTCGCATTGTATTTTAACTTGCAATACGTCTTTTCGGTGTTTGGGTCGCTTGCCCGAGAGCTATAGAGTATGGCAGGCCTGGTTTTAAACCAGCTCATAACTATAACTTGTATTTTGAAATAAAATGACTGAATTTGACCACTCATTCTTTTAAATAATATTACACTTAAATTTCCATTTCACAATCTTTTTGAAGTCCACGATTTTTAAAACTGTAATCAATAAAGAGTTCCGTAATTTTTATCCAAATTTAAAAATTAAATAATTTGGCCTTAAATATAACGAAATACTAGTGGGATGACGCGCATCGCGCAGCACCCGCCTAGCTGGGTGGAGTCGGGGCACCCGCTAATGAGCATGATGGAGTCGTAAAGTGAAAACTTGACAGTTTTATCTTCGCACATGATGGATTTATCATCTCATAATGTTGCTGTGAATCTTACAAATGATTGTACGATGGACTGTTACAGGGTTATAATGTATTACTTTGACCTCAATGTGCATGTTGACCCCAAGCGGGCGTGGTAAACCTTGGTGAAGCAGTTTTGCCACATTTTTCATCATCAACGTTATGTTTTGCGTAATAGCAATATGTTAATAGAGTGTTTTCATTATATTGTAATATTATAAATATAAATATATAATGTTGTAATTGAACTATTCAAAGTCTGAAAGAAGATCACTTCAAGATTGTATTTTTGCCAAAAAAGGAAAACAAAACATATAAATCAATTTTTTTCACATGCCAACCGTGACTTCGGAGGACAGTGAAGTCGGAGCATTATATACCATTTAAGGACCTGCAAGTCCAGCGTACACAGAATAATAATCAGATTTTGTGCTTTCGCACACTCCTTAGGCCTTTAAAAAAACGTAACACACAGACAGACAGACAGGCGGATATCAGACAGACAGACAGATTGACCTACTCGTTGCCTAATATGGAAGTGCTTTATTTTTTATATAGGAACTTGTAAATGCCTTGGAAAAATCCAGGGACTTCGTAGGGCCCGAGGCATCAGTATAAGGAGGATGTGTGCTGCAGTCTACTGCAGCAGGTGTCACAAGACACCCATGCTTTGCTAATAGTCATCCAAGACTCTTCGGGGAGACTTGCCATCGACCTTAAGTCGTCGTCACTCGCACGCATGGAGACTCAAGGATATGCATTTCATGTGCACTTGAGCAGTTAAAAGTATAATCTATATCAGTCGTACCACCGCGTCTCCTTACGCAGCGAACTGCCACCAACTAGCTTCAATCTGATGGAGCGGTGAGTATTCTTGGATGTTTGTCAAGTTCAGAGGAAGTTGATATATTCACAAATCACCAATGGACGTAAGACCTAAAACATAATGACGTCACGCTTTGGTTGTATGTGCGCTTTCCTGTATGAGAGCCAGCAGGTGGGATGAGATCCACCAAACATCATTATGTATAAGGTCTATTCAACCAGGTTTGAATGTGCACTTGCAGCACCTTTCAGCTAACGCCCGGATCCACCTTCAATGATTGATGGGTTCTCATAGTCGTAGCCCATTCGGACCCGGCTCAAAATGAATCCCGCCCTCTATTGGTTCTGATTACATGTATCAGTATGCATTGCAGTAGTTATAAAGAAACATGTGAGTGGTGTCCGTTATATGTATGACTGCTTCAAGTCATTGTAAAACGCATATAGAAGTAAAAAGCATTTTGAAGACCATTATCTTTTCAACATGAATTCCCGCCTGAGAATAAATTTCCTTCTTTATTGTTATCTTTTTTATGCAGTTTAGATTACAAGAAACAATAATGAGCATGATGAAAACGTTGACGTACAATAAGTGGCAAAAGAAATTGACATCAATCAACTTTTAAGCTGAATCAAAACAAATTAGAGGGCCTGTTATTTCGTTCCTGGCAGGAACGTTGTCAAAGGCAAAAAGTCCTCTGCATGATTGTTTCTCCTTTGAGAAAGGCAGAACTATTTGTTTGTTAGGCACGTTAAGTTAGTTGATTTGTATATTCCAGGTCAACCCATTCAGTAAGTAGTTTGCAGCCGCTTTATTCATTTTAACTTAAAAACTGATTAGAAATACAACACCTGTATTATGAAGAAATGACGCAAATTGTTTCACTTCACATTTTAGTATTGAAGCTTCTGCATTCAACATGAACGCAGGTCCTACATGAATCTCATGCATGTCTTTGTAGGGTATTACAACAATCCTGTGCCGTTTAGAAGACACCCCTCCAGGCTTTGCAGGAGCCGTCACGCCTTACAAGATTATCTCACTTTCTTTTTCTCTGTCAGCCAATAAATACAGTTCTTAGTACCGACCTTTTTACAGGGGATGGTTTTGCTCTCGCAGTTTTCAGCGCAACTCCAACACCTTGCCCGCCGCAGGATGGTTCAGTAGTCCGTGTCACGCCCGCAGCCGATGCAAGGCAACATCTGCTTCAGGGTGTTGCACTATACCGAACGTCCCCGCAGTAAGCTAAAACGAGCTGTCATACTACAGTGTCTTGTGATTGCAACTGCTGGTATTTAGAATTTAACCCAATTTTAGAGTCGGGAGCGCGGGAGAGGGTTTTCGTCTCTTCCCGCGCGTGGTGCTGTCACTTTCTCGCAGCTTTCTATTGACACCTATCGGAGGAGTGTTGAAGTCATGCTGGAAT